TTGTATCTATATGCAATATAAGAATGATACTTGTGTCAACACACTTTAACTTCAAGACGACTGTTACACAACAAGATCAACTGTCTAATGCTAATTATCTCAAGGATGTCTTTGGCGAGATGTATTGATAATATTAACACCCAATATCGCCTCAACAAGAAATTCTCGTTAAAGTACAGCCCAAAAGACCTCATTTAAAGGACTGGACAAGAAGAGCAAACAATTTTGGCTTAGACTCATCCTGCTTAATACTCCAATCCAAAATGAACCTACGTGCACTATTTTTTTTATTCCAATATTTTGTGTAAAACTGTTATCTCCTTTCATTAATTAAGCAGAATTATGTAGCTTTAAGACATAACACGAAATACTAAAGGAATACTTGACATTTTTCTTATTCAAAGCAATACCATATTTACTTGCTCTCTCTCTCTTTTTTTTTTCTTTATTATCAACTACATCACTGACTATTTTGATTAACCTATGACTTTCTTTGCTGCGAGAGAAAAAAAGTTTTAAAACTCAACAGGAAGACCAATATTTATACGTATTTCGTTATTTCCATAATCTTCTTTTTTCTTTTTTGTTACAAATTTTTTATCGAAAAAGTTCATAAACAACATGGCTTTGAAGCGTATTAACAAGGTAAGACTGTTTGGCCTGAAAAAGAAAGAAAAATCTATCTTGTTGGTGTCTTGTTTAAATTGGCTCTTTTTTTTTTTCTAAAGGAGAACCAAGAAAAATAAACAAAACTATTTCAAGATGAGAAAAAAAAAGGCTAAGGGAATCTAGAGATTAACGTCGTTTTTGCTTATAGGAACTCAAAGATCTTGAACGTGATCCCCCTTCTTCTTGCTCTGCTGGTCCTATTGGTGACGACTTGTTCCACTGGCAAGCTACTATTATGGGTCCCGTAAGTTATAGTGTAAACGTAAGGCAATATGTACTCATGTTGCCTGAACTCTATTAGGAAGATAGCCCCTATCAAGGCGGTGTCTTTTTCTTGTCTATTCACTTCCCCACTGATTATCCTTTCAAGCCCCCCAAGGTAAAAGAGGGAGAAAAAAATAAGGTGATTGATAACTAACTATTGCTTTTTTCTTCCTTTCTATCAGATTAACTTTACTACCAAGATTTATCATCCCAATATCAACAGCAATGGTAGCATTTGTTTAGACATTTTGAAGGATCAATGGTCACCCGCACTTACAATCTCAAAGGGTGAGTACTGAAAGAGTCAAGTATTTATTTGCGTACTAATCTATCAACATAGTTCTTCTTTCTGTTTGTTCTCTTCTTACAGATCCTAACCCTGACGGTAAGAGAAGAAAATCAAAAAAAAAAAAAAATCAATGCTCTAACATCTTTTATATAGATCCTCTTGTTCCTGAATTGGCTCACATTTACAAGACTGACCGTTCTCGTTATGAAGCTACTGCTAGAGATTGGACCAGAAAATATGCCAGTAAGTTTGTGTGATTTTTTATGAGGTACACTTGTTCACTTCTTTTTTCTTGTAGCTTAAACAAAAAAAGAAAAAGTAAATAAAGAAAAGGATTGTGTATTTGTATTTTACGTTCAATAAATAGAAATTGCAATTGCATACTTTTTTTCTTGATATACTGTTTTTATTACAAATAAGGTTTAAAGATCACAGACAAGCAAGCCTTCTTCGTAAAGGCCAGAAACAACCAACTTGGAGTTTGTCAAATCAAGTGAACCTGCAGTTGAAGTACCAAACAAGGCACCATCATCTTGCATTAAAGTTTTTGTTTCACCAGAGACTACATCCCAAATATCCACTTGAGAAGGAGGTTTGACCATGTCATCATTGTTCTTTTTCTTGATGTATTGAAGGAAATACAAAGGCTTGGGATGACCAGCGACAACCAAGAGTTGCTTCTCGGCATTATAATCAAGATTATCAACAGCCATGTTAAACTTGGCTTCATTGACATAGTCAAGATGAATATGAGGCATACCTTGACTGTCTAGTGTAGTCGCCATCTTGTATTGCTTGACACTACGTCTGTATGTCTCAGCAATGAACAAGACATTGTCTGTACCAGTAACACCGTTGGCAAACAACAAGCCATTGACTCCCTTTTCTACTCGACCAGTACGAGCATTATAGAAGCCCACATTACTTAAATAAAAAAAGTAGTTTTCAATCATCTTCAAGTAACGGTTATGGAAGTAGTGGTCATTGGAGAAAAAGAAGGAAGGTGTACCATCATCAGCTCTGAAGCGAACGTCCTTGATAATGTGAATAGAATTAGGATTGTACATCTTGGGATCACGAACAGTACGCTTATGAACAAGATGAACACTGTTATCGTCCAGAGTAAAGAATTCAACGGAAGGTATGCCATCAAGAGGGACATTAACAGTGACCAAAGTCTTTTCGCCTGTCTCGGGATGAATATCGACATTGATACCAAGCGTGTGATAGTCTGACATGACATTGGTTTGTTGAACATCAACCGTAAATTTTTCAATAGAAGCAGGTACCTTATCCACAAGTTAGATGTCATTTAAAGAGATCCTGGACTTACACTAGCATAATCTACTCGCCAAATACCTGCATTGGATGGACGTTCACCGGGCAATAAGTTGTTAATGCCCATGACTTTATTGTACTTTGTACGAGAAGGATCGCAAGTGACATAGGCAATGCCAGTATCATTCGACATGATAAAATCTTCACAGTTTATGAAATCCTTGGGGCCTGACAAAAAAAATTAAAAAAAAAATCATGCTATGTTCCATCTCACCTGATATTTTGGTGCATTCTTCTACATGATAGTCTTTAACTTGAGTGAAAATACCACTGAAAGGAATAAACATATCTAAATCAAAGAAATTAATACAAAGAACAAAAAAAAAAAAAAAAAAACGCGAACTACTTGCATAAAAATGAAGTGAAATAAGCAAGAGGCAAAAGAAAGCACCAGCTTTTAAAATAGAACCAAGATCCTTTGAAAGGTGATCCACCTGGCATCTCGTAAAAGAGTTTAAAGATAAAGGAAAAAGTAATTTTCTTTCATTTTTAACTTTGCGTTTTTTTTTAGGATCCGATTTAATGAAGTGAGGAAGAGTGTGACAATAGAAAGACATTGTATGTTATTTTAAAAGACTTGGCTGTTTATCATGAACAGTTATCGTATTGGCATTTGACTGACTAGAGAAGCTCACAGCCAATGTGCATGTTTGAATTGCGAGTAGCTGCTCTTTTGCTGCAAATAAATATATAACATGATTCTCGGACAACGATGCAGATCAGGCTTTAGTGTTTGTTTATCAATTGAATATTGATTTCCCGGCATGGCTGTAACAAGAATATTTTGTCATGGAAGTCTTAACACTGTTCGAATGTAATGAGTGGCAATAAACACCTGTAATTGTACTGGAAAATAGATCATCATGAGCACTCAATGCTTGTATGGAAATAGGAAAGGTTTTGTTGTTAATGAATACGACAAACCTGAGCCGATGGATTATATTGTTAATGAGGAGCATAAAAAAAGTTATTTTTGAGTGCATTGATGTAAACCCTTCAGTCGTCTTGGAAGACCTGATGAAGCATTTGTGACAAGTGTTCACAGAATTAAAAGTATCCAAAAGTATCTTGTTTGATTTTGTACACCTTGCCTGGCAAAAAAAAAAAAAAAAATAAAACTCTTCTTTAATCCATAAAGTGTAGCAGCAAGAAAAGGATTCAAAAACACTTGGATTGAAATCTAAAATGGGAAAAAAGAAATAGACATGTATTTTACGCCCAATTGCGTCTTCCTTGATGAATCTGCATTTCGTATTAATTTGAAATGTAGTACGATGACATGGAAATTCTTCAATTCATCGTTGTGTCCTTACATATTAAATGTGGAAAGATATACATGTACTATAATATAAAATTTATATTTAGCGACATATACAAAGTGGTCTCTAGGTAATATAGTTGTCAACTATCGAATCTATACGGGCCAAAATCACTTACATAGCAGTTGTGTTGTACAAATAATTAGACTGACCTGTCAAAATATAGTCACTAGCATAAAAGACATAATAACAATAGCATCCAGGATAACAAGAAAAACATTCTGAAAACATAATAAAAAGAATCCTGGTTAACTCGATTTTCTTCAAACATTTGTGGGAACACCTAACAAAGATTTCAAGCGATTCAGTTTTCAGGGATTTTTTTTTCGTTTTACTTTACTCTTCACTACTGACCAAAACTACTCAATTGGAGAATGAAATAGCAAATAGACACAGCGGTAATCGTGTGGTTCAATATATTTTGCTATATCAAAAGAATCTATCTTTCTTTTGAAGAAAATAATGGTTCGGTTTTATTTCAGCTCCTTCTATTATTACTAAGTTAATGTTCATCGTAGATCACTCATTAAGCTTTTATAAAATCATTATTTTTCAGCTTTCTTTTATGCGTCAATAAAACTTCTCCTAAAGTGTAGTTTATTAATTAGACGTCTTTCTCCTTTAAACTCTAGGCTTAAAACTGTTTGCATTCTCTAAAAAAAAGTCTTGAATAGAACTTGGTTCTTTATGTGTCAATAGAAGCCTGGTGTCTTCAACAGGAAAACTACCAGAAGTCTTGCTAACCCAATCGAAATAATCCAAAAATCTCTGTACGTGTACATCTAGAGAAGTTTAAATTTATGCAGCGTCTAGATTGTCTTACCATTGGGCACAGTAAATGCATTCAATCGATACATATGTCCATTATCAAGTGAGTCGAAATAAATGCGAGACTTTTCTTTCTTTATACGCTCATCATACCAAATGTTGTGACTAAGGCTCTTCAAGTAAAAACCAGTATCCATAGGACGCATCATTTGATATTTGATTTGTTTAAACCGAGTTGCATGTGAAATCATGTCTATCAATTCTTTACTTGTGATTGCCTCAGGACCAGTCAGCGTATAGGATTGACTTGCATGCACATCATGCACATCAGATAAAAGAGAGCCCTCTTGGTTAGTCACAAGAGAAGCGACAACATGGCATACATCAGAGATATCCACTGGGCAAATCTTGGTATCATGAGCAAGGGGCAACCCTATACTCTTGCGAGATTCAATTTGGCAAGCCCAAAGATGGAAATATTGCTGAATCCAATCAAGTCTTAAAATGGTCCAATTAAAGCTGCGTCCTCTGTCCATGTCTTGTTCCTCGCAAATTTGCTGTTGTTCTACCAGATAATCTTCAATCAAACCATAGTTATTAAGGGATTCGTGATTTTTTGAATGAGCACCAATATGTGATAAAAATATAATAGAGCGTATGCCTGATCGTATAGCGACTCTACAGAGGTGTCGACAGTGCTTGACTCTATCAGGATGACTGCCGACAGTAAGAATCATTTGGTCTACTTTATGAAATGCCTTGGAAAGATCATTCGGGTGCATGTAATCGACAGGACGCACATCAATACCTTTTCTTGAAAAGTTGGCAACTAAGGTTGAATTAGGTTCGTCTTTTGTTTTGTGATATAGAATCCGCAAGTGGTTACGAAGTGATTCAAATTGAGACAAGTGAGAGGTAACACAAAAACCAAGGTATTCGTCTGCAGATGTTACAAGAAGCATAATATATGTATGATAATTCTTTTTTAGAAAAAGAGAATTAAGCCCTTTATATAAACTTGAATCAGCCACAAGATAATCCATTGTAGACCTCCTTTTTGTATCCTTTCGTGTTGGCTATTTTTAACAAGTTTCTTGAATGTTACCAGTTGTCAATCATCATACATATTTTTAGATCAGATTTATCAAAACTGTCGTAGATAAATGATACATTTATTTGTTTATATATATATATATATGTGCGTGTATATGCTTCTATTAAAAATATTTCGCGATCAATTGATATGTCGCTAGTGGTAATTTGTGTTCTAATTTAAGAGGTATAATAATCAAAGCAGCAAACCACAATAAGACGAGAATAAACAGTGGTCCATAAATAAAAGTAATTTCCCTACGCTGCTTTCTTTCTTTTGTGGACAACACGGAGGGCCGAATTTGTTTAGAAGGTCTTAACCAGAATAAAATTGTCGAATGAATGCGATCCACAGAAGGAATAAGTGTAAAAGGGAACAATACAAACAAGATCAAATGTCCCAATATAAAATCAGTGGTAAACACTGACATTTCAACAATCTTACAGATATATTCTCTTGCTGCCAAGTTTGCAACCTACCATAAAAAAAACCATGAGTCAACCGAGTCTGTTCCATGTTGTTTTGTACTTACATGGCTCTTTATCCATTTGCCTGTCCACCAAGCTCTGTTGGTTGCATCATGGTGTAGTTCTCGAGTTAAGAATAGACTGACAAATGCCTTGAATATAAAGCGTTGGATAGTAAACACTGAAAGTAAGGCAAGTATTGTTGAACGCATTTCAAATCTTTCCAAGGCCCACAAGACTTCAGAACAAAAGACAAAGCCGAGCAGTGCTAGCGTGTGTGCTAATGTCGACATGTAAAAGCCTGTTCTTTTGAAGCTAGAAAACATGATCGACACTATGTGTATCAAGACCAACATGACTGCATTAAATGCAATAGGTGCAAGAGCGATGAGTAAAACACGCCCCAAGGCACCAAAGGGGCCTAATGATGTGTTAATGGGGCTCTTGAGTGTACCATAGACATTGACTTGTTCACGGCTTTTGAAGAAAGTATAACAGGCAACACACAGGATGGCTTGGAAAAATGGCATCAAGATTTCGGCAAAAAAGATACTGGAGAGCCTTGCTCGCGGTACAGCTACAATTGGCTTATTCTCAAGCATGGTCGAATTCTGTCTTGCTTTCTTCTTATTACCTGTTACTTGTGTACGAATTTGACGACAGAATGAAATCCATGAATGCTCATATGAGCGTGACGAATTACCCCTTGACAACCATCCCAAGAACTCACGGTAGTCGTTGATAAATTCTGTCAAAACAAATTGATGAGGATTAAATACAAACGGTGATATAACCAATGAAGCAACAGTGGCCCAAAAGTAAATAAGATGAGGAATCCAAAGAGCAAGCGAGACAAAGAACAACATAAACATTGTTCTAGCACCAAAATAAATACTGGGATGCGCAAATCTTGAATAGAGAACAGAGAAAGGTAAGCGCGATGTAGCAAAGCCTCGACCAGTGGCAATATAGCGTGCACCACCAAAGCTCAAATTGGACAGTACCGAATTGGCATAAATCTGTGTAACAAAGACTTCAAACAGTGGAGATAAAGACAGGAATTGCTTGATCAATCGCCAAATTGATCGGATTGTACCCTTTTCAGTCAATTCTTGTAGAAACAGTGGTAAGAATGCAATAAAAAAAACCATAAAAATAGACAAAATACATCTTTGTAACCAGTCATAGACAGGTTTGACATCAAAACAGTTATCGCCTTTGCAATGAGGTAAGCCCGCGGCCATTGTACCCACAAAAGTCATGCAAAACAGGAAGACTTGTACAGCAAAAATGATCATAATGTTGTTCATATGGAAACCGGGATGTGCATAGTAGAACGTCAAGAATCGATCCAAAGGAAGCTGAGTACCCAAATAATAGTATTCTCGAGAAAGCAACTGTTCACCCATCCCTGTACCAATCTTGGTTGTAAAGTTAAGAATAGAACAAAAACCTAGATCACGACCTTTTCCACACTGTAGATATTCTGTGTGTTTGATTCGACCACCTCTTACTAGTGCATTCATGCCCGCATAAATATCTTCGTTCAAATGAAGACCTCGTTGAGCCTTACTTACGCCACCACGGGTTGTCATAAATACTGCATTCAAAAAGTCAGGATGACCATAATGCAAGCGACCACCAGTTTTAGCCATGATACGCTGAGTCAAAGTACCAAACGTTTGTTCCTTTCCTGCTGCTACATCGCCAAGCATACCAACATTTTCTGAAAAAATATATTCTCGGGCACCCACAATTGCTACAGGCGATCTTTGTTTTGAGGCCGATGGGTTAGTATTCTCAGAAGGTGATGTGCTGTGTAATGCATAGACCTGGTCAAGTTGTAATTGATCTTTTTCTTGTTCAAATTCACCAAAGATACTACGAATTTTCAAGCATTCTTCCAGATAATTGTCTTGATTTGCATCCACCAGCTGCAAGTATTCACCCCGATAAAAGATCAACGCATGATTCTGATTATCAGACTTGCCATCACCTAAGATTGGGTTTCCAGGCAATCGGATACGGTATTTTGGAGCACGCTTATTGTTAGGCAAAAGTTCACATTGGCCATCAATCAAAACTGAATAATAAAAGGTCTGATCTGATTCTTGATCTCGCTCTTCTTCAATATAAGCAATCTGAAGATGCGGGTATTCGGTCAATAGGTATTCACAATTAGCAGCCTCTTCAGCGTTAAACTTTGCATAGCGTTGCATAGCTACCAAGAATCGAAACTTTTGATGAGCCATGGCGTCCAACAAGGTCTCTGTCTCCTTCTTCTTATCAGCAAGTGAGCCACCAAATGTTTCAATATCGCTTTCAATGTCAACACCAACACGACTACTACTCCCCGATTGAGATGCTGTGGTGGATGCAACTGGATCATTTAAATCAGGGTTTTCGATTCGATATAGAATTTTTAATGCGCGAGCATAGTTCATAAATCCATTTATGGTACGGTACAATGTTTGGGCGCGAAGAGAAGCCCAAACACGGGTCCTGAGCGTATATTCAGGGGCTGAAGATTTAAAGCCAATGCAATAGAATGGTAAATCGTCTTTCTCAGAAGGTTTAGAAGGAATTTCATTTTCTTCAGCAATAAACATGGTATCCTTGACAAAGTTGTTCCATTCAGCAGGGTGTAGACGCTTCAAATATTCCAATAATGTGACACGGGTTGTTGAGTCTTCTTCTCGAATGATTTCTCGTAACGAAAGTAGCATTTTTTCTGCATAGTGAGGTGTAAATACAGTAAATGTAGGCATGTTTTGAACTGATGATGGTGAAGGAATTTGTGTGGATAGACTTTGGGCAAAAAAGGACAATCTTCTTTCGGCTTCAGAATGAGGAGGGAAATAGTCGGTCATTTTAAACGAGGATGGATCAAAAATAGGTGGGGCTTGAAGTTCACGCTTGACTTCTCCATCCACGTTTGCTTCGTCTTCTTCCACTTGAACTTGATAAAGTAACGATTGTAAATTATTGACGGATAGCAAGTGGTCTCGATACATGGAGATGATAATGGCATTCCACATTTGAGAGCAGGCCATGCGACGTAACCGGATAGAGACAAATTCTTTGGTGGCTGTGATTTTGGCAAACATATTACGAGGTACTTGAGCAAACAGTTGTTTCCACGACGTCATGACAGAAATACCAAGTTGTATTGACTGAGATACTGAAAAGACAGTATTCCAGATCACATACCATAAATAAGTATCCAAAAAGAACAAGACCAGCTCAACTGAAAACATCAATACAGTGGTAATGATAGGCATTGCAGTACACAGCCATCTTCCTAATAAGGGATCAGTACCACAGTTGTTTAGATGCATCAATGTAGTAACTGAAAGAGCATCACGAAACGAAAGTGCTAAGAAAAAGTAGGTTTCAAGAAACTTGCAGCTGAATACACAGATCCACATCATGACAGATAAGAACCGATCGTCATTCATCAATTCCGGAAAACTTGATGTGAATGTCTTGCAGGACAAATGACGACTTGAATTTTGTCGATGAAACAGACTTGAAGATGGGACAATGGCCAAGACAATAGAAACAATAGCACCAATACCGAGTTGACAACTAGACAAGACGAGTGCGAATGTACTCTTTTGATCATGCTTGATAATATAAAAAGAGCAGGCTACATGGCAAAGACCCAAACAAAAGAGTATCATGAGTCTTGTAGTCAAGATACGGCTGGTATGGAATGTCAGCTTCAAGTACTTGAATTCAGCTAGAGTTGCCAATGCCATCAATAGAATGGCTACGAGTCCACCTAATCCTACCACGGATAACTTGACTGGTAAATCAATAGTTTTACTTTGAGTCCCTGTAGTTCTGTTCTTTCTATCCAAATAAATAAAGTCTACACTTGCTGCCATGTAATACCAGAACGAGGCTGTATGAATGATCCAAACTCTTGAGAAATTAGTCAGCAAATGAAACCATGACCGAGTCTCATAAAATGTCTTGTCAAAAGCAGAATCCCAATCCACATGTCCCAATGCTAAATAACGTTGTTCTTTAGGAATGTCTTTTAGATATTGAACTGGTGCATTGTCAATTGATTTGAGCCGAAGTTTAGCAATAGATCGTTTGTCCCAGAATAACTGATTGATATCATCATAGCCCACAATAAGATTATGGTCTTTTTCTCGACGCACATAGTGGTCTTTGATGACTTGGTAGCACTGGTCACGCATATAGGTATAGAGAGGAGAAACAACTGTATCTAAAAAGGATCCAGCAACTACTCCAGGTTCATTCATGCTTTCTCTATATCCTTCAGCTGTATAAAACAAAAAGCATAAAAGCTCAGGTGTATATCGAAGTATGGCTGCTTCACCCCAAATCAAGAGATAAAGCGCAAGTTGTGCAATACGATCAATATCTGACATAGACTCCATACGTTCTCTCCATTCTCTTTTAGCTTCTTCTAATAATAGACCTGTAGGTGAACGGCGAGGTGTGTGACGATCATCAAGATCAAGGTGAGCGGCAAAGTACCATTTTCTATAGTTGGCATGTTCACCACCAATGTAGTCTGCATGAAGTGTCCACAAAGCCAATCTGGGTGACATGCGCGATGACCTTGAGTCTAGCATGGTTAATAGATGATCATACATGTTGCGTGTATTGTCATGCTGGAAGCCATATTTTCTCTCATAATTCAAAAAAATAGCACTTATTTCATCGAATGTTAAAGGTGCATCTTGTGTATCCCAATTTGGATAGCTGCTCCTTTTAGGTTTGTTGGCAAGTGTGGAATTGCTGAAAGATTGGGTTGCTGAATCTAAATGATTTGTTCTTAATGCTGTGTAGATGGCGTAGGATGATGGGAGATCATTGTCGCTGTATGGAGTATAATTTTCTATCGGAACCGGAATAGGTACTGAGCAATAAGAGATCATTAGTGATTGTGCAAGATAAATGCACGTTCATACCATTATTATCTGATTGATTTTTATCGTTGTTATTGGTATGATGATGATTCTCAGAGCTAATTTTTGTCATAAATATCACGCAATTCAGTTATCAGGAGTAAACTTACAGTGGTTGTTTGGAGGACATTATTTTTTCATATGTGTCAATGACAAAGAAGAAGAAGAGAAAAACGAGAGAAAGAGAAAGAAAAGAAAAAGAAATTATACAAAAGCGACAAGATATAAAAAGTTCCGTAGAAGCAAAATAAACGATAGGGGATTCTGTTTATTAATTAATTTACTCGAAAATAACACACGTACGCACACTCACATATATATGTACCAAAGATCATACATAGATTGACCCAAGAAATATGACATTGCACATATAAAAGAAAAAATAAAAAAGAATTTAGGGCACAACAAGAAACAAAAGATTTAAAATTTATTCTGTTTCTATGTGTAGTAATATCATCAAGGGCAAGAAACAAATCAATCTTGTTATTCTATTAAGCTGGTATTATTCAGTTCATAAAAGAAATGTACCATCATACAACATTCCAATCAACAAATCCAAGAATTCATTTCTTCCAATCAGAAGCCAGTATTCATCCTCATCAGGAGAGAAGGGGAGGAACTTTTTTTATGGTTGACTGTAAGGGCCTTAAGATTGAAAAAACAACAAAGAAAAGGGGGAAGCTTTAATTTAGAATATTCAAAAAAAATATGCATTAAATGCAATTCTGCCATTATACGAAATGTGTCAAAGACTACAACTGATCATTTCTTGTGCAACTACCTCTCTTTCAATTGACAATGAGATCTTTGTTTACACAAACAAATGTATAAAAATAGGAAGGTTTTTTTTAGACCTGATTCTTGTCATAAACAAACTCTTTTTGTGCTCAAAAGGATAAAAACAATGCTTTATTCATGGGTAGCTTCAATTGTCTGCATCTAAACAGAAACAGTGCTTCTAAATCCTTTTTTTAACTTACACAATTCAACAGATTGTTAATTGAGATTTTCTTTCTAGTAGTATGAAGCATGAATAATATTGATGTTGCCACCACCATGATAAGAAGGCATCCACAGAAACTAATATACTTACACGCAACATAACACTCTACCTTAGAGAACGAAGGATGAAATGTGCTCATTGTTCCTTAGAAACGCCAATTATCACAATTAAAAAAGAAAAGATTATGCTATAATCATAACTAGATTTAATAATACTGTTTGGAATCTACAAGCTATATTGCCAGATCTAGGTACAACTGAAGTAATTGAAAGCTTTTTACAGAGAATAGGATACGGTAATGATTGAACTAAGAAATCTGAACGAAAAAAAAAAGTGCAAGAATGGGGTCTTTCTGACAAGTATAGAACTGTAGATGTATAGATAAAGTTGAGATGGATACAAACAAATAAGAATCTGAATGCGAATAGCAATATACAAAGCAAATATGTCTTCTAGAAAAGAATCAGCCAAAACAAAAATCTTTAGATGAAAATTACGCATATTTGTTTCGAAATTCAAGAATATACAAATTTTAGTGGATATAATAGTCAAAAAGGAGATACATACAAAAGGGGTATAAAGATAAAAAGAGGCGTTCTTCGTGAGATGTATGCAGAATAAAGCCTTTGTCTTTTTCAGGACAAGGTGTCATTGATTCTGTCAATTCATGCCACTGTACCTTTTTATCAATGAGACTTATTCAATTATACGCCTGTCCTTTTATGATCCGATACTGCCCCTTTCATTAATGCCTCAGTTGTAACTAGATCAAATAATAACTTGGATTTAGTGATGCTGCTTGAGCCCGACTGGTTATATTACTCGATTCGAGTACAATCACACTTTATTGATTCGGTAAATAACGCAAGTATCTGAACAGAATTCACGCCAAAAATACACGTCAAGATAGCTTAGAGAAAAAGAAAGCTATTACAATAAATCTACCAAAAAGAAAAGAGCTTTCTTCAATCAAGTCCATCTAATGATCATTTTTTTAAAGAAAAATCAAATGATGAAAAACTGTTTACAAATCCCATCATTTGAAACTAACAGTTGCCTTTCTAATTTTATATTTAAGGTTATTTCTAATAATAACAGGCCTTCTTAAATTATACCATAGTGTGAACAAAGTGATCAAACGCTTTCATCAAAGTATTGAACACTATACTATCAAAGTAAATGATGTGTTACAAGCAATAATAATTGACTGAGACAGCAAAATAAAATAGACTATGGCTAGCAATACTAGATTTGGCATTCTCGGAACTTCTTTTAGCGCTTTATGAAAAGTTTTTTCTTTTTTTCTTTATGCAAGTCAAGTCGATCTCTAAGCGAAATTATTTTTATTTTCCCAATCGAAAATACGGAATCTTAATGTGTGTTTCACTCTCCTCTTTACACTTCTCTTATCAAGTCTGACATATAATATACAGACACCAATGCTAAACTGCCTGCATTTATTAACAGAAGACATTCTGTCTTTCACTGCATAAAAAGCATTTTCTGTCATTATGGATTTACACAATCTTAAAGAGAAATCTCAATGTTGCACAAGAAATTGTACTAGGATCTATTTTTACACGTGTTTTCTTTCTCTTTTTTACACTCGGGGCAATCAGCATTTTCAGTCTCTTGAAATAACAGAAAAGAGAGCCTATACACCACCAAAGGAGCACGATACAAGATAATTATAATTGCAAGGTAGAATTGATTTCTAAAGTAAGAAAAAGTAAAGGGATTGCTTTAGTATAAACTTGTCGCCTTATTAAGCAAAACCTCCCCATAGGCCCCCCCTCCTTTCAATTAAATCAAATCAATAAAGTTACCATATTTATATCACTTGTAAAAAAAAACTTTTTTCTTTTCTTTTCTTCTCTTTATCTTTCTTTTCTCTAATTCAAAAATGAAGTTTTCTGCTGCTGCTCTCCTTTCTCTTGCTGTCTCCACTGTCTACGCTCAAGTCCAAAATGCTGGTATTGCTGTTAACTTGCCTTCTCTCGGTGTAAGTTGTAATGGCCCGAGATATGGATATGTATTAACCTTTCTTTTTCAATAGCAAGTCCTTAATGCCGGTACCTCTTTCACTATTACCTGGTAAGAATCAAAAGCAGGCTCAATTGTAATTTGATTGTACTAACCCGTAAAACAGGACTGTTGCTACTACTGGTACTCCTTCTTCCAGCATCAACTCCATTGCCTTGATGAAGGGCGGTTCTGCCAACTTGGAGACTGTTACTCCCAACATCCTTTCTGCTGCCATTCCTGTTAACCCCTCTTCTTACACCTGGAACATCCCCTCTAACATTGAAACTAATCCTTCATGTAAGTTACCCGAGAAAAAAAAAAGTAACATGAAATTTATTTATTTTTTCAAATTTAGATGTTCTTGCTTTAGCTGGCAACAATGGTGCTACCACTTACTCTACTTACTTTACTATCATGGGTGCTGCTGCTGGTAGCACTAACTCTAGCGCTGCTACTACCTCTGGTAATGTTTCCGCTGCTTCAGCCTCTGGTGGTGCTTCTGCCTCTGGTGGTGCAACCAAGGCCAGTGGCTCTGTTTCTGCTGCTTCTCCTTCTTCTACCAGTGCTGCTTCTAACCTTAAGGCTGGTTTGGCTGGTGTTGCTGGTGTTGCTGGCGCCGTTGCTCTTTTACTTTAAATTGATTTTACTTGAGGAAAGCTATTCCCCCATTTTTTTCTATTAATTCTGTAAAAGTCTTTCCATGTATTACACATATACTCTCTTATAATAGATGATAACTATCATTCATATTTCTATACACTTTATTTTTACTAATTAAAATCATATTATTCTGTCAATGGAGACGAGAAAGAAAGGAGGGGAATCGTTACACCTAAAACAATGAATTCAATTATTTGTGCATTCTTTGACAAATTATCATATAAAGAAATCAAAATGCTATGTAATGCAGGTTATCTTGACACCTTAAAGAAGGAGGGAATACATATTGGACAAAAGAACATGATCTGTATTCTAGCTTATAACAAACAACTTGAGAAGATCAATAAGGAAACTATATTGCTAGAGTTAAAGTATAATAAGGTGCATTTCTACTCTTATCTGTAATTCAGATCGATAAATTGTAACAAGCAATGCATTTTTTCTTTTTCTTCTTTTCCCTACCCAAGAATTACCTTTAATTATGCTCATAATGAATGTTAGTTAAGATAAGTGTGCGCGCTTTGGCATGCTTAGCTTTAGAATAGACTTTATAGATTCTACTTGATATTGAAACGAAGGGAGAAGCAGTGCTGAATTATTCACTCAGATGAAGACTATATTATAAATGTTATTTTGTCTTATATCTCACGTACGACTATTCATAATGTTTCTCGTATGCAATACATTATAGTATTAATGCTTGCATAAACATGATATATCTATCTAAGAAAGCAACAAATAATCCTTTAGTATTTTCAATCACCGTAAGAACACTGCTCGTCTCTCTCTCTCTCTCTCTCTTTTTTTTTTTCTTTTTTTTTTTTTAATTTACCTACACAATGAATAGACTTTTTGGCTCTGGAAAGAAAGTACCTAAACCTACACTCAACGATGCTATTGCTAATGTAAGCTGTATTGGTTATAACATTCTATTCACATTAAAATTAGACTGATGTTCGAGTGGATGCTGTTGAAGTCAAGATAAAAAAGTTGGACGCCGAGCTCACAAGGTATCGAGATCAACTCAAGAAGATGAGGGAAGGACCTGCCAAGGTATGATAAACATATACAACAAAATTATTCATGGTAATAGAAAAATGTACAACAAAAAGCATTACGCGTATTAAAACAAAAGAAACTGTAAGTCCATTCCTAACCGAAAAACAGCCCATCTGAAACAAACATGCTTCTAGTTATGAAGCCCAAAGAGATAACTTGCAACAACAATCATTCAATATGGAACAAGCTCAAATGACAACAGAAAACCTGCGTAATGTCATGGCTACGGTAGATGCTATGCAAGTTGCAAACAAAGAAATGAAGAAGCAATACAAGAATGTCAATCTAGACAAAATTGATGTAGGTATCTGTTTGATGTATATGGTTTATATTGATATGGTTGATAGCAATTGCAAGATGAAATGGAAGACTTGATGGAACAAGCGAATGAAGTCCAAGAGACATTAGGTAGATCTTATAACTTGCCTGATGATATTGATGAAGATGATCTCGAAGCAGGTAAGCATCCTTGTTTTTTTTTATAAAAAAAAAGGTGCTCAAAAAGAGGTAGAATTGGATGCACTTGGCGATGAATTGGAGTTTGAGGAAGAAGATGTACCCTCTTATTTACAAGAAGATGATATTGAACTTCCAAAAACATCAGAAACAGACCCTTCAAAAGCAGTAAGTATAAAATACCTTTGTCTTTATGTACTCATTTATTAGCAACATGATGTTAAATTGGATGAGTTTGGTTTACCTGTGGCTGCCGAAGCTCCCATGAAAGCATAATAAAACTGCCCTTATTCCCTTTTGTTTATTCGTGATAAATACACTCTATTTATATGCCCAATTAAACCATTTTTTCCCTTTTGTATTCTTGTTATCTTAAGCATGTCTCAACCCAATAACCAATCGGTAAAGTAAACTTGTAAAAGAGATGTCAAGCTAAATAAGTGATCAGTTCAATGATTCCGAACTGTCAAATGGGTTTCATCTCTTGACAGAGTCTTCAGATACTGTCAAAGTCAACACGCCTTCAGTTCCTCTTGGCGAAGCTCATTTATACCCACGCTTAGCAGGATCCAACTGGACAAGTTATCTCAGTCAACCCAATATTGTGCTCGGTCGATCTGTATCTCAACCCACTTCTAAAAGAAAAGGCAAAGATGTCGACGTAGATTTCGGCTCTTCCAAAGCTATCTCAAGAAGACACTGTGAGATTCGGTTCAGTACGCGAAGGGATCGATGGGAGCTGTATGTCTACAGTCGTAATGGTGTCAAGATAAACCACTTGATCAAGAAGCCTCGCGATAAACCAGCTGTGCTCAAGACAGGCGATTTAATCGAAATCAATAATACAAGCTTTGTGTTTATTTTGCCTACCAGTTTTATTAAGCCAAGATATCCAAGCCAAGTGATCATGTCTGAAGGGAATACGGACTCCAATGTGGATCAAGAGCTGGAAACAGCCGTAGTTCAGTTATTGGAGAAAAACAATTGTCTAAATACAGTTGATATTGTGGATCAATTAAAATCAACAACAAACAAGACATTGAATAAAGTAAAAAGCGATTCTAAAGAAAAACAAAAGACGTGATAACACAACTAGATAGGATGCAATTCTTCAATTACTGGTAATGAGTAATAAGTTTCATTTGGCTCCAAATTCAGTGTCTATGACTTCAAAGGAATCCGATGCTGCCAAATGGATGCTGATGTCTGAACCAGAGCCTGATTTACCTGCTATTCCTGAAGCAAAAAAGGACTTTGTGTTGCCCTTATTTGAAGACGATGAGGATTGGTCCGTACTTGTGCCTGATTCGCCTACAGAAGAAGAAGACCAAACAGACACACAAGGGAGTCGTAAACCACCTACTTTGTTTCGAGGGTTGTCTATAGAGTCTATTTATACTGTATGGAATGCATCTTTTCACCAAGAAGAAGAAGAGGAAGAAGTAGAAGAAACAAAAAGACCTTCAAAACGATTAAGGCATACTGATAGTCATGAATCTGTCATAAGTCAAGCAGAGAATGAAGGTAATAGACATAGTTAACTTAAAGCTTATACCTCATTTGATAGACATTTTCAAACAAGTACGTACCAAGATCATTGCTTAAGTGAAGTATAGTTTATTCTGTCTTGAGTGTCTTTACAAGATACTTTTTAACAAAAAAGACAGAAATAAAGCTAGTGATCAACCATAATAAGCCTATTACGAATTCGACTATTTGATGTGTATGTGAGGTAGTCAAAAAGATACGCATGGAAGGATTATCCCAACTATAGACACATAAGTACCATTATCTATACTATCTCCCTCTTACGTGCTCTCTGTCCATGTAGCTTTGGTTGTGTCTATCACTTTGACTTGACCAGTAGATTCTTCATACTGTAATCCTGTACCATAAGCTTCATGATAAGTAGTGAGTGAAGCAACACATTGTTGTTTGATACAGACTTGACTAGAATCACAATCACGAATTGTTTTGCATAGGGTGTTGTTCATACTCTTTTTACCATGAATACCACTCAAATAGCTGAAAGCAAATTTAGCAATCAATTGTACCTGAGGATTTTCAAATGAAAGTACAGATACATAATGTGGTATTCGACTGACATTGGTAACTATATTATACATTAGTCTGTATTCTATCCACTCAATAGGTACCATTAAAATAGTCTTGCATGAAGGCACAAGAAAAGTTAGATATTAAGCAATCCAGTATAGAAGAAATCAGTGTACAATCTGCAGTCAAAGTAGCAGTTGTATTGGATGCTTCTGCATAAATGACATTAGCTGTTGAATTTACCAGTCCACATATGGCATGAGTTGCTTGTTCTATATCCAGAGTATCATCAAGATCACTGTGATAAAGACTATACTTGATTAACAGATATATCTTTCAAACTATATTTTACCTTCCAAGCTGACTTTGATAGTCTGTAATCACAGCAGCCTGAATATCGCTTCTTTTCTGCAAAAAACTCATGGCACTACTAGGAGGCAATGGACGCTTTATGCCATCAGATGAAGCTGGTTTAATATTGTCATAGGCATCCAATGCTTCCACCAAAGATGAACTCTGATCACTATTGGCATGGACATAGTAGCCACCTGTATAGTTTGAATTGATACCAGAAACTGATTGGAATTCAAATATGGATTGAATTTGATTGATATTGATATTCGTAAAGTGTAAGTTACGTACACAAGGAAAAGTACATGGTGTGTTTGAATAAGGACAGGTATAGGCTCGAGTGGCGTTGGTGCATACAAAAGGGGAAGAAATATCATTCACAAATCGTTGTGAACCTGCGAATCCCCATGGCTCTGCTGCAAATAAAGTGAAAAGGATATGCTTAGGTAATGTGTCCAATGCTACGGGTGCCTATGTACATACTGTGAGTGTGTGTATATATATGTTTCTATGGATTTACTCTGCTGAGTGCTTCTGCAATTGCTAATACTGTGACTAGACCAGATACATGTTCTGATGCACCCACAGTTAGATCATGAAACAAAGACCGACTATCTAGATTAGCAGAGACAACAATAATAGGCTTATTATCGTCTGCCTTGATATCTAAAGAAGGTGTAGAATAGACAGAGAATCCACCTACTGCTTGACACCAACCTCTTCTTAAGCATGTCTCTGAATTGACTGCAGCCCACATTAACAAATCAAAATCCATGGCCTTTAAGGGATAATGTATAAACTGTCTTTCTCTATTATAAGCTAAGCTCTAAACAGAGATCAATGTATACCCATAGTACAATTGTCTTACATTCTCAATATGTTCATACGCTTGTTGAGAGATATCATCTTCAGGCCGAATAGCAAAAATAGGGAAATCAAATGTCTGATCTATCAAATCCTGTGCTTCAGGATTCCATTGATAGGACCCAGATGAACATTGAGGACAGGTTGAGTCAGGCGAAAAAGACGTTTGATTGGGCAGTAACAAGGCAATAAGACCAGAGACTTGAGCAGTTGAAGATAGTGACTCAATATTGACTTTTGAAAGCAATGGATACGGTATCACAATAGCATAATCATCGCCTGAGGGTGCTTGATTCACGAAATCGTCTATGGCTTGTTGCGTGGTTGTTTCAAACAAGATGCCGCTCTTTTTATGGAGTGCTATGCCATCATGAGATCAAGACTTGAAGCATGATCTTACCTTGACATCCAATTGTGCCTGACGCGTTTAATAGGCGTACACATGGCCAGTTGTTAAGATTAGTATAGATGTAAGGATAAAGTGTAGTGGCAATATCATCTGCTTGAACTAGTATCGATAAGAACAGCAGTAGCAGATAAAGTAATTGCATAGTAAATCACACAGAAAAAGAAAGAGATAAAATTTTATTCCAGAGATGCTAATGTTTGCAACACTTGTATAATTTGTTGAGGCGTATTGACATGCCAATTCGCATGCGTCTTCTTTTCAGAAGGGCCTACTGTGATAGAATACAAATTTGAATTGAGTTCTTGCCAAATAATAGGTGGTGAAGTTGTAGCTGGACTTGTAGGCAAGGATACCTTGAGTGCAGAAGGAGAACCCAATTGCTTTTGTTGATAATGAGCAGCACTAAGAGCACGGAACATATCTTCGTCTGTCTTGTCATCACCAGCACAGATCACTAGATTAGTGTCTGAATTCTTGGCCAAGATACGCTTCACAATCTCTCCTTTATTGACTGACATAGGCCTAATTTCCAAGTTCTTTTTGCCCACAAGGATTTCTACAGGAAATTTGGATACGATGGCATGCTCTAAATGGTTTTGACACTCTTTTGCTTGGAAAGCACTAGTTTATCATTAGTTTTCTGGGGTCTAAACAACAAGGTGCTTACCCATATTCTACATCTGCTAATCTGTAATGCCAAGTAATAGAGGATTTCTTTTGTTCTACAAAACTTCCTTGTGTTCTTTCGGTATAATAATCAAATATCTCTAATACATCTGCTTTCCAGCTCATATCAATACCCTCCACAACACTTGTCCATTCATCTGAACCAATATTCTTGACAAAGCAACCATGTTCAGCACTAAAACCAATGTTCTTGACACCACCTAACCATTCATCCAGCACAACTTGATCTCTACCAGACACAACCCATACACTATTCTTGGGATCATCACATAATGTCTGTAAAGCTTTCAACATATCAGGCGAAGGTCTAGCATCAGAAGGTACAGACACAATAGGAGTCAATGTTCCCTAACCCCCCATACACATCAATCTTGGGTAAATCTTCGTTTCACTTACATCATAGTCAAAGAACATGATACGTTTGTTTGCAGAAGTGTAGTCCCGAACAAGTCTTTGAATATCCAAGTTGGGTGTAGAATGCGACTGAAAGTCTTGCTGTTGACTCACACTTACAAGTTGCTTGATAAAAGAATGTGCCCAAAAGTCAGCCGTATGATTCGTGACATGGTGGTATAATTTCTAATGACAGGTCAGTCACCCCCTTGGTCGATAGCCTTTACTTACTTCATGGCGTGTTGATTTTTCTTCCATAGACATAGTTAAAGCTTCTTGAATAGACCTGGAAACACCTGCATAGTCATACGGATTGACCAACATGGCAGCACCCAACGAACCTGCTGTGCCTGCAAATTCAGACAAGATCAACTGACCTGGTTCTGCTTTTGCATGCTGACACAAAATATATTCATAAGAAGTGGTGTTCATGCCATCACGACTACAGGTGATCAAAGCCAGATCAGCGACAGACAACAAGGCATAATATTCATCACGGTCAATATCTTGATGATAATAATGCACCGGAAAGAACTCAATCGAACCAAACTGACTGTTGATATGGCTCACGACTTCAGAAATCTTGGCTTCTAGTTTTGAATGATCACCAAAAGTAGGTGTGGCTACTTGGATTAAAACGATTTTGTTTCGCCATTCAGGATAGGACTTTAAGAAGGCTTCAAAGGCATAGAGCTTTTGCAAGATTCCCTTAGTACTGTCGAGTTTATCGCGACCTACAATGATTTTTTTACCCGCGTACATGTCACGGATGGCATTCATCTTAAGTTCAACGCCTGGTTGACGTGCGAATTGATTGACACGCTGGCAATCAATACCGATAGGAAATGCACCCACAGAAACTAACGTGCCATTATGATTTACTCCTACTTGTGTGGTTTCACAACCAAGGACGCGAGTACATGAAGAAATAAAATGTCTTGCATAAGAATAGGTCTAAATAAATGTTGGCATGATAAATGCAAAAGCTAAAAACTTGCCTGAAATCCAATGAGATTGGCACCAAGCATGCCCTGCAAGACTTCATTTCGAGCTAAATTTAAGATAAGTAAAACACAGATAGATTGGTATATACTTTACTTTGCAAACAACGAAATATCTCGGAACTAGGGAAAGTAGCATGAATAAAGATTCCAATAGCAGCATCAGGAAGTTCTTCTCGGATCATTTGAGGTACCAATAACAAATGATAATCATTGATAAAAACTACATGTATAAGAAATAGACACAATGTATATTACTTACTGATATCGTTGGGTTGATAATGATCAATCACTGTATCTGCAAATCTTCGGTTGACTGCCACATAATCATCCCAATACCGTTTTTCTGCGCGACTATCCCTGGTAGAAGATGTCTGTACAAGATAATGAAACACTGGCCAAAGCACTGTATCACTCTGAAATTAAAATTCAGCTATAGAAATATATCACATATACCTTCTTTGCAATATCCCTCATAATGGCCTTGCGACTCTTTTTCCAGAAACACGGGAACAATGTGTCCAGTCTCCCATAAAAGGGACTTTAACTTGATCTTATCTTGTGCATCGGGTACAATCTTGTTACGTGTGCCTTGTTCACGCATAGGCCCTGTCCAACCAATATGCAATGTTGAGTGATCTTTACGAAGGCTTTGAAGACCAGCATACAGCGCTTGATGACCTCTTCTCTCGACCACAGTCCAATCAGCCGCATGAAACTTCATACGCAATGTAACACCTCGCTTATGATGGCGAGCTAGTTTGGAGATAGGTGCCGCCTCAACAGGATCCACTGCTTCTTCGTGGACACTCGATTTGGGTGATTTTGGAGGAGAAGGTGGTCTTACTGGTGAGCGCAAAATGTTGTAAGGGATTTGATGGGTGACATTGATGATGCGTCCTTGAATATCGGGATGTTGTCCAGACAAAGGTAAATAATGGGCTACCTTTTCAGCCGTAAGTGTAGAAGACATGACTCGAAAGAAACAAATAGAAAAAAAAAGGGGGTATATCAAATGCATGACGGTTATTTAAAACAATCGATATTCCTGCAGGTGACTTTTGTTCAACTGGATTGCTTCGGTAAAGTATCGATTTACTATCACGTTCAAGGCATCTTAAAAAAGGGTAATCTTGACTTGATCTTTTCCGCTTTTGATGAATGCGTGACCTTAAATCTCCAGGATCCTTTATCATGAGATGTGTACATTGTAAACAAACAGAACTTTAGGTATTAAATTTGGAGATTTCGGAAACCTTAATTGTACAATTGAGAAGCATGATGTGTTGTAAGCGCAGACATATGTATACATATAGGTATATGTATGCCAATAGATTGTATAATTCCACTTTCTCAACACGGATACTCATGACATATAATGGTTACACGCGTAAAGAATGAAACAAAACTTGGTTCCTGACCGTGTTACGGGAAAAGGGGAGCCCTTGTTCATCTCAATCAAGTGACGATATGCCTTTTCCAATCGATAACACTTGCTAAATGCCTCAATCTACAGTTCTGGTACCATGCTCTAGATACATGAAGAGTCATTGGCTATTTCGCTTAGGTAATTGTTTAAGAAAATGTCTCGTTGGGGTGATGGTTTCTTTAAAGATCAAAATGCGCAAAAAAAAAAGAAACAAGCATTGCTCCATTCTATTTTTCTTTTTATTTCATGGTTTTACATAAAAAAAAAAGAGAGTGAAAGCAGTACCAGAATTTAAAAAAAGGATATAAATGTCAATGGATATGATAATCAAAGAAGAATTGCTGATCAAGAAAATAGTACAACAAACATGTAAGAAAAAAGATGTGTTCCTAATGAGGTATATAATCTGGCACTTCAAGTACCAATCTCAGTCATATCAGTACAATGTTGCTAAAGCTGTACCCGGATCAAGTAATCAATCTGGATTTGGTTTGAACCCAAGTATACTATCAGATCTAAGTACTACTGCAATTACATTTATAATAATAAAAAGGACATTTAAAGTAGCTCCACACCCAAAGTTCGCTTTTCAGCAAACTAAATTCTGTGGCCGAGCTGAATGAATCCGTCAGAATCTCAAACTCCGAGCAAAACATTAAGAGATGACAATGAACAAACCCAATTGGAAACCATTAGGGAGTGTAGTGAGCCTTGCTTGGTACACATGCCCACAACGTCTCATATAAATATCAAGTCTTAACAAATCGAATAAATAGCAATCTTTATCTCATATAAATATTCCATCCCCATATATATTTGTAACGTTGTTAGTAATTAAACTTATGGTCAAGAACATTTATACATAAGTTTGATTCAGTCACAAAGACCATCCTTTTTCTGGTTCATAAGAAACTTGTAGTAGCTGTAAACATATCATAAACAGAAATGATAATAGAAGAACAACTGTACTTTTAAAAAGATTTTTTATTATATAGTTGAGCGTATTTAATCACTGATTCTTACGTCTTTTGTGAGTCATATATACAAAAAATTTGTTTTGTTGGGTCGCAAAGCATCACTGCCTTCATTAAGTCATGCAAGAGGCATCCTATTATTTGAAACAAATGCACTTCCGCTAGCAAAAAACGTGCACAAAAAGAGAAAGTAAAGTATGCCTGTGGATGTCTAGACTTGTAAAATATCTAGTAGCAATGTTTGCTAACATATGTGGTACTTTTAGAGTCGATTTGGAACAAAAAAAGCGACATGTTGCTGTTGAGGCATGTATTTGCTTGGACTTTTTGCTACATACATTATTTATACATTACCAAGTTATGTATCGATATATAATATCTTATCAAAATGCACTTGACCCACGCTAAACAAAAGGATCTTTGCTTATAAAAAAAAAAAAAAAAAAAAAGCCAAAATGTTGGTAAATTATACGACCAGCTATTTCGGTTCAAATTTCTAATAGAGATTGCTTATGCTTTCATGTTAGGTATCTCATAAGCTGTTTTTCTTTTACTCATCGTTTAGTTTTAAGGAATATACACATACTCTTTGAAGGATCAAGCAACTCACTGAATAAATTGGAGTACTTTAGATAGAGATTGATGAATTTTTACTTTGCTTGAACCTCATGAGGATGCATATTACATCTTTTCAAATACAGAACACCAATTATTTTCTTAGCTGAGTTCAATCCGGACTTTGTATATCAAGTCTGCAAGGAAGACGTATTCTTTTTTTTTTTTTTTTTCTTTTTTCTTTTTTCTTTTTTCTTCTCTAGAAGGCAAGGTGATTCTTGTTATTGCACGTTCTGGTGTCTTTGCTTGGGTGCAGGCTTATGTGTAGGGCTATGGGTGCCTACCGGTTCTACGCGCTTGTTACCATCTCGTTCTTTTGGGAAGTGGTATGGAAGAGATGGCACTGTCAACCAGAATGTGAGGTATCCGTAAGGATGCTAACGAGGTGTGAGCGATCCTTCGACAAGTTGTCTTTATGGCACTAGGCAGGTTTCGACGTGGATTGAAATAAAATAAAACGAAGTTGCGTGGGAAAGGCACTTCCACTTTTATGTTTGCATAACGCGCACTTCTATCCTGTATCACTAGTCGAATTAACCCCTTAGGGCCTTCGCATCTGCTAGGTATGGTCTTCCCTCGGTTTATCTCTTTGGGAGCTTTGTCTCTCAGGGTGGTTTATCTTGCTGGGAGTTTCGGCTCTCAGTGAGACGCGTCTCTTAGGGGGATTTATCTTTCTAAGAGAGGTGTCGGGTGGTATCTCGCACCGTAAGATAGAGAAGAGGGTAGATTGAAGTCAACCTCCACGATGGTTACCCTTGGAAACAGTCTTCTTTCTCTGTAATAAGGAGGAGAAGGCTGGCTAATAGACTTCTATTTTATTTTATTTTTTTATTTTATTTTTTTTTGTTGTTGTTGTTATTGTTATGAATGATATAATAAAAGAGAGAAATTAATTATCGATTTACATGCTTCTTGTCCTCGGTGAAAGAAAGAGAGAGAGAGAGAGAGAGAGACGTGGGTGCGTTTGGTATGTCAGGAATAGATCTGGTTTAGCTTCAAAATGACCAAAAACTGCATTAGAGGATGGACAATTACTCATGAAAGTATCTTCATTCTCCGACATTTAGAGCTTCTTTTGAGCTTTGCGAGGCGAAGAACGCAGCTATAGACATGACTAAATACTCAGAATGAGCGATAAGAACGGAAGTTTTCTATAGTGATATTTGTTTGTAAATTTCGCCTTAGAAATAATGCACTAGAAACGAAAAACTTTGAAGCCAAAAATTTACTATTGCCCAATATTCTACTGAAAGAATTACTGCAATTTTCTGCACCAATAGATTTTTATAACAAAGACCTACAATTTTCTCCATGACGCCAATGCAAAGTAGCTGCGTCTTTATGCAGTTTCAAACAAATGTTCAATTTCGAATTTATTTGATTACCTTGAATGCAATCTCCGACGATGTTTGGTTTTGTGAGCCTCAATGAGCTATTTTTTGATGTGACATCATCCAATAGCCAAGCAATTAAAGCTAGGTAATTTCGAGAAGATCAAAACGTCAATTCAGTTTGAGTATTGCCTTCAGTTCCGCATTCAAACTTCATTGTACACTATGAATAGTAGAAAAGAAACCCTTTTCAGTCGATATTGATTAGTAAATTAGCTTTCATTCCAGCGCAACGTATACGTAAACAGTTTTTACTACGAAATAGTAAAAAAAAAAAAAAATTATTGAACATATTCTCGAGATAGTTACAGGAACTCAAATTTTTATAAGTTAAAGAACATTCTGGGCAAAACATTTACTCAGCCGAGTTACAATATGGGCTTGGTACCTTTCGTTTAAGTTTAATATATGACACAAAAGAAACAAAAGAGTCACTAAAGACGTATAAAATACTACTCAGCGCTATAATAGCAGCAATGAAAGAGAAGGAGACAACATAGATTTATTAGTTACGAAAAGTGTAGAACTAAAAATAAACATGACATTTATGGTTTGATCTGTCGATCAATCAGATTGCGAAGTCATTAAAACTCCACGAAAATGTCCTGGATTTTTTTTCTCTTTTCATCTTGTTCATCTCGTTTTGAAATGTCTACTGAATCTGTTATTCTCGTTACTGGTGGTACTGGTCTTGTTGGTGAAGCCATCAAGTGGGTTATTGAAAATGAATCCGATCCTCGTTACGGTAAGAAAGATAACGAAAAATGGGTCTTTTTGTCTTCCAAGGACGGTGACTTGAGGTAAGTTTTGTCAGTTTCTCGGGATATCTGAATATAAAAATATTGTCTTTAGAAAAGAAGACCAAGTCAAGGCTATTTTCGAAAAGTATAAGCCTACACATGTCATTCATTTGGCTGCTTTGGTTGGTGGTTTATTCAAAAACATGAAATATAAGCTTGACTTTTTGCGTGATAACATGCTTATTAATGATAATGTCTTGTGGCAATCCAAAGAATACAACGTAAGATCTCTTTTTCTTCTTCTCCTTCGTATTTAAACTGTTTTATAGGTCAAGAAGGTTGTCTCTTGTCTTTCTACCTGTATTTTCCCTGACAAGACTACTTATCCTATTGATGAAACTATGGTTCATAATGGTCCCCCTCATGAATCCAACTTTGGTTACGCTCATGGTAAGCGTATGATTGATGTCTACAACCAGTAAGTTTATTGTTATTTTCAGCCCCGCCAAATGTATTTATACTGTAACCCCTTAGTGCCTACAAGGATCAATTTGGTTGTCATTTCACTTCTGTCATTCCTACCAATATCTTTGGTCCTCATGATAACTATGAACTTGAAGGTTCTCATGTCTTGCCTGGTTTGACTCACAAGTGTTACCTTGCTAAGAGTAAGTGATGCACTCTATGCATTTAAATTGACATGCATTTTGTGTAGAGAACAACACTCCTTTTATTGTCTGGGGTTCTGGTAAGCCTCTTCGTCAATTCATTTATTCTCGTGATTTGGCCAAGCTCTTTATCTGGACTTTGAGAGAATATGAAGAAATTGATCCCATCATCTTGTCTGGTAAGAAAGGAAGAAAAACAAAAAAAAGGGCTCACGCATGCATTTATAGTCGGTGAAGAAGATGAAGTCTCTATTAAGGATGTTGCTGATGGTATTGTCAAGGCCATGGACTTCCAAGGTGAATACTCTGTAAGTGACTGTCTATACATTGAGTTCTGTTTATTGATTATTTTCTTTAGTTCGATTCTACCAAGGCTGATGGTCAATACAAAAAGACCGCTAGTAATGCCAAGTTAATGAAATACATCCCTGACTTTAAGTTCACACCTTTTGATGTTGGTAAGCTACAAAAAAAAAAAAACGGTTTGTAACAAAAACTCAAATACTATTTTCTATAGCTATCAAGGAGTCTGTTGAATGGTTTGTTGAAAACTATGATACCTGTCGCAAGTAGATTTTTATTATTATTATTCAATAAAATGTGTATTTCTAAACATGTTACAAGTATATACATCAGTATTTGATAATAGGTGCATGAACAGAATATTCGCCATTATCAGGAAACAAGGGTTGTTTGGAGTGACTTGTAGAAGGCACACCAGCATGTACAGCATTGTATTTCTTGGTGTTGTGTGAATATCTTGCAAAGAAAGATAGTGCTTGAGCCTTATTGGTCACTCTTAATTCTTTCAAGTGTTCAGCTTGCAAGGAATTTAATAAGGAGAAATTGGTATTTTCCTTATCAACAGGCGTCCAGACAAGATCGGCAGTGGTACCATTCTTGGATGTAGCTAAACGAAAGACACCTTCCATATGAATATTAACTGTCTTCAAGTCATGTAACTTGTTAAGATGCGCTAAACGACTGGCTCTTCTACTTTGACTCTTGTGAGCATCATTTAATTCATAAGCTAAATATTCTTCGTCTTCTGGCTCTTCTGTCTTTTCCTTTTTCACTTTTGTCTTTTGACTGGAGTGTGTCCATAAGGGTTGAATTGCACGTTTGGTAGGTTGAAGCTCGGCATTCTTTTCTGCTACTTGAGCGTATAGAGGTTGATCATGATTGATTTTAGACCAGTCACCATCTTCTTCTAATGTTTGTTCTTCATCAACTTCTTGTATTTCTTTTCGACGAAGGATTTCCCAGTTACCGCCATCAAGGTTGGTATTGTTGGTAGTCAAACCAGGGAATTCAGTGCTGTTATCTAACCATTCTACGTAAAATTCAGTGTTGTTGTTATCGGTTTTGGTTTCAGCAAAGCCTATAGGAAAGTCTTGTTCGAATAAAGGAGACATGATAATAATAAATAAGATAGAGATGTAAAACAAAATAAAATAAAAAATAAGGGCTTTATATATACTAATTGGCCTACTGCGGATGACCGCAGTATCTGCTGATCCCTTTTTCCTTTGTAATTTGCATAAATATACACTTTAAGTCCCGCCGTTCATATGCAGTGATAAGCTGAAGTTATCGCTGCGGTACTGTTACACTATTTCCCGAAAATACTAACATACTTGTTAAATTTAAGGAGGTTATTTATTGCGATAAGCTTCGCATTTTACGCAGAGCATTGGTAGAGCCCTTCTAAATTGAAGAGTATATCAATTCAAGCGCCTGATATTCTACTTGTGAGAATGTCATATTTTTAATTCTTGAGCTAGGTCAGCTTTTGTCATATAGTGTTTTTGAAGCACCAGAAAAACCCTTGAAGTGATCATAGCCATATTTGCCATTTTCTTTGGGTATATACGAGCCTGAAGTTTCAAGCAAGCATATATAAAAAAACTGTTGCAAATATTCTTTAATTTCTTGGTCTCGACCGTCATTATTATCACTATCTTCATCTTTCCGTATGACCCTTGTGTAGTTGTTCCATTTGACCTAATGCAGCATTATATTAAAAAAGATTAAATCGATAAGTAGATTTCTTTACTGGAAGCAATGTTAAAGCTTCAAATAAAAATTTGTTGTAATTTTGTTACATTCTAGACGAACTCTTGATTGTTGCAGTGTTAACATCTAAGTGATTGTAGAGCTACTGTAGAATTTCAGGCTTACATTTGATGGAATATCCACATTCCATGATATGCAGTTTCTCAAGACCAATAAAGTAAACAATTAGATGAAGCTAGTTTCTAGTTTTTCAGTTGATTTACTAAAAATCATGGGAGCTACACCTTCAATACATTGACGCTAAGCGCTCCACAAAACTTCCTCAACATTAATATTCCATTCATCTGCCTTTCATTTGAATGTTTGTATCTTCATTGTAAATGATCTTTAGAAGTAGCTTTTTCTAAAGATCAGTCGCTTGTTTAGAATTGAAATTTTCAAAGTACCAATTGGATAGTTTCTTAATAGAAAAAAAAAGCTAGACACAAAATAATCTAAGATCTGGGAAAATACACCACAGCGTAGCCGATTGCATTTCTCTTCCTTCGAAGGAAGACATTTTCTATCTGTAAATGAGTCAAATGGGTGAATATTCCTTCTAATCGAATGTTCATCCCTAAAAGCGCCCTTTTTTGCATAAATATGTATCTAAGAAATTATTTTTTATTGTTCATCACACAAAAAAAACCAGTAGTTTATCAAATGCATTTAAAAAGAGATATTTTAAAGCTAAGAGCAATTATTTCTATACATGCATGCTTCTCTTTGGAGCGAACGGAATGTTCGTCATCTAACTTGGTCTATGTAATAGAAAAGATATAGTGATTTTACTCTCATCTATTTCTTCTTAAACTCTTTACAAGGCCAAGTAGCTTTTAGTAAAAAAAAAAAATGCGTTTTTCTTCCATGATGGGAGAAATCTTCCATATTTGAGTGAAGATTTGGTTAAAGGCTTCTATTTTTTAATAAATTACTTTTATCGTCTAATTGAATAATTGAGACTTTTGGCAGTCGAGATAATTATTGGTTTTTGGCTTGAGTTTAATTCGTTGTTGGAACAATTATTACAATTTCTTTAAATTTGGTAGTAAATTTGAAATCATAAGTATACCCATAGTTGCGAATGATTTCTAGCAAATAAGACAAAAAGAACTACTTATATCATAGTCTAGGACATCATTGTGCTTTTATACTGTTTTAGATCCATCCATTGAGTGATTATTCGAGTCTCTGCTTCATATTCTTCCACGTCAGCGCTGTGTTTGAATTCGATAGGTACCTTCTCTCAAATTACATTTTCTTTCTTGTGTTTTCCTTCTTGTCTGTGATAGATACAATGGTATACAAGATATCTTTCTATGTGTGTGTTTGTATTTATTTGTATTGTTTATAGGCCCAAACAGCAACTCAAACTATTGAAACTAACCATGAAGACATGATTGTAAGACACATAATAAAGACGCGTTTATCTAGATATTCATTTTTCTGTACATAGCACGATGCTCAGCTCGACTATTATTCTCGTCGTTTAGCTACAGCTTCTTCTGATCATACCATCAAGATTTTCAACGTAGATGGTGACAATCAAACCTTGAGTCATACCATTACTGAGTAAGCAGACATTCTCTTTATTTCGAATACTAAATAGTTGATTAGCAACACAGCTCCTGTGTGGCAAGTTTCATGGGCTCATCCCAAGTTTGGCACCATCTTGGCTTCTTGTGCCTATGATGGTCGTGTACTCATCTTTAAGGAACAAAATGGCAACTGGACAAAAATTCATGAAAATAACAAGCATACTGCTTCTGGTAAAAAAAAACACACACACACACATATATGCTTTTACTCATATGAATGATAGTCAATTCTGTTGCTTGGGCTCCACATGAACTCGGTGCTATATTAGCCTGTGCTTCTTCTGATGGTAAAATCTCTATACATGAATATAAAGGTAAATATAGGATTATTATATCGACTTGAGTTAATATATGTATATTGATTAGAGGATGGATCTTGGGAAACACAACTAATTGATGCTCATGGCATTGGTTGTAATGCGGTTACTTGGGCACCTGCTGCTATTCCCGGTAGTTTAGTCCAAACAAACAGTGGTAATCCCAATGTCAATGTAGTAAAGAAAGTTGTTTCTGCAGGTTGCGACAATTTAATCAAGATTTGGGGATACAAGTAAATAAAAATAAAAAAAAGAGATAGTGTGACTCATGTTCAATAGGGATGATACCAAGACTTGGCAAGAAGAAGAGACCTTAGATGGTCACTCAGATTGGGTTCGTGATGTTGCTTGGGCTCCTAATGTTGGTCTTCCCAAGAGTTATTTAGCAAGTTGTTCTCAAGACAAATCTGTATTGATCTGGACACAAGAAAGCCCTAAATCAGAATGGACTCACAAGACACTGGGCCAAAAGTTTCCTGATGTTGTCTGGCGTGTCAGTTGGTCATTGTCTGGTAATGTGTTGGCAGTTTCCTGTGGTGATAATAAAGTTACATTGTGGAAGGAATCTTCAAAAGGTGACTGGGAATTACTCGAAACACTTGAAGAAAGTGCTTAAAGCACCATGTATAATAAAGTGATACGATTTGATCACCCTTTGATTCTGAATGTGTGTAACGCGTCTTTAATTTAGGAGAGAGAAACTGAGCTCATAAATGGGTAATACCGGGTTATTTAATAAAGTTATATTTCGAATATCACTTTTTCTTTCTTCTTTCTTTATCTTAAACCCCTTTTTCTTGTATTCATTATGGTACATGACTACCAAAGACTTCAAACTCAGAATGAGTTGAAGGGTAGTTTGCTTTTCAAGTATAGACTAGCAAAAGGTTTGACAATGATTAGTTTGTTGGCTATCATTGTCATGGCTGCTTGCTCTATCTTTTATCCAAGTAAGTTATCTAGTGAAGACTCAAATTAACTAAAAAACAAGCCATATAGACTACACTTTCAATAGTACAAAAACCATTCAACAAGAAACAATAGTGACAGACGAAGTACAACCAGAACGTTGTCACTTGCCTAACGCCATGAAAATGCCTACTAGTCCGGACGGTTCTTATACGCCTCCTGCACCCCATTCTTCTTTATTAAAAGCTGTTAGTTTTGCATCGAATCAAGAATACCAAGACTATTGTCAAAAATATGACCAAGAGTTGGGTGCTTTTAGTGACGAATGGCCCTATAATCAAGATGGTGAATGTGGTCATTGGCAAGAGAAATACATTGATTTACACAAGAAAGATATGGAAATGATTGACAAATACAGAGATGGTGTCTTCCCTGATGATGTTGATATAGAACACAGACCTCGTTATATCTCTTATATCTGTAAAGAAGTGCCTGCCAACAGCAACCGTGGTTGTGGTGGTTTAGCTGATCGAATGGGTGGTAAGTTCACATTTAGAGACATGGAGAGTTAATATCAGATAGGTATGATTTCTACTTTTTTCTATGCTTTATTGACAGATCGTGCTTATCTGTTAAACTGGGCTGCATTAAATCCTTTACCCTTGGAAACTATCTGGGAACGTCCTCATATTGACTGGTCACATGATCCTGCCGAGATGGAAGCCCTCTTTACAGACGACACAAACCCTTTTCTTGGATATCAAAAAGTCGATCTCTTGAACAAGAAACTCAAGAACCTCACTGGTGTCATGTTCCCAGACGGCGGCAACACAGATTTTAATGATTTATGGAATGGCACGTATATCGAGACACGCTCTAATCGTGGCTATATTATTCGCACATTTCAGCTTTCACAGAAATACAAGAAAATCCTCAACGCAATGGGCTTAACAAAGGAAAACGCTTTCCGATGCATTACCAACTTTTTGTTTCGTCCTACCATTGGTTCCAGACGATTCTTGAATGCCTACAAGAGTTTGTTTGGCATGAAGAGTGTCCTGAGCATTGGTATTCAGATTCGTACAGACGATAATGCATTAGCCAATCCTCAATATGATGTCAACAGTTTGGACAAATGGGCTCATTTCTTTAAATGTGCAGGTGAATTGGCTATTTTTAAGAAAGAAGCACATCATAAGCATGTGGTGTTCTTTTTAGTGACTGATTCAGCACATTTACGTGATGAATTTGCCAAGATGAGCTATGATCGTGAATTGATTAAGCAGTATTTTGGTGAAGAATTAGCAGATATCTCTAGTATGGTAGTGACTGGTTTGCCTATTGAACATATTGAACCAGATCAAATTGCTAAATACATTGATGTTGAAGTACACAAGGAAGTCAATCTGGAAAGAATGCGACCTGGTGTCAACAGTGCTTATATGGAGAATTGGTTATTAGGAGAGACTCAATACCGTGTTATTAGTATTCAAGGTTATGGTAAGATGGCATCATTTTATTCAGGTGATGATAGGACATCTATTTCTATGCCCAAGGTAAGCCTCAAAAAAGAAGGAAAAAGAACAAGTAAGACTCACCGCGATTTTGTTGTTTTCAGCCAAGTCTTAAGCATCCATTCCCTGTTTGCAATACTAAAGAAGCATTCACAACATTTAACTGGCTTAGCACACAATGGAGTTTAGGCTAGAACAAAGAGAATTTCTATTGTATAAAAAAATAAAAACCTGTCATTTAATAGTGTATTCGCTATACGATCAAAGTCTGTACATAACATAATATGTACATTGAACTATGAAAAGGTAGCATAGACAGGCATATGTATATGTATCTAGAATCTTGTCCTTTTTAGGAATACAATCATATTCTTGGTTTAAGTAATATATCAAGAGAATTTCCATACCTCAAGAAAGTAATTCATCATAGTATAGTGTAACACAACCATGTACATACAAAAGGTCTATTCAATTCCTACTTGATGATATGATCTTCAGTGTAGAGTATCAGCCTTTGGTACAAGAAGCCATAAAAAGATTTGATAGACGTTACTATGATTACAATACAAGTCTAAATGAGGAACTTTACTTTGGATACACTATTAAAAGGAATAAACTATTTTCAGTCCTTGGCGACAGCCCTTTTTGTTCTTGGGAATCATTGTTTTCAGTCTAACCACTGTCATTACTTTGATCCAGCTTTAAATTCTTTTTTCAAAAAAAACATGTCTATTCATTTCTGTTTGTTATGATTAGTCTTAACAAAAGCTATTTTTTATAAGGTTTTTGTGCAAAGATGTTATAAATAATCAATGACTCATGCGTATATGATATGATAAAATGGTTTGTACACCAAAACCACTTAAATCATTCCATCTTCCCCTTCCCGAAAAAGAAAATAGCGCTCGAATTGGGTGTTGTAGCACCTTTATGTAAAGACAAGTCTTTTTACGATTGGATAAATGTTGTACACTTTATGAAAAAAGGTACAATGACGTATTTTTAACATGATCCTATATTCTCAACTATATAAATAACGAGTGATCTACAATAGCTACTCTTTTTTATTCCAAAACATGTCTGTTATTACTAAAGTTAAAGAAATAATTCACAAGCACGATTCTCATAAGAATACTGATACTGCTGCCAGTAGTACTCATACAGAGGCTCACACAAGTGGTACTCATCCAGAAGTCCTTACGGATACTGCTCATACACATGCTCCTATAACAGATCACACTCCCAAGTCCCCTCAAGGTGTTGAAAAGATGGAACAGTTAGACGCTCACTTGAGAGAAGATGGTTATATGCCACCTGCAAACAATGGCATGTCACTTCGATAAATTCTTGTTCTGTATCAACAAATACTCTTAGCTATTTTTTATTTTTAATAAATAATTCCTTTTTAAAAAGAACTTGTTTCTTTCCAATGTTGAAGAAAACTTATCAAGTAATGCAGCATCTACTTTGGGTGTATTTAGCAAAATAGGTGCTATGATTGCTGTTTGTATAGTTTCAAAAGTAACATTTTGAACTTCTGTACCCATAAAGTTCTTTTCAATAAAGTCCGCAAACTTGTAAGCTGGATTGGATGGACCTTGTTGCTTTACTTTCTTGATCCAGTCTTCAAAAGGTACAATGTCGAATGAAAGGCCGGTTTCCTTTAGACACTTCGACAACGTATTCCAGTCAATAGAATGAGGATTGATAATATGAAAAATATCGTCATGCTCTTCTGGCCTGGACTCAGATGTCTTGAGCATAATATCATGGATTGTTTTCGAAGCATCTTGGCATTTATTTTTTCTCATTTTATCAAAAATTGAGGATATGATTGGATGAATTAAAACTGCCTTTTGGGGAAAATCAAGCCGCCCTTTAGGAAAATCTATTGGCGTTGGAACAACTGTACTTGCCCCTTTTTTCTTTAAAATAGCTATAAGCGATGGCTTAATTAAATAAGAACAAGTCTTTATATGAAATGAGTCTAGAAGCATGAAAGAAAAAAGGTGGCACAGACCAATTGTGATGATCTGACATTAAATAAGTCTTCAGTTACATACTAAAATATATCAAATCAATTTACATCAGAAATAGACATAAAAGAACCTCTTGTACTGAATAAGACAATGGATCTTTTAATAGATCAAGACATATAGTCAAAAATGAGAACAATAAAATTGTATAAAACAGTCTCAAAGTATCTACCTTTGTCTCTACATTATCTTATCATACAACTCTCTATTATCAAAACATCACAGATGTGATATTAAGGAATGATTGGCGGATAACGTGCGAAAGAATGAGGAACGACTACTACGCTGAGCAGGAGCATAGATATTGAGGATGTACATAAAAGGAGCGGAGGGTTAAGTGGCATGAGCGATGGACGCTAAGAGAAAGCAGCCATCCATAGAATTGATGGTGGGATGTGCTGTGATTTGGTACTGAGATTTTAAGGAAACAATACCACAGTGTTCTGTCCAAAGACTAGATTTAGTCTGGAACTTGAGATTGAGCTGTTTCTGTATATTAAGTGTAGATGTGTGTGTCTCTTGTAAGCATAGAATGTCATATTTAGTTGAACGTAGAAAGCAGATAAATAAGAACTGTTTGTAAAGATCTATAGTTTTGGTAAGGCCACGACAATTAAGTTTGGCAATTTGCATAGAGCCTTTAGGCATAGATTATCTTATTGAAAACTAAGAGAGATACCTGCTAATCCACCTGTGTTATGATTTGGTACCACTCTGTCTCTCATCTTTATGATAAAGTTTAACCTTTTTACGCTCCCGTATAAGCTTTTCTAAATCCAATGCCTCTTGGGTTGAATTATTGCTTGGAATATTTGGGAGATATTCATCATCCTCTCCGTCTGATTCAATGATTTCTACTTCACTATCTCCTTGCTCTTTCATTTCATGATCCATCAATTCAGACTCAACTAATGGAGTGTCATTAGAGAGAGTTTAAATAGTCTCTGTTGCTATTTGACTGAGAGGAACGGTAGTCAATGCGACAGGTGAGACAGTTTGCTTAGGCTTCACACTTTGTGACAGTTTCTCATTAGGCGGATTGGGGCCTGTTCTATTAGTCTTGTCTTTTGTGATTCCAATACGTTTGTCAGGAGGGTAGCCTGATCCATGATTACGAGAAGGAAAATCACGGCTGATATGACCACGCTCATTACAGTTATAACAACGACGAGTATTGATGAGTTCCATGCAGTCTGCTCTACAATGGTTGGTTTTCTGGCAAAAACGACAAAACTGGGGCATTTCATCCCACGTAAGCAGAAGTTCTCGATCAAATTCAGACCAAACTACTACTCGACTAAGTTGCTCAGGCTCAGTCTTGTGACATATCCCTGGCCAAAAAACACAGCACCGTCTATATGAAATCCCAGATCCAGGACTTCACCAAAATGGGAAAAACGTTTTTTCATTTGCTCGCGGAGATTTCAAGGATGAATGAGGGGGGAGTCGTTCAACCTTAACTCGAGCAATTTTGGCGTTTGGGGCAAGCTGTGGTAGCCTTTGATCATCGTATTATCTTCCATCTGCAAACCGGAGTTGACCAATTTATTGTACACTTCTGAGTTGATATCCCAGCATGTTTCAATAAGCGTCTCTGCAAATACTTGCGTTCAACAAGTAAAGTGCCAAAAAAATAATACTCTTCATTTGTATTGAGTGACCCAAGAAACTGTTTAAGGCCATTTATATCACGAACATTAGTGATATCAATCAAAACACTATCTTTTTCTAAACCAACAATATAAAGCGTAATGATGCCTGAAGAAAGAATGTTGTTACTAGCATACTTTGACTAGGAAGAACTAGAAGTGCGTGCAAATGAAGAAGTAGAAGCCAATGATGACGACTGATTAGCAGACACAATAGTTCTAGCCGCTACTTGCGACCAGATTTTGGGTGCATAATACTCATTTCAACTCAGAATTTCTTTGAGGACACTCCACTTATGCTAAGATTTGAAGCATGTCAACTTTTTTTTATTTCGTTCTACAATGCTCTTTCTTGTTAAACCTCATCTTTTGGCTTCTATGTTTTTATTGAACGACACTATTCACCATCCGGGCTGTAAATGATCTACTAATGCTTGCGATATATATAAAAAACAGGCGCTATTACTCATTCTTTACTATTTGACAGTGAGTTCTTAAATATTTATTATGTTTAGCGAGCTTTGTTTGAGTTATGCATTTTATTAAATAAGCAAGAATTAAAATTTTGAAATTAAGCAGAGCATGAGATACATAAATAATCTTTATATTGCTACTTACATTGGATTATAAGAGCAGAGAATAGAAGGGAGGTAAAAGAGCGAAGCAAATTAGTAACAGATATGAACCAGTATATATAAAATAACTACATGGATATGAGAATGTAGTCAAATACCTCCCTTACTATATTCTCATTACATGCATACTACTACACGCTTGACCAACCAATACCAAGCTGTGATTGATGCCAAAGGCTGTACCACCAAGTACTAAACTGCAATATCTTAAAACAAACATCTTAGTATCATCTTGGCACATTAGAGGGCTCTTGGATCATGATACCTTTGCTACTGAATTCGAATGACAAAAAACTGGGCTAATTTTTATTTGGGTTCAGTGTATAACCGGTATGGTTACAGATCAAGGTGGAATAGGAGATCATGGTTAAATTTGACATGATTGACTGTCTCGATTTTTTTTTGACTAATACCTTGTGGAAAATAACTAAAATTGAAAAACGGCTAATTTGACAGAGATAGAACAGACTTTTCATACTTTATTATATAGCGAATTATGTTTCTATAATGCGCTTAAATACAACCTAAGTGTTTATTTTGCAAAAGGTGTATAAAAAGTGTATGCTACTATCAGAAAGTATAAATATAGTTTTCTTCGATTTACGCATATTTCACCAGTATCTTTATAATGTTTTTTAGACCATTCGATGCGCCGTTTCAAGTTCTACAACTTTTGTTGCTAAAAGCTTCATAATCTTTTTATTTGTTTTGCGCACTTTTGACCATATTTGTGTTTTCAAGCACTTTTTTCTTTTACATTTCGCTATAATCCCTTATTTCACCTCGATCTGCAACTATACCAATTCTATGGCTCAAACAAGACTCATTAAATATAATAAAATTTCAAGAAATACTGCCAAATAGTAAAAACTAATATAGACTTGTGTATAAAGCTATTTACGTATCAAGTAACTATGCGCAATGCACTTAGGCACAAATGAAATATTTTATGACTTTTTGATCTTTGTTTATTGCACTTTTTCTATCAATAAAACATTTAACAAAGCATTTTAAGGAGCTATTCTGCCAATAATAGCTATATTTTCGATCGATTGAGTGCTTAAAAGAAAAAAAACCGCATGATAGTGCTTTCCGCGGCTTATTGGAAGACAGCCTGCTTCTTAGCTCTCAACGTGTCGGCCACAAGTGCGTAGGAGATGGGGAAGGCAAGAGGACAAAGACTCATAGTCATTCTTCTTTCTATGCAGAAAAGTGTTACGCACAATGTCACAAATCTATTTCTTGTATTATGCCTGCGTGCTTGTATACCATCCCATAGTGCAATCGCATTTTACTTTTCAGCGAGCCCTTTCAAATAACAGACCTAGCTCATGACAGCGGATCTAGCTCACGACAACGGGTTTTATTTTCTTTTTCTTTTTCATGATGGCATCAAGACTCCGTATTCTTGTCGTCAATCATCGTCGTTGTCGAGGCATTTATACAAACTGTGCAACCTACCCAGTAACACCTAAACACAAAACAAATGAGCTTTCTCGATAGCTAGCTTTACACAATCTTTGCATCCCGATGTATGTAATCATAGCTTCTACCGATCGAGCGTACACAATGCAAATTGTATTTCGCTTTAATCTTTATATTTTGTGTTACACTGCACTGATGCCTGCGCATTTTCTTCTAATTTTTTTCTACATGTCACTTTGTGGACCTTGAGATACTCATGTAGACACGCATATAAAAGCCTACAGAATTTATTGTGATTTCTAATTAAGCTAACTTGCTCCTTATTATCACAAACATGTTGGCGTTTATTAATTTTTTTGTGGTTACTCTTGTTGCTGTATTTACCTTGGCCAATGCTCAATGCGCTAGTAACTTGGGCACATGCTACAGTTCACTTGCAGGAAGAGACTTTTCTGGCTGGTACCAAGAATGTTCAGACAAGATTCAAAATCAAGGTCTTAAAGCTGGTACCTGGAAGGCTACTGTTGGTAACTGGGATTCTGGAGGACAAGGCTGTGAATGTATATACACCTCATCAGTTCCTGGCGCATGGCAAATTGCTAGAAGATCACTTTGGGATAAAGTAATTGACAAGAAGCATGAATGTAACAATTCGATATACTACAATGTCTGTAAATTTGGCGATGGTCAAGTGAATTATAGCTTCAAATGTCGATAAGCAGTTATTTCCCTAAATCATCCTTTCTTTAATAAACACAGACATAATATTTGCTTACATAAGAATTCAAATTTAAAAATTTCATAGCATTGTGCAAGGCTGTCAAAACAACTAACTTCAGACGATTTAGAGAAAGTCAATACAAAGTTTTACAGTTAAATACTTCTTTTGTAACGCCTAAAAAAATTACTGTTTAAGCTTGACTGTGCTCATAAAGTCTTATTTCTTGGTTTTTCTGTATTACCCTGACATTAATTATGTTTCGCTATATTATAGCGGGAGCCTCGAAGAAGTCATATCCTTTTTTCATGAAGAAGACTGTGTTACTCCACCTGCTCACTTTGAGATCTATATCCTTGTTAAAGACGTAAGTCCCTCTCGAATTCTTTTTTATCTATCCCTTAATGTACATGCAATAAAGAACAATTTAATAAATAAGCCAAATGTACATTTGCTCATTATGCTTTAAGCTATGGGGTTTATCTTATTTCTCTCCATTTGATCTCAAGCTGAAGACTGCCTATTTTTTACTTGAACTCAAATCAGTTTCAATTCATTCGTGTTCTTCAATGTTAAAAAAATCTAGTCTTTTTAGTTTTACACAATTTAGCCTGTAAATTTGATCGGCATTAACTTCAAAAAATTCTTCATCCAGCATCAAATCTCTTAAGCGAGCTCGTAGTATTTTTACTTCTACTTATAACCACAGAAATTCTACATTGTCTGCATAAATGGTATTGGTTGTTTCTTTGCATAAAGCCAGCTATCGAGAAAGCTCATTTGTTTTGTGTTTAGGTGTTACTGGGTAGGTTGCACAGTTTGTATAAATGCCTCGACAACGACGATGATTGACGACAAGAATACGGAGTCTTGATGCCATCATGAAAAAGAAAAAGAAAATAAAACCCGTTGTCGTGAGCTAGATCCGCTGTCATGAGCTAGGTCTGTTATTTGAAAGGGCTCGCTGAAAAGTAAAATGCGATTGCACTATGGGATGGTATACAAGCACGCAGGCATAATACAAGAAATAGATTTGTGACATTGTGCGTAACACTTTTCTGCATAGAAAGAAGAATGACTATGAGTCTTTGTCCTCTTGCCTTCCCCATCTCCTACGCACTTGTGGCCGACACGTTGAGAGCTAAGAAGCAGGCTGTCTTCCAATAAGCCGCGGAAAGCACTATCATGCGGTTTTTTTTTCTTTTAAAGATGAAAATTTAGATTGTTACTTCTATGAGATTCTTTGACTTCTTTTTTCAAGAAAATTCGAAACACTTGCATAGGGATATAGAATCAAAGATTCTTATGTATTTGACCATCTTATAGAGAAGCTGATGCAAAATAACCAGGATAATGCTTTGTTTACTAACATATTCGGGCAAAATAGGTTGTGCGAATAATTCTCTCTTTACCGAAGTGTAAATATACATTCGCACATCGCACGCGCATCTTAGAAACGCCTTTATGCAACTTGGAGGGGGTTCTTTTTACTAGTGGGCGTGATTATGGTCTCAGCAATAATTAGTATAAGTTCAAGGAGTGAAGTCGAAAGCTTGAAGCCCTTTTTATAGAAAAGGTTTTTTGAAAGTCAACACAGCCGATAGCTTTGAACATAACCTTACAGTTATCGATGTCTCTGATTGAATTAATACCTTGTTCTTCTTTACTGCTTTCAAACAAGGATACACTAAAAGTTTGTAAGCTCTTATCCTATAGCTTCATAACTTCACTGAATGACAATGGAAAATATGCGATAAATGGTTTGCCAATAATCAAATATATCATAGCCATATTGGCTTACACATCCGAACGATACGTAAAGAGAAAGGCTATCGAGTATAGTTTGATCCTGAAGACCCTCATAACGTTTGTGATACATGTGTTATCGGATATCAAAGCACTCGCACATTTCAAACACATATAGCCCATGCTCATGCCCATAGATATATGCAAAGATGAAGACGAACAAAAAAAAGTAGAACCAAATGCAGCAGATGGCTTCTGCAATTCCTGCCAATTCAGGTTTAACAGCGCTTCAGATTATTGAGCACATTATGAAAAAACATGTCTCTAATGGTGATGTCTTACGATCAGTACTCGAATTCTCACCTTATAATTTTTATAAACACCTGCCTCAACCAAACGATCCCAACAGTATTTGTACATGCTGCCTTATACGCTATGAAGGTATATCTGCTTTTTCCAAGCATATTCAAAGTATCATCTATTGAATGTCGAACATTTAAATATGGCCATACAAAACAAAGCGACTTTCGAGACAAAAAACAAGGCTTTCGAATGCTTCTTTTGTGAGAAGTCTTTTGAATCGTCTTATCGCCACCTTGAGCATATGACTATAATGCATAAAATGAAATTAAACACACCTATCAACGGCTAGAAATAATCATTATTACTCAAATAAACAGCACAGGCTATAAACGCTTTATGTTTATTCTCCTGATCTAGTGTCCTTAATTTCTTCTATTTTCATTTCTTCATCTTCGTCTTCTGCTTGGCTATTGTCTTCGGCATTTGGTTTCATTTTACCTGCAGAACACAATATTATTATGGATTCTAAGAAAAATCCAGCATCACTTGCCTTGTTTCTTAGTTGTTCTTAAAGCATTGGCCCATGACTTACTGATCAATCGGCGTGCGCCCCAATATCCAATGCACATAGTCAATGGCACACCTATTGCAGTTGCTTCTCGCTCAACCAACTCAAACGCTACACGCTGTGTATTGACGTCAATAGCTTTCCATGATTTATTTGTAGCTTCTTTCTTCTGACGCATAAGCTTTTTTAAATCAGCTACTACATGAATCATTGTTTTTTGTAGTTTATGAAGCCGAAGTTTAGCTTCATCTTCGCTCACTTGCATGACATGTTGTGTAATCCTTCGTAATTCCAATAGACGATTATCCTTTTTCTTTTGTTCATCAATAAGTACTTTGGAAGGTGCTGGTATGCTTCGCTTTACTACAGATGCAGTTGAAGTCGGAACATTGTTATTATTGGTATTATCTTTTTTGAGCTGCTCAATTCGATCAGTGGTTGTTCGATACTGTTCGGTAAGGAGGTGAATGTTGCGCTGGGACTCGTATACAATATCTCTTAAGCTTGTTAGGTCACTCCTTAAAGTCAAATTCTCTGCTTGTAAGTTGGAGACTGTCTTTTGGAGTTCGAGCTGATCGCTCTTTAGATGAGCATTGTCTTTTGTTAAACGATCGATGAGCTTCTTTACTTCACCTTGTTCCATACTGTGCAAAACAAAAAGAAAAGGCGTAAAAGAAAGGGAGTAAAAAGGTTAACTTTATATGAATGTAGAACAAGGGTTTACACAACTATTAGTGTTAAATGACTCGGCTGATGAACCTTAAAAACACAATGAATTTGACAAGTGTACAGCTATTTCTGAGCTACTTTTTTTTATTAGTGCTATGATTAGTGGCTCACAAAAATCATGCCACAATTATCTGTAATACAATTCCAAGTTCATGCCATCATGAATCTCGTCTATCACAGGTTAGTGATATAACAAACAAATATGTAAACTTACAATCTTCCAATGAAATGTGGTCTTTGAATTCCTTATACCACTTTTTCAATACAATCTTATGGGGTTCTGTACCAATCTGTGCTGCAATCAACTTTTTAAAATCGCCCACAGAATCATTGGGGGCGCATTTCACTCGAGCTTTTTTACCCAATCGATCATTAACTTCAACTTCAATCAAGTTATATGCTGGCTTTCTTTTAAGTATTTTCTTGACACCCTAAAGAAAATAAGACATTGACGAGTATATCTAGTTCTTACCTCCTTTTCACTGAGACGTGGTTTAACGGGACTACGCGATCGTTTTCTAGGTTCTGGTGAGTTAGATCTATGACGAGATCGTCTTTCATCACGGTCTCTACGAGGTGAACGGTCTCTTCTACGAGGTGAACGGTCTCTCTTATAAGGCGAGCGGTCTCTACGAGGTGAGCGCTCCCTGCGTGGAGAGCGCGACCTTCTTCTAGGTGAGTGTTCTCTTTTGCGTGCAGGTGAGCGAGAACGAGAACGAGAACGTTCTTCTTTTTGCGCTTCTTTTTTTGATTCTTTATCTGAGTTGAAGTATGAATGTATTCTTTCTTTCTCTTTTGGTCCATTGTATCTTACCAGTATCGTGCTTCTTGAACCGCAACATATCAACAGGGAAAAAAAGTAGAGCTATTCTGATTTGTCGAAGAAATAGACGGAGTCTAGTGACGTCTTTTTTTTTCTGTCTTGACGTGCAAAAGTCGAAATTGAAATTGTTTATGTAAATTTGGTAGACGTAATATGCTATGATAAGTCTCTCAAATTCAAGTCTACTTCCTACGTTTTTAAGAGAGCAAAAACGAAGGGCTCTTAAACAGCCGGTTCTAACTATAGAATAAGCAACATAGCTAGAAATATCTCATCAAAAACAACCCATATCCTTTGAGATAGGCTTCAAATAGGCTTTATTGTAGAAATCTAAGGCATCATCCATGTACGCGGAGTTGTCATTTAAATTTATGCAACGAATTTAAACTCGTCATTTATTACTCTAGATCAAATGTATCTGGTAAGTCTAATGATGTATTTGTCTATTCTTGAAAGTGCCATGAGCTCTTCGCTTTCTGTCAATATAAATACTGTCTCCTTTGTGTTCTGAGGAAACAGTACTTCTCTTGTTCACGTGGAGTACACTCGCTGTCGAACTTGCAATATTGTTGCCTTTTCTAAGCTTGGATGGATCAAATGTATCAATAATCGAATTCACTCCACTGTCTCTCTTTGAAAAGACCTCTTGAGAAGGATTTTCTCTGCCAGGTGTATGAATACCTTCACAATTAGAGATATCGACAGCAGCCCAACTAGCAGGAGCGGGATCTGTACTTTGGCCAAAAAGCGATTCAAAAGAAGGAATACTTATCTAGAATGCAAGTGTGAGCCCACGAAACTTGGTCTAAAAAGAAACTTACATCAAGTCCTTGCCCACCTTTGTCTACAGCCAAGACAAAAATGGATTCTCCGTTGTCAGAATTAGTCACCTCGAGACATTGGCCACATTCGCTAGAGATATCTATATCCTCGACAGCAGTAATCCTTGCCAAATTCAGCTCATTATAAGGCATACCACAAGCCGGATAAGAAGTCTCAAGAGCCTGAGGTCCTATCAAATAATCAGAAATTGGATTTCGACACTAACTGTAAATATTTCACTCAAACTCACCGAGACCATAATAGTCTTCAGGTGTCACAGATGTTGATCCTGAGAGTCCAGCAAAAGTAACATTAATCAAAGCAAAAATGACTGGCAAGGCAAAAAATTTCTTGAGCATGTTGATAAAAAGAATGAAAGAAAAAGACGATGTTGAGAAATTGCTGTTGTCTCAATCAGTATGCGCTTTTATATTGCAAGGAGAATAAAACACTAAAAAGCAGTGTCTTTGTATCATTATGAAGTGCAAAAGTCACCGGCCCATTTGATTTCTATCTTTCTTTGTATGTTAATGAAGGTGTATATCTAAACGCCAAATAACATAAAGAATTTCATCTGCTAATCGTCTCTTTTAGTCTAACGTGTATTTAAATAGCCTGCAGATAATTTCAAGCAAACAAAGGCGGCTTGTAAAAAGTACATTATTATCATATAAAACAAAAGTATTGTTTATTGCCATTGTTTAAAAATCTAAGGATCAAAAAAAAAGAAGGGGGAGACGCTAAAGTGGCAATGTCAAATTGCCAGATTAAGACAACAACAATCAATTTGTTAATGCTCATTTATTTCTCTTTGCTTGCAATCTACCACGAGTATGGCGTTTAGTTGTTGTTTTATTTTTAGTAGAAGTCGTCTTTTTAAGCTTCTTGTGTTTGGAAATAATTTTATTGATACTTCTTGCCTTGGAATAGCGATTGGACTTTCTGACGGTAGTCTTTGTAGTAACACTCTTGTTAGAGGTATTTTTCTTGGTAGAAACCATCTTTTTGGTACTCGAAAACGAACGGGCAATAGTAGTCTTGGTTTTTGTAGTCATCGAAGATGCGTTAATACCTTGGTTGACATTGGTCTTACCTAGAGTGTAGATACCAACGCAATACGAATCATCTATGGTAGTCCAGCTAGCAGGAGATGCGTCATATTTTGATTGAAAAGATATTCAAAAGAAAGGATACTCAGCTATAAAATCATAAATGACTCGTATATATTTCCAAAGTACTTACGTCTAATCCACTTCCGCCAAGATCCACAGCTAATACATAAATAGACCTCCCAGTATTTGTGCCTGTCACTTTAAGACAAAGACCACAAGTAGAAGCAGTATTTATGTTCTGAACAGCAGTAATTCGAGTCAAGTTTAATTCGCTATAAGGCATACCACAAGCAGGATACGTGGTTTGAAGAGCCAGTTTTCCTACATTACATCAATCGATATCTATTTTACTTTGATCAACTTACCCAGGCCAATGTAGTCTTGAGGAGTAATCTTTGCTGAGCTAGAAAGAGTAGCAGCATGAATAGTAGAGACGAAGACTAAAGCAGCAATACGAATCTTTCTGGAAAGCATCTCAAGAAAGTAGATTGATACAAAGTTGTTCTATCTTTCTCGTTCTTCTTTTATATAAAAGTTATGATTTTGTGTAATTGTTGTGTTGTAGAACGATATTCTTAATGTATATACTGGGTATAAAAGAGGGTCCTCATTCAAGTATGAAAGACAAGAACGGGCTATTTTTCTCACTTTAATTAATTTAATAAAGTCTGTCATTTATGACCATGTCGTACAAACCTTCACACGAACAAGAGACAAGTGGAAAGTTAAGGTAGACAGGGTTTTACAAAAAAAATGTTATTGTGTTTTATTCTTGTCAAGAACGAATTGTGATACACTCAACTTTTGTAAATACTACATATCTGTTGACCAACAGTAAATCAAACCAAACCTTTATTTATCATTTGATCTGATCAAGACATTGGTCAATAAACTTCTACTCCTAACAATCGATTCATTTTCTGATCGACAAAATATAATTCTTTTGGTTACTCCTTCACGATAGGCTGAGAATAAACTCACTATCTTCGTTTTTGAGCAATCAACACTTGTGCTTAAAAGTTGAGAGATATTTCACCCATATCAATGTTCACAACAAAGCGACTGTTTACACAACTAAAAAAAAAAAATGTAAGCGTTTATAGATGAGAAGGAAGTAACCAATTTTTTAATTTTCTAGTGTTATAACGAATTAGATAGAATACTGCCCAATGTACGGTTTTGGAAGCATTCAAACAAGTGTATGTATAGAAAAACTTTGTGATAGATGTAATTTACTGTAACGGTATATTCACTGCATTGAGTCAAAGCTCCCCTTTCCTTGTACTTGTTTCGACTGGTTTGCTTTAGCTAATAAACTAATTTATTCGAACACAGTTATTTGAATGGTATTAAGAAAAAGAAAAGTTGGCAAAAGGATATACAATTATGATTTAAAAACCACAGCATGACGATTTTGGAGCTGCAGGTTCTTCATCCATAGGTAAATAAGTAGTAGGTTTTTTTCTTGAAGATGGAAGATATTGCTTGCGCTCTACTAGGACACGAGCTATTTGAATGAAAATGTCTTCAATTTGGCCTAAAGCAGAGGAAATCAATAATTTGTACTAAATCACAAAATATGGGTATTTTGTTTACCGTCATCATCTTTTGCTGATACTTCGTATAATAATGTTTCTGGGCCCAATACACGCGTGATGTATTTTTGAGCATCATTGTAAGACACCTCCCTCCGAGCTTGTAAATCAAGCTTATTTGCTGCTACAACAATAACCAAATCTTCTGTCATGTTTCTTTTTAACTCTAATAAGCATGTTTAGTTCTCTCTTTTTTGTTCTTTCCTGCATAAATTTTGACTTACCTTCGATCCAAGAAGACAGTTCCTCAAAACTTTCTTGTGAGGTAATATCATACACCAGTAAAGCTGCTTGTGCACCTCTATAATACATGGGAGCCATTGCCCGGAATCTTTCTATAATGCCAACCATTATTCTTTGATATGTCCCTCTTCTTTTTTTTATTAAACCAGTCGCCATATCTTCCTATGCAAATCCCTTACATAATAATTACCTTGACCGGCTGTATCCCATATTTGTAGTCTTACTTTACAGTTGTCGACTGTTCTGGTTTTTTTTTTTCGTCTTATGTTAAAGAAAGAGAATATGACGCAATAATATACACTCACTGCTTTTTTGTCATAAAGGAAGCGCCGATCGTCGAAGTAGAGTTAGGTGAAAAGGTTCTGTCTATATAACGTATGACAAGTGAAGTTTTACCGACACCTTAAAAAGATATTAGTGTTTCAACTTTGTTCAGTCGAGTTTAACTATACCTTGACTACCCAAGATGACTACTTTTGCTTCCAAAGTAGAAGCTGAAGAACCATACATTATAAGTTGAAGAAAAAAAAGAGGTATTATTTATTAGGTATTGTGTATTTTAAAGAAATAAAAAGAAAAAAGGAAATAGAAGATTGAGTGAGAGGAATTGAAGAGAAAAAAAAAGGTTAAAAATTGTTATCCCGCTGATGATACTTTCTTATTTTTTCTTGGAGAATAACTGCCATGATTCATCACTATTTCTAAGCCCTGCTTTTAATTCTTTCAATACTTGTTCAAACCCTTCTTCTGTTGGTATTCTTCTATGCTTAACAATTGTTGCTATGAAGTGTTGTTGTTGCTGTTGTTCCTGTTGCAACTGTCGTCTCTATAGTAACCGTTAAAATGTTAGGTACAATGCCAATCAAACATGTATGTCTGCATCTTTTACCTTAAGCTGCAATTCCTGCTGCCTTTGGCGCTTCAAGGCTCTTTCTCTTGCCTCATGGATTTCGATTTGGGCTTTCTATAGACAGATTTGTTTGTTTTCATGAAATTGCTTAAAATAGTAATTAGGATACACGTACCTCAAAAGATTTTGAAAAAGTCGAGATGATATCAAAGAATTCTTCTGGCTTAATTGTGCTGGGATCTTCACCATAATATACAACCAAATCTTTCAGATCTTCTTCCATGTCTCTTGTCATTTTTTTGAGATCATCAATCACAGGCTCTGCTTCCAATAAGAATTCTTCCATTGCTTCAGCAAATCGATCTATCTGAAGTTCTGACGTTTTCTTTCTTCTGTTCATATGCAACTCGTCCTTGACTTGTATTAAGCCACCATTAAGCGCATTTACACTGGCAAAGAGTGTCACAGGTGATACTAATTAAGAATTGCTTAGATCATATCCTCTTTTTTTCTTCTTACATTTTGCCGCTGTGTGTAAATGAGAAATATCTTGCTTGAAATTGACGACATCGTCATCGGACTTTGATAAAAAGTACACTAAATAATGCAGCAACGTAGGCACATTACTGTTCCCTTCTCCTTCTGCTCTTGTATCTCGCATCTACATATAAGAGATAAACATTTGGTATTTACTACTTGGCTTACCTTTAATAAAGCATCCAAATGAAATCCGAAAGCATTTCCTCGGATAGTTTCAGAATTGAGATAGTTACCAATGGCCAGGACAGTCTAAATGATTACATTATGAAAATCTATCAACAAGAAAAGTTTATATGCTTACCTTTAATAGATGTTTGAATCGTGCGCTTTGTCTGAGCTCATTCATAGCCATTTGAATCACATCAAGCTGAGGTAAGATTTCTTCCAGTTCATGCTTAAATCGACGACGGAAAATCATGCAGCTCACACGGTCAGCCAACCGAGGAATATACATAATGGATCGAAAATAGCGCTCTGCATTGCCAAGCATATCTACATCACCTTGGTATTCTTTGACGATCTCAACTTCTTCTTTAGTGGGGATATATTGTCGAATAGCTACCAGATTATCTATACTTAAGATATGATCATCAATATTCCAAATGGCATCTCGAATATCTGGATAAGGAAGTCTGATTCTGGCCAACATGATAGCAATATTATTGGCGCGATTGAACTCTAATAAAGTAATTGTATTCTGTTTGCGAATGATGCTTGGATTCATAGATATAGCTGCTGTATTGTACGAATTGCTTCCTTTTTTAAATAAACGTTCCAGTTCAACCGTATCCAACTGAACTGGATACTCATCGAGTTCTTCTTCGTCAGTGATAGTACTACTACTGCTAATACTACCGTTACTACTTTCATAGTTGGAAGTTAAACCAGGAGACTTAAGAATTTCGTCCCAAATGGTATTTTCTATCTTGTCTACAGATAGCTTTGACCAGAAAAACTGTTTCATGACAAGAGGAAATGTTGATTGCGCTATGCGTTGTGAATTCAATACATCTTCTTCGCTTGGTTCGATGGGTTCCTTATCGTTAGATGTAGATGTTATGATGTCGTTTGACTGGTTTGAAGTGTTTTTATGCAAAGACTTCAAATTGGGAAAACATAAGTTCAATGCGAGCGGATGTAAATATCGAGAGTTTCGATCAGATGCATCGCTTGGAGCGAGTTTTTTTCGCTCCATAACAAATGACATGGCAGGTATGAATGGCGGAGGCGGAGGCGGAGGTGGAGGTGGAGGTGGAGGTGGTGGAAGTGGTGCATAAGAAGATGATGGTGATGGTAAGGACAATGAAACAGAAGACCCTATGTTGTTGGTGGATTTTTGTTCTGATGATTTGCCTTGCTTTACTTCGGCTTCCAAAGCTGCGATTCGATCATCTCTTTCCTTGACATCAGCTAGTACCTTTGACATTTTCATCAACAACTCATTCTTTTCTCGACGAATTTTTGTAGCTGCATCTTGGCTTCTGATAAAGTTATCTTTAAGTTCATCTACCATATTTCGTAAACCTTCTATATCTTCGGAATTGTTACTGTTACTAGTTGCAGTAGCAGATGTAGTAGCATGGTCGATGGATATTTCTCTCTGCTCTTTTTCAGAGATTTTGCCAACGATAGGCTGAATAGAGACCATAAACTGCTGTAACATGGTCTGAAACTGATCTATAAATATGCGATAAGACAACTTGAAGGTGCTAGCTTACTATACTTACTTTCATTATGAAGACTCTTTAGACTCTTGGAAAACAAATTTATGATATTCCAGATATCTTGAACAAAATTCCTGTTAGTTGATATTTGATCTGATCCTATGGTGATAATCTCGCTAATACTATCTACGACAAGACAGTATAATTCAGGATCCTGAGAAAAAAAATTTAATGCAGAAGCCACCATGTCACTAGGTTGACTAAATGAGTCATAAGTACACTTGTCTTGTATATTTTTATACTACTTACAGCTGTAAGATACTTTGTCTCTTGTTCTTTTCCATAGCACTTGATTTCTCTTGATCAAGTCGTTTTTGCTGAAGATAGATGGTTACTTGTTCTTCCAATGCATTGGGAAGCATATGTCTCTTTTGGTAAAGGCATCTAATGAGTTCTTCAAAGCCTCTACGTTCTAATTCACTTCTCAATGCGTTTCGTTTTTCAACTGTATCGGGCGTGTGTACGATATTGTTAAACATGCTTAAAGCAGCTGCTGCACAATCAAAAGCCAATGGTTCTTGCTGTTCTTCAATCAATGTGGAAAAGTTGCCGACTACTTTCTTTTCGGTTGATGAATGAGTGACACCAAGATCATGTAGAGACTGTACAAGGCGCTCAAATCGGTATTGCTCGTCTTTGATCTGAGACAAAACAGCAATCATAGCATCATAACCTGCTGTAGATACGAGACAAAGTGCTGAAAATATTTCAAAAATGATGATACAAATCTTGTAAGATATTTCAATTGCCTCGCTATCCTTTGCATCTTCTTTTGTAAAATGAGAGCTGGATCTCGAAGGTGTAGGTGTATTCGTACTATTTGTGGAAAATGAAGGCAATATATATGAGCTTATTGAATTGGTAGATGGCGAGCTTTTGACAACATCACTTGAGCTAAAAGGTATGGCAAGTCGTAAAGCGGATATAGACGCCAAACATACGAATAATGCAACAAGTAGCTGGTGGAGCACCACAGGACGCATAAGCACTTGTTGAAGGCCCGACTAGACAAACAAACAAACAAATAAATAAAAAAGATGAATATAAAAGCATAATTAGACAATGAAGAAAGGAGTGTGATATTCAAAGAAAAAAGGAGGGGAAATCACTCCTTCTTTTTTTTGAGAATAGCAAACTTACTTTTGTATTCAATAGGACCCGTATGCATTTTATGCACTCAATCAGGCATTGCTCTTCGATTTCGGTCAGTTTACTTCCATTCTTTTTCCTTTTTTGAAATCATTCAGAAATTCGCTTATTGAATATAACTCCCTTACCTGCGTTTCTTCTGAAGTAGTTTCTCAAGAACATTTTCGAGTGCAATAAGACCGCCATGACGTCTTGAAAGAAACTCATTGATCCAAGAAACAGTACCTGTAGCCAACGTTATTCTTAATGAAGTTAAATGTTTTGTCAATGCATCTGTGTTTGTATTTCTACTCGAATAAAAAAAGAGGGAGAGAGAGATTAGGTTTCCATAAGGAGTTGGTTTGAAGGGAGATTCTATTACCTGCTTTTTAGACGCTCTACATAATAAAAAGGGCTGTTGCGGTCACGACGTTTTAGAGAATCTTCTTTAGTTAACATTTGATAGGCTTGACTATTTGTCAATATTGAACTAGACAATGATGGTTCTACAGTAGGCGACAAAGGCTTAGTTATTGAGGCACTTGTAGAAGGAAAAATAGAGCTGACAGATGGCCGTTGTGCAACATGATTGGTTCGTGTAGTACTACTGTTCAAGTATTGTCTCGATAGAGTCTTGTTATCGAGCAATAGCCATGCATCTGATTCATCACCAGTTTCTTCTGCCTTGTGAGCAAGTGCATTAAATTCCAAGACCATTGAGCCTACAATAGATCGGTTTTCTCCTAGATTTCTCCGCGAAAACTTATAAAGGGCGGCTCGTGTGCTCATCATTGGGCTTTCTGGATTGGAATTAGCTTTTGAGTTATCTTTTAAAGAATAAGGAGACGAAACTACATCCGATTTTTTGACGTTGGTGATAGGGTCTTCATAATCAGTCGAAATCAGAAATGATGTAAGTGATTTGCGGGCCCCATCTTCGGAGGCTTGTTTAGTTGGTTTGGTACTTGCTTGGCTATTAAAAATGCGAGATGATGCCTCGCTGCGCTTCATTGCTTTTTGCCGTAAAGCTTTAGGTTGAAATATAGAAGCACTTGAGTTTGAAGATGGCAATGTGGGTTTCTTTGAAGTATCACTATCTTTTATGTGCTGATTTTGTTGAAGCAAGTAGAGTTTGCGGTCAGTGGGTAATTTACGAAGTTTTTCTCGATGAGTATCCTTCATATTCAATTCATCCTATAGAGAGAAAATTGTTTCATGAATACAAACTTGATGCCTGATGTTTCAACTTACAAGCAGCTTTTCAAATACAACTTGTAATTCATTCAAGTCCATTTCAGTGCTGGCTTTTGACACAGTAGATGCTTTAGCTGAAGTAGGCGAAGAATTGTTTGAGTTAGTGTTTGAACGAAATGAAGTAGGACTGCTTGGTGTTGTACTACTATATTCTACGCCAGCATGACCTACTAGCCAGGTTGGTAAAAGATGCTTCTTGCCAAATCGAGAAGAAGAGGCGCTCATACGCAATACAGGTCGTTCATTGTTCATGTTAGCGTTTAGGCGAATGTTGGTTTGTGATTTCTTTTTTATTGGCTTTTGGGAAGAGGAAAGAAAAGCATTGGAGTTGTCTGATGTGATATTTGAGCCAGGAGAAGAGAGTGACTTTTGGACCAATTTGACTTTAGATGCCTTTTTTGTGAGTAATGTATCCTTGCTGAGGTTACCTTTGTTTGTTGATGCGTGGACTTTCATAGCTCATGTAAGAATTGAGTTTGGATATTTTAATTTCGCATAGAGTTTTTATCGAAAGAGTTTATAAGATTAAGTGGTTTGTTTACAAAAATTTAATTATTGAACTATGAAGAAAAAAGAAATAGAGAGTTAATTCCTTCTTCAAACAAGAAAAGAAAAGGCAGATTTTTAATACAGACAGGCCTTATGTCAGTAGGAGTGATGAAAAAGGAGATGTAATCACTTAAATTTACTCCTTGGGTCAATTCAACAAGCAGTTTTAGTTTTTAGTTAGAAAGAAAAAGGAGGGAAGGGAATGCGCCGCATCTTTAAAAAGTCTACAATTTATCATTTTGATATAGGATAATGAATGCACGTCGATCAGAAAGGGACAAACTTTTTTATTATTATAAATAAGGCTTTTCAATTGGATAACCATTCTCTATCCAAGCTAATATACCGCCATGAACATTATAGACGTTTGTAAATCCCAATTTTTTAGTTACATATTCGGCAGCAAACATACTCCTTCTGCCAGATCGACAAGAAATGACAAGCTGTTTATGTTATGTCAGCAAAGTATAAATAGTCTACCATAACTAACCTGAGCATGCTTATCAAGAGCTAAAAACCTTCTTTCAAATTGCTCAGGATCTGTATTTGTCAAAAAATAAGGTATATTATTATCATAACCAGGTATAACGCCTTGTTCTTTCAATTCACTGATTTCTCGGACATCGACAAGCGATGCCAATGATGGCCTATTATCAAACCATGAAGCAAGTTCTCGCACTGAATAAGACTTTATTTCAGAGCTCATAAAAAGGTAAAAAAAAAAAAAAAAAAAAAAAAAAAAAAACCAGCAAAGACAAAATCTATACTGAAATGTCGCCATTAAGATCTAAACGAAAAAAATTATTTGCTATCTTTTTCAAGATGCGACAAGGTGTCAAAAAAAATTCGCATGGAAAAAAATAAGTACTTGAAATCAAGCAGAGTCTGAGATATGTGAATAATATTTATATTGTCGCTTACATTAGATTATAGGAAAATTCAGAAAATAGAAGGGTAACAGATATTAGCCAGTTTATGTAAATACCTACAAGGATATGAGGAAGTAGTTGAATACCTTCCCTACTATTTTCCTATTACATTCATACTACTACACGCTTGACCAACCAATATCAAGCTATAATTGATGTCAAAGGCGGTACCACCAAGTACTAAACTACAATATATCAAAATAAGTATCTCAACAAATCATCCACAAAGAATTGAACGCGTTTAAGTATCATCTTGGTATATTAAAGGGCTCTTGGATCATGGTACCTTTGTTGTTGAGTTCGAATGATAAAAAACTGGGCTAATTTTATTTCGGCTCACATATATAACTGCTTTACTGTATTGCACTAGTAAAGGAAAACAATAAATCCATATGCTGCATTCTATAGTGCATAATAAATTAAGTAAAAGAGCGAGGCTCAAGTGCATGAAGACGCTTTATTATTGAGCGGGTATGGAATCTATTTCTACATCATATCTTTTGTCACGGGTATATATGTAATGATACAAAAATCAGCTAGTACTTGGTTGCGTAAACAATAGCCAAGACTATGATAGTAATGATTAGTATGGTACTAAAGCCTAAAGAGAAAAAGCGATTCAATAGTCTCCATCTCTTGACCATTTTCACGTTAGGGTCATATCTCTTTTGGTATCTCTCGTCTACATAGATAGGATAAAAAGAACCAATCCACCAAAAAGGTGGAAACACAAAACCAAGTAAGAATAAAAAGGCGCCAAGCGAGAAGAATTCGGTAGCTGTAGCATAAGTGTGCTGTGCTCCAGGACCAAAAATGTTTGAATCATATTCATACCACGTGTTATCTTTTTCGTTTATGAGATTGTGTTCAGAAGTAGGTGCAGTTGTAGCCCGTCCATTATCTAAATCGTTTGACAGGTAGCTCCAAAAGGTAGATGCAGACTCTTTTTTCTGTGGTGTTTTGTTGGGAACACTAAGTCGATCAAGTAGTACAGGCGCATCTTGTTTAAAGTGATTGCCTATGTAGTTATTGAATGAAGCGTCTGTGTCTGGTGACTGGGTTACGATGGCGTTAGGAGGCAAGGGTCCTACATATGAGGGTGTAGTGGCTCGTTGTTGCTGCTGTTGTTGTTGTTGTGGAAAATGTGTTTGAGACAAAATGCTTTCGGTGAGACGATAAGAAAAATCGTTGTCTACTGGCGGTGCTGTCATTTCGGTTAAGCAAGAAAAAAAACAGAGAAAAGGAGGGAGGAAAAGAGGGATTAAAACTACTAAATGAATGAGTGCAACCTCATTTAAAAGTCGCGCCAATAACGTTTTGACAATTTGATTGAAATTTACCTTTTGACCCAGAACGCCTTGTTGGTCTGCATACAAGCCGATTTTTATTGGCTGATGTATTCCCTAGACAATGAAATGTATATTCTCATAAACTAACAACAAAATGGTTTTTTGTAAAATGCAGATGTTCTCAGGGAGAGAAACATGAATCAAACCGCTAGGTTTGACAATAAACACATGAGGGGCTGGCATAATTAGACTACAGCATAGTAAGTATTTCGGTTATATTTCCCGCACACTTACGACGCGATTTTAACAACATCGAGTCTTTCTCGTATATCCCCCCTCTCTCCTTTAGTGATTAACAAAGATGTACATGACTAGCTCTACTAATACTTTTTATCAATCTCAAGTACTCTTCGAATCCTAGCAAGATTTCTTATAAGCCAAGAAATTTTCAGTTCTAACAATTGGTATTTCAGGTACGCTAAGATTGATCGAGAGTAGAAATCTCCGTGGCTTTCGCATCCCGAACTACTCCCACATTGCTGTAACTTTCTTACAAGAGAACATTACTAAGTTTATCGTTGATGGCGAAAATATTTAGGGTAGTTTCGCAATGCAATAAGAAATAATCTATATACGTATCATCACTCTTCTACCTACTTCTTGATAATGCAAGTTTTTCATTCTATGCAATAAAATAACCATGGCTAATGTGCTCACTCTTCAAATGCAGTTACTTTATAATTAGAGTGCAACTGTATCAGAATCTGCAATATTCCTATAAACAAATATCAGCATACACACTATGCTTAAAGTCTTCCCAACAAAATATATTTACACAAACAGTTTTGGATGTACAGATTTCATGACAATTTATTTTGTAATAAATTAGAACATTAGTATTTACGTTTTTTTTTAAACTTTATCGTGCTATGTATAAAAGGGATATGTAAAAATGGTTATGCTTAGAATTCGTAACCAGTTCTTTCAGAGTACAACTTGCGAGCTTCTTCTTCAGCTTGCTTCTTGGCCTTTTGTTTGTCAGCCCAGTCAAGACCCTTGGTTTCAACAAGGTGGTCAACGGAAGCAGCAGCCAAACCAGCGAGGAGTTCCTTGGCAAGAGCGTGTTGGTCTTCTTCACCGCCTTCTTCCTTCTTCTTATCAAAAGCTCTCATGGCAGCGAAACCAGCAGCAGCAGCAAGGGCTTGGTGGGTCCAGTTAGACTTGTGTTCTTCAGTGGGAGCTTCAACGTGGAAAGATTCGTAAGCTTCTTCGTGGTAACCCATATTTAATAAATTGTTCAAGTAAAGTTTGAGCTTGTCAAAATCTGTCGCCCCTTTTATATCTTTTTTTTTATTTTTATTTGGTACCTGATTCAATAAAGCAATTACTTTTTTTGTCCACCTTGCCGATATGATGGCGCAAACGAATAAGCTGAATTACAAAATTAACAGTCTTGTTTTAGTGTAATTAGGGCAAATATAGCTTAATTGGACACGCATAAATTTATTATTGTCACACAAATTCACATATATTTATACCAATGCCCTTTACATGCCTGGAATATGAAAGTATACTGGACTTTTCATTAAATACACCAAGTATCAATAGGAGATTTTATACATATATATAACAAGTAGCTTAAGCTTGTTTCGTTTTTTGATGGGAAAAATTGCTACAAATAATTTCATTCCTGAGTCCGTCAATTTGAGCGCCACATTATTTACTTCATTTACTTTAAGCTTTTTATCACAGTGATTTGCGTTTAAAACTCAAGATTCTTATCCTACCAATTGAAATTTTATATGATCACACTTTCTTGTTGAGTGGTACAATTTTTTTTGCCGTTAATAGCTTTAACTCCGTTTTTTTTTTACTCGAATTACTTTCAGAGAAGTTATTGATAACAAGATTGGTTAAGTTCAAACGTTTTGTGTTATATTGAGGCCTCTGCAGCTCAACAAGCTTACAGGGTGACTTCGTTTGTTTATCGAGAGAAGATGTCTTGTTCAGGAACATCAAACAGTCTAGATAGAAACAAATCAACAAAACGAAAACAAAGTCTAGGCTCAAGGATACGCGAAAGAGCTTTTGCATTTATTGCTTTAGCAAACTTATATGTGTTTTTGTCGGTAGGATCAACTCTTGAGAATTTTTTGATGTCGTTTCTCGTATTGTTGTATTTTTCAGAGCCTATTGAATAATTTGAACAATATCTATGATAGTCGCAGTAGGAAAAGTAAAAAGAGCGTTGAATTCATGCCAAAATTGAAAGAGATTTAGTCAATTAAAAAAATAGTACACATGTTAATGGAGAAAAACTTCCAAATGATCACTTTTTGGAATGATCATATACATATAAACTGAAACGAGAAAGGCTGGCAAAGTTTAGAGCTTAGTGAAATACTTGCAAAAGTTATTTTCTCAAAATTAATATGTTTATGCAAAAATGGTTGCTTTTTTGGCATGAATGGAGTGTTCTTCATTAATAAAACTTATTTATGGCATACATAACACGTTTAAAAGACATAAGAATAAACAAGGGCAGATAATACCTCAAATCTATCGTAAATAGTGTCTCTTAAATCTAATGATTTTTAGTCAGAAGTGCTTTCAGCCTTCATCTCATTTTTCATACGATAACTAGGGTAACTTAGTCGAATTATAAAACATTTGCAATTTCAAACACAAATCACTAGTGTAATGCAAGACAGCGCATTTTCGTCCAATCATAAATTGACAAACAAGCAGTAATAGCACTTTGTTCTATTAAAGCAGCTGAGAATATGAAACAAAGTGGCGTAATTGCTTCTAGAACTCTATAAAGTGTACGACACACAAAGAGTATGTCTTAAAGGAAGGCTTTGCACATTTGAAATTGTAGTTTTATGCAGTCTAAGTATGCCCTTATTTGCGCTCTTACTACCCTCTTTTACAGATTAAAAACCCCAATTGTACATTTTATAACAATTTATTTTGATAAATTTAAGACGTTCAGATTTTTACAGTTAAAAAGATAGATTTACAGGTATGCTTAGTCGAAATGATAGCCGGTTTGTTCAGAGTACAACTTTTGGGCTTCTTCTTCAGCTTGTTTCTTAGCACGATGTCTGTCTAACCAGTCCATGCCCTTACTTTCAACCAAGTTGTCAACGGCACCGCCAGCAAGACCAGCAAGGAGTTCCTTAGCGAGACTGTGGTCAACTTCTTCACCACTTTCTTCCTTTCTCTTATTGTAAGCTCTCATGGCGGCGAAAGCAGCAGCAGAACCAAGGAGTTCGTGGGTCCATTCGGCCTTGTGTTCTTCAGTAACAGTTTCAGTGTTAACGATAGTGTTGTAAGCTTCTTCGTGATTGGCAGCCATTTTAATTAAATCAAATGTTGATAGGTTTGGTAATGACTTGAAAAAGGTGCCCTTTATATAATTTTTTCACTTTCCTTATGTCCTTCTATATCCAGCTACAAAGCTATACGAAATAATGACGAAGGCGTCCTGTTTCTAGCTTTGTGTATTTCAAGATAGCATGAAAGTAAATCGAAGCATACGTATGTGTGTTACACTAATGCACTTTGCTAAAAATATACTTGACAAAGATTAAACTTTAGACGCGAATCTTTATAATGCTAGCACTTGTTCCTTAATGAATCAAGTATTTATTTTTTTTACTATAACTATTGTGTATATGCAAAGAAGAACAGATATGGAGTACACAAACAAAGACGCAAAACATGTACCTATCTTTGTGTGTGGGTGTTTCATTCATTTTCTGTTTCGGGAGGTGATCCGTACAGAATGCGCTATTTTTTTTTTCATTTCCTTCTTCTGACATGAAATTATTTGTGCCACGAAAATGCGAAATCGAATAAGCTCGCTTTTAACTACTAATTTGGTAAAGATATTGAAATGTGAGGCACAAAGTTTATTCTCAAACTCAGATAATCTATGATGTCTATTTTTTCAAGGTACCTGAATACTTTACTTTAAAATATGGTATAGTATAGATGCATTTATTTGGTTCATTGTTAGTAAGAAGTAAAAGAGAGACTCGACCAAGCCTTTAATGGTATGCATACCAGTTTTTTCTGAATCGATCTCGTACTTAATTTTCCTGTCCGATGATGTTGCGCTCTAGCATGAAATTAAAAGACTTGGCATTCTTTATCCAATCATCATTTATCTATTTGTACCCATGCATACATACGCATCAAACTGTACGTTTTATGCAACAACTTCTTTAACAAAATATAATTTTATTTGTTCTTTCTCTTTTTTTTTCTCCTTTTAAAAAGTGTTGTGATGGTATACATACAATTTGATGTGAACACATATAGAAATCTCTATGAAACAATCTAGGTCAAGATTTCAACACCAGTTTCTGTGACAAGAAGTGTGTGTTCAAATTGAGCAGATCGTTTGCCATCCTTAGTGGTAGCAGTCCAGCCATCAGGCCTAGAATTAAAAAAGTTAGAAGAGTCATAAAGACAAAGAGACAAAGGGACTTTACCATAAAAGCTCTTGGTGAACACCTTCACAAATCATAGGCTCGATAGTAAAGACGTGTCCAGGCTTACAAACACCAATAGCCTTATTATCTAAATTTGGAAAAATAGAAGTTAATGATATGACAAGTACAATAAATCACATACTGGCATAGTGGGGAACGTTTGGAGCACAGTGGAATAGTTGATTGATACCATGTCCAACAAATGCACGAACAACGGAAAAGCCATTCTTGGTTGCATGGTCCTCAATGATTTTACCGAAATCACGGTATCTCATACCGGGTTTAACTGCAAACAGTATTGTAAGTTATTGAAACACTCTTTTTTGTGTATACTTACCAGCAGCAATGGATTTTTCCAAACATTCTCTAGTAACATTGACTAGCTTTTGACCAGTCTCGTCCACATTACCGACAAGATAAGTGGCATTAGTGTCACCATGGAAACCATTGTAGTAACAACTGATATCAATGTTGATAATATCACCATCAATCAAAGCTCTTTGATCAGGAATACCGTGACAAATGACTATACAAACCGGTTATCCTATATGAACTAGGTAAAACCACTTTTCATACCTTCATTCAATGATCTAGAATAATATAAAGTCAATTAAAGGAACAATAAAAATTAAGTTACTTACGTGCAACAAGACTTGGGGAAGTAATTGTAGTTTAAGGGAGAGGGATAAGCGTTACGCTCAATGGTAGCCTCATGAGCAATACGGTCTGATCACAATAGCAAAATGTTTAATCTCTCTGCAGTGTTTTTTCTCTCTTTTTTTCTTACCAAGTTCATCTGTAGTTATACCAACACGAATTGCTTTAGCTGTAATTTCAAGCACTTCTTTTGTAATCTTTTCCACAAAATAATTAGTGCCCATCTTGATACCTCTATTTACTTACAGCACATGCTTTCTTGACGCCTTCAATTTCTTCAGGAGTTAAAACCTTAATATCAGAGCTTCTAGCCATGTATTCTGACTTGGAAAGACCTAAAGACAATGTAAGTGTGAGTCCAATAAGCCCAATAATATACCTGTTTCGGCATAATCAGGTCGAGGAATATGTTCAGGTACAATTCTTCGAGAAGAAAGTGGGTAGACAGCGCGAAGAGGGCCAGAATACTTGAAAGTTTTGAAAGGATCATAAGGGGCTTAATAAAAAGAATTAGTTATTTCTATAACAAATCGTTTTGTGCTTACATTTTGTGTTTCCGTGAATAGCTTTGTGAGTACCCTAACGATAGTGTTAAGATCTGTTTATTCACTGAACCTATATTTACCCAACTCTTTTTAAAGCAGTCTTGTGAACAAAAGAAAGAACCTTCGTCTTTGCCCAACTTGATGCAAGTAGGACACTGCAAGCGTGCTTCGTTTGAACATTCGATAGCAGCACAAGTTGGTTTTGTTGCCATATTGGTTGATATAAAGGAAGAGCATTTACAAAAAATCGTTTCTCTGTTCATACAAGTTTTTTTTTACAAGTCACAGGGAGCCATCCTTATGACTGCCTGACAACTCTATGGATTTAAGGCTAATTCGCGATGTTCAATAGTAAATTACTTCAAATATAGTAATACCTCATGTCAAGATCAATTGATAACGAGCGTATACACATGGACACCAATTGACATTACAGCAATAATTAGCTCTGGAGCTATCTCATTCCATTTAACTAAGCTTTATTATGTCTATATTCAAACAGATGTGTTTGCTTTCTCTGTCAAATCAACAAGTCTCTTTAATCCGACAATCCAGTTTCCATGTTTTTGATAATGTGTTGTCATTAACTGAGTGTGTACCTCAATTGCCTTTGTATATTCTTGCTTATTCAAAGCTTTTAAATAAAAAAAATAAGCGCATATCGTATAATATGATTATACCTTGAGATAAGATATTAAGTGATTCTATAACTTCATTTGAGAATTCTTTTTTCTCTAATTCATCTAGAAGGATACTAATTCTACGTTCTGTATCATCTAAAATTCGTTTTTGTGGGCCATTGTCAAAAGTCGATTTACAAAGGTCTAATTTAGCTTTCAGGATGGACGAGACATTTTGATAGTCTAGGATGGCTATAGTTGGCTTATCTAGTGTCTTGCGAAAAATCTACTTTTCTTATTTAAAATTATCTTTTTGGTATGATCATTATACAAAATATTTACCTCCATAGAAGGGTCATTCTAAATTGTTTGAAAAAATGTTATTTTTCAGATTTACAAAATGTTTTTATTACCCAATGATTCTTTATCACAGCTGTTCTAAAGTCTGAGTTAGAAGGAGGAGGAGGAAGAGGCTTCGATGCAGCAAAAGATGCTCGTGGAGGTGGTGGTGGTGGTGGAAGAGTCATTCTAACAATGAAAGAAAAGGGAAATTATATACCAAACTGGAATTTGCCAAATCAATAACATTTGGTTTGAAACTCAGTAAATGAAAGACACTCAGCTCCTTTTTTTCAATTGAATTGGTTTTTCTTTTTATTGCATTCATTTTGAGTATCTCTTGATCATGTAGTATTAAGCCTTCATAGGATGTTTAATTCTTGTTTGAGAGCATAGATTTTCTAATAGTAGTCTAGAACAATTTTTACTACAACCTATGGCTGTCCAAAAGTATGCAGAATGGCTTCATAACAAAAGAACATGATGGCAGCATTTGGCACAACACGCATTAAATGAGCTGACATGCCACCATATAGGGCGGCCATTCCTTCTTCTTTGACAACAACCTTGAATGTTTGCCATAAGCCTATATATTTTGGCATGCAATTATCAGGTATAGGCTCTCTCATCCTCGTTCTTATCACCTCATGTGGATAAGCAATACACGCAGCTACCAATTTAGCTACCGTGGCAGCTCCTAAGTTACCTGCCCATGCTTGTATGCTTTTACCTCCAACAGTTATTTTGTCTTGTGAAAAAGAACCATGCGACCATTTCTTCTTTAAATCCTCGTATATGACCCATTGTATTGTACCTTCTGCTACACCCAGATAAGAAGCACTCATGCCCTTAAACAACCCTTTTATGCCTTCATGTTTCAATAAGTGCATGGCACAATCCAAACTGCTTTTATAAGCTTGCTGTTTTCTTTGTAATTGTAACCTGGTCTTGATCACCCAAATTGGATTAGTGATAGTTGAAGTGACAATGCCTGAATATATACTAAACGATGAGACACAAAGTTCTTTTTTGGTTTTGATTCTCTCTCTTTTACCTGCCACAGCTGCAGAAGTAAGATGTACGATAGGTGTTTCTTTTCCATGGTTGAATTCAGTCAGTAGCTTCTTACTATTCCCATATGTATAGAAATTGATTGCCCTTGCAGGAATCACACCAACAAGATTGGGACCTAAACCTTTAAAATAGCCTCGAATGCCCTCCACTTGCTTAATTTGCCTACGATTTTAATAGGTAAGGAATACGTGATTAAGCAACTCACATTAACAGCTTTCCAGTTTCACTGAAATGCCTCCAGATTGACGTACAGTGAATGTTTTTTTTGACACCTTGTTGATAAAACGTCGACTATATCTCCCCAATGTGTTATATCAATAATAGTATTAGCTTTTCTATTACCTGTAGACGTGTCTTGACAACATCTAGAGGAGAAGTACAGACAGCACCTATCAATCCACCCACACTGTACCAAGTACAATAATTAATAACGTTTATAATACGCATCTTCAAAAGTTTACCCTCCTGCTACAAAATGAACATAGGATTTCGTACCTTTTTTGAGAGAGGTTCCGTTACTATTGTTTACTTGAACTTCGGTAGGCTTTAGTAAAGGCGTTGACATACTTGAATTAGGAAAATTAGAAAAAAAAAAGAGAAAATGTCATTCAATATGGCATGTATTCATGCTGCGCTCCCTATATTTGAACTCAGTTATGTTTTAGTCTAATCTTTTCGCGTCATAGATTCACTCTTTTTCTTTCTTATTCTATATTAAGTCACCATGTCTGAAGACCAAGCCGATAAAAACTATATGTCTATGTTAAACAACCCTTATATCAACCCATCTTCTTCTTCTGGAGAAGCAGTAGCAAAAAAGCAAGATATAAGATTAAAACCATGCCATTTTCCAGCTGTTCAAGAAGTCCAAAATATTTTGACTAATGCTACCAAAGACACTTTTCTTATATCTGAATCTGATGAACCTTTTGAATGGATTAATATAGAAATCAAACAAACTGATTTGCCTACAACTGAAAAGGAATTAGTTACACTAGGATTGATCCAAAAGGAAACAGGTAATTTCAAGATCGAACCATTATCGGATTGCTCTTTGCTTAAACAACAAGATTACAAGCACATTATTTCAGCTTGCGAGAAGGCAGTCACCGACAATGACTGGAAGGTGTATCGAGTAAAGAATGAACAAGGCACAACAACAACCATTTTAGTTTTATCGATTGTGCAAGGATCAAATAATACGCATGCACTGGTTGGATTAAAGAGTTTATTGGTTCAAACATAATAAAGCCTTATTTACATAATCGAGAACGCGCCTTTCTCTGCCCATACCATATGGCTCATAGTAACTGCCTTTCGTTGAGTTTTTTTTTTTTTTTACATCGATTGAAGTGACTTGCCATATAATTATCATTCATTTTTGATTTCTTTGCTTATTCCATAAAAGTGTTACTGGAAGTGACCGTTTCAGACGAATCGAATTATTGTTGCAAAGAAGCCATATATATTAATCTTGACGTCTAAGTTGTAAATGAAATATCTCGAAAATACGAGATCTTTGAAACCTTTAAACATTTTATCTGCATCGATGTCAATTAAGTAGCCAAGAAACTTGTTGACTATATCTTGCCAAATCATGGTTTTATTACCACGAGACCAATGGGTGTTTTGCATCTTCTGTTCCATTATAACTGACGCATTGATTATTCTTCTTTGGTACAGGGGTTGCCTACTAAGAGTTTTGTTGAGTATAATTTTGAACTAGATATTCCTCGAAGATTGATGCATTGTTGCCTTGTAGAACTGTGTCCATTGGGAGCGGGGCTTGATACTAGTGTTGAAATCACTTGACATTATTTTACGAATGTCTTGATTGTTTAGAGACAAAATCGCTTTGTTTTCTATTTTGTCTCCTTCAAATATGTCTTGAAATCTAGGAGTTGTTGAATCTCTTCTTCAGTATTTTCTTTAATGTGTCGTAGGAAAAACTGCTTGAATCGCAGTGCGTTGTTGAATATATGTCTCTGATTTGGATATTATTGCGAGCTTATTACATTTCCATCTGCTTTTGAAAGAAATATGGTTGGTCACCAAGTCAAGATTGAGAAAGTGTTGGACTAAACTTTTTCGCGTATGCGTTATCGAAGAACGTCAATTCAATACCGTCTTCCCAATGGTTGCATACAGCTGAAAGAGACAGAGTCATACAATTGATTGCTGATAAAGGTGTTAAGGCTTTGTTTTTTTTTTGGTCTATAAGGCTTTGCTAATACATCTATTGCTTCAAAGATCAATCTAAGGACACCATCCTTGCTCAGGGATGTTTTGTATATAGAATCAAAAAAGAACATAACGGGCTTGAGACTTGGATTGTTGGTTTCCATTTGAAGGGCGTACACCATTATACCATAAAGTACTTTCGAATTCATTTCTGCTGCTCATAGTTAAGTAGAAATCCTTATTAAGCAAACACGTTTGGTAGTCCTAGCCCTTTTTTAGTCCTAGGCAGATAGAAGACATATTTGTTAACTTGCAACTTCTTCTTATCGACAATACACTGGTAGATAATTGAGTTCAAGGTTGAAAATACAGCTTTTGGTAGTGGTGTCAGTTTGAATACATGCTACACTTTTCGAGTATGATTGTGGTGGCTACATTTGTTCTACAGTACATGGAAATGTTTCTCATTTTAAAAAAGACACTTGAGCTCTGACTCTTCCGGTCATTTCAGCTATAAAATTATCTCTCAGTTGTTTTGTTACGTATATTAGATGACTCAGGTATTTGATGTAGTCAGCATTGCTATAGTCGTATCACTTCATACATTGTTGAATGTATGGCTTTAATCTCACCCCAAAGAATATATCCATTTTATCTCCATGTAGTGAGAAGTCTATGGATTTTTCATAGTTTGTCTTCGTGTTTGAGACTGACTGTATGTCTTGAAGTATTTTTTCATTTGTATATATTCTGATTTAGGTCTAACAGATATGATGATTTCATCTGCATACGCTATGATCTTGGCAGGTGGTAGTGAAGTAAGTTGAACAGTTGTTTGATCTAATGATTTGGTAGCTTAGACTGAATATCCAGAGATGTTTTTATTATTGATAATTGATAGAAAGAATGGCTCTATAGCAAGATTGAAAAGTGCTGGTGGCATAGAATCTCCTCGTCTTGGTCCTCTTCGCTGTTTCACTAGATCGGATAGAGACCCATTCATGATGATAAATATTTCATTGTCAAAGAGAAAATTATGTATGAATCTAACGAATTGATTATGAAAGCCAATCTTCAATAGTATTTGTGCAAGACAGCGTGGATAATCTCTGTCATAAGCCTTTTTATTATCAAGCATCACTCCAACATATTCTTCAAATACTTTGTTGTTTCCTGCTTTGGTCATTTTGGTATTGTCGATTATCATTCTAAGTGTTGAATCTTGGTCTCCAATGCAGTACCCTAACACAAATTCAATTTGGAATTTGGTAATAAGCCGATTGGCAATTTCTAGTATCCTTGCGTTTATTAGCCTGGTGAAAACTTTACAGTCTGTACTTATCAGTTTGATTGGCCTTCAATTTCCTAAGTCTGGTGAGTCTTCTTTTTTTGGTAGCAATACAACACACGCTTACTACCATGATCTTAATGACTTTCTTAGTTTGATAGCATTATTGTAAACGTATGTTATGGTATCTCAGCAACTCAGTTGGTTAATAACAATATTGAGTATCTCATATGGGATGTCATCAAAATCTGGACTACTTTTACGTGGACTTCTTTGTGTACCTAGTATAATGTCCTCGTAGTAATTTTCTTCAATCAAACTGTCATTCTCATCTTTAGACACGACCTTATTGAATTGGCTTAGCATGGCTTCTAAACTACTTATAACAATTCTCTCATTCTTCTATTTTTGAATACCTTGGCATCCTTTAGGTTTAAGGCATTGTTAACGTTGATTATTGAGCAATGTTGTGTTCAGATTGCTTGGTGATAGTTGGACTTGAATTTCATGTCTTTATGCTTTCTTCAAAGGTGAGAGATGGTATATTGGTTACTTGGCATAGAAGCATATCCGATTTCTTGCTCTTCAGTGAAACAAGTGTTTGTATGTAGTCGTTTTTTCTTTTTTATCATTTTTTAAAATTAAAGACATCACAGCGTAAGCGATAGAAGAAAATTTCCATAAAAAGTATAAGAATTCCTCACTCATTGAAGAAAAATCTTGGTCAAATTTTCACTCAAATATAGAAAAAAAATGCAATCGCTTACGCTGTGGCAAGAGTGTATTTTCTACCCTAAAAACAATTATATTTTCTAGAAATGTTCCTCTGTTGACACAGATAGCATACTTGCGCATTGATATTGATTTTGTCAACTTTATAATCGAAGTTTGTTAATTTATTAATTGTACAGAAAAGATCCTTTTGAACACATGGCCTAATGTGGCCTTTGACTACTCGGACTCAACCAATTCATAAAAATGACTGTACTAAGCTAAAAATACCTCAAGAAAACAACAGCAGAAAAGGAAGAGAGAGGAGAGTGTTGATCTAATAGTGTGCCGGCATGGGTTTGTAGCCAGAGAAGATATGAAAGCATTTGATTAGATGTCGGATAAAAGCGAATGTATATAGGCCCATTTGGTACTTTAATTAAGTAAAGAGCAGTTAGTCTTGAGTATCTTTGTGAGGAAACAATCCACAAATCTCTAAAAGGCAAAGAGCTTGGTCAAAGGCACTTTTACATTCTCTCAAGCTATCTTAAGCGGTGTCTAAGGGCAACTCTTGGCTTTGGAGAAGCTCCTTGATGCATGTTTAGAGCGCTTTTCTGGAAGTAGTAGTCAGAGCAATTAGGTAATAATTGACTAGATCAGTTGGATTGCCTCTCTCATGAATCGGGACTACTTGTACGACTTGTCAACAGTGAGGCGTGTATGGCCAACACCAACACCAACACAAATCAAAAATACGAAAAATCAGGGGATCACTAGAATATGTGATATCTATATACAAATTAAAGCTAGAGCTATAAAAAGGCCACGGTAGTAGCCGTAGATGTCAGGAACTTCTCATGAATGCAATGGATTTACAGAAAAATATGTGCATTTTAACATCCGCTAACATTTATGCCGACATGGCAAGTATGCCAATTGTGTACTCAAAAAAATATTTTTGAGAAAAAAATAGAAACCACTACTTTAAAATAAATCAAAATTATTTTCTACAATGACAAAAAAAAAAGTAAAAAATTCTTAATTTTCTGTTTTAAATTAATAAAAAAAGTAAAAAATTCTTAATTTTTTGTTTTAAATTAATAAAAAAAAAGCTTGTTTTTCAATTTTTCTGTTCTAAATTAATGAACAAATCTACCAGATGTTGATTTTGTTTTTTTTTAATTTAAACAGATATTACTACTTGGTAGATTTGTTCATTAATTTAGAACAGAAAAATTGAAAAACAAGCTTTTTTTTTATTAATTTAAAACAAAAAATTAAGAATTTTTTACTTTTTTTATTAATTTAAAACAGAAAATTAAGAATTTTTTACTTTTTTTTTTGTCATTGTAGAAAATAATTTTGATTTATTTTAAAGTAGTGGTTTCTATTTTTTTCTCAAAAATATTTTTTTGAGTACACAATTGGCATACTTGCCATGTCGGCATAAATGTTAGCGGATGTTAAAATGCACATATTTTTCTGTAAATCCATTGCATTCATGAGAAGTTCCTGACATCTACGGCTACTACCGTGGCCTTTTTATAGCTCTAGCTTTAATTTGTATATAGATATCACATATTCTAGTGATCCCCTGATTTTTCGTATTTTTGATTTGTGTTGGTGTTGGTGTTGGCCATACACGCCTCACTGTTGACAAGTCGTACAAGTAGTCCCGATTCATGAGAGAGGCAATCCAACTGATCTAGTCAATTATTACCTAATTGCTCTGACTACTACTTCCAGAAAAGCGCTCTAAACATGCATCAAGGAGCTTCTCCAAAGCCAAGAGTTGTCCTGTAATAATACTACTGTCCATGAAATTACAAGGTTACTGCAGTTCAAGTACATTTTTCATGTTTATTATCTGCCTGTTGACATACTTTTGGTCCTTCCACTACTTGCTCATTAACTGTCTATTGTCCTTCTTGTAACATATTTATTCCAGTGGCTGATATAGATATTCCAAAACAAATATGTACAACCAACTGCCTCAACCTTCATCCCAGCTATTCTATGCTGATTTCAGCATCTTTTTTAGCCTCGAGAGTAAAAAAATTTTACCTTATTACCTTGATGTTAGAAAGTTTGCCTGTATCCTTTCAATCACGTAAAATTGAAATGTTTCTATGTGGTCATGCGGTCTATATGAATCGAATTAGAGAATTCCGATATAGGTAAGTGGTCTTGATCACTTGATTTTTATAAATGAATGTGTGCTTAATTTTCCTTTTTTCCTACACAACATGAAACTTCTCTTTTACATGACTTTTTTAACACCAAAAGTAGCCTTTTTTCGTTTAGAAAAAAACTGTTATAAATAATAACAAAAATGTCTCTCGATCTGCCAATCGCAATAATAAAGAATGCAAAGGGCTAGTCAGTTGTCATTGTTATATCTCAGAGGTATTATAAGCCTATTCTTTTAGTCAATGTTCTTTTTTCTATTAGTTTTTCGATAAGTAAAAACAGTTTTTAGAACCCAATTAAATGCTTTATTTAGCTCAATAGCTGGATATATATGATATTGCTACTAGATACTTTTTTATTCACAAAACTAAAAGATGAACGAGTTATTCTTGTCTTCAGTCTTCTTAATTCATGTATGCAAATGCTACTGTATGCAATGTCTGTCAAAAACATGCCTATCATATGAGCGTTTTCGAAAAAGACCTCATGTATGGAAAGCCTTAGCCCTTTAATTGTTTAAATCTGTCTATATGATCCCAAACGACATGATTTATGCAATCGGTATATTAAAGTAGTAGTAAAGTCTAAAACCATTTATTCAGCGCGTTATAAAGCTTTTGCGTAATAAGAATTAGTCATGTTCATCCAACTAAAGATGTATATTTTGTAGTGTATCATGAAGTAAAACTAGTAGCATTAAACAAAAAATAATACCATATTATTGGCCTGTTGACGCATTGTATAACAAGAACAAACGGAATGTGGTTTGCTTGGAATCTGGTTTAGCTACACAACTTTTAGTTCACTTGTCATGAAGCCACACAAATACACAGAATATATACCAAGAATTGAAAACAAGTCTTTTTTTTTTCTATGCGTATCAAAAATTGAACTTTTACTTGGAAGTGCCTGAAAACGTAGTTATCTGGCTTTGGTGCGAATCTATTGATGCAAATAACACAGTAGCTTTGTCAGTAGAAATATTAAGAGAATATACAAAACCGCTTAAGTTTTTCACTTTAATCATTATAAAATTAGCAAGAAAGCACATTCATGAAAAACTATGGTCATTTTGAGTGCTTAAACTTGTCAATATCTTCATTCTTCGTCCATAAATAACACACTTGATAGTAATCGGGAAAAAGGAAATTCACTTTGTATTTTTCAGTAACGAAGGATATGCTAACCATGGTCCTTTTTTATGCTTGCCCATGACTCCGAGTTTTAATCATTTATTTGGTTCATCTTTCATGCCAAACATGTTCATACTAATCGGATTTATTAGAGTGATAACATCTCTAACTTTATATGATATCCATGCTCATGCCTGTTTGTAGGCACTATATGACATTTGCCGTCTCACAACTTGGTAAGACTATCCTTGACGTGTTTGTCGCTGAGCAATGCTTCGCGCTTTTTAATGTGGTAGTTTATAGAGCATTAAAGTTGCCCCATTGATTACTTGGTTCATCGTTATAAAATATTATTGTTATGCTTGACACCAATGCTTAACTTTATTTAGTCAAGCTTTTCGATTTCTGAATGATATAAATTATTTTCATTTTGTTTCGCTGATTGAACAAGATAAGTTCGGACTAAAGTTGTTCCAACACAACATTTTGCCTACTGTCGTATATCATCAAATTTGACCCCAAATGATCAATTTGCGCGACATAAATAAACCCAAGCCAAATACGTAAAAACGATTACATTTCTCCTTTTTTTCTTTTAGCTATTTAATGACCTTTACAGTCTTATCTGAACTTTCTCAGAAGATGAAGCATTCTAAGACAAACCATCATTTACATGATATAGGGCAAGAACAAATGAATGACGAAGAACAAGACGAACAAGATTTCTTGACAAACAGAAGCTATACACAGAAACATCTCGATGAAATCCTAGGCAAGAAACAGGAAACAAGAAAAACTGAGCAAGAATCGCCAAAGCCCCAAAACTTTGCAGAACGGATCATGTTGTGGCTTTATCAACTCCAAAAGAGCACTAGTAAGCATTATCGGCCTAGTGGGTATTGGCGGTATGTTGTAGGAGTATACCAGAACCTTTTCCTGATGTTTTACTTCAACTGGACTTCCATCTTTACTGCTCCACTGAGTGCATTTGCATTTATCTTCACATATCCCATTATTTCTGTCGCATTATTTGCTTTTGAAATTGGACTCAAAATTTTCATGGAGCTACTGGGTGGTCAAAAACTAGTTGATTGCATGAGTAGAGACTTTGGATCAAGTAACATAAACCATAATTTAATTTCAAGCTAACAAAGTAATCTTGTTTAGGCTTTAGCATCATCAATTGGGGAGCGCCTGAATTACTGCTTTCTTCAGAGTCAGCCAATTTAGTAAGAGCAACATTACCTGCACTTGGAAAATCGGGATCAGAAACCACTCGATTAGACACAAATGACGAACAACGTCATCGAACATTCGACATATCCATCGCTGAGACAATGACCATCCTTGGATCGCTTGTATACGAACGGCAAGACAAGAAAATTACTCAAGCTTATACTCTTTTTTCTGACTATAATCAAAACGAACGTAACCTTTCCAATCCAGAAAAGAAATATCAAGAAATTCAGCATGAAATGAAGCGACTTGTTTGGGAATCAGAAAAACCGATACGCCAAATTGCCCGTCGTTATGGACTCCATTTTGCTGGCGTAACTGATCTCAAGTCGTTAGGCGAAACATTCTGTGGCCTGTTTTGGCCAATCAAAAGCGATGATCCTTTCATTGTTGTCGCCTTTAAGGGTACCACACCCACAAACTATAGCGAGTTCTTAGTTGATGCTACTTTACAACGTACAGATGCAAGAAGCTATTTGTTTGGTTCCGCACACGAAGGATTCTATAGCAGCTTATTTCCTACACATTTAGACATGGACAGTAGAGACCCTTATTACGCTATTCAGAGTGCTATTCGAGAAAAAGCGATTCAGCTCCAAAAAGAATCCAATAACCCTTCAAAGCCTGTACAGTTGTGGGTAGCAGGTCATTCTTTAGGTGCTGCTATTGGTTCCCTGTTGTTCGCAAGATGGCTCAAGTGCCCTGAAGACATCGCTCCTTTTTGTGAATTGCGTGACGCTTATGTGATTGGCACACCTGCTGTAGGAGATAATGATTTTGCTTCTATGTTTGCCTCCTTTTCTAATTTACCCTTGTCAAGAACTTGTACTTTATGGCGTATTATTAATAAGTCCGATGTGATATGCAGAATCCCACCTGGCTATAACAGTATGACAGTCGGTCACTATGTAGCAAGCACCGATTTCTTCAATTACTCTCATGTAGGCCATGCAGTTCAAATCACCCATCCTATCCTAAGCGTCAAGCCCTTGAAAATATACCCATCAAGCTATCAATCCAATCTGACAGTAGACATCATTGCCTCTGCAAATAGCTGCAAGGTAAACAGACCGGCTGTTTTCCAAAAGCCCAAGCTAGACATTTACAGTTATCCTTGGTGGTTTAGACCTCTTTTAAAGAGGTATGATAATCCTATCTGTTTATTGGAATCTTTTTACCCTTTCTTCATCAGAGATCATATACCTATTCACTATTTTGAAGGCCTAGAACGTGCACGTTCTTATTACCAAGACGATACCAAGCATGTGTAACCGATAAAATTAAAAGTTTGTTGTGGTATTTTTATTATTAAACTAGAAAGCAAAAGGTATATATTTATATATTATAAAAAAAAAGAATGAGTTAATCAACGCTCTTCCTGTAACGTCAAACAAAATTGTGCGTGTTGGAGGGGGGAATATGTAATTGGTAAATAGTGAATTGAGGGATTAGCCTACAGACTGGCAGCAGCCTTGTCAACTTGAACCTTTAATGCATCCTTATTAAACATAATCTTGGCCAATTCTTCTAATTCAATTGTATCTAATAAGCGAATTGTAATTTTTGGTGCATGCCTGACTCCAGTGGCCTATATACATATATGTCAGTAAGAATGTCATATATATATATATATATATATATATATGCTGTATTTTTACCTTGACCAAAGGGAACAATTGATCGCCCAAGAGTTGTTTCTTTTCATGGACAAGTTTTCCTTCAAATGAACTCAATAAAGCCTTAATCTCTGCAGCCTTGGACGAGTCTACAGAAGGAGGTGCAACAATGGGTATAGCTTTTGATTTGCGTGGAGGCACAATGACTATGTCTTCAGTATGTTGGTAGCTCATAGGAGGAGTAATAGACTTTTTTTTGGGGGGAGATGTAGGAGGACTGACTGTGGCACCCTTAGGTACAAATACTCTATGAATTTCATAAATATCTATGTCATCTGTACCTGCGATCGCTTACCTTGGCTTAATCTCAGCGACTTTATAGTCTCGCTTCTTTTCTGTAGTAAGAATAATCTCTTGTTCACCTTCGTCTTCTTCACAAATCTCAAGTGCTTCAGCAGCAGCATTGATTTTATCTTTGAGAAAATCAGAGTTAAATAAGCAAAGCGATCGTTCTTTTCTTTTGAGTGTTAAGAGCATATCGACAATATCATGAAGTTCTCTTCCATATGAGCCACATTGCTTGACTGCTTCTGTCATACGCTGACGTTGAACTTGTGCACTTGACTCAGTCATGATAGAGTTGACAGATTCCAAAGATCCTTTGCGTCGAAGTGTGCGAATAGATTCTTCTTCAATCTTTTCCTCTTCTCTCTTTTTGTATAAATGAGATGGTACAGGTTGTATGCTAGCTCCTGAAGCAAGTGAAGCTAATGATGGACGAGAAGCAAATGGGGGCGAACTGCGAATGGGTGGAGGATTGAATGTGTTTTCGACAACAGAAAGCTAATGAGAGTAAGTTGCTATTATCAAGTACCTGGCTACTATACCTTTCTTTGCATGGGCGCACCAACAGAAAGGTCCTTCATATTGATAGCTAAATGTTCAACATGGTCAATTCCAAGTGTATTCATAGAACCTATAATATAGAAAAATGAGCTTTCATTTTGATAGCTTTTTTTTCTTTACTCTCATGAGGATGTCTTGTCTCAAAATAGGGAGTTGTAGCATAATCGATAGGAGCGCTAGGAGGAGGAGAATGGAAAGAAGAGGTTGTAGTAGAAGAAGACTTTTCTTGTCTAGGCTTCTTGGGTTCATGGTAAGCAATGATCATTGGTTTTGTACGGAACTGATATCCGTTCATTTCTTGAAGAGCCAAAGCAGCTTCTTCAGGCTTTCCAAAGCTTACAAAACCATAACCCTTGGAGAGTCCGTTTTGTGGATTGCTCATGACTCTTGCAGATACAATGCGACCAAATTTACGGAAAAGATTGAACAAGTCGGTATTATCCACGGTTGGGTCGAGATTTTTGACATATAAGTTCATAATATCAACATAGCCTGTTCCTCCTCCCATTCCTCCTTCTTTATTTTCTGCTGAAGCATGTTGGTTCTAAACAGAGTAAGAATAGTAATTTCAAAAATATGACTTACGTTATTTCCTTGATAGCGACCAGATACAAAATTGTTCATTACAAGTGAAGTGATTTGACTAGAATAAGAAAAAGAAATAAGGAAAGAAAAAGAATAAATAAAAAAGAAGAAAAAGGAACCAAAACAAAAAGTTTTTTTTTTTTATAGTAGAGCCCCAAAAACACTCCGTTTGAAAATCACTTTCTACTTACATGACATTACCATCCATCACCTTGCCATTCTAGACAATAGTGAGTAACAAACCCACGAATTTTTGAGTTGTTCACTTACCAATTCATTTACAGCTGCGTCTGAATCAGTTTTACTAAAGAACTGAATAAGTGCTTTTCCTCTATGAGCACCATCTTCTGTAATCGTTTTACAAATATTGAGGGGACCAAAAGGGCGAAATATGTCATACAGAGTATTATGATCAATTCTGGAAGGTAAGTGTCTTACTTCCAAAATTAAGCCTTCGGGTTGAGGCTCATTTGAATCACTCGATAGCTTGAATTTCAAGACTGTCTGGTTGGCAAACATATAACCATTAAAAAGTGAATACACTCTATCAGCTAATAATCCAGCGTACATCAGTACATCTTGTGCTCAATGTCCTTGTCACTTACCAATTTTGGAATCCGGGAAGCTTAAATATCCGCCACCTCGTTCTCTCTTGATTCTTTTTGTTGTGGTGAAAGAACACGTTTTTAGATTTGGGGGAAAAACAAGCTCTAAGACTTACTGTGCTAGTTTATAGTCTTGTAGTAGATTATGTATATCATAGTCAACAAGACGGTCCTCTTTATCTTCAAAGAAGAGGTCTTTTGACACAAAAGACAAGTCATGGTTAGCTGTTATATCTTGATAGCTACTAGGCGAACGAGTAACTGAGACTGATTTACTACGGGGTGGAAGTTTGATAATAGGTTTTACGGTCGTCATTTCCTTTTTAAAGAATTTATCTGTAAATAAAAAAGGGGAAGAAAAGGGGTACTTACTATTTCTTCTTAAAATAAAAAGTCCAGACACAGCAAAGAAAGAAAAGAGAGAAGAGAAAAGAAGAAGAAAAAAGAGCAAAGAAAAGAGGAAAAGAGGGGAAAATATTTAAAGGTAAAACGTAGCATCCCTCTTTTTTTTTTTTTTGTTTGTTGCTGCAGTCTTTTTTTTTTGTGCCATAATGAGTTTGAAAACATACATAGCACAATAATAAAGTCGAAATAGGCTTTTTTAGGCAAGTTAGACCGTGAACTTAGTGTTGTCTATTTTGTTTTCATTACATATAATAATAGATACTGCTGTCAATATGTCAAGTATGCTGTATTCTAAATGAACAATTAAGGAAGACTTCTAAGAAGGGTATTTCTTTTAAGCATGTGAAACGCTTGTAGATCGAAAAAAAAATGTTGCATTTAATCGACCATCCAATCGTTTGTTGTGTATTCAATCTTGCCACGTTTCTATAGCACCTTAACGCAGTATGGTGGAACATGCTCACTTAATTTCTGCTTCTAAACGTTTATTTACAGAAAATGAAACAATAGGTTTGCTGTATACTATAAATAGTCATTCTCTTGAACGTGGTAACTGTCAATAATGACAAAGAGGAGTGTGGGGGTAAAAGACCGAGCTGTTCAAAAAAGTCTATTTTGTTTCTTTGTCTCTTTTCTTTCTTTCAAAGAAATAGAAACTACCTACCGTTTTTTTCTTTGCTAGTTATTGCTTACTCACCAAACGCTTCAAAAAAATGTAATTTGTTCATAAATATTGTGCTCGAAAAAGAAGTAACATAGCGTAGCACAAAAATTACAGCCCATCAAAAGAACGTATCACTTTTATATCTGGTTTTTAAACTAGCATGGACTGATACAGGTTTTTGAGTCTTTTTTTTTTGTACCTGTGTAACAAGTTAAACAGCTCTGTAACTTGTAATATGGAACCTTGAAAAGGCAATTTAATATAGTAGCCTTCACTCCTTAAAAGAAAAAATCAACTCTTTGAACTCTCTCCCTTTCCCCCCTTCAACACCCCCTTTATTTTTTGTAATGTTGTTCTTGTGCATCTCTATTTTTTCTTCTTTTTCTCTTTTCTTTTTTTTTTCTCTCACAAATCTAAAAAATGCCAAACACAGTTCATGAAAGCGATATTCCTGATAGAATTGCAGCAGCCAGAAGAGAAGCAGAGGCATTAAAAGAACGTATCAAACAGCGTAAAGAAGCGCTAGCAGATTCAACATGTAAGGTCCCAATCAACGTCATATGTTTTGATCTAATATCCTATGATAGTACAGGAAATGGCTAAAGACATTGGTGCCTTACCTCGTGTTGTCATGAAAGCAAGACGTACACTAAAAGGCCATTTAGCTAAAATCTATTCCATGCATTGGGCTTCTGATAAACGACATCTTGTGTCTGCTTCACAAGATGGTAAACTCATTGTATGGGATGCATTTTCAACAAATAAAGTGCATGCCATCCCACTGCGATCCTCATGGGTGATGACATGCGCCTATGCTCCTTCAGGCAATTTTGTTGCCTGTGGTGGTCTCGATAATATCTGTTCCATCTATAATCTTAGGACCCGTGATGGACCTATTCGCCCTTCTCGTGAACTGTCAGCACATAATGGATATTTGAGTTGCTGTCGATTTATCAATGACCGTCAGATATTAACAGCCTCTGGAGACATGACCTGTATGCTGTGGGATATCGATGCAGGTGTCAAGGCAGAAGAGTTCGCTGATCATACAGGCGATGTCATGAGGTATTAGAAAGAAACATGCCTTTAATACAACTAACAAACAAATTAGTCTTTCTTTAGGCCCTAACCCCAACGTGTTTGTCACAGGTGCTTGTGATTCCACTGCCAAAGTGTGGGACATTCGTACTAAGAAATGTGTCCAGACTTTTGTGGGCCATGAATCTGATATCAATGCAGTCCAGTTCTTCCCTGATGGTAATTCATTTGCAACAGGCTCAGATGATGCTACCTGTCGATTGTTTGACTTGAGAGCAGACTGTGAACTAAGTGTGTATTCGCGTGAGTCCATCTTGTGTGGAATTACCTCAATCGGGTTTTCCCCTTCTGGACGTTTGTTGTTTGGTGGTTACGATGATTACAATTGTAATGTGTGGGATACACTGAAATGTGAACATGTTGGTGTGTTATCTGCACACGATAATAGAGTTTCTTGTCTTGGTATTGCTGGTGATGGTATGGCTTTGTGTACCGGTAGTTGGGACTCTACCCTCAAGGTTTGGGCTTAGTACATGTCTCCTTTTTTGTGTGTATCACCTTTCTCCTTTCTTTTTTCCTTTATACATAATTGTACAGTAAAGCTCTTTTCCTTTCTATTATTATCGAATATTTATTATAAACATGTAAGGGTATATCACTTATGTCGCTTGATTGAATGCCCAAAGACCCTTGTAACGAAATTTGACCTGTCATTCAGTAACGATAATGAATGCCTCCTTTCTTCAAAGTGCATCAGGTGTTCGTGAACTGTATGCGATGAAGCTCTTCTTTGTAAATGAGGTGGTGGTGATAACATGAATAGTGATGATGATGGTGGTGACGGTGACACAAAAGAATAAGAAGAAGAGCATGAAGATGAAAGAGAAGGCTGGTCTTGTAATGCGGTTACGCGTCTTAAAGATAGGAGAAGAGGGTCTTGAAACTGCTTTAAATGCCTGTATTCCTTGTTTACTCTATCCAATTCTTTGGTGAGTTTGCGCATGTTTTGAGGATGATCTATATAATTCTTATCGTCTGCCAAGAAGGATTGTCGTTGCAACATCAATTTGTGCTGTGTACGACTGAGTTCTGTGGAATATCGTTTCTTGATTGACTCTAAAAACGGATCAATCTGTACTGTATTAGCATGGGCTGTATATGATGTAAGTTGAGTGCTGGCTAATGGTGATTTTGAGTGGATATAAGGCTTTAGTAGTTCCATAAGTATATATAAAAGAAAGAAGAGAAGAACAATGCCATGTAGGGGCTAAATAATAATAACAATAGGCTCCTACTTCACATGATAAATTTTCTCTCCTTTTATTATTATTGTTATCTTTTTCGAAGTTTGAGCTTTTGCCAAAATGTTTGAATAAACCCAAGAATTGCGTGTGCCACAGGGCTTTGATTCTGGTACAGCACAAGTATCAAGACAGAGGCTGTCAACAAGTTCATAACAGCGTGTTTCATAGCAGCCTATAGAAAATACAAGAAGCACAATAGACAAAAAAAAAAAGAATAAGGATTTTTATTATTTAAATATAAATTGATAGACGTTCTCCCTTTTCCAGCAGCTTACCTTAAATACCCATTTCCAGCCATCTTCATCAGATACCAAAGGTTTGCTTTTATTCCTCTTATTGATTTGATCTCCATCCATTAATTCTTTTCTTAAGCCATCAATACGTTCACTTAAAATGTCAATTTCATGCTGTAAGACATCCAGTGCTCTTTTAGTTGCTGGACCCAAGACAGACAATTGCTGTTGTTTAGCTGTTATGGACGAAGATGCGCTCAAGGGTGTATGACCACTGCCTAGAGAAGGATTCTCTACTCTGTATTGGCGGACAGAAGGATGTAATACCCATGGATTCATACTACTGCTATCATCATCATATCTGTGGCGTGCTATAGTTGAAGCAACAGAGATTGGTCTTTTGTGCGTACTTGCAGAAGAGTAAGACAATCGTCTTAGTTCTGTGGGTGCGGTCATCATTGTCTGAGATGATGCTCTACTAGAGGATCTTATATGCTTTCGTATAGGCTCTGATTTTTGTATTTCATTCAAGTAATCTCTTTCTTCTTCATCTATACTCGATTCTTCATCATCGCTTTCTTCCTCACTTGAATTGTCGGAGGAAGCAGCAGCAAATGATTGAATGATCTGCTGTGCTTGTGCTCTACCTGCAGGCTTCTTTAACGCCTAGTCGTGATAAATACATAAAATACATCTAAATATTTACATACTTCTTTAGCTACTTGTAAAAGCATTTGAACATAACGATGTTTTGCCTCTAACTCACTCATGCCTTCTAATTTTTTCCATGCATCCCTAACAAGTCTAAATATAAGCCAGTTACACTTTCTATTACCATTTTGATCTTCCAACAACATCAAATATACCAGGCCTTGGAGTATTTATATCACCTTGAGAAGCTTGTTTATAAAGAGAATAAAGCTAAAGGAGATGAGATGGAGAAGTGAAAAAAGAAAATAAAATAAACTATGTACTTGTAGCTTTTGTTCTTTTGTTGGTTGTACGTTGGAAGAAATAGGCAAGTGTTGAACAATAAATAAGGCTTTATTGTATTGTTGGTTTATATGTCTATGAGAATGTATCATGGTAAAGACAGAAGAAGAAAAACAAGGAATGCTGACAATCAAAATTTAGCTCTCATTTTCCAATGAAATCATTGTTAAATGTATGTAATATTTACTTGTCTCATGACTTGCCTTCAAGGTATTAAACAGATAAAATAAAGTCTTTGTCTAGTTCAATATAACAGCGCAAAGTCCCTGATTAGACGTTCTTTTGTGCAAGAAGAAAACAATGAAATACACAAGTCCGATTATTTACAAAGTGATGTTTTGAATGATTTACTAGTTGTCCAAACAATTCAGGGAGGCACTGGAGACTATTAATATTCGAGCAAATGCTAAATAAGTTAAGCATTCTTGAGGGAAGCATTAAGACCATTCTTTTTCACGACATTCTTTCAGCAATATATATATATATATATATATATCTTTAACATCTAGCCGCTCAGCAGATGCTATAGAACAAAGTACAAGAAGGGCATTTGAATGGTTTAATTTTTATGTCATAAAAATAGATTTGGCAGATTTTTGATGTACAAAACAGACATTTAAGAGCGTTTGTTTTCGCCTTGCACAAGATATTATTAATATGTGATCGATATCTCTTATGAGAAAACAGGTTTCACTTTGTGATAGACAATATTACATTTGTATTGGCTAGGTTCTGTATTACTTTTACAGAATAATTGCCCTTTTCTTTTTTTTCGTTTTGATGACTCAATTTATGACAGACAAGCAATTCTTATTTGCTCAACCAGATGAAAAAGGATTCGCATTGTTACCAATAAAGAAAAGGTTCGAGGCAAATCATTCTTATGGCGTGTAGTCTCGGATTTTAAAACATCAAGCCTTTTCCTTTTCATACAAAAACTTTGTGGTAATTACTAACACGAAGTAATTTGAATTTTTAGCTTGATGCTTACAATGATAAGCCTATAAAACAAATTGAAGCTATATTTTTTTTTAATGATAGGTCATCATACAACAAATTTATCGTCACATCATTTATTTAATATTTGCATGAAAAAACACTGTCTTGAATGCTAAATAGACTAGTGTCAACTATAAAAGGAAATCAAGTTTACGTTCTATGATAATGATGATGCTATGACAAAATAAAACTATTAAATCATCATTAGATTCACAAAAGAGAAAAAAAAGTGTATATAAAAGCATAAAAACTATCTTTTCTTGATATCTTCATCTTTATACAAAATGAATCCTACAAACAAGACACATCCTACTACTGACCCTACTATGACAACACACCAACAAAACAAACCTTTGAGTGAGGTCGATCCTAAAGCTGCCAAGCAAAGGGCTGCTGAAAACAAATTGCAGCTACTTAGCACATTACAAATCTTGAAGAAAGAAGGAAAGATGCCTCACAATGAACAACTTCTTGATCTCTTGGAACGATTAAAGACAAATCAAATTATTTCTTCAAGAGAACATATGATGTCAGACGAAGGAAAGCGTCTCTTTAACGACTTCCGTGATTTGATCTCTACAATTGAAAAAGCTTTGCAAGTCAAGAACAAAGAAGAATTATTCCAATCTCTTGTTTATCACCTTCACTGCATGGAATCTCCTCTTAACAAAGGTAATGTGTACATAGGTCTAAATTGTATCTTTACTCATGTATTATATAATAGATCATGTCAGTCAATCTGTTAAATCTCAAGATACAGGTGCCGCTCAAGAAGATGGAAGAAAAGGTAAATACTTTATTGTATTTATTGTCAATCATTAACCCTGCTTCATAGCTTCTGATGCATTATACAAGATTGGTAAACTCTTGCTTGTTAACAATGAATTCCGTTCTCTCTTGGGTGAGTTGGTTGATATCTCTCAAGACCTCTTTAACAGTGTCACTGGTAAGATGGGTGACTCTATCCAACAAGCTGGTTCCAATCTTCAAGGCAACCAATCCTCAGACAGATCTGGCAAGCACCTTGTCGATTCTGCCCTTGATACTGTTCTCCAAAAGGGTGACCAGATGCACGACCGTGAACACAAGCGTAATTCTCTTCATGACCAAGAACCTCATCTTGTCAATGCAAGCAAAGATGATCCCAGACATCAAGGCCTCTTAAATACTGGTGACTCTGTTCACCCTAGTGTCATTCCTGGTGGCTTCCCTACTGCTAACAAGAACACTGCTCCTGGTACAACTGAACACTATAATTTACCCGAAGGTGCTCTTGACACTAACGATGTTCCTGGTAATCAAAGACGTTACCAAGAAAAGATGCGTAACGAAATGCAATCTCACAAGAACTATGCTCAAGAAGAAATCAACAAGAAGTTTCCTAAAGAAAAGCAAGATGAACTCCTTGAACGTCTCAAGTTTACTCTGGCTGAAGTCCAAAAGCATCCTGAATATCAAGAAGCCATTAACACTCTTGTTCACTTGGTCAAGTCCTGGTCTTCTCGTTTGAGCAAAGTCACTCAAGATGTTACCAGCAAGGCCAAGGCCAATGACAAGCCTGAACAAATGAGTTACAGAGAACGCGCCGAAAAGGAACTCAAGACTATCATTGAAACCTGGGCTCAAGACTACTCTATTGACCCTCTCCTCCATGGCGTTCAAGATGTAATGCAAGATGTGCAAAATGATGATCACCTCAAGAAGTACTACCGCTCTGTTATCCAATATGCTGATCGTTTGATGAGAGAAGCTGGTTATGCTGCTCAAGATCGTTCTACTGAGGATGGTAAGCGTATTATGGAAGAAGGCAAGCACATTGTCAAAGGAAGATACAAGGATCATCTCGATAACCTGTCCAGTGAAGCTCGCAGAATTATGCACTTGATGGCTGAAGATGACATCTCTAAGGAACTCAACCACCGTATCACTACTATTCACCGACACATGTGGATGGACGAAGAAGGAAACCCTGCTTTCAAGCCTCAACTCTTGAACGACTTCAAGTTGACATTGCTCCCTGCCTTCATTGATGAAATCAAATACATTCCTGTTCCCCGTATTGAATACAGTGACAACCAATTCGATGTTGCCGTAGATAATCTTATCATCTCTGGTGATACCCTTTTGCCCAACGTATTTGAGACCAAGGTCGAGAGTTTTAGTAGTTTCAGTCTTAGATCTTCTGAAACCGCCCCCAAGCCAAGCAGACAGAGTTTATTTGTACGCATGAGCGAAATCCAAGCTGATATTGATGACGTTGTATTCTTCTACAAGAAGAAGAGTGGTTTCCCCAAGATTAGTGATCGTGGTGTTGCTTCTATCTCTGTGGATGGTAAAGGTATTACTCTTACTCTTCGCGTCAACAGTGTCAGCGACAACCCAGCCAAGACATTCAAGGTTGCTCACTGCAAGTGTAATGTCGATAATCTCAAGGTCAAGATCAATGATAGCAAACATGATATACTCTACAAGGCACTTCGTCCCATCCTCATTGGTCAAATCCGTAAACAAATTGCTCGTAGTATTGAAAATAAGGCGATTGAGATACTTAACCAAGCCGACCAAAAGCTGACCAACTCTATTGTCAACATGAACCAAAACCTTCAAAACAAGGCTTACCAAGCTCTTCCTGAAGAAGAAAGAGCTCGTCAACCCCCACCTAACGTCTCTCAAGCCCGCCCTCGTCCAGGTTTGATGTCTACTTTGGCTTCTCTTATGAACCGCAACATCAAGTCTCGTGTCCAAAGACGCAATGATATGAAACGTTCTGATCGTAGCTCTCGTAGCTCTCGTAGCTCTCGTCGTTCTTCTCGATTCTCTTCTTCTGGTGATAAACAAGAGACTTTTGCTCCTGCTTCTAGCGGCAACTTTGATAACTTGCAACAAGAGTACCCTCCTTCCAATGTTGGCAAAGCGGCTACTGATCGTCACAACTCTATTGCCAGCCCTCCTTTGTCTCCTACCAAGAAGCACGCTAATGTTGATCCTAACTTTAAATTGGCCACTGATTTGTCTCATGCTCAAGAAGAACATGCCAGAACTCAACTCTCTCAACAGCAAATCTAATCTTGTTCCATTTCTATGCTAGCTCAATAATACATAATATTTTTACTCTATTCTATGTTTATAAATAATAAATATCACCTATATGTTATACATTTATTTTACTCTAAGAACTATATCTCGAAGCGAAATTCCAAACTATAAAGGCACCTTTCTTGTGATATTTGTAAGTTTCCATGACATACCTTTTATACTATTGAACACAGTCAAACGTGCATTTTATTGCAATAAGAGGCAATAACCATGATGTTGTAATTGAATAAACTACCTCAAAAACATCTCTAATGTATATTTCTTTTATTGTTCTGCATACACTGTTAGATGCGTCTTAAAAACATGCAGAACTTTATGATAATTTATTGTAAGCTATCGTGCTTTACTAAACCGAGAGGAAATGAATAAGTTCGAACAGAGTAATTTTTCTGCTAGAAATCTTTTGAGTTTAAATTGTTTTGAAGTACTACTGCGTCGTGTTTTTTTTCTTTTCCTTTTTTTTCTTTTTTTTTTTTTGCTATCATTGAAAATGGGCAAACCTACTAAACCTAGAGTTAAAGGCAATATGAAGCCTGCCAGTAGTAGGTTGGTATCATATGAATCATATTCTCTTTCCTTTTTCTTATATTATTTCCTGATAGTCGTGCTGCCGAATTCGCTGGTTCGGGTAACGCCTTGAGTTTTGACAACCTCGGTGGTTTTGCTCAATTTGTTGGAGCAGGAGCCAACCCTACAGCCAATCCGATCATACATTCACGCCCCACTACTCCTAGTGATACATCAAGCACAGACAGTTTAGACCCTGAGCTTGTTGTGATCCTTAAAAAAATCTCGAAACGCGATTCAGTCACTAAATTAAAAGCACTCGAGGAACTTGACAGTTATTTAAAGATCAACAAGGAAGTGATTGGACGCATTTTGAATAATTGGGCCATTATGTACAGTAAACTCGTTTTGGAAGTTGATCGTCGTGTTCGTTTAGCAGCAAATCAAGTACACGCGTTGATTACAGCAGATGCAAAAAAGAAACTTGCACCTCTTTTAAAAGAGTTTATTGGACCTTGGCTATTAGCCATGCATGATCAAAGTAAAGATGTGGCCAAGGTGGCACAACATGCATTTGAGGTGAGTACCTGCATAAATAAACCTATTGTACTCAATGTATAAAATAAGGGTGTTTTTGCACAAGACAAAAGATTAGGCGTTATTTCATTCTGTCAGAAGGAAATCTTGGATTATACAGCAGATATGTTATTATACAAAACAGCAGAAACATTGAGTGATTCTAGATATGTGTCTAAAGAAGACATGTATGCCAAGTATGCGCGTGTTGTATCATCCAGTTACCAAATTCTTTGTTACTTAATCACCAACTTACCATTGGAAGAACGCAATACATGCCAAGCTGAATACAATCTTATTCTGGATGATAGCACTATGTGGAAAAAGTTCTTGGCACATGATAATGCTCTGGTTCGCAAGGCATTATACATGTTTATGAAGATACTTTTGTTGAATTGGGTTGACATGGTTGAATCAAGATTGGACTTAATTTGTCCTCACTTCTATCCCTGTGTGTTCACTGAGAAAGATGCTTCCACTCATTCAGACATGTGGGATACATTGTTGTTAATGACAAAGAGTAAGCTATACACACAGACACAAAAGGCGATCTCTAACCCTCTATAGAACTGCCTAATTCCTGGATCATCATTGGCAAAAAGAAGCCAGCATTGCCTAAATTGTATAACTTCCTTAGATCAGGACTAAATGGTTCTACAAGTATTGCTTACCCAAGTATGCTTGCATTATTAGCCAACCTCCCTCAAGAACTTAGGAATGCACCTAATTTCTATAAGGATGTGTTTGATAACTTTTGGAAGGGCTTATCCAGTGAGCATATTGACAAGTCTAATTCGCATATTCTTTTAAATGCTTATGCTGAATGTGTTGTTTATTTTGCCATCACTTTAAGGTAATTATATACTCCTTTTTACAATTCAGGTTTATAACTGTTTTAAATAGCAAATCCACCGATGAAGAAACCACGAAGATAGCCACGAGCCTAGTTGAACAAATCTTTTGGGGCTTGTTTGAAGTTTACTTTTTAAACTCACGCGACAAGACAATTAATGAGAAGCTAGAATTGAATGGTTATGCTATTCTCGCTAAACATTTGGTTGTATTGGCTTCTGTCGATAGTGTTAGGGGCTGTTTAAATACCTTCTATACCAATCTAGATGGTTTGTTAGTACAAACAGTAGTAGACTGTAGTTCTATTATCACTCGCGCACCACTTGATATGGACACATTTTGTCAAAAGACAAGTCATTTCTTGACGGCTATTTCACATGAAATTTCTCAAAATGACAAAAGCAAGCTTACTCATTTACAGTCTTACACATTGGATTTAGCCAAACGTCTTTTATTGGCATCTATTGAATCCAGCTTGGTGCATAAAGATAAATCATTTGGCTTGCTCTTGTTGGCTAACCAGTTGCTGAGCACTTGGCCAGACCAAATTATCAACCATGACACAATGAAGCAACTTACACATACTACACAGCAACTTTTGCGTCTGTTTATAGATGTGCCTGATACCTCTATGGGTTCTTTGACGTCTTATTATATTACCTTTATCTCTCAACTAAAAGACAAGACAGAAGCACAAGTATTATGGAAAGCATGGATGCAACAATTGAATGATATGTTTAACACTTCTGGTTTGGAATTGCGCAGTGCGAATATATTGTTACTTGCCTTGGAACGCCTTTACAGTCAAAAGATTGTATTGGATGAAACATATCAGTGTGAAGCTTTAGATTCTGTCGTTAAGACATGTGCTCTTGTCAAGCTGAATCAAGTTGCTATCGTTGTACCTCGTCCTGTACTAGAAAAACTTGTTTCCTCAAGCTTAGTTTGTCAGTTCAGTAAGTTTATGCAGACAAAATGAAATGTATTTTAACTGTGATCATATAGTCTTGTCCGCAAATGCAACCAAGGAAATCTTTGAAAACCTGACAAACAATTTGATTGAATTCAACAAGCTTCAATATATTGAAAAGAATTCACATACATTACCAGAACCTTCTGTTCAAACTTTGAAGACTACTCTATCAACTCTTGTTATTCTGCAAAACGTATTTGTATCATGCAATAATTCTCAAACTATTCACAAAATCAAAGAGCTTGCCTGCGAAATTTTTGATGTTATGTTTGTTTCGAAAAAGACGATTTATGATAACGAGGAATTAGCAAAGGCAGAAGAAGACGAGCAGCTTTCCGTCAATATTGCTAGCCGTGCTTTAGCTACTTGGGGTTTAATCGATAAGAATATGACTAATGATTTGTTCGCCGCTGTCTTGGATCGTCTCAAGACGTCCATCATTGATATCCATTATTCAGCAAGTCCTTCAGATTCTGTGCGTCGAGCTAAAAAGTTACTTTCATCAAACCATCAAGCTTTTGCTGCACTTGTTGGTAATGAACAAGAGTGGAACAAGCTGGCTGCTGCACCACTAGGAAAGAACACCACGGATTATTTAGTTCTTGGTATTGTTGATCCTTTTGCCCGTGTATCTGTTGAACCTTTAGTCGACGATGTTGGCGAACTAATGCCTGTTGCTTATGATATCTATGGCCTTTCTTCCTTTGGTCGTTTAGTTTCTTTCTTTAGTGAATATTTATCAGAAGAATCGCATGTCAGATTTTTGCAGTCTGGATATGATTGGGTAATGCGTCAACTCGAGATAGCTGCCATTGCATGTCAACATGGACTGATTGTACCTGGACTATGCCGTGTGTATGACACGAGAGCTGTAGAAGGCATTCATGCGTTTGTAGACATGACACACCACACCGCCGAAAAATGGCTGGTATCTATTGCTTCTTCTATCAAGAGTGGCTCTGGATGGAATGATAGTTTGTTGCAGGCAGTTCAACAAAGAGAAACAAACTCTAGCGATCGTTTGATTTCTTTTATTTCTCAATTGATACTGTCTAAAGACGCATTATCTGCTCATCTTTTACAAAGTACACTTCAACGTATCTTGCTTTTACTTGATTGGCAAACTAAAGATGTAGAAAAATGGTTACCCTTAATCAAGGCAGATGCAAAAGAATTAAATTTGTTAACCAAGGTAGCTATCTTGAATGCATTCAAGGGTCATTTGAGTGGTACAGAAGCATACAAACACTACCAAAGTGAGTTAGCAAGCAGATTGTCTGGTATTTCCAGCTGGGAACAATTGGATTATGTCCCTGAAGAAGAGGGAGACATCAAGGAAAAGACGAATTACAGCGTGCTTGTTCTCTTGAATACATCCTCCCTCAAGTTTGGTGCTTTTGATATACCACGCCAAAGAATTATGTACTTGATTCAAGGCATTCGACCCTTGTTGACCAATGAAGATGATGAATTCAGTAATGATCAGCAAAAGGCTCGAGTACAGGCACAGTATGCCAATCTCTTGAAGCATTTGGCAGAATCTGTTCAAGACGTTGTGTCTGGTAGCCATTGGGACTTTTTCTTGCAATGCTGCTTTAAATGGATGGGTTATGCTGATACCACACAGCCTGAAGAACTCTTGGTTGTCCAAAATGCGCTTGATTTACTTAAAACATTATATGCATTAGCTGCAGATAATAACGAGGATATTCAAGACAGTCTGAAAGAACATGCTAGTCTTTTGAGCAAATCGCTTGTTCAATTGATGATCAAAGAAGAGGAATATCTACAACAAAAGAAAGATCAAGTCGGCAACAAGGCAAGATTGGTTTATCAGACTCTCTTGTCTGAATTGCTAGAAAACATTCCTGACAAGACATTGATTGATAGCGATTGCTTCTCTCATGTAAGTATTTAAAATGTTTTGGACAAATGTTAATTTATTTATAGTTGAATGCTTTGATCCAAACGCCCAACGACGTACTTCAAAAACGAGCATATAGTTTATTACAAAAATACGTTGCTCACCGAATTCAAGATTTATCCGTCAGACTTGAGTTTACAGAGGCCAGTGGTATATATTAGCACTACTTTATGAATTCTTTACTTACATTATAATATAGAAGTTAAAGTTGACATAGATGAAGCATTGCTTGATGTGCTTCTAAACCCACCAGATCTATCTAATTGGCAATTGATTGGACTGGAAGAGCAAGCATTGCATGAAACACTCGGTTACCTTTTGACATGGATGCTAATGTTTGATCATTTTACAGACATTGTAAGTACAGAACAACACAATCGATCATTCACTGATTTGTTCTGTAGACGTTTAAATTAAAGCAGGAATACACTGCTCAACTCAAAGAAAAGGAAGCTGTTTCTCATTTGATGGCTGTTCTTTGCAAGATATTGAGCGTTGGGCAGCAACAAGGCAGTAAACCTTTTGATTTGTCACCTTGGTCAGTTATTGAATATGATATCGACGGCTTTGATGCTACGCTAGAAATGAGTTTCATTATCTTGGCTTCTCATTTGTATTATCGGGCGCTCACCCATATTCCTTCTCTTGTCCGACTCTGGTGGATTGATTGCAAGCATCGCCAATTAACAATTGCTATTGAGAATTATACTGAAAAGCATTTTAGTCAACAATTGATCAACAATGAAATGGAATTAGTTAATCGTCCTGATATCAAGACGCAATTGGAAGATAATGAAGACAATGAATTTACTGTCAAGACATCCAAGGCGGCAAATGAAGTGACGGCAACTTATAGAGTTGATGAACAAAATATGCAAATTGCCATCAAATTACCAAGTAACTTTCCTTTGCGTCAAATTGATGTAGAAGGGGTACAAAAAGTGGGTGTCAATGACAAGCAATGGAGAGGTTGGATGTTTGCAGTGACTGCCGTGATTGGGTCACAAGTAAGTGGTTCATCAATTTGAATGAAACCTAAACATATCTTTTTTTCTTTCTCTAGAACGGCAACATTGTAGATGCTTTGACTGTATTTAAGCGTAATGTCAATCTTCACTTTAATGGTGTAGAAGATTGTACTATTTGTTATTCCATTATTAGTGTACAAGATAGATCAATACCCACCAAACAGTGTAGAACCTGTAAAAACAAATTTCATTCTAGCTGTCTGTACAAGGTAAGTTTGAAGTGCATTCAAGGTGATATAACTAAACTGTCACATTATAGTGGTTCCGATCCTCCAATTCAGCAAGTTGTCCTTTGTGTAGAACAGTATTTTAGTTTTTTTGGTTTTTTTTTTACCCTGAATTAAATGCCAAGTTCCGCTCGTGATAATACGCTAAAATGTCCCTGTAAAAAGTAACAAGAAGAAATAAAGGAAGGAGAAAAAAAGAGGGCGCCATTATTGTTGAACATAGTACAAGAAAAAAAACTTAAACTTTTATTCAAGCCTCATCCTCTTTATATTCTTTTCAAGGGGGGTGGGTGATTATCAATTGCAATGTTTACACAAACAAAAAAGGGAGGAAAAATATCTACAAGTGTTGCTTCAATTTGTTCATGATAAGCTAATAATTGCTGCTGAATAAAATGGCATAATAAAATGGTATGCTGTTGCAATTGAAACAGATAAAAGACACAATGCAAGTGAATCTAAGAATACTAGTAAGAATAACAAAAATATCCAAAAGTATGCTTACTAAACAAGACTTTCTCCCAAGGTTCCAACATGTAAAGAGCTGATTGCAATTCATATTGATACTTTTTTTTGGATAGATATCGACTAATGGCTGACATTTTCTAGCTGAATACAAGAAAAAAGAAAGAAAAAGAACAGGAAGAAAAAGCAGCTGTATCACACATAAAACATACATTTGCAGTGTTTATTTTCTAAGCAATTTTTTTTGTGACAATCAATTTAAGCTCTACCTTTTCCTTTTTCTTTTTTCGTAGTAGTAGGAGGTAGTGGGGCTTCTTCTTCCAAGGCGTCATCATCTAATAACTCTGGCTCTATAATGTTTACATTCTCCCATTGACCTAACAAACAAAAACAATGAGAAAACCTAAAGACAATTGCATCATACCTTCTTCTCGATCAAAATAAACAAAATAAACTACATCATTATTCTCTAAAACTTTAGGGTTCTCTAACAATGTATATTCGCCCTTGTTTTTTGCGTCAACAAATAGTCTCACTTCATCGCTTGTCTTCTTATTGTCTAACGCTTGACATAGCTTTGTTTTGACTTCTTCAAGTGAGTTGGTTGGTTCAACGCATAAAAATAAAATTGTTCTGGCTCTTTTAGCTCTGATATACATTACTGGCTTTGACTTTGGTGGACAGATACATATATATTAGCATCTTTTAAAATGTAATAGAGATAGATACCATGATAATAGTGTTATATATGCAGACAAAAAAAAGGAAAAGAGAAAGAAGAGAGAGGAATTATAAAACGAAACCGCGTATTCAATTTCGGCCAATTAGAGCAAAGTTAAGAAAAAAACTGCAGCAAAAAGAGGATCGTGCATAACCTCTAAAAGAAAACTTTCTGTATCTTTCATTGTTCTCTTAATTTTGCGATAAACAGGCTTAATGTTACATCGTTATGATATGTTATTTTAATATTTAATTTACCCTTGAGCCATTGTTCGTCATACATTAGCTAATTCTATCATGATAATTTACCTTTTACGCGTCAAAAATTCACTATGTTTATCGATTATAGTCCTCTCTCTGTATCTACAAGAGATTCCCGGGCGTCTATTTACAAGGAGATAATACTTTTGTTTACAAAAGCGGTGAAGAGCTAGGTGCTTTAGTCAGAAAATAAAATGATGTTACACTTATTTATTAAAATCAAAAACTCATCTACTCTTGATTGTAATACAAAGACTCCGCTAAATGAACCACCCCCTCCTTCTCCTTTATATTTCGCAATCTTTTTTACCTCTCTTTCTCTTCTTTTTCTCTTTCTTCAACATATACACTCTTTTTCTTTATTCTCTCTAGTAAATCTTACACACTCTTTTTTCTCCTTGACTATTGCTGTCATATTAATATTTAAATGTCCAATATTGTTTATGCTATTCATAATTTCGAGGCAGAAAATGAGGATGAAATCAACTTTTCTGTTGGTGAACCCATTACTGTCCTAGAAAAAGACGAAAAATACCTTGATGGTTGGTGGCAGGTAAGAGGATAGATCAACCAGCATAATTAAAAACTTGGATTTATTGTTTTATTTTAGGAGAATGAATATTAATTATAATGAAACTATAAATCTTTTTTATTTAAAGGGAATCAATGTGCATGGAGAGACAGGCCTCTTTCCAATGAATTACACCTCGGCGCAGAAGCCTCAGCAAGCTCAAGCTCAAGCTCAAGAGCAAGAACAGCCTGAACCAGAGCAACAAATGCTTCACCCTCATCAACAGCCATCCTATATGCCCAGCCCACACTTGTCTTTAAGATCATCTGGATCGACTATAGAGGAAGAAATTGATCAGGCTTTATCTCAACTACAAGTATCACCCAATCCTGGCAACATTCAGTCAATCAAAATTGAACTTTGGGATGTCGAGCAAGTAGCAACCTGGCTCCGGTCTGTTGGATTAGATTCAGTAGCAGAGAACTTTATTGGTACATCATCTTTCACACAAGCAGAGAGAAAAAAAGTACTAACACAATTTATATAGATCAAGAGATTACTGGTGACATCCTGTTGGATCTCAATATTGATACCTTGAAAGAGTTAGGCATCACTACTTTTGGAAAAAGATACAAGATTATGCAGGCCATTACCTCTCTGAAAGAAGAAGGATCATCTGTTGAGGTAAGAAATCATTTTTCATACATTCCATCTCATTTCTTCCTCCCCTTAAATGTAGATGAAACCCACTCCCAATGCATCTGTTTCTACCAGTGCTATCTCCCGACCTGCTAGTAGAAAATCAATTCCAACAAGCTTGAAGAGATCAAACTCGCAGTCAGGTTCTTCTTTGGACACTTCAGATGCACTTTATCAACATCCTCGAAAGGCACCTTTACCACCAGGTTTAGACAATGCTGACAATGTGTCTATGTACAGTCAACATTTGTCGCCACAGTCTCGACCTCAAAATGATATCTTGAGACCTATTTCCCCTCAAAGTTTGTCTTCATCAAGCGTTAGTCGATCCAACACTTTCAACACTGTTTCTTCCGGCGGTACCTTTAGAAGCAGAGAGCTTAGTCCTGATCCTAAAGGATTCAAGAGCCCTCGTCGAGTCTTGTCTCAAAAGAGTCAACAAAGTGTTGAGAAAGAAAACAACAATGATTGGATGATGGTAAGTCATGTTCTTTTTATGCATTTTTATTGACACTTGTTAGAATAATCCTCCTATGATGCCATCAAATACACCAACGCCTTCTACTTCAACTTCAACTTCAAAGCAGCCAATGTAAGTTTAAGGAGAAAAAAGAATGATTCTAAACACACCAATTTTTTCAATAGGCAAATTTCAACTGCTCACAAATTATCTGTATCACCTTTTGAGGAGCAAACACCTAGAACTTCTACTACAGAAGCTTTTCAAGCACCTGAACACGAAGGCTGGTTGCATAAGCAAAGCGATAAGTACAAGACCTGGAACAAGCGTTGGTTTGTACTCAAGGGTACTAACTTGTTCTACTTTAAAAGCCCCAAGGTAAAAAAAAAAAATGAGCGGAAGCACAAAAAAAGAGACTTAATTTAAACCATGTGGTCATTGCACATAATAGGACGTAAGAATGAAAGGTATTATCAATTTACGTGGCTACAAAATCATTGTGGATGAAACAATTCATGCGGGAAAGTATTGCTTTAAAGCACAACATGAACGTGAAAGAACGTTTTATTTTTACACCGACAGTGAGGAATCCATGCGTACATGGCTTAAAATGCTCATGAAAACCACCATTGCACGAGACTTTAGAGGTAAGAAATTGTTTGTTGTACATGCACACGCTGAACCATCGTTGTTATCCAGCACCTGTTATGTCATCCAATCAAATTTCTACTGTCCCACTCGATGTAGCACGTCGTATGCGCCCTCGTCCTCCTTCTGTCATCATGTACAAGAGTCAAAAACAGATGAAAGTCAATAATGATCCAAAGATGGGTATGCTGCCAGAAGTAGAAGAAGTAACCCAAACCCCACCTGAACTTTCTATGGAGGATCGTTCCATGAGTACACCTGTACCTTCTCGTGCTCAGATGTCCTATAAACAAACTCAGGAATCAGCCATTCATCCTGCTACTACTATTCCGGAGGCAGCACCCGAACTTCCCCAATACTATCCAAACTTTGATCCACCTGAGGCCATATTGAACGAAGAAGAAGATCTTATTGATCCTCAGCATCACAGCTTGCCTCTTGATAGCTCTCTTAGTATTACTTCCAGTATTTCAAACAACAGTGATGATGAATGGTCAACTGCACAATACCTTGATTGGGTCAATTCTTATCTTCCTGCTGGAAAGAAGGCTGTTGATTTGTCAAGCGCTTTCCGCAATGGCGATACACTGATTCAACTTTTAGAAGCTATTAGTGGAAAAGAAGTACGCCGTCCTCCTGTTCAAAAGGGTGGATCTATGAGTGCCATGATGCTTGACAATATTGTTGCAGCATTCAAGTTTATGGGCCGTGAAGGTGTTGAAGTAGATGGTCGTTATACACTCAAGGGTATATCAAATAATGAAATACCTTGTTGAATCTAACTGTTTTCTTTAGATGTCTTTAGCGGCAATGAAGCCAAGATTATTATCATGTTGCAAGCCATCAAAGTATGGGCAGATCAAAACTACCCAACGAATACCTCTTCAACTGAACACTATCAAGATGATATCACTATGTTACCCAGCAAAAAAGCAAGTACTTCCGTCTTGATTGATGAAAACAGCGGATGGAGAGGATCCGCCATGATGGACCAACGTCAAGACTATTCTCAAGAGTATTAGACTCTCTTTGTCACTCTTTTTCTTTCTCATATATACTTATCTACCTTTATCTTACTATTCTTACAATAACAATTTTGTACATGTCTATTGTCTTGTCAAAAGAACAATTTTGATTTCTGCTTTCCTTAAAAAACCATTCTTGTTCTTTTTCTTTTCCACTCTTTCAAAAAAGAAAAAAAATGACCCTTTCCTTCCCATTCATTCACTTTTTTATATTTTACAAAAGTCAATACTTCCTTATTACTCCCCACATATATTTTAGATACAAATTTGTTATGAATAAAATAAAATCAAACAGTTAAAAAACAAGAACATGATTAAGAAGAAAAAGATCAAACATTGTATTTTTATTTTGCAATCTTAAACTTGATATTTCTTATTGTCCTGAGTCCCTTAATATACTAAACGCTATTCCTATTATCTTTATAAAACCACTGTTATATTTTACTTCTATTGATTTAAACCAAAGTATTGACTGCACATGGGCGTATTAAGATATATTGTTAATCTTTTACTACAACGTGAGTATGTTTCCAGTCTACGAGCGCAAAACATATGTTTGCATTTCAGGAGCCATTAGAGTCTATGCCGAATACATACGTTGTGTGTAGTATACTTATAGACTTGAATTAATGGCAACGATCGGTTTCTTTTATTTTTGTATAATCTTTGTGCCCAAGGGCTACTGGTTAAGGCACGTTCATGGTATTATGACCAAGGACAGGCCTAAACAAATAATGACTGATAATATATATACATTAGATCATAGGTAGGTATCGAGACAACAAGACAAGGGTAGAAATCAAGATTATCATAGCAAAATAAACCAAGGCCGACTCATCCAAAACCATTGCTTTGTACTCCATTTGTTCTTCTTGACTTACTAGCAGACCCAATTCTTCTTCATCAATGTAGAACTTTGGCTTCTTGTTTCTTCTTTGACTGTACATTTTTGTCTTTAAATGCATAAAAGGCGATGAAAGAAAAGCATTTAGTTGAGACCCAACAAACCTTTTTTTAAATGCTAATTTAAAGATCTGTATCGAGATCCGTATGTGATATATTGCTATGTGCAATAGCGAAAGAGAAAAAAAAAGAAAAGGGAGTAATTATCGCCAAACGTATTTTGATATCAATGACTTAGGGAGTGAAAGGGGGCTATTCTTTATTTTAAAAAATGGTTTTAATAAGTTGACATTTGTTTTTATTAGATATTAAAATTGCTATTTAGTAGATACCTACACAAAAAAAAAAGAATAAATCAAGCCATCTTTCTGTTATGGACTTACCAGGAATAATTCTAGATTTGACGATTTTGCAGTATTTTTCCCAATCTTCGCCGTACTTGTTTCTGCATTTATCATCGTCTCTTCTTTCACGGTGCAACAACAAAATACCAAAGTATATAGGATAAAAGTAAGGAATGACAGAGCCAAATCCACAAGGTAAACTGTAGGATAAACTCATAAGCCAGTCACCTAGGTAGTTGATGTGGCGAGACATGCCCCACCATCCAGAAGTAATCAACTTGCTACCAGTCTTGGTTTGAATGTATTTGAGCTCTATAGACAAGAGATGGATAAGAATAAAAGAAGATAGTAAACATCAATCTTACTCTTGGATCGTGGACTGTCTGGGAAAGCACGGAATTCATTCTTTTGAGAGTTAGCACTTCTAAAGATATAATAACCAACAAGATTGAGAGCGAGAATTGCACTAAATTCAAACAAACTAATACTACGAGGAAAATCAACCAAATAACGAGCTTGAAGAGTATAAGTAAATGGAACCCAGGTATAAAGTCCAAAAGCAAGCATAAAGCCAAAACCATCTATAAACATACTATCTGTTAGAGGGGGAAAAAAGAAGGAGAGGAAAGAAAAAGAAAGCTACCTGTAGTAATATCCATTGTAGTCAAGACAGCTTCTTCATTCCAAAGAGAATCAACAACATACCAAGTTTGGAAGAATTGAGTAAGAAGCATGGCATTAGTGATATAGCCAAGATCATTGTATTGTTTGGCGGCTAAGCAGTAATTGATTGTGATCCAGCCAATGAGACCAGGACGTAATTCAGTAAAAAATTTGACATCAAAGTTCTCAACTCGAGGATTCAATTCTCTGCCGATCATAAACTATTGTCCTTGTCAGAATAACATGTCTTTTCTCAATTGCTATACTTGCGTCATAGATGGGATTACCAGTGTTTCCTCCCAAAGCTAATAACTTGCCAGGGCCAAAGCTACCAATATAAACACCAAGAGAAATAACATAACTAAAGATAATAGAAGCAAATGCCAAACCAATGTAATGATCATACACATATTCAAGGGGTTTTAAGCCTGTATCCTTTAAAAAGTAAAGGGCAACAAAAAAGGTTGCGTGGAAAGAGCTGAATCCTATCATCAAAAGGTTATGAACTTGTTTGATATAGAGTCTCCATTACCATTCATTCTGTACTTGAGCCTTGTACCATCTCGAAGTAATGTACCAGGAATATAATCACCGGGTAAAGCAACATAGAATGCTGCGAGCATAGCAACGAAAGCGAAATAGACAATGAAAGCTGAGCGATCATAGAGAGAAAACAAATATTCTAAGCTCAATTTGGATAAAATGGTTGATTTAGGATCTTCCATGAATGCCTTGGAAGGATAGCCGGTCTTGTCGCAGCATGTAGCAAAGAAGAGGACGAGTAGAGGAAGAATAGTGACCATACCAAAAGCACCAACAGGACCTCCAAATTCATAATGAGTTGTCTTGGGATTCAACTCTTGGGGTTGGGTAGAAGTTTGTGGTGCTTCAGCCTTTGTAGGTTGTTGTTTTTGTGGCTTTCTTTGAACAGGTTTCCCCATACTTTTAATGATTTTTTTTTTAGGAAAAAAGAAAAAAAAAGAAAAGAAAAATAAATATGTAAATTAAGCTTCTGCATGGTTGTCCGTTTTATTGTTACACATATAGAAATGAATGTCTTCATGATTTCTGAAAGCAAATAAAAATTGTAGGCTTTGCATCCTTGGACAAGTTCCATAAAACATAATAGATTAACACTGCAAACCGTATAGAATGAAATCCCAGGTTGTTTATTTTACAAAAAAAAATATTTGATGTATTCACTATTTGCATCAATCACAGCTTGGTATTGGTCGGTCATATTATCCATCAAGTATGCAGTAATGATTTGAAGCAATTATGCAATTGACAAGATAGCGGTATTCAACTACCTCCTCATATCTGTGTAAATATTTTACATACACTAGGTAATATATGTTACTAACTTATCTCCCTTCTATTCTCTGCTCCTTCTTATAATCTAATATAGGTAACAATATAAATATCACTTATGTATCTCATGCTCTGCTTAATTTCTAGAATTTTTTAATAAAGTGCAGAAATCATGATTATTCTAGCCATCATGTCCTGTTTGGTCATATTGCTTTCGCTTCTTGGCTATATACACATGTTAGACATAGGAATCAAAAGCATTAGAAACCTTACCGTCTCTTAATACACTATATGCTGCGGATACTTGCTGAAATTTGACTTTGGCTTGTTGTTTCTCTTCTGCATCTGTATATCTATCAGGGTGATATTTCATTGCAAGGCTATTGCGACAATAAATCAGTATAACAGTGAGTCATTCATGTCTTACCCTCTAAATGCGCTTTGAATATCAGACTGGCTAGCAGAACTATTCACGCCCAGAGCTCGATAGTATCCCTTTGGATCACTTGCAAAGCCGCTGCTTGCATTTGTTTTTGTGCTGCCCCAGGATGAGGAAGACTGATAGGCCTTTTCCTCACGCCATGTACGTCGTCTTTCTTGATCTTCAAATGCTGCATATCCTTTAACCCAATCATCATCCCAAACTTGCCGATCTTGTGCCATTGATCGTATCTCTTGAGATCGCATCAAGTCTCGAACATACAAAGATAAAATAGGCAAATACAATGTGAAAATCGAAGCAGCTACTGTAGGCAATACAACACCTAACTATGGACTGAATGAGTCATGTATGTTTTCCTTTTCTTTTTATGCATTACCCAAAATGATCCACTAGCACCTCCCCATCCAATGCCTCCAGTGGCAGTCATAGCAGCAGCCATGCTCAATGCAGAAGCAGCAGCTACTCTTTCCCAATTGTATACTTTTGTACCTCCTATAGTCAAATCATAACCATTGATAAAGGTCCGTAATCTTCTTCCAAGGTAGTTGACAGAAAAAACAAAGGCGGGATAGTATATAGGTGAAGCGCTTACATTCTCCAGTTGAATTTTGATCTTGACGAGTCGTGTTTCGTCCATATTGTACAGCTTTCTCAAGAAATCATCAGCTAAACTCTCTTCAGTCTTTTGAAAATAAGACGTGGCAAAGCGTAGAGCAGTTGAGGGATAGATCGTAAACGGATCTATTTTTCGTACTATGTCGCTTGTCTTGCTGTTGATGATATCAGGCGAAAAGGGTACTGCATTTTCAAGTGCTGGGCCAGTAGTAATATGCTCAACAAGTCCTCTTCTATAACGATGTGAGGCGTAAATTTGTAAGCTAGGGTGAGCGAGAGGCACATAGTCTCTTGAGAAACTATGTTGCTCAGGAACCCAAGCCCACTCTGTATCCCAAACCGTTTCATTCCTTTTTGTTGCTGAATTGTATTTTGTCTTCATGACACGCCTACCCTTTTTATAATTGAGCTATTGTCGACAAAAAAAAGAGTGCTTTCTTACCACTTGTGCTTGCTCAATAGTGGCATGAACTGTGGCTGATACCACCCAAAACGGAAGAAACACTTGTTCTGGTGGTGATGTTTGTGATATGCGCGCAGAAAAAAAACCCTTTCCATGATAGTCTTCGAACGTCTATAGACATCATATCATGAATTTGTTGAACACACACGATTAAATAATCACCTTTTCAGCAGCTTTGACGTGTTGAGCAAACGGGATCACCTTGAGTTTTTTATTAGAAGGACCATTTTGTGAGCTTGCTAGCCTATATGCAAACTTGGCATAACTTTTACTAGCTAGCTTACCGCGAATAGTGTGAATTAAGTAAAGCATGATCTTTCCCCCAATTGTTCATTCCAAAGTTGTTATATGACTGTGACTGGGTTATGCAGGGTTACAAGATCAAATTGATAGTCGAGAAGATTGAATGTGTTTCAGCATTAACTTTGTTCTTTTTTTTTTGGGGGAGATGAGAGTTCGGGGCTCAACACTTTGATTCCAACACGTATTCAAATATGTACAATATACTATTTTCATTCTACGCGCATAATCTTAATGTAGTACACTTTTTGGTTCTTGCAGCAAAAAGATAACAAAGAAAAAGAAGCAACTTTCTCACACTGTATGCATTACATTCGCTTATACCTTTAGGCTTATCATGTTAGAGATATGCAAAAAACTTGTAAAGTATATATCTTTTCTTTCGGATTTTTTCCCCACACATTAAGAGTCGTATGATTAACAATAACACAGTTACCAGAATTTTCACACCCACTTTTGTATATATTTATCTCTCACTTTCTTTTATGTTTTTACGCTGTTACCAAGAATTCTTTGTGACATCACCAGACAAGGAATACGCGTTCCTTTCCTTGCTATAATTAGCTAAAATGAAAAGGGAACTTGAACTTTTCTCGCGGGAAATTGAGTTAAAGTGGGGTAAAATACCGCCCAATTAGATTAAACCATGGACATTGATGCAGGTGAGAACTTTTTTATATTTTAAACTAAAGTTAGTTACACTCGCACAAGAATCAAGAGAATTAGAAGAATATAAAACGCCAGGAAATAAAAGTTTTTTCTTCTTCTTTTTTTTTTCTCATCATCTTTATCGATTAATCATGTCTGAATTCATTGTTGAAACTACTACTACTAAAGGCTACAAGCTTAAGCGTAAGTAACTGTGTAACTTGAAGTAAATGTGGGGTTGATATCAAAGTTCTATAGTCCAAACCGGTCTCTTTATCAACAACGAATTCGTTAAGGGTTCTGATACTATCGAAACTGTCAACCCTTCCACTGGTAAGGTAATTGCCAAGGTCCAAGCAGGTAAAGTATAAAAAAATACATTAGATGCAGGAAACCAACCGCATTTTCTGTAGCTGATAAGCACGAAGTTGACCTTGCTGTCAGAGCTGCTTCTGATGCTTTCCACGGTCCTTGGAGCAAGCTTACTGCTCTCCAACGTGCTACTCTTATGTTCAAGCTCGCTGATTTGATTGACCGCGATAATGAAGAACTCTCTCAAATCGAAACTCTTGATAACGGTAAAGGTATTACTTTCTCTCGTCTCTTTGATGTCAAGCAAATCTCCCACTCTCTTCGTTACTTTGCCGGTTATGCCGATAAGGTCCACGGTAAGGTCATTGACACTGAAGGTGCTCTCTCTTATACTCGTCATGAACCTATTGGTGTCTGTGCTGCCATTATTCCTTGGAACTTCCCCTTAATGATGTTAGGTTGGAAACTCGGTCCTGCTCTTGCCACTGGTAACACTGTTGTTGTCAAGACTTCTGAACTTACTCCCCTTTCTGCCTACAAGGTTGCTCAACTGGTTGTTGAAGCTGGCTTCCCTCCAGGTGTTATCAACATCATTACTGGTTATGGTGCTGTCGCTGGTGATGCCTTGGCTCGCCACATGAAGGTCTCCAAGATTTCCTTCACTGGTAGTACTCCTGTCGGTCGTATGATCATGAAGGCTGCTTCTGAAAGTAATTTGAAGAAGGTCACTCTCGAATTAGGTGGCAAGTCTCCCAACATTATCTTTGACGATGCTGATTTGGATCAAGCTGTCCGTTGGGCTCACAAGGGTATTTTCTTCAACCACGGACAAACCTGTTGCGCTGGTAGTCGTGTCTATGTACAGGCTTCTATTCACGACGAATTCTTAAGAAAATTCAAGGAATACACTGCTCAAACCAAGTTGGGTGATCCTCATGAAGACGATACTTTCCAAGGTCCTCAAGTTTCTCAACTACAATTCGATCGTATCATGGGTTACATTGAAAAGGGCAAGGAAGAAGGCGCTACTTGTTACATGGGTGGTAAACGTTGGGGTGAAGAAGGCTTCTACATTGAACCCACTGTCTTTACTGATGTCAAGGAAGACATGACCATTGTTCGTGAAGAAATCTTTGGCCCCGTTGTTACTGTCTCCAAGTTTAATGATATAGATGACGTTGTCCAAATGGCTTTGGATACTGATTATGGTTTGGCTGCTGCCGTGTTCACCAAGGATACTGCTCGTGCTATTGATGTCTCTAACCGTCTTCAGGCTGGTACTGTTTGGGTTAACTGCTACAATGAATTGGATTACAACACTCCTTTCGGTGGTTTCCGTCAAAGTGGTATTGGTCGTGAAAATGGTGAATATGCCTTGGATAACTATATTCAAGTCAAGACTGTTAAGATCAACGTTAGCCGTAAGCCTTAAAATATGTATTCCAAACTGTTTATTTGTAAGACAAAAAAACACATGCTGTATATAAATAATACCTTGAAATAAAAGAAGCGATTTTTTTTGTATAAAAAGATATGTATTTATCCCGTTGTCTTATCGAATGCTTGTTGTTTGGCTTTAGGACATTTGATGTTTGCGATTTAAAGTATTTATTGTCAGATCAACTTACAGCTTGCTGTGAGCAAAACTGCTCCTGTAATCAAAGTTTGGCTCGAAAAATTTTTTTTCTGTTAATATTTAATTTCAAAAGACATGCTTCTGCTCAATTCTGCATAACTTATCAAACAACTGGAATGGTTTTTAGCAATTTAATTCGGTTCAATCAAGAAACATTTTTTAAAACCTCGTTCTTGATTATCAACAAGTCTTGTTTTTTGAATGCGCAGCATGACTAACTCTTGTCCCACAAGTCAAGTGTCAGATTAATTATTGAGATTCAAATGAGCGAGGAAGACTGTCAAACGAGACTGGCTTTCGTGACAGGTAAAAATTTTTTCTCGGTAAAAAAAACTATAAAAAGAAGCCGAAAGTAAACAATTATTTTTTTTCTTTAGTGACCGTACTCTACAGGATCTGTATGCAGTATGTTTCAATTCTAGGTTTTCTAAACTAGATACAATCCCAAAGCTAGTCGATGATTGTCAGTAGACCTTCTTTTGAGTGAAGTGTGGCGATTGTTGTTCTCTGAATAACTTTCGTCAGTTGATGATCTCGCCTGTTCTATATTCCAAGAACATGGCAAGGAAGGAGCTACAAGTCTGATAGCTTATTTTTATTCAAAAAGAAAATGAAAAATTTTTTAGCCTACTGGAATGCGTGAACCGGGGTGTCAACAACTGATTGGCCAAGGTGAGATTAAATTCTTTTTAAATAAATAAAAATTTGTTTTATTTCCTCTGGGCTCTCTTTTTCATTGTATCCATGATATTGTCTTACTGCCAAAACGCTTTTGAACAATTTACATTGTCTGTATTACGTAAAGGAAAAGTGCCTCGCCATGTAGGATTTATCTTGGATGGCAATAGACGATTTGCTAGAAAGCTTGGTGCAAGTTCAACTAAGTTTGGGCACTATGAAGGTTTTAAACAACTAGAAAAAGTACTTGATTTATGTATGCAGTTGGGCATAGAGGCAGTGACAGTCTACGCTTTCAGTTTAGAAAACTTCAAACGTTCCAAAGATGAAGTTGACTATTTGATGCAATTATTCTGTGATGCCTTTGAAGGGTTCTGCGAGAAAAAGTAAAAAAGAAAAAGCTTTATTTGTGTTATTCATGTTTGATATAGTGCCTTGATTGACAAGTATGAAATTAGTGTACGCTTTTTGGGTAACATAGACTTATTGCCTCAGCATGTTCAGGATCTTACCAAGAAAGTGACTGAACAAACAAAAAAAAACAAAAAGTAAGTTGAAACCATTTAAGGTTTTCAATGCTTATGAATCTATAGGCGTATTTTCAACGTATGTTGTCCCTATACTTCACGCGATGAAATGACTACAGCTATCAAGAACACAATTGAAGAAGTGAATCAAGGACACTTGCGAGCCGAGTAAGTAAAAAAAGAAAAAAAAAGATTATATTTTTATTCATTTAGTTAAACAATTCTGTCTAGGGACATCACAGACAAAACAATTCAAAATCATTTGTTTACTTCAGATTGCCCTTCCATGGATATCTTAGTAAGAACTTCAGGAGAAGTTCGTCTTAGCGACTTTATGTTATGGCAAGCCAGTGATCAATGTCAAATCCAGTTTGTGGATTGTTACTGGCCAGAATTCTCTTTTTGGCGATTTTTACCCATCTTGTTAGAATATCAAATCTATTCAGATCATCAAAAACAAGAATATATACTATCCAAGCAGACTGAATAAATACCCTTTTCCTTTTTTATTTTTTAATAATAGTCATTGATATAGTCTTCAGTGTACCCAAATGGTGCCAAAGATGATACAACTGTAAACTCTTTCAAAACAATCAGTTTATATTTCAACTTGCTGACTTTTTTGTGTATCTTTCGAGAAGAATAAAGAGATAGAGTGCGCATCTGTTTTTCTATCTGACGTAAATCTTCTATATACCTCATATCAGTATGAATAATACATGTCTTATTGTTTACTCTTTTCTTTTATCAAATGAAACATGTGTTTAGTTTTTGTATGCTGTGTTTGCCACTGAAAATCAACTGAGTGAGATTGGCAAGCAGGACAATTCTCTTTTGTATTCATTTTATGCAGCTGTGAAAAAAGAGAAAGAAAGGGTTCGGCCTCCGAAAAAAAGAAAGAAAATCAGGCTGATAAAATTCAACCTTGTCCGCCAGGGGATATGTCAAGATCCAGCGCAGTCAAAAAGATAAAATGTTTTTTTATTTTGTAATATGCACCCCCAATTAGAAGCACACAAGAACGAAGGTTGCGATGCAGTGATCGAAGCCTTAGAAGAATGTCATCGTGCAGGTACATTTAACAAGTTTATTGGTACTTGCAATGCAGCAAAGAAAGCAGTCGACGATTGTCTCCAAAGAGAGGTAAACGAGAGATTGCTACATGACATACTGACAATACATTAGTTTCTTGCTCAACGTGCATTAAATAAAGAAAAAACAAAGGCTAAGAGAAAGAGAATGGAACAGATTTGGAAAGAAATGGAAGAGCCGCCAGCTTATTTAGAAGAAAGTAAATAAAAATGCCATTGTGAATAGTTTGTAAGAACGCATTGACATGTTGTCTTTTTTTTTATATACTACTTAGTTACTTTGTTGATGGATACATAAAAGAATGCTCTATAGTACAGATGTTCTATAACAAAGGGTGTGTTACATGCTTGCAATAAGTGTAGAGAAGCTGGCCAGTATAGACAGTAAGGAGTATATTGAACTATACATCTATTGTTCAAAGACCATATAGCTCATCCATAGCAAGTCAACCTACATTAAGTTAATGTAAGCTTTTGCTCAAATTTGTTGATTTGGGAATAGAATAGCTTGGGTAATCCGTTAAAAAAAATAAAGATGAATTGCTTCTTAACAAGCCCTGTAAAAGGCACTGTACCTCTTGAGATAGACGTACTTTCTCCATCAAAAAATTTGTAAATCCTCCTGAAGTATTAATTTAACCAATGATGAGTATGTCCATCAAAAGAGCAGACGACGACACAGCATTATATAGCCACATAAAGGGACTATAAAGTCTGTTTATGCATGAATAAACGCTCTGAATACTTATTAAATATGTTTACTATCATATATAGTACCTTTGGAGTTGATTCGGACAAAAAGAAAAGCAAGTTGGAAAATTTGGCCAAAATAGCCTTTTGACCATAAAAAAATCTCGTTTAACAACTTCTGATCTTGTTTTTGATATTACAAGGCAAAAAATAGAGCTATCGACAGGTCCAAATACTCAAAATGTGCGTCAGAAGCTATAGCTTTTGGTGAATGTGTTTGCTTGCAAATTGTACTTTGAAAATGATGAGATATGAACGAAAAACCTTTTAAGTATTTTGCTTATTTGCTCAATATTTTACAAACAAATTTACTGTATTTCTTATACCAAAAGACTTACAATGCAAATATCTATAACTTTTATTATTACACCAAAGCCCAATAACTGCGTCTTTAAGCTGTTCCAACCAAAAGCTTGATTTTTTTTAATGATTTTATTTGCCGCATGTATTAGTGGTCTTGGGAGGGACCCACTAAAAGAGGTGCTCGACAATTATTTATTGTAAGAAGATATAAAGAAAAACAAAATTAGTACGATAGTAAGAAAGTAGAAAAATATAAAAGGAAAGAAGAGCAGCTATTGCGAGAAAAGACCTCTCAAGATGAAAGGTCATTTTCAGCAGCTATACGCTTAATTTGATATCGAGTGCTGTGAAGAACAGAGAGATAATGGAATGGTTGGTTCTGCATGGTATGGGTCCAATGGGCCTTCCAGATTTCAGAGAGACCGATCAAGGTTACCATGGCTACTGAAAGAGGACAGTTGGTTTGAGACCGAATCCAAAAAAAATTGAAAGATGTGCCTGGGATGCCTTGATCAGGGAATTTTTGTGGCCAGTAAAAGCTTGATTTTTAATGCTTCATCTTCTTTCTCGTATTTAATCTCCGCTGTCAAGCCGTTTTGTGCAAGACATTTTGATGCATCAAGTCAAAGAGACTACAAATAGTTTGCACCATTAGAAGTCGTAAAAAAATACAGCTAGCTTAGAATTCTAGAAACATCAATGTGCCTACAATAAAAATAAGGAGTAAAGGTGTTTAGAAAGAGCCGTATAGTCTCCATTATGTGGTATTCTTTGGCAATTACTCTTTCAAAATCAATATGTTTAGGCAGAAATAGTCATTTTCTCTAAAGTAAACAGTGCTTCATTATGATTCTATTGCCGAGGCATTTTCCAATGTGTTTTTGTTACAACTGCATTGTCTCAAAAGATGTGTCTAGAACACGTTTACTCTTTTTCTAAAAAAAAAAAAGCTTGAAGTACACGGCGAATTTGTTCTTGAAATGCTAAAACCTTATTTATAGTCCACAAGTGTCGTTGTTTGTGCATGATATCTATTGAGATAGGAGTAGAGTGTATGCATAGCATCCATTTAGTGTATTTTGGATTTTTTTTCTAAACTGTTTTTACAGTAAAGATCGACTGAATACGCTTAACTAAAAAAAGAAAAGTTTGGTGGTTATCTTTTAATTCAGTAGATTCAATGATCCCAAATACTAAATGTAAGGTAGTACGATGCTCATGACATGCTATCAGGTTAGACCTCATAAGTATAAGAGTAGAATGTGAGTTGCATGAAATCATGCCAATCCTCCGGAATTCACTCCTTTTCCAGGTATGGTTTGAAAAGGAAAGTGTCAAACAACAAGGAGAAAAAAAAATGCCTTTCTTTCTTTTTCCTTTTTTTTTCTGCATTTCATGCATTCATTATAGAGCCTACTCGTTACTTGTTCAAAAAAAAAAAAAAAAAAGTAAAAATGGAATAAATTCTTACCCAATTCATTCATAAAGGTACCCTTTGATATTACTAAATGGCAAAAAATAAAAAATAAAAAATTAAACAGCTCTCAGGTACACTTAAAAACTGATTGTATTCCTGATCTACTAAGGCGTTGACTAATTATTCTTGAAGGTTCAAAACTCTATTGAACACTTCAAGAAACTATAAAAATATATACATGCATCATTTGATCAAATGGCAAGATGCTACTTGCATATTGTTCTATTCCTATGCATATTCTCCTTTTCTACTACTTATAACTCTTTCTCGTCATGCCTTTAACCGAGAATGATGTACCTTTAGTGTGCTTTGATGATCCGATGATTGTTGTTCATGTACGCCATAAAGCCAGATGACATACTGTTTATCAATGACAACATCTATCATAAATAAGTAAAAAAAAAAAAAAAAGTTTTTTTTAATAATGTAAGATATAAGAAATGGGATAATATATAAGATATAGATATAGAGAAGAGAAAGAAAGAGATCATAGATAACTGTAAATAATTCTATGTAAATGAATGATAAGCATATATAGAAAGAGATAATAAGGATAGACATGTGTTTAGTTCTTATTGTTATAAAGTTCATTATGAATGTATTGTGCTTTTCTAGTCAACTCTTGTTTGTCGTACATGTTGTAAGCCAATTCTTCTAAAGGTACAGTATCTAACAATCGAATCGTGACTTTGGGTGCATGCTTCACACCCGTTGCCTACACAACACAAAGTTTAGGGTGATACAACAACAGTATGATGACTTACTCGAACATAAGGGAAAAAGATGTCACCAAACACTCGTTTCTTTTTGTTGAGCGTCATGCCTTCCAATGAGCTCAAGATGACAGAAGCAGAATGGATTTGTTCTGCTGTCAAATTGAGTTTGCTGTTACTTTCATCCATCAAAGAGGGTTTTTGTGTAATAGGTGGATTTTGAAATAAATAGAGTGCTTCGTACGCTTCGTCAATCTTTTGTTTCAAAAAAGTAGGATTAAACAAACAAAGTGAGAGATCTCGCTTCTTGAGAGATTGGATCAAATCTACCAAATCATTTAGATCCTTTTGTTGGTAGTCTTTAAGTTGAGCAGAAATAGCATCTCGGATTCTTTGTAGCTGGATTTGGCTGGGTGTTGTATCAAGATGAGGATAGTAAGGTTGACTCAAATCAATTAGCGGAGGAGGACTGCTACATCCAGTGGAAGGTGACACCAAGACGGAAGCATTTGTTGTTGTTGTTGTTGTTTGTGTTTGTTGTGTGGGTACATGCATCGATGGTAAATGGCTTGGGTGATAATGAACTGAAGGTGGTGTAGTTGCCTTTTGATGAGTGTTGGTGTGTATCCAAATACCAGTCTCATTCCATGGATTATGTGTAGCAGAAGGTGGTATATTTGACTAAATAGATAAAGTGTGAGTTATTACTCTTTTTGTTGTTGTTGTTGTTTTGTTTGTTTATATAGTCATTTGTATATATTTAGTTTGCTTTACCTTTAAGGGTATATATGGTTCTTGTGGCATCATAGCAGCATTCTGTTGTTGTTGTTGTTGATGTTGTTGATGTTGCTGTTGTTGATGACTGTAAGGAGGAGAAGGTTGTGATGTAGGATAGATAGGATACACTTGATGATTGCTACTGGAGGCCGTGGTAGGCGGAGATAGATTCATATAATCAATAACAACATTATTATTGCTGTTATGACTGTTCTTGACCTTGACAGTGCTAGCTGGTTTCTTATGTGTATGGAAACTAACGACAATGTTCTTGGAGTTCACAAGAGCACCGTTCATTTGTTGAAGGGCCTCGTTTGCTTCTTCCATGGTAGTGTAACTCACAAACCCATATCCTTTAGACACACCCGTCAAGGTATCTTTCATAACTCGTGCTGAAATAATTTTACCATAGACTCTAAACTTTTTAAAAAGATCATAACTCGTTACTTCTGGGTCCAAATTCTTTATATACAAGTTGGTATAGTCAATCATGGCCACTACATCATCACCATGTTGTTTCTTTGGATTCATGTGCACATAAGGGGATGTAAGCTATAAGAAAAATAGTCAGGCACCAACTACTTTTTTTTTCTTCTTTATTTTTCTTTTTACCATATTGAATATAAATATATAAAAAAATATATATTTATATTTATATTATAATTATTAATATGAATAAAAAAATATATATATATAACGGTCTATAAACTATATACGAGAAAAAAAAGAAAATTTATAAAAAATTTTTTTTTATTTTTTTATTTTTATTTTATAGCTTGTCCTTGTTCACATGATCTAAAATGTTCTATATATGCATATCATTGGTTTTATTAACAATTTATAAAAAATGATAAAATATCTCATGCGCATGAATTTTGATTTGCTGGCGTCATCCAATTAAACCTGACAGTGTGTGTAGGTGGTAAAGTGACATTGCACATGACATTTTCACTCCCCTTATTTTTCTTTTTCTTTTTCTTTTTCTCACCTCTTAAGCATTTTCATAATTTATTTCTCATGTCTTCAACTCAAGATAAACGCATCGAACAAGTAGGCAATTATATCATTCAAAATAAAATTGGACAAGGCTCTTTTGCCACAGTATATAAAGCGCAGCATAAAGTGAAGTAAAAAAAGGGAGTGGTTCATGAGTTACTTATGCTAGAGTATGTTAGGATACCCAACAGACAGTGGCTATTAAAAGCGTCAAACGATCCAAATTGACAAAGAAATTATTGGAAAATCTTGAATCAGAAATCTCTATTCTTACTTCTATACGACATCAAAACATTGTTGGCCTAATTGAATGTCAAGTAAGATAACACATACAAACACACACACATATACAGTATAACTTATCTACTTTAGAAAACGGATACCAATATCTTTTTGGTGATGGAATTCTGTTCTTTAGGAGACTTGTCACATTATATTAAACAAATACGCTCACATAAATCAACAAAAGGTTCAGCAGGTGGATTGCCAGAAAGAGTGGTGCGTCATTTCCTAAGGCAATTAGGTATCATTTATCTATTTATCCGTCTATATATTTTACTTAATAGTTTTTGATTAGCGAGTGCCTTGCAATTCTTGAGATCACAAAACTTGATTCATCGAGATATTAAGCCTCAAGTAAATTCAATTTGATGATAGAACAAACCACTTATCTTTTTTTTTAGAATTTATTATTAACACCCGATAAGGATGATTTACCATTGTTAAAAGTAGCTGATTTTGGATTTGCACGCTTTTTACCTAATGCAAGTCTGGCTGATACCCTCTGCGGATCACCACTTTATATGGGTCCAGAAATATTGTCTTATAAAAAATACGATGCTAAAGCAGACTTGTGGAGTGTAGGTGCTGTACTGTATGAAATGGTGACTGGAAGACCTCCTTTTCGTGCCTCAAATCATATTGAATTACTCAAGAAAATCCAAGAAAATAATGATCAAATTCATTTCCCTGATGAAAGACATCATGACATACAGATTGGGAGTGATCTTAAAGACTTGATTCGTAAATTACTTGTCATGAACCCTGTATCCAGAATTTCTTTTGATGATTTTTTTAAACATCCCGCTGTCTTGCCTGAACAACCCATACCTATTCATGATAGACCTCGCTCTTTACAAAGCACACCTCCTTCACCTATTCAGTATCAGCGTGCAGGTAGTTATGAACCACCACCATTTGCACAAATGACACCCAGAAGCATGTCTGATCAACCTACTAGAAGATGGTCCATGGCACCCTTTGAGAGAAAGCAGGAGAAAAAGACAGGCAAAGAACTAGAAGACATGTTACAGGAATATGTGGTGCTAGATATTCGCTCCATCGAGACAAACCAATTTGCAGATGAACTCAAGGCAACCCCACACTCTAAATCACCCACAGCTACACATGCTGTCAATATACCAAACCATAATCGGATATCACCTTCAGCGTCTCCTTTTATGCGAGAGCGTAAATCAAGCACAGGGTCGGCGGGTTCTGCTCTTGCCAAAGCAATCAGTAAAGCATCGGTTCGGTTGTTTGGGACCAGTATGCCATCACCGCCCAAAGATCATCATCATTTGGTTGGGTCACCTCATGGTTTCATGTCATCCCATGAGACGTCATCCAACCTAAAAACAATGAAGAAAATTGAGCGTTTGTCATGTATGGCACATGCAGTGGCTAAATACGGAGATCAAAAATACGATGCACTTCATCAGAAAGAAGACGTTTTGTTGGCTGAAGAAGCTGTGGCGCTCTATGTCAAATCATTAGCGCTATTGGAGATGGGTTTATTTATTGCCCAGCAATATTGGCACCAACATATGATTGAAGTAGATGAAGAGGAACGAAAGAACATGGCTACACCTCTAAATGATGCAGTTCAGTGGATGCGAGATAAGTTCAATGAGTGTCTAGACCGTGCAGAAAGTATCAAAGTAGATGCTACAGATGCTATTTGTGTTGAGAAACTATTGTACGATCGAGCATTGGAAATGGTAATGTATTTTATTTTATTTTATTTTATTTTTTTGGCTCACTTTTATATATAGAGTCGGGCCGCAGCGGTTCATGAATTAGTAGGTGAAAATATTGCCGAATGCGAGCAAGATTATCAAACGGCGATTTGGATGTTGGAAGCCATCTTACAAGTCCGTCCTAAAGGAGAAGTAACTGTGGAAGCAGACGATCGACGCATTATCAACAAATGTAATTACTCTTGTATCTTTTGCCATGACTAATGCTTATTTTTGTAGTCATCGATTCTATTCGTCATCGCATCACTGTTCTGCGAAAAAAATTAAGTGCTGCGACGGAGCGTGAATCATAAACGTCTACACCAATCAAAATAAACAAAGCATAGTAAAACGCCGCTTGTAAGTGGTTGAATCACAGATTACGGAGTTTTTTTTTCATCTTTTATTTTTTTTTAAAATGAAAATGACTATCAAAGGGAGGAGGAAAAATGATCACTTTTGTCCCCTTAAAAGTGTCTGTGTCATACAAAGTATAAACAAACCGTCTATAAATGTGAATTTGCGTTTAATTTATGTATTTACAACGTGGTATTCTTCTTTTGTATTTAAATGTCAGCTTTCAAAAAGCAAATAGTTTGTGTTTGTATGTTTCTGACTTGTTCCTACCCTTTTTTTTCTTAGTATTTATTCCTGCACACTATATTATTTGGTAGACGGTTTAAATTAAAGTAGATGGTAGCATAGTAGTAATAGTAAAAAAAAAAATTTTTTTTTTGTCATGTTTCGTGAATTTACAGGTCCGCCATTACTGTCTTTTTTTTTTATAGCTTTTTATATTATTTAATTCATAAAGTTCTTTCTAAAATCTCTTTTTCTTTCTTTTTAAATCTTTTTCTTGTTCTTTTGCTCAACAAGTAAGCCATAGAAAAAAGAATACCAAAGTAAGTATATTTTTTATATTAAGACTCCTTTTGAACTTTTTTGTCGTTACTTTTTTTTTTTTAATCTATTCCATCTTTTCGGTATCGGTTCAAACTCTTCATATTATTCCCTCTCTCCCCCCCCTCCCTTTCTACTCTGATTTCTCTCTTATCAAAACCATTGAATACGCATGTATAACGAGTACACAGAAAAAAAAGTCAGATTACAGTAGCGCCCCTTACACAAGAAATCAACATTGAATTTTCTTTTTGTTGATTTTTTGTATACACATTGTATTCACTTGACATTATTCTACCCCTTTTGTGTACTCTCCGAGCATATTGATAGAAATCCCTTTTTTTTCTTTATGTAAATCTCTGTTTATCATTTTGACAGCAGAAAAAAAAATTATATAAAAAAATCAGAGTAACCGTACCGAGAAAAAAAAATTTTTTTTCAAAAAAAAAGAAACCCATGTACTAATCCAATTGTTTTATTTCCACTTTCTTCTCTTTTCTCTCTTTCAACTAGACACTTTTTTTTTCTCACATTAAAAAGAATCTCAGTTTGAATACATTCACAACAATAATGCAATCTATTCCATATTATCAACAACAACAAGGCTATCAACCTCAACCTTATCAACCCCAACCACCTGCTGCTCCTAATGTATTGAACAATGGACCCGCCTTATTAAATCATCCCAATGGTCTTCCACCTATGCAACATCCTGGTATTCCTGATCAATCACAAGTAGCTGCTGGTACTCAACCTGCACCCAAGCGCAAACAAGTCAAGAATGCCTGTAGTAAGTATCAAAGCGTAAGATCGAGACGTCATATAAGCTTACCGGGAAAACTTTTTAGCCAACTGTCAAAAAGCTTGTAAGAAGTGTGACGATGCTAGACCATGTCCTAGATGTATTAAATACGGTATTGCTGATACCTGTGTCAATTCAGTCAGAAAAGAACGTAAGAAGGGTATCAAGCGTGGTCCTTATAAGAGAAGACAAAAGACTGGTGGTAAGTAGTATTGGCACAAACATCGTTTCTAAGCTAATATGCAAATCTAGAGGAAAAGCCTCGTAAGAATGGTAACGACATGAACCCTGATCAACATCCTGCTCAATATGCTCCTGTTCGTGGACCTGCTATGACATACGGTTATCCTAGCAACTTGAATCAATATGGTCAACCTTTTGAGATGCCTTATGGACAATATGCTGCTGCTGCTCCTTACCATAAGGACCAAATGATGTCTCAGCCTTATGTTGTAAACCCTGTCTATCCTCCTATGGGCTATCCTGTCATTGTCCCTGGTGCTGATGGTCAACAACCACAACCCAATCAGCAACCTCAAAACCCTCCTCAGCAACACGCTTATCACCCTCAATATAGTACCATGATTCATCATCAGCAACAGCAACAAGCACAACAACAACAACATCAACAGCAACAACAACAGCAACAACAACAAGCACAAAGCACTTCCCAACAAGCATCTGCATCCTCAAGTCCTCGTCCTCCTATGATGCAACAACATAACGAACATGTTATGCACCAATCTTCACCCGCTGGTAGTCCTCAAGTTTACTATCAACAAGCTGCTGTCGCTGCTGCTGCTGCCGCTGCTGCTGCCACACCTCAGCAATCCTCAGCTCAAACTTCTCAACAACATAGCCAACCTCCTTCACAAAGAAATAGTCCTCATTTGCCTGAGATCAAGCCAGAGCATACTTCTAACGAAGCATTTGCCAAGCCTACTTCAATGACACCTGTTCCTTCTACATCTACTTCCACTGCCACTACGTCTTCCCCTGAATCAGGTAAGATAAAAAATGAGAGAGAAAGGCTTTGCATGCTTATTCACATTTATTTTATAGGTTCATGGGTTCCTCCTCGTTCTTCCTAAGTCTTAATACACGCTTATATATATAAAATGTAGTTTTTTTTTATTATTATTATTTCAACACATGCACAGACATACACACACACGCACGCACGCCACATATATATATATATATATACATGTTTCTTTTTTTGCTTTCAATACACAATCTATCTATATAAAAAAAATTACATATTGTTTTTCTTTCATGTGCTATAGCGATTGGAAAAAAAAAATTTTAATTCGCTAATACGCCGTGGAAGGTAAAAGAAAAAAAATCCCCCCAAAAAAACTTTCTCTTTATACACCAAAATGTACAACTTAGACATGAAAAAACCCAAAAAAAAAAATAATAAACTTTTTCAAACATAGAATTTTAATCCATTCAATGATCAAACAAAATAAAGTCCATACACAGTTTTATAGAACCTCCAGATTGTACCACTGACGCGTCAAAGTTTATTAATATTTGTCTGTACCTTTTTTTTTACAATACTGAGTTTATATTGATTTGTAATCAGATCTTTACCATGGTTGCTCGATACAAATTGCTTTCTGTATCACAAATATGTCAAAAATAAAGACAGAGATTAGTTTATCTGCAAATGATTTAATATATATATATATATGATATAATACAAATAAATACAACTTTTTTTCTTTGGGCTCATTTTTTTTCTAATCTCTGCCTAATTCTTCAGCCAATTCCTTACTACGATCTGTAGCAGCAAAGACGGCATCTTGAATCACTTTGCGGACATCAGCTGTTTCCATGGATTTGATAGCAGCCTCTGTTGTACCTTTAGGGGAAGTTACTTTACGACGTAAAGTAGCCAAGTCGTCTTCTGAACTTATGGCCATACGTGCAGCACCCAAACATGTCTGAAGTGTCAATGCCTTTGATTCTTCTCTGCTTAAACCACGAGCAACACCAGCATTTTCTATATTGTGTGAGCAATAAGAAGAGATGTATCCATACACACTTACCCATGGCTTCCATCATCAAAAAGAAATAAGCAGGTCCACTACCACTCATACCTGTGATGGTGTCAATCAAATCCTCTGACTCAACCCAAGACAACACTTTAGAGACAGATCCCATCAAACGTTCTGTCAATGCCTTTTGTTCTTGTGAAACAGAAGCTGTGGCAAACAAACCAACAGCACCTTCACCAATCAAAGAAGGAGTATTGGGCATAATACGAATCAAGGGTGCATTGTAACCTTGAGGATCCAGCCATCTCAAGATAGCTTCTGTCTCAATTCCTGCTGCAATAGAAATGATCAAGATATGAGGGTTCTTGTGAAGTGTAGGAGCTAAATTCTGAATAACCATACGCAACACTTGAGGCTTGACGGCCAAGATAACAATATCAGCACCGTCAACCACGGTTTGGTTGTCTGTGGTGGCCATCACATCAGGATATTTCTTTATCATGTATTGACGACGTTCTTCTAAGGGCTCACTGAATCGAAGGTGGCTGTGAGGATGACCAACAGAAGGACTATAAAGACCGCCCAAAATGGCTTCAGCCATATTGCCACCACCAATGAAGGCAATGACAGGAGTGTTTGTTGTTATGGAGACCATGATTGAATAAAAAGACAAGTAAAGAAAAGAGGAGAGAAAAGAGAAAGGAATGATGAAAAAATTTAATCCTTCAACTGTAAATAAAATCTTGTACATCCATTGGCTGGTCATGATGAGTCTTATCAGAAAAAAAAAAGATTCAAGAAATTACCATTTTTGAGTGCTTGATTTTTTTTTCTCCATACTCCTTTTTTTGGTTGTTGCACACGCAACAAAAGAGAGAAAGAGACAAACTTACAACATGCTTTCTCCTTCATGTTGCACTAAATAAAATAATTATTGCGGACTTTTTTTGTTAAACGCACACACTACATTTATAACTTTTTTTTCCTTTTTTTTTCTCTCTTTTTTTCTTTTTCTATTTATTCATACCCTTTATTTATAGTTTATAAAGATCCTCCTTTCCTTTCCTTATATTCATCTACGTAAAAAAAAAAACTATATATACACATACAACATCATGGGCGCAAATCTATCAAAAGCTTTATCAAAAATGTTTGGCAGCAAGGAAATGCGTATTCTTATGCTCGGTTTGGACGCAGCTGGAAAAACAAGTAAGTTGCTTTCTTTTCTTTTCCTTGTTTTGCTCATCTCGAATGGTTTATAGCTATTTTATACAAATTGAAATTGAATCAATCAGTCACTACTATTCCAACTGTTGGTTTTAATGTCGAGTCTGTCACTTATAAAAATGTCAAGTTCAATGTTTGGGTAATGATCTTGATTAAACTTGTTTATGTGTATTGATGATTATTAGGATGTTGGAGGGCAAGACAAGATTCGTAATTTATGGAGACATTATTATACAGGCACTCAGGGCCTGATATTTGTCATTGATTCTCAAGATAGAGATCGTATTGATGAAGCACGTCAAGAATTACATCGTATTTTATCAGATAGAGAAATGAAAGACTGTCTCTTGTTGGTATTTGCCAATAAGCAAGATTTACCAAATGCCATGTCGCCTCAAGAAGTTACAGAGAAATTAGGTTTAAACAAGATGAAAGAGAGACCTTGGTATGTTTATCCTTCATGCGCTACAACTGGTGAGGGCTTATTTCAAGGTTTGAATTGGTTGAGTCAAAACGTAAAGGCAAAGTAGAAAAAAAACTTTTTATACGCAAAAATTTCTTGACATCACTACTATTAATTTTATAATGTTTCTCTCCTTTTACTACTACAACAACAACAACAACAACAACAACAACTTACTCCTTATATATATAAAAGAGAAAATTTTCTTTTGACTCCTTATATTTTATTATAATATAAAATGATGTTTATGTCTATCAAAAGATTCATAACAAATTTGTATGGATTGGATCCATTGACTTTGAACGCATTGATCAATTGTCCAACGACTGGAAGGGTTTGGATCAAACATGCCATACAGACAATTTTTTTCATCATCATTACATTTAGACAGAGGTATCCATGTCCTTAAAGGTGCCTGATTAACAAAAGTAACATATTGAGGATCTTGTGGCCATGCTTTCAGGAAAGGTATCTGTCGATAGATCAAACAATGCCAAGTCACTGCACAACTCCAGATATCAAGTGCTTTAGCATCGTAAGTATCTAATGACTGGCATAATTCAGGCGACCAATAAGGTTCTGAACCACATCGACCATAACTCAAACTAGCCTCTGTATCAAAGCATGACTGGACAACATCAGCAACACCAAAATCAGCAATTTTGAGTATACCGTCTGTTGTCATGACCAAGTTTTCTGGCTTGATGTCACGGTGTGCCACACCACTATGATGAATATGTTGTAGTCCCAACAAAAGTTGTTTAAAAAGACAGTCAATCTCTGCATCTGTTAAGGCAAACTGCTGTAATACTGAAAAGACGTCACCTCCTGCACACTATTGAAGTGTGAGTTGAATATATGGATCAACAAGAACAACTTACATATTCCATGACTGTACACCATCGACCTTTTTTATCCTTGAGAAGATCAAATACTTGTATTACATGTTGATGTCCCAGGGTCTTTGATATACAGAATTCACTAGCCATACGTTTATCGTAACTTTTTTTACTTTCGTCTTTTTGGTCCCTTTTACGGAATGTCTTGACTACAACCACAGTCTTTTTGGTATGATCCAGTGGCTCTAATAATCTCAATTTGGCTGTTGCTCCACTACCAATGACTTTGCCCTTTTTATGGTCCTTGTATTTATCCTGTAAGATGATTGAGGGTTGTGCACGTTCCAAAGTAGGTGTAGAACATGCAGAAACTGAGGGTGAGGGCGGTAAATAGAGACTGCTGTTGTTACTTAATATAGGAGTTGTTGTAACATTTGGATTGACGATCAATGCTTCATCAGAAGGTGGTATAAGCAAGTTACTTTCTGGTAAAATAGGTGGTGTTTTTGGACAAGAAGGCGAGGATCTGAGTGACAAATTACTTAGTTTTCTGGTCAATGATTTAAATGCTGTTAATTTATTTTCTTCATGTGGTGGAGATAACAAAATGACAGGTTGAGCTTCACTAGTGTTTGTCATGAGAGATAGAGAATAAAAGATAGAGAATAAAAGACAGAGAATAAAAGAAAGAGAGAAGAAGACAAAAAGAGAAAGAGAGAGAGAGAGAAATATGCAAACAATAGTAGTGTTTGTCCCCCTTTTTTTAATTATATTATTTGTTATTTGTAAAAAAAAAGACTTCAATCTATTTACCTTTTATATAAACTCCCCTCATTTTTATTTCTCAAAAACTAACCTCTTTTAATACTATGCATCATGCAAACTGATAAGAATTTTTTATATTCTTTTATTTTAAACCATTAAGCATCCTTTGTTTCTAAATCAGGCATACGAAGCACTTTCTTGTCTTCGTTTTTAGCATGTTCTTTAATCATAGCCAACACTTTAGACTCTTGCCATCTGGCTGGGATAGGCTTTTTATTAGTGGCCCAATAGAAAATATCCCAATCTGGCTCGTCAAGTAACTTGTCATATTCTTCAAGCTGCGCATGATCAAATGCAGGTAACCAATTCTTTGCAAAAGTGGATAATAAAAGGTCGGTTTCGAGAATACCTCGCTTACGGCTCTGGTAAGTAAGACGGCGACGCTTGTTCTCTGTTGTTTCGTTGGGCCGAGGAATAGGTGGCAAGTTGGGATAAGAGCTATCCAAGGCTGCTTCAGAAGAGTGGCGAATAGCTAGATCAGGGAAAGGATCACCGTGATCCTTAAGCTTGAATAGAGGAGTAGCCTGACTTAAAGAACGCAGTTGAATTCTAGGCTGAAGACGAAATACTCGCAACATGTTGAAAAAAGAAAAAAGCGTAGCATAGGGGCATGTGTGTCTATGTGAGGGAAACATATGTCCCGCGGGCATAACTACGTCATGCTTTTTACTATGATTCTTCGAGCCGGTCAACTGAGTTGATATATAATTTAAGTCGCTAAAAGCAGGAGTTTGGTTCAGCCGAAAACAAAGAGCCCGTGCCTACTAATCAAGTCAATCAGCCGTCTGCTAAAAAAAAAAAAAAAGAGAGCTCGTCTTGGGTTTGAAAATATTTACATTTAATGTTTTTAGTTTTCTTAACATAGTAAGTAGCCAATTGATCTATTATATGCAGCAAGTATGAACAATAACCACTTTTTGAAGTGGATAGAAAACTTTCCCGGCAGTAATCTTCAACTTTTTGTTGGCTGTGTACAAGGGGCGTCTGACACACTGTTCAAGTTTGTAGACATAATGATAAACAATAAAGCGCTTCGCATACTAAGAACAATATGATGAAGGCATGCATTTGACAGAAAAAAATAGCTGTGAAGGTTATCTATTGGGGCCTTCCTTTTGTTTTGTTTTTTTCTTGCTGCTATTGCATTTATCGCGAATATATCGGGATTTTGATCATTGACGATCATTTTTAATAACACTCGGTTGACTCGAGTTTTGTTGCCAAAACAGAAAGGTATTATAGAGGCTATCTGCAGATATGAAAAAGGTTTTTTTTAAGCTAGATGGATAGTTAATTAATACATATTTGGTCTTTATAGTCGAGATGCTATTCTTATACTTATAAGCTTCTTTTTTTAAAAATGTTCTCAATTACTTGGTGTAACTGACTGTTTCAAAAGGGCAGTGAAGCATAAAAAAAGTCGTGATATATGACATCCATCCAAAAATATATATATATCGAGATGTATTGATTCGAAATTAACCACAAAGTAATATAGATTGAACACTATTACTTGGGCTCTCCCAAAGACATCATCATGTAACATTGGCTTCTTCTCCCTTATGGTGTAACAAATGTGTATACATAGAAGAAACTAAAACTTTATGAGGTATATAAAATTATATAAACAAGTGGAAAATTTTTTTTCATCTCCTTTTGTTGTATGGAAGATCATTGAGATTTGCATCAGATTATTAATTGAAAGCTTTGACACCAAGATCATGGATACTGCTGCCTTTGGTTCTCAAAATTACGCGAAAGAGTCTACTAAAGACAAAAAAATTAATGTATACCCAACGCAGCAATCAATGACCATTGAACTATCACCACCTTCTCTGGAGGCTACATTTTACAGAGACAACGATAAAATAAAAAAAATTCAAGATGAAATTTTGTTACTAAATCAACAAGCAAGTGAGCCCAATATTTGCTTTGTTTTCTTATGCGGTATTTCATCTTACGCCATGTCAACCAACGCCATTCTGGAACGAAGAGCACTTGAAAAGCTACTAGATCAAGAACTATCAAAGCCTCTTCACCCTGAATCCCCTAATATATATTTTCAATCCATGTATCAAGATGTGGGCAGGATCGAGAAGCTACAACACCAAATCAGAGTGATGGAAAGAAACAAGAGTAACGATAAATGTTGTTATTTTTGTTACGGATATAATGCTAGTGCTTACACAAGCTATAAACTTACAAAGCGGCAAGATCTTCGTTATCAATTAGAAAGAGAATTAAACAAGCCTGTACAAAATTTTGAGTATCAACAACATCATATACCCCATCAATAAATTCGATTTATGTTGAAATATTAGTGTTATTTATAACATTGGTTTCTAGATCTGTAATCAATGCGTGTTTATTGATCAAATAAATATATAAACAAATATTATTACATGCCATAAGCAGCTTCAGTAGATTTAAAGGCAGTTTGCATATTTGTGTAATAACCTTGAAGAATACTGGCTTTACTACTGGGAGTGAAGATGTTGAAACAAGTATTTAAATCATTAGTAGTTTGATCAAGGTTGTGGATATGAGTACGGACTACAATCTTTGTGAGAAAATTGTAGCTGTCTTGCTTGGTAGCAATAGCAGACAAGACACTTTGAATCTTGGGTGCAGCTTGACCAAGAGCAGCCAAGAATTCATCAGCATCAGCATCAGAAACAACACTGTTGATAGCACAACAGTTGCTTTGAGCAGAGTCCAGAGCATTTTTCAGGTCATTGTATTTGCTGTTGACATCAATGACACCACCGCTTTCAATCTGTATAAGGTTAGTAAGGTCATGACCAACGTGTATAGACTACTTACCGTAGGTTGCAAAGTGTTGAGTTGGTTAGTGACATCGTTGATGTTATTAATACAGGTTTGAACATTAGGAGAGGCTCTCTTTTTGATCACAGCAGCAGCATTGGCAGACAAAACAAGAATAGAAGCAATGATGGACAACAATAAAAAGAAGCGCATTTGAATATGTGTTTAGAGAAGAAGATGAAGATGAAGATAAAATGTATAGTTGCAAAAGGTTCAGTATTTATAGCTTTTCTTAAAACCAATTCACGTTTTTTTTCTCCTGTAGCAAATGGCTGAAAGCGGTTCTTTTTTCAAAAAAAAGTGCTGAGTGCATGTTATTTTTTGACATATGTGGCTGATGGTAGTATTATCAGCCAAGGTTGTATTTTTGTACTCAGGCTGAGCTCATAAAGAATATTCGGAAGTGCAAATCTTTTTACTTCAAGTCCTATTAAATGTGTTCCATTGCATGAAAATAGCAGCAATTCGTTTTTGGTGTTTGCTTGATAAAGAGGTAGAAACCACAATGGCTTTCAGATCAAAAAGAAAGAGATAGAAAAAAAAAAAGAAACACAAAAAGCCAAGCCTGGCTATGCCATTCTATAAATGAAATTGTTTACAGTATTCTTGGAAACATGTTGTTCAAATAACATGATATATATTGAACAACTTTTTCTTGGGAGTATTTGAGTAACATGTACTTTTATTTATAGATTAATGTCTTTATATCCTATAACCACTTTTTGTAAAATTGAAGACATTCATAATGCCCTTATGATAATCTCGAAGGACAAATGTCTTGAAACCAAGAGTAAAGGCATAAAAGCAAGTGCTCAAATTAATAGCGGCTTAGTTGACACTTTCAATATGGACAAGAACTACGATATCAGTGGGAAAACCAAAGATTTTATAGCACAACAGTCTCGCTACTAAATAACTTTTAATCCTCAATTTATGCCTTTTTCAAGCATTAAACTTATCATACAATTTTGGATTATGGCCTGGATTTTGTTAAATAGACCTTCAGCATAAACTACCTTTCTTTTTTGAATAAAGTTGGCAAACAATCTGTTAGCATACTAATATTAGCGATGGATTGGCAGCCCACTGCAGGTGCCTTCTAATTTCCGTCTTTTGACTTTCCTATGTTTGAGCATACATAAAAGAACATATTTATGCAGAAATATAGCAAGTTGTGAAAAAGTCAAAAATCGTCATTCTGCCCTTAATACCCTTTACGAAATCTTCAATTTCCACTATTTTGCATTAGGTGATCGATAGAGACATTACAGACATAATATGCCTTAATACGAGTTGCTTCTCTAGGTCTATAAAATACACTCAAAGTGTTAAATTTGCAAAAGTACTATAAAAAATGTACGTTCCAGCTCAAAAACAGAAACTACGTTTTTGAAGAATAACTCCATATCTTTATATTTAGCATAATGCTTTCTTTATATAAATAGATGTGCCTTGTTTTTATCTACCAATTTTCTTGATACACTTTTTTGATAGCTCTTCTTTTTTAGACACTTTTAGTCCATTATTTTCTTTTTTTTTTTTTTTTAAATGTGTTTATTGATTGAGCCGCGTACACTAAGAGTAATAGTCAAAGTGAAGAGACGGGTGCAATTAAAATGAAAGTTAATAAAATAAAGCGAAACACACTAGATAAAATAAACTAAACTAAAATAAATTATATAGAAAAAAGTTACAGGATTGAATGGCATTGATCCTCTTCAATAGTCTGACGAACATTGAATCGGATGCTTGCTAATATGGCCGTAGGTACAATGGGGGTCTTGTCAAAGATAAATCTCATATGAGCAAGCCAGATTTGTGAAAGAGTAATTATGAGGATTCTGTATGGTTTGATTCCTTTCCGTTGGCAGTACCAGATGTACGAGAAGTCCAGGGACAGAAGAGCCTCTTGGATATCAGATATTGAAGTGGTAGGCCAAAGAAACTCAAAGATGATTTCCTGCCATACCTTCTCTTTAGTTGGACAATGAAAGAGCATATGGTTAATAGAGTCAGTGGTAGTTAAGCACACCGGACAGAAGGGAGAGTCAAACACGTGAGGCATAATAAAATGTAAGAATCGACGATGAGGAATTATTTTCTTAAAAGCTCTGAATTCCTTGATTTTAGTTTTTGATGTGAGAATGCTAATTTAAACTCAGCATTTCTACTAGGGACATTTCACTTAAACCAAGCTTTAGAGCATTATGAATAAAATCCTAGATGACAATACCATCCAATCCTATCTAAATATTAAAACTATTTTAAGTGAGTATCTCTTTAAACTTTAGTCTTTATTGTTATTTTTTGATTCATTTTTATTTTTTTTTATCCATCTTTATTGATTGAATACTACCATAAAAACGTACCTGACTTACGTTTTTCTTCGAGTACCCTATGTTAAAATATATATATATGTAGAGGAGCTGAATCTTTGGTCCTATGATATCACATGTGAATTAGTTTCTGCTGACAAAGTATGTGTGTTTTTATTGTATGAGATTGTTTGAGGCACTGTTTGATTTTCTTTTCTTTCGGGTGAGGCAAATTAAGGTTGGACGAATTTATTTTATTTTTTTTTGTCGAACGCGACTTTCCAGCACCTTCTTTAAAATTTCTTCAAAAACAGTCCCTTGGCGATTCCATTGGCTTATAAAACGTGACTGAAGGCAAGAAAAATTTTTTCTTTCAGTATGAGTATAAATTGATCGCCTCTTAGTCCATTTTCTGCTTTTCTTTTTTAATCTTTTGTTGCAAGAAAAAACCATTTGGTAAGTCATATTTAAAAGTAAACATACATCAGGACAATGTGGAGAGATGAAAAATTTTCATTGTCTTCATTTTATCTTATCGACCATGGTGAAACAACCCGCAGCGCTTCGCTGAGTGCTGTTGATACTTGCCAGTATAACTTCCTGACCACATTGAATGATGTTTTGTTTATCTTGTTTTTAATTTAAAAACTTTTTACTTATTTTCTCGTTAGAGTCTTCAACTGGTCTTTTCTCTTGCCACAAGGGTCCTAGCAAGAAACAATTCAAAAAAGGTAATTATCTTTTTTAACAACCGGTTCAGATGATGATGAAATCCCGTGTTCGCAGTTTTCACCGGAGAGACTTGTTGTGGTTCCTATTGTTTCGAAACCTTCGGGCGACGTTCTTTAGGAATCCTCTCGATGTCGGCTAACACTTCCTTGGATGTCTGATGAACCCATTTTTATATTCTATCCAATAACTTAAACTCATTTTTCTAATAGGTTTGTCTCTGACATCTCCTTTCTTTTTTTTGTTTCTTGATATAAGTTTTTTGTCATTAAATAAAAAAATCAAAAGCGAGATACTTTGTCTTTTTTATAGTGTATGTGTTCTTTTTTTTAATTCCTTTTTTTTCAATGATGAATCTCCAAATTGCATATTCTGGCATCTCTAATATCAATGTACTTCCGTCTTTGACCGAGGTGCATAATGTATTCAAATTATATTCTGAACGAAGAGAAAGGAATTAAAAAAAAGAATTGAAAATATAGAGGGGTGGGGAGAGTTTCAATAAATAAAATAATTACGTATTCTGCAACACATGATAAAAATATTCATCGTACAAACAAATACTTTTGCAAAAAAAAAAGAGCCCATAAAGCTCGGAGAAACTTTGTGCGAACTTTGCTTTTTTCTTTTTTTGTTTTCATTAATATCATTATGAACTTAAATTACTCGATTATATTCAGAGTTGCAAACATTGTTGCTGCTGCCTTTATGATCATTGGTGGTGTAATGACGTGCTTTGCAGGAGGTAAATTCATTTATAGGTAGAGATAAGGGATTTATATTTGTCTTAGGGTTCCCAAACTTCATCCAAGGTATCTTTGTCATGTAAAGTAAACAAAGTCATGCATAAAAAAAAAACTCTAATAAGAAGAGCATAGCATCTTTGGTATCATAACAGCCATGTTTGAATTCAGATTACCTGCCATGATTTCGCAATATGCTTCATTCATGTTTTCGTTTATGGGTCGTGCTATCTGTAAGTGAATTGAATATCTACAAACATGATTGATTTATTATTTTTTTTTGTTCTAGTTTACATCTTGTAAGTAGCTTCTACTTATTTGTAGATGTTTATTTTTTTTTTACGTAGCATTGGTTGTATTACATTGAATTATGGTGGACTTGCTATTGCTTCTGGCGTCATTGTATGCATGCATTCAATATATTTTTGTTATTTATTTATTTTTTTATATAGGTAGCTGCTATTGGCATTGCCTATGTTGTGCTTCACTTTCTCAAAACTATTGAGGCACCTTCTAATATGCAAAAACGAGCTTTTGAAGATGCTGTTGGCTACTCATCTCCAACGGATGACGCAACTACTCACCAGAGCACCTTTGTTGGCCAGAACAACAATCCCACATATCAGCCGTCCAATTATGCAAACCCTACTGCTACTGTCTAATCACCTTAATAAAAAAAAAAGCTCTTTCTAATTACATTCTTTTATTCAAAATCATCTAATCCTCGAGGCCATTGACGTCCCCACCGAAAACACCCTTTCTATAATGTTCACGTTGCTTTCTCAACCAAGCTCTGTAGTCTTGAACAGATTGGATCTTTTCACCGTAGTAGTCGGGAACAGGGTTACGAATCGAGTTGAGACGAGCATCGGCACGATTTTTTTTGATGTGCTCATAAAATTCCTTGTCTAGAATGTCCATCGATTGAGCATGTTTGCGGTTCATCAACTTGAAGAAAGCGTTACCAACAACTGGACCCATCAAAAAGCCACCAAAACCCTATTGTATATATGAATAAGAAAAAAAAAAAAGCTCGTACATTCAAGTCATATTTTACTTACAGCAGCAAAAGTAGAAGCAATAGCGGCCATTAAAGGATCCATACCCATAATCTTGGTCAAAGGATCCACTTGCATTTGAAGAAAATAGGCAAATGTACCAAAAGAAGGGCCTATTGTGCTAGGAAAGTAGGAAACAACTTCGTATACACGTCTCTTTTTTCGAAGCTTAAAATAATCATTCCAGGTGGGAATCGTATTGGTTGCAGCAGCAGTTCTGCTGGCTAAACGAGCCTGTGTCATTAAGAAAGGGCGCTTTAATAATTGAGTCTTGAGTGGTGACAAAGCCATTTTTTTTTTTTTGGAAATTGAAAAAGAGTGAAAGAAGGAGATGGAACTTGTCGAAAGTAGGGACGCCTGATTTATTTATTTTTTCTGGTCGCTCTCTGCGGTCCGGTTAGATCAACAAGTCCGCATCTCTTTGTCCAATGACATTGTGAATGATACTCAATTCAAAAGGATGATGATTGCCATTAATATGGAGTCAGTTATTAAGAAGAAAACGAGAAGAAAAAAAGCAGCCTCAAATGCTACCTTCTTAAACTTGTTCGTACTGTTTAGTAAATTTTTATTTACTTTTAGATATAAAATCCCAATTGTGTACAAGGTTTTTTGGCAGAAAAAAGATGGTTTTGCTTTTCATTAATATTAATATGGCATGTAAGGATATGAAGGATTAGGTCGACATGGTGCCAAAATAAACATAAAGAGAGATAGGAATTGTTTATTTTTGTTCATAAGGTGTAATATCCTCTTTGGGGTTGTTTCTTTTCATTTAATCTTTTCTTAAATTACACAGATATTTTTCTGCAAAGTATACGCATTTACTTCATAGAAACAACAATAGATTATAGTCTAGTGACGTGTGTTGTTGTATATATATATATATATATATATATATATATTATTTTTGTGGTATGCTCAATACGACATTTTCTTTATTCTTCTCTTTTTTTTTGTTTTTTTCACAAGATGGCAAAGAGTTATTGATCGTGAAAAAGAGAAAAAGAAAAGGATATGTCTACTTTTATATTTGCCCCAAATTGGGTTACTTATCCAAACCAACATAAAAGTATGTACTTGATTTTATCTCTCTACAAAAAAGATTGATTTTCTCTCTTTTCATTTAGCCTTAAAGGAGTCTGACGAATTTCCTGCTTTACTTGGCCATAATAGCAATAACAATGTCACCCAAAAAGAAACGGATAATAACAATATTTGGTCAAATTTTGATATGATACACAAACTTCATCATTTAGCTCAAGATGAAGCCACAGTTGAAAATGAAGAATTAGAAGAAAGAAGATACGAATTGGAAAGACTAAAAGCACTTGTGCCAAAGACAAGAAAGTCATTGTCAGCTTCAACTTCCACATCTTCAACAACAACAACAATTCCCTCTGCTTCTAACCCAAAAAAGCAAAACAATACTAAAAAGGTTGACATATCTTCTCGATCAAAGAAACCAACATCATTGTTTACTAGTAAACAAAATGTTATTCTAGAGAAAGAAAAAGACATGACTAATACTGATGCCAACAAGGCCTATTTGACCAAAGAAGAACAACGACATTTTATCTATTTTATCCAGTCTTGGACTTCAACAGGTTTTTCGTCGCATTATTATTCAGCAAACGCAGACGCAAACAATAGTAATCATTCATATTTTTATCGTAATCCCTTCCCAAATTGACTTTATCGATATATATATATATATATAAAATAATAATAAAAACTAATATTATCAGGCACATACATCTTTGCGTAAAGAATGCAAGACACATAGCCCCTTATAGACTCATCTAGTATCGTATTGTTGTTCTCTCTTGACTTTTGTTGGTAAATAAATAAAAGCTATGATACAAAAATGAAGTATAATCTATATGCTTTGATATATATTAACAAAAGATGTCTGTTTATTCTAAGTCAAATAGCTTTCATGTATATCCATCTTCATTGTTGTCAAATACAATTTGAAAGGATTTATTGATGGATAAGAAGGGTATGAATTAATCACGCTTAGGACGGATAGGATCAAAGAGACGACGAACAGTAGTAGGACCAGTCCATGTGCCCTTCAATAAACCATTCCAATAAATTCTAGGAATAATTTCCTTATTCACGAATTGAGCAGTCTTACTAATTTGACGTTGATCGACGGGAAAAGTCTCAAGAGGCTTACTAGTGTAGCCAGAAAACTCTGCCAAAATGAGTTGGTTGCGGCCAACAACCAAAGGGCAACTACTGTAACCATCATAGACGGCTTGCTCAATCTTTTTGCCTTGAAGATCGGCGATCAAATTCTTTTTCAAGACACCAGATTCAACTGTGATAGCAGCAGCAGTCTTGGAAGTAGGGAGAGAGGAACAATCACCTAAGGAAAAGACGTTCTTGTACTTGTTGTGACGACAAGTATCTTTGTTGACATCGACCCAGCCAGCAGCATCAGCCAACTTGGATTCTTTAATGAAATTGGGGGGTCCTTGAGGAGGAGCAACATGAATGAAATCGTATTCAAAAATCTTAACTTCTTGGTTGGTGTTGTTTCTGAAAACAGCTTTGTGGTTGTTAGCATCAATTTCAAGTAATTCATGTTGAAGGTTGGCTACAATTTTACGTTCATCGGCTAACTTGTCAAGCACTTTAGCATAATAATCAAGACCGTAAAGCTTGGCAGCAGCAGTGTTGTAAATCACGTTGGTCTTGTCACGAATACCAGAAAGACGGAAAATTTCTTCAGCCAAGAAAGCAATCTTGGTAGGAGCACCTGGACACTTGATGGGAGTGTTGGGGAAGGTAAAGAGAGCATTACCGCCTTTGAATTCTTGAAGGAACTTGTAAGTCTTTTGAACACTATCAGCATCATAGTTGGATGTGACACCATCCTTACCAAGAGCCTCCTTTAAGCCCTTGACATCATCCCAATTGATTTGAATACCTGCTGCAACAACCAAATAATCATATCCTACAGTTTGCCCATCAGCAAGCTTGACAGTATTGTTGTCAGGGTCAAATGAAACGACCTTGTTTTGAATCCATTCAGCTTCATTAGGCATAACATCACCCATAGGCTTGAAAGATTCGCTGAAATCCTTGAGACCACCACCAACATATGTCCATGCAGGTTGATACTATAAATTTCTTTTCAATACTCAAATACTATGCATCAAATAGTGACTTACATAATGTCTGAGAGAAGGTTCAATGACAGCAACTTGGTTTTTACCAAGCAACTTAGAGACAGTAGATGAAACTAATAAATTAAGTATAAATACCACATTACAAAAAAATTTACCTGAAAGACCACCAGGTCCACCACCAACTACGACAACCTTGAATTTTTGATCAACATTAGGCTTCTTGGTAGCCTCAGTTACAGTAGCAAATGTGCGTTTGTTGATGATAGAGGAAAGGCGAGCACGTACAGACAACATGATATAGATATGAACAATAAAAAGAATAAAAAGGAAAAGACATATATCGATGATATATATATATCGATTTCTCGGTGCCCCTGAGCTTTGATTAGTTGAAAATTCATATCCAGACAAATGCTATACCTCACTCAAATTGATGGTAATTTTCTTAAAATACTAAAGATGAATTCAACAAAAGTAGTACAAAACGTCTTATTGTTGACTTCTCTGTTGCACTTTTTAAAAGATTGAAATACAACAGGATGAGTTAAAGTGAGATGAGTGAGTGTATTACAGATGATGGATGATTACGTTAGATAGAGTAATGCATCGTACTGTTCTTGTCCTGCAGAATAGCGGGCTTCAAAAAACGTCATTCCAAAGACTTGAAAGCCTATGAAAACTAAGTTTAAGTTGAATTAATACTATCGAAAAATTTTAGTTAATCAGGTTCTGAGTGGTTATTACTAACCAATTTTACACCCATTAAACATCGCCATCTGTCTTCTTTCTGGAATCGCAGTATGTGTTCTCAAATTTAGATTCTGACGAGTCGCTATGATATTTGGGCTCTTTTCAAGCTCTCCCCCTAGTCCGAGAAATACCATCTATGATAAGCCCTATTTAGTAAAATACCTGAGGCATAAGGTGGACTAGTTCACGTGCTTGAGTTTTTCTACTTTAGCAGAATCTCAGAAACAAAGTTCAAAATGTCATTGTGCTTGACAATGCATGTACTGTCATTTTATAGCTAATAAAGGTGAGGTCAAGGGGAATAGATACATAAAAAGGGCATACAAAAATACAGAATGTATATCAAGTTCGAAATGGTTTAAGCTTTGCATTTATTCAGCCTTTCAAACAACTTGGCATACGAGCAAATCACCTCAAAGGCACTGCATAAATTGGTGATCCCATATTAACAAAAGAAATTGTAAATCGAAATTGGCTACCGTCAAATTTACTGGTGTACAAACCACTTATTGACTATCACGGCCCATTATGTTGTGGTAATGAAGCAGTGATACGCTCATCATATCTAAGCAAGGAGTGTGTTGCTTTGGTCAATTCTAGTCATCGAGAAACTTTCGTTTGCAGTAAAAATGAATTGATTGAATATGGGAGCAGCTCAAAGGGAATGCAATTCTTTATTGTTTGCAAAAGGTGTTTTAGAAAATAGGAGATAATAAAATAAAGTCATGAATTCTCACTAATTTTTTAATAACTGATTTTGACGACAAATGTCGAGACCATCATTACTTTTATCAATACCAATAGCAGTGGCAACTGCCAATGAAAGATACCGGTCGAAGAAAAAATAAGGCAGAGAAAGCCTTTAAATAAGAAGTAAAAAAATGTTTGATGTTGCGAAGTAAATTTTATTTGTGGTTTTTCCTTGAATAATCACCTTGTTTATGCATAAAGACATACACAAAAAAGAAATCAAGCTAAAAATATAATCCATAATACCAGTAATACTATAAGCATCAGCATCAGTAGTAGTAGTAGTAGTAGTAGTAGTAGTAGTAGTAGTAGTAGTAGTAGTAGTAGTAGTAGTATTTCTTCTCCTTCAGCAGGCACACATACAAATGAGCCAAATATAAAAACAGTTGAATCATATCGTTAGTGCATTTGATTAAATGATAAAGGAATCTGTTTCACCGAGCAAATCCTATTGAGTTTATTGTGATAATGAAAGCTTCTCAAGATATTTCTGTTTCGCATCGAGAACTAAATGTAGTAGCTCAGTCATTTGCTTTCTGTGCAATCCAGGTGAGCTTACGATGAATTTTTCTTAGATTGTTTATGTCAGATAGATTTAATCTTGGTGCTTCGTTTGCAAGTTCACTTTTAATAATAGAATTTGCCTGAGTGTATTGTCAGTAGCCTGTATATATTTGTTTCATAATCATTCATTTCAGTCACATGTATTAGATAATTCTTCATTGAGAAGCGATCAATGTCCTTAGATTTTATTCCGTATGCTTTAGGCAAAAGTAGGAATCTCTCTTTAACTTTTGGTACACCAACTTCTTTGTTTGTTTTTCCGGCAACAAATTTATCAGAGACCAGTTAGCTGTAAATGCCCACAAAGTATTACTTAAATAGCCAAGAAGCTAATATGATTAATTCAAATTTTTCAAGAACTTTACCAATTATTTATTCAAAGACAAACAGAAGAATGAATTCAACCTAGGAGACTACAGCCTGCCCATATCAAAACTTCAATGGCTAGTTTTTGACAGAGCAAAATCCGACCCTGACTTTTTTTTTTTTTTTTTTTTTTTTTGAGTCTGAGGTAAATCTGAAGGTTACGACATACTGTCGCAATAGATTACCTCATATATGAAACAGGACAGATAAGCACTGCATGAACCCAGGTCTTTAGTGTCTGTTGTTCTTTTCGATCTCCAAATATGTGTACTCTTCAAGCAATGATGTCTTGTTGACATGGTACTGAGTCTAAACAATACGTTGCTGCGAAAACTGTATAAATATGCCATTGATATCCTCTTTATTTTCTCTATATAACACTATTACAAATATGCCTGTTGCAGCCGTTGGACAATTCTGTGCTATAGGAGATATTGATAGAAACCTTACCATTTGCTGTGATCTCATTCAGCGTGCAGCCAATTTTGGTGCTGTCGTATGTATTTAATTATGAATGTATTCAAAATCTAACAAAATCTATAGATGGCTTTTTTGCCTGAATCTTCTGACTTTGTATCTTCTGATAAAGAAGTAATCAAGTCTATTATGTCTTCTGATAAACATACTAATTTTATACAAGCTATCAAAGACCAAGCAGAAAAGAACAATATCTGGGTCTCTCTCTGCATTCATGAAGTGGCCAAGGATAGTGAAAAGCTCTGGAATACAGAATATGTGATTGATAATAAGGGCAATATTGTGAAGCACTACCACAAAACACACCTGATGAGTATGATTTTCAAGGATGGACCTCAAATGAAAGAAAGTGACAGTATTTTACAAGGCGAGGAAATCGGATACCCTGTAGAGACACCATTAGGTAAATTGGGATTACAAATGTGTTACGATATGCGTTTTGGTGAGCCTGCCATCATGTTGCGACAGCGCGGTGCTGAATTGTTAGCGTACCCTAGTGCCTTTACAATTAATACAGGCATGATGCATTGGGAACCTTTGCTTAAAGCCAGAGCAATTGAAACACAGTCTTATGTAATTGCTGCTAATCAAATTGGTCAACATGATGAAAAGAGATCAACTTATGGACATGCTATGATTGTCGATCCTTGGGGAACTGTGTTAGCTCAATGCCCTAGTCATAACAGTGATCCTTGTATTGCTATTGCCAATATTGACTTAGACTATTTGAATCAACTTCGTGAAGAAATGCCTGTCATGGAGGACCGTAGAACTGATTTATACCCTAAGATTGGCTAATATGTACTACGTTTGACAATGGTTTGAAAGAAACGCCTTATTTATTTGTTTTTGTTCAAAATAAACTTTCTTTTTATTTTTTCTCACTTGCAAAAGAGAAGAAAATGTCTCAAAGTGATAGTGAAGTAGATATTGATAGTTTCGAAGAACCAGTAGTTGTGGTAGAAAAGACTTTTCGGTCGAAAGAAGCTTTATCAAAAGAGACACGAAAGTTAAGAAAAAAGAAGCAGTTTTCATCCGATGATGAAGTTAAAATAACGCGTAACATGAAGCAAAAAAAGAAAAAACTAAAAGAAGAAAGTGATGATGAGGAAAAAAAGCAAGTTGAACCAATAAAACCCAGTTCTTTTGATGATGGAAATTTGGACGTTGATGGTGTAGATACTGATGATTTGCTAGAAGAAATTGAACAATTAATAAAGCCTCGAAAAACAAAAAAGAAAACAAAACGCATCATCAAAAAAGCGTCTGTTGAGAAACAAGGCACACTTAAAAAGGTATGCTTAATTGGATAGATATGTATTCATAATTTGTTCTTTCAATCTAGTTTTTTCGAAAAAAGATATCAGATGTATATGATCCTGTAGCTATCAAAAATCTCAGCCTTAAATATCCAGATGCTTACTGGCGATTTCATGCTGATTCAGGCTATTCTATGATCAATCAAATTAACAGCGACCACCCATTACAAACTTTACCACTCGATATCAGCGACCAAGGTGCAATTACAGGTATGACATTGTCTAATGATGGTAATCTTCTTGCGACATTCTCCAATGTGGGTGTTATCAAGGTATGGGATATACAAGATGATTTTCATTTGCTCCGTAAAATTCGAGACTCAAAAGAGACACATATTGATGAGTTTTATTGCGGCCGCATCCTTGAGTGTGGACTATTAGTAACAGGCGGAAAGTTAAAGGATCGCTATCGCTGGTCTGCTGAAGATAACGATAATCATATTCTACCATGCCCTATCAAAATTTTCGATTTAGTAACCTGTGAACGCGTTGCTCAATTAGAAGGACATTCCGAAGAAATCTTGTGTATCAAGGCTATTCAGTTTAAAGGCAAAAATTACTTTATCTCAACAAGCCAAGATGGTTATATTATCAAATGGGAAATGGACGAAACATGGACGTAAGTGTAAGAGAGCATATACGTTTGTTTATGTAGATATAAATAGAAAACTACAAGAATCTACACCTATGACAGATGGCATCACTTGTATGGCATTTACTGTGAGCTTTGTGCCTAATACAGGCAATAAATACTTTATCGCCGCTTGTGATGAACATCTTCGACTCTATGACTTTGAACAAAGCTCTGTAAGTAAGAAGAAAAAAAGATAGACATCTGTATTCATTCGAGACTAGCTCCTCCAAACTTTTGAAGATATTTATTCTTCTTATTGTGATTGTGGCAAGTTTATAAACTGGATTGACCAATCTACAACATTGGAAGAAATGGAGAAACAAGTCAACCAACTTTCTGTAGACGATCAGACAACGGATGCAATGGATGTAGATCAACCAAAAGAAACAGGACCTTTCACCTGGTTTATCAGTCGAGGAGCAGAAATGTGTGATGTGAGCGAGGGTGTTTGTGAGTAGAACGTTAAAAAAGAGAGAGAGAAATTCTTGGTTTAACAAGTGTATAGCTTCCAAACCAAATACATGTACCTTGCACAAACTAGTTTATCCTACCACAATTGGAGGCAAATTTCGGTTAGAAACAGTTAAACGATTTACACATGAAGAGTGAGTCTATTTTGTTGTTGTTTTTTTAAAAAAAAAAGAGAGACATGGCTAACCTATATATCTAGTTATCATTCAAATTCTTGGCTAGTCAAGATAACATCTAATGGTCGATACATACTAGCACCTACTATTTACGGACAGATCTTTGTGTTCAATATAGCCTCTGGTCAAGTATCAGCCATTATCAAAGAACACCAAGACATTGAAGTAAGAGATGTTATATTTCATCCTTACAGACCACTCATCTTTTCGTGCGGTGATGATGGCTATGTCAAAGTGTATTCATACTTTGAAGCATAATAAAAAAGAGATTTATTATAATGGTTCTTGCTTAGATAACTCAACAAGAGTATCATCTTCCTCCCTTAAATGAGGAGAATTGGCTGATAAAGAAGCAGAATCAGGACGGAATCCACTGTAAATCTGATTCATTAATTCTTCTGAGCTCTTATTGGAGAACTCGCCCAAAACAGCTGCCTCGTCTACCAGATCTTCTTTGGTAGGCTTATAGATGGGTGTATCGCTATCAATGTCATCGGATGGATCGTGAATAGGTATTGTTAGATGACGCAAACTGAGCTTTTGTAGAGGAGACTGATGAAATGGCAAACTGGATGATGATGAAGAAGGGGAAGATGTATGTTGCGCATTGTAGACTGGAGGTGTAAGTGAGCCATCAGAACTACTTGATGAGGCAAGTGTTTCTTGCGGTGATTTAGGACAAACACAGTATAGTTTCGGTCTTTCGCACTGAACACAAGAAGTAGAAGCTAGTGTCGCATTATGATTATTTCTCTCTGAAAGTAAGCTGTTTGGCTTTTGTGAGTCATTGTGCTGCTGAAATTCTATAAAGCAATAAACAACTTGTTTTACTCATGACTATGCATGACTTGCCTGAAATGTCTATTCTATTCAGGCATTTACACTTTACATGCACATGCTTTGTTCTTCTCAATAAACGGCAGTTCTCGCACTGAGAGACAGGTCTACCTTTTCTTTTAATCTCTATTAACTCTCTGTCATTATGTGTACATTTCGACGAACGATGACCCTATTTTTGATTTTTATGAATAAGATTAAAATCACGACTCATCAATACCTTTATGCATTTTATACAAGCATATTTCTTTTCGATGCCTTCTGGGGTTGTGATATAGACCATTTGATGGTTAATAGATAGAAAGAAAATGTATATTTATTTGTTATTAATTTGCTGCTAAAAATGGTCAAGTAATACCACGTTGGTTTATAAAATATTGATTTGATAAGGAAGTAAATATAAAGCGGGGAAAAGAGAGTAAAAGTAAACGGACCAATGCTGCCTATATAAATTATTATAATAGTTGGGGGATTTATTATATAATAATAATAAAGGAGAGGGTCAATGCTCTCTGTTATCATTTTCGGGGCAATGGCCTGACATGCGGGAATGAACAACTGATACAGCGAGAAAAGCAGTCGTATTCGTTCTCCAATCATATCAGAACAGAAGCTAAGCCCCCAAATACAACAAACCATACAGCAAGAAAAAATTTTTTTTGCAAGCGGCAATAAGTGGTACCTTTTACAAAGGGAATTGTCTTTTTTTCTTCTTTCTTTCTCTTTCTAACTTATTATATCATCATGGCTCACGCTAACGTTTGGAACTCCCACCCCAAGACCTTTGGTAAGGGCTCTCGTCAATGGTAGGTGTCTTTGCTTTTTTTGTGTAGTTTGAGTTTGTTCAATACATATGAATTCGAGAAAGAGAAAAGAATATGTCAGCATAGGATTAAAAAAAAAAAGAGTGAAAGAGAAAAGAAACAGAAATAGTTCAACAAAAAAGAATAAATAGATTCCTGAGATACTCAAATCGATTTCATCATGATTGAACAAGCCAATCGAAACAATAAGTGTACTAATTTTGCTTCTTTTTTCGATAGTCGTGTCTGTGCTCACCGTGCTGGTTTGATCCGCAAGTACAACTTGAACATCTGTCGTCAATGTTTCCGTGAATACGCCAACGATATTGGTTTCCACAAGGTAAAATTTTAAAAGCAAAAAAATTGAATCAATTTCACAAACTGACATGTCTCTTTTAGTACCGTTAAATACAAGACACTTTACCTTGTCAAAGATAATGGGATTTTAAATAATAAAAAAAAGTAACTTCTATATACAAGCTATATTAATCGAGACATTATATGATGTAAACATGTTTCTCTTGAATATCTGAACCCCCAGTTATATCTTCTTTGGTTATAAATCAATCTCGATCATTTTGCATGTTTATTTCTCTTTCTTTGTCTTTTATTTTTAACATGGAAGATTATAATCATTCTTTAACTAGTCCATTGATTGCTGTCACTTCTGCTTTAGCAGCTGTAAGGATTGTGCAAATATTTGAATTGTAACTTATGCTTTGTTGTAGGTTGCTTGGCTCATCTTGTTTATTGGTGCTTGTGTTGCCGCATTCCATGGTGTTGTTTGGTGGATCATCATTTTTGAACTTGTACTTGTGGTTGGTATAATCATCTTGCTAGGGATCAACAAGTTTGGACCCTATCACAATATGGTACGACATAGATGTCAATGTGTACAAGCAACTGACTGTTTATTTAGGTCTATCTTTTCATGGCCGTCAGTCTTGTTTACTTGACCTGGCTCTGTCAATGGTGCTTGGACTCCAATGCTGAAGGTGGTGCTAGAGCTGCTGCTGCTGGTGCTGTCATTTTGATTATTGTTCAGGTAAGCAAATTCATTTTTATGCAAAGAAAAAAATTATCCGAGACATTGAACCCTTGTCTAGTTCATTTGGGCACTTGAATTGTCTGCCCCAGGTGGCGGTACTCGCTTCAGTAGTGGTAGCTGGGGTGCTGCTGGCTCTGGTGCTGCTAACTTCGGTCATCGCTTTAGTAATGCTGTTCGCCCTAACACACACACTGGTTCTCGCCATCATCATCACAATAAGCATTACCACAACAAGGAATTGCCTCGCCGTGGTGTTACTGATGAAGAAAGCATCGGTGATGCCTCTTCTGCTGATGCTGACTTTGAGCAAGCCACTGCTTTGCATGATTGTAGGATAATTGATCATGTGCAACATATACTGACGTATATTTATTAGATCAAGCAAGTCCTGAAGATCCAAACGAACTTTCCTTCTCCAAGCACGAAACCCTTGAAATCTTGGATAAGCGAGGTAACTGGTGGCAAGCTCGTAAGCAAGATGGTACCACTGGTATTGTCCCCAGCAATTACGTAAGTATATATATATATATATATATATGTACATGGCGTATCTTGTTTTACTTATTTTTTTCTGTGTAGTTTCAATAATAATCTTACGCATTAATGATAATTTATCTTTTTCTTCTTTAATATTTAATAAAGTATATTTACATAAAAGATAATTATGCCTATTCAGCCTTTTGAACCTTCTTTACTTTCTTATTTGAAGGAGCTGTCAAGACGGCAGTCCAAGTACATCCAACCATAGCTAAAGAGCCTAAAGCATAACAAGCACCGGGACCAAAGATCCAATAGAATCCACAGGTAGCAATGGGGCCAAATGCTCTACCCAATTGACCATAGCTACGGAATTCACCCATAGCACGTCCCTTTGTCAACGGATCATCCGTGTTTTTGACCTGTTCTTCATGGCATTGCAGACTAGCCAAACTTGTCAAACAATTGACCACTGTGCCCGAGGTAAATGCCAATAAACTCACACCTGCATACAACCAATAGACAGGTTCAGCAGCCTTGACAGTATGTGCCAAACAATAAAGACCCAAAACACAGGCAACCATGCCTTGAACAACAATCATCTTTTCACCAACAGCTTGGACACGACGACGAACATAGCCGCCTTGAATCAGAGCAGAAACAATACCCATATAACAGAGAAGTTTACCTTGTTGCATATGGCTATAGTCCAACACATCAAATGTCAAAAAGACCAACGTGAATTCCATTCCGGAGAAAAAGAAAGAAAAGATACACATGATACGCTTCAGATAGGTCAAGTCCAAAAGGCGACGGTGGATAGCCTCTAATGTAATGGGTTCCTTGGGCATTTGAACTTGTGCTGGTTCCACTTGCTGACGGAAATGGATTGTCTCTGGTAATGCGGCATATAAATAAGCAGTTTCGATTAACAACAAAACTAAGCCTACAAAAGCAGCCATAGAGTAAGGATAGATACCGAATTGAACAAGGGAAGGACACAATACGCTCAAGTCAATAGAAGCGAACCAGGCGCCAATAGCAGGACCAATCGTGAAGGCAATGGCAAATGCAATACCAACCAAGGCTAAACTCTTGCTTCTCTTTTCAGGTGATGTAACATCTGAAATGATTGAAATACTGAGCTGAACATTACCTTCGCTTAGACCAGCAATGATGCGTGCAATCAAGAACAAATTGAAATTTCTAGCAAACAACCAAACCAAGGTAGACAAAATATTACCAATCTTTGCGGAAAAAATTAAGTCTATTATGCTAATAGTATACTATGTTCATGCTTACCATAGTATATAACAAGACCCTTCTACGACCCAATCGATCACTTAAACGTCCAATAATGGGCGAGACGACAAACTGTAGCAGGGAAAATAGTGATCCAATCAAACCGCCTAATAAGACAGTATCCCACTTATCCACAGCACCTGGTTTTACCGAAGCGTGTTTGTTTGTCACGATCAAATATTTGAATTTTTCCAAGACTTGGAGAGCATAACCGAGCAAAGTATCCTGCTGTGTTTTAGCCTATAGAGTCTTACTTTTTTTTTAGTATTATTTTACCTGTTTGCCAACTGCTTCAGTCTGATAATAATTTAACAGTCTTGGAAATAAAGGTAGAATAAGCGTAAAAGCGAACAAGTCAATTGCAAGTGCCATAAAGACGACACGAACAATACGTTTTTGGTCTATTTCGGCCATCCTTTTGAACGAGTGAAAAAGAAAAGAAAGAAAGAAAAGAATAAGAAAGGAGAAGAGTACAAAACAAGTATTTAATGTTTAGAATGGAAATGATGAAATTAAAAGTCCATTATTTTTACGACACGGTGATGATTACCTTCTTTACTGGGATTGAATCGTATCAGAAAATCCACAATCCTGGTCTGCCATGAACACAAAGTGACATTAAAGACATGCATTCATTGAATCTTGGGTACAGTTTCGGTCAGATGTAGGTACTTGTAGTAACCTTAGCTTGTTACTTATTGGGTATTACTAAAGATAGGATTAAAATACTCTTATTGGAGGCTGAGTTGACATAAATCATGCAGGGCGTAAAAGGAATATAACAGATACAGTTCAGATGAACTTGATTCCATTTCCCTTGCTGAAAATCGTTTTCTGTAGCTTCGTGCTACAGCAAAATGCAATAAATAAAATAGTTATTTTCGACATATCTATTGTTTATTGTTGTTGTAGAATGTTGTCCTAAGCTATGAAACATTTAGACTCTGCTTCAAGAAATGCAATATAATGCATAGATCCACTTTTCTCATCAAATAGATAGTATTAGAATTTGATTTAGATAATGATCATTAACGCTTATAAAACCTGAGATAACCATTTTTCCAAAAGAGGCCACCTTTGATTTATATACCAAGAAACATTAGTGGATTCTATTCAAACAGTCAAAATGAAAAAAAATGCTTAATAATTACATCATTGAAATATCACAATGCAATAGAAAAAAAAAAGAACCTTCAGGAACTATTTTGCTTTTACTCATAACTCCACAAGTAGTTTTGTTGCGTTTTTCATCATATTCAATGTATAATGCAGTTATTTACAAATTTCATCTTTATGCTTCTGAAAAAAAATTCTTGAAGTACTATGAAGAATCAAATTCAGTTCTTCCTTAGTCAACTATGGTCTATGCTATTGATTATCTAAAGAAAAATTCAAAGACTTTACAGTGAATTTGCTTGTATGGTCGTCAGCGTAATAGTCTTCGTGAAAAGCAACGCGTTTTGTTTGTTTGAAGTGTATCGGTCTAATGGATAATACAAAGCTTTATGGTTTGTTTTGTAGCAAAGTATATCTTGTCTCGTAACCAGCAATAAAGGCGAGGGATTCTGGTGCATAATAATTGTCTGCAATGTGTTCCGATAAACATGTCTTTTTTTTTTCAACTAAAGCACACTTGAGTAACATATACATGGCTTTTTCTATCTACACAATAGAATAAGAAAATAACTTATAATTACCATAAACCCATTGTTCTTGATTCGTTTCATGCTGACAAACATGCTTATGCTTTATGCGTAAAAAAAAAAGAAAAACCAGTAAAAGGTTGAGAACAGAAAAGAAAGCGTCACACAAAGAAACAAAGCCTTGAACTCATCAAAATTCGAGTTTCAAATCTCTTTTTCTTTCTCACTCTTTAGTCTTGTAATACCTATGGCCAGTTATAAATCTATACTTCACGGTGGCTACCACTACCCTTTGTCACGCTCATGGCAGGCAGAACGAGCATTAACAAAAGACATGCTCATGTACCCCATGTTCATAACCGATGATCCAGAAGCACTTGAATCTATTGACTCTTTACCTGGACAATACCGTATCGGTATTAACAAGCTTCATGGTTTTGTTGAACCCTTAGTAAAGAAGGGTCTCAAATCTGTCATTATTTTCGGTGTTCCCTTGAAAGAAGGTGTCAAGGACCCCGTGGGTTCTCGTGCAGACGACCCTGAAGGACCTACTATCTTAGCCGTTAAATTATTACGCAAAAATTTTCCTGATTTGTTTGTTGCCTGCGATGTTTGTTTATGTGAATATACTTCTCATGGTCACTGTGGTTATTTACGGGAAGACGGCAGTCTAGACAATGACTTGTCAATCAAGCGTCTTGCTGAAGTGGCTGTCAATTATGCTAAAGCTGGTGCTCAATGTGTTGCACCATCTGATATGATGGATGGCCGTATTCGTGCTATTAAAGAAGGTTTGATGGAAGCTGGTCTTGCACATAAAACCATGCTGATCTCTTACTCGGCCAAATTCGCTGGTACTTGGTATGGACCCTTCCGTGATGCCGCTAATTCTGCTCCCTCATTCGGAGACCGACGCTGTTATCAGCTGCCTGCCAATGCTCGTCGTTTGGCTCGTCGTGCTATCAAGCGTGACATCGAAGAAGGTGCAGATGGTATTATGGTTAAGCCTGGTACGCCTTACCTTGATATCGTTAGAGAAGCTTCTGAAATTGCAAGTGATCATTCTATTTCTGTATACCAAGTCTCTGGTGAGTATGCCATGCTTTATCATGCTGCAAAGGCTGGTGTATTTGATCTCAAGACGGCTGTGATGGAAACAATGACCGGCTTTTTACGAGCAGGCGCTACCCTTATCCTGACGTATTACACACCTGAATTATTGTCATGGTTAGATGAAGACAACTAACGGATAAACAGATACTTCCGGATTGCATATATTTTGACACGGAGCCTAAACTTTCTGAATAATACATGGCAATAAACATTTTAGCATGCTTCTCTTTCTCTTTTTCTCTCTTTCTCATTGCAATGGATTCGCTTCTTAAAGACAAAGCTGAAGAAAATACAGAAAATGATCATTATGAAAATATTGCTTTCATACAACCGCAGCATGCTCGAGATCGACGACATAATCAACAAGAATTGGCACCTCTTTTAGTCCAATCTTCAAGGAATTCTTCAACTGAATTTCTTGTACAGGATGAGGAAGGTGACCTAGAAGAGGAAGAACTGGTATCTCCTCCTATTGTTTCAGAAAAACATCGCAGGTTTACTCAATGTTGCTCCGGGGCAAGATATTACCGAAAAAAGACATGTCTTGTGGCATGTCTTTTGGCTACACTTTTACCCATTATTGCGTTTGTCATTTTTTCCGCTATTTATTTTTCGCCTGTTTCACTGCCTTCGATACCTGAAACCTCTCAACTTTTATCTGCTGCAACGTCCATTCGTTTACTGACATTAAATATCTTTATGAGACCACCAGGCATTAAGAACAACAAGAGTGATTACAAGAATGATCGTCTAGAATACATTATTCAGCATATCCTGCCCTCGTATGACATCGTCACCATTCAAGAAGCATTTGCATTTGCTAATCGACGTATTGATCATTTACTTGCTGCTGCCTTTGATCAAGGGTTTTACTATCATGTCTCTTCTCCTAGACATTATCCTTGGGAACTCGCAGGCGATGGTGGACTATTGATTTTATCAAGATTTCCTATCAAGAAATCTAATAGAATTGAATTTTCTCGAGGCGTTCATTCAGACTGGTATGTTTGCAGACATCAAACTGCATTGTGCTCATCATTACTGATAGGCTTTCATATAAAGGTGCTCTTCATGCATTGATTGAATTGAATTCTACCTATATTCATGTTTATACAACACATACTCAAGCATCCTATGATAACGGGGGCGAATTAAACTTGGATGATACCAAAGTAAGATTAAGCCAGTTTGCTGATGTACATGAGTTCATAGCAGATACAGCTAAAGATGATACTCATCCTATTTTGTTGATGGGCGATTTGAATGTTGATGCTGCAGTACATAATGGCTCACCTATTGATACACCATCTTACAGCAGCTCTTTACCCTATACCATGATGATGGATGTCTTGAGAGGAAGAGGAACTGATTTCAACCTGATTAACAAAGATCCTTCAAACCGCACACAGATTCAATATGCTAGTACATGGCGCCTAGACAACTTGACAGACATGGCATATAAAACATTTGGATACCACCCTGTTACATTCGGCGATTATCACCGACTTGAGAATGGCACACTTGTACCTGCAGAAACAACGTTAACAAGCCATAACCAATTATTGACTGTTCAAAGCATCGATAGAATATTATGGACTGGCAATCGAGGTCATACAAATATGTCTTTGGGCAATGTCACTGTAGAACCTTTCTTTGTTAACAAGTCACTCTCTCTACCATTTACTCAAATATCAGGTAAGCTATATATATATATATATATATATATATACACAAGTTACCCTCATATCTCATTTCTTTTTGATAGATCATTATGGTTTGAGTGCTATTCTTTACCCATAATAATAAAAATCTATTTATTATCTTAGACCAACAGCTTTATAGACTTGTTCCATTGTCTCATTGGCCACACTGTTGGCTTTTTCAGCACCCTCGTCCAAGACTTGTTTGACATAGCCTTGATCTGCTTGTAGACGCGCCAATTCAGATTGAATGGGCTGCAATTTCTCTATGATGGCTTCTGATACTTTGTTCTTGAAATCTTTTGTGCTTGTGATATCTGCAAATTCTTTAACAGCATCTTCAATATTTATATCACGCATAGCAGCATAAATGTTTACTAAATTAGACACACCAGGACGCTCAACAAGGTCAAAAGTAACACCTCGAATACTATCTGTGGTTGCTTTTGCAATCTTTGATTGAATCACTTGAGGAGAATCAATCAAGTTTAAGCGGGAATAGTCAGAAGGATCTGATTTTGACATTTTTGAAGTGGGTTCACGTAATGACATGACACGCTTAGCAGCGGGAGGCACAATGACATTGGGTTTAGGGAAAACATAAGTAAATGTCTTGTTGAACAGTCCAGCGATATCTCTAGCCAGCTCCAAATGCTGCATTTGGTCTTCCCCTACAGGTACATGCGTACCCTTGTATAATAAAATATCGGCTGCTTGTAATACAGGATAATCAAACAAGCCCATCTTGAGGCCTGATGTCAATGTCTCGTCTGTGAGTGATTGTGCATGACCACTTGAAGGAGCCTTTTCGAGTTTAGACTTCCATTGAGTCATACGTCCTAACCATCCAACAGGCGTAATACAGTTGAAGATCCATGCAAGTTCAGCATGTGCTCGTACTCGACTTTGTTCAAATAAAACAGATCGTTTGGGATCTACACCACAAGCTAATAAAGTAGCAGCCATATCAAACTTGGCTTGACGCAATGTGGCTGGATCTTGAGGCATGGTGATAGCATGAAGGTCAACAATACTATAGTAATTTAAAGGAAGCTCTCCTGTGACGGGATCGGCTTCCTGGAGTCGAGCCCAATTGGCTAAAGCACCTAAATAGTTGCCAAGATGAGGTGTGCCTGTGGGCTGAATGCCTGAAAATACTCGACGAGTTTTCTTTACTGTTCCTGTAGTAAGTGAACGCTATATCAACACTAAATGAGCAACTCGTCTTTAGTAGAATCAAAGTATACCTTGATCAAGGTGCTCATTGCAAGGTATAGGAAAAAAAAAGACCCCTCCCTCCTCACAGGATTATCTTTCTCCGAGCAAATGTATGTTCGCTTGAAAAATTAAGCGAGAAAAAAAAGTCAATGCTGATCATGCTTCATTACTGTACAATAGTTTATTGTTATAATTTAAGAAGGAGACTCCTTGGCAGCACCACTTGCACGCCATTCACCTAAAATAAGCGAGATAATTTCGTCCATACCAACACCATTCTTAACTTGGGCGAATACGGTAGGGCCATCACCTCTGTTATACAGTAAGGTTATGTTTTACATAGTGATTTTCTACTCTACCTCATCTTTTTAGCATCACGGGCCATCACATCAAGATCAGCACCAACAATAGGTGCTAAATCAGTCTTGTTAATAATCAACAAGTCGCTTTGAGTAATACCAGGACCTATTTTCAGAAAGAAGATGAATACCAATCATCTTCATACTCTACAACATACCGCCCTTTCTAGGTACTTTATCACCACCAGCAACATCAATGACATAAATAATATAGTCAGCTAGAAATTAGGTTAGATAAAAAAGTGATAAGATAACGGAATACCTAATTCTCGGCTACACAAAGAGGTCAATACACGTTTAATACAGCACTTTAACTTACCTATAGTTAGCAGCCAAGTTGTCACCTCCAGATTCAATCAACAACAATTGTGTATCAAACTTGCTATGAAGGGTTTCTAAAGCATTGAGGTTGGCAGATACATCTTCACTATAAACTGTTATTAGTTGATTGGTTCCCTACTTTGATCGAATTACCGAATAGCCTGCCAAATAAGAAAATAATTAGAGACTGAAGGAACGCGTCAATAGATAACTTACAGCATGAGGACAGCCACCTGTTTCAATAGCAGCAATACGATCTGTAGGCAAAGCAGCATTACGAATCAAGAATTCGGTATCTTCTTTAGTAAAGATATCATTCGTGACAGCAGCAAGAGAGTATTGATCACGAAGACGTTGGCATAAAGCCAACATTAATGCAGTCTTTCCTGAACCAACAGGACTATAGGGCCATGATTAAACAACTTACTTACAAGTTTGCTCTTACCCTCCAATACCAACAGTGAATGCTCTTTCTGACCAATCACGGTTATCATAAATAGCCTTAGGACGTTCTTGATATAATCCAGGATGATCCATTTGTTCATGCGTGTGACCGTGTCCATGAGAGTCATGGTCACCATGAGTGTGTACATGTCCGTCTCCATGATCATGAAGAGCAGAAGTATTAGAAGAGGGATGTTCTTCGAAGCGGCAAGTATCAGTCATGTCTATTCTTGAGAAAAAAAGTGATAAAAAAATCGGGATGTTTCGTGCTTTATTTAAACTTTTCTTATGGCAATGATAAGCGTATAAATGTTCGGCGCACTAATTGTGACCTTTCTTTTCCTACACTTTCTGTGGCATACCAAAGCTTTGTAGTCATCTTTCCTGCCTGCTGATTGTTACACCACCGCTTCAGGAATTGAAGGCTAAATAAGGAAAGTGCGGTAAAAGGGGCAAATATACCTTAAAGAAAAAAAACTAGCCGGGTTTGATCACTTGTATATATATACTTTCTCTTCTCGTATATTTTATTTATTTAATGTAAAAACAATTTCTTTACATGAATAAGATGTTCAAGAGGCTTTCGTTTGTAGACAACATCAAAGAGTTCTTTTCGAAGTTCGGGTATAAAGAGATGACCATCATCATTGATTTGACAGACCAGTAAATCCATACAGTCATTCAATTCTTCTTTGCAAATGCAATAATACTCTTGATTATAAATAATAATAACAATACCTAAATGGGTTGTAGACACTTTGATCAGCAATAAAATAAACTGATCTATTGAAATGGGTTCTTCATCATGCCTTGGCCACCATGCCTGTGGTATTTCACTAGGATCATCCAATTCACACCATAAGGCAACAAATACTTTATATTTTAGCCATGTAGAATAGTTGTTGCTATTAAATTTATGTCTAAACTGTATAATACTATCTTGCTGTTCAACATTCAACATGTCAATACTTGCTTGAATGTCAAGAGGTTTATCGAAGTCTGCATAATCAATCAAGCATCGGCTGAGGTCAAAAAAACCTTGAATTTGCTCTAGGTACCTTAAATCTCGTAGTGAATCGAGCTGAAAGTGAAAGTCAAGACTGTAAAGGCATTCAATAGGTTGTGAATAGACAAGCATTGTTTTCATTGTTCTTTTCGAGCTCATAATCAGGTTAAGATAATGAACATGTACGCGAAGATATTGTGGTATATAATTGGGCTTATAAAGCATGATGTTGATTTCATACATGTTTGCTACTGACTTTAAATGACAGTACATGATTCGATTGGCTGTAAGAAGCGGTAAGGCTTTTTCGCAATAAGAAGACGAGAGTTGATAGACAAGCGAGAACAAGAACTGCGAGTGTTGTGCAAACAGCAAATCAACAACCATTCTCCAGCATTCCATATTGAGTCTTCGAGTGATCCGCAGCAAGTGCCAGCTCATGTCATTCCTGTAGGAATGAACGTGATGGTGAGGTATCCAAGAGATAGGGTCAGGTTTGAATACACTGATATTTTGATCTCGTTCCGTAATATAGCAAATGGTTTCTCGGAGATTTCTACTGCGTCTCTCCCTGTTCATTTTACTTTTAGACAGTCGCATTTTGGTATGAAGAAAGAAGAATGAACTAAAGATTGTTTGTCATGCAGTAGGGTCGAGATTATTTTTTATTTCTTGTTATTATTGGCCACTTTAAAAAAAGTTCGATATGCTTTGGTTGCATGTACCCCTTTTGTGAAAATGATATCACAAACAAATGTTGCTTGGTTCTGTAGCCTAAAGTCGAATAAATAAGTAAAAAAAAAGAGACTCTTTGGTATCGCTTGATAGTTACACACTCAACGAACAGTAAGCAGAAACATATCTTTTTGTCACCTGGGAAAATTCTTATTTTGCGGGGTAAATTATCAAAAAACTTTTTAGTCATGCTAAATACTTGCAAAACGCATATAAATTCAACCTTGCCCTTATTTTGATTCTTTTTCTTTAAATATGTCTTCTTTACCTTTCCCTATCACTTTACCTACCTTAGCTGACTCTCAAGTTACCCGCTTAAACGCCAAGTCTCCTGAAGACGTTGTTGTTGTTTCTGCTCTTCGTACTGCCCTTGCTAAAGGACGTAAAGGTGGCTTCAAAGACGTCCTTGCTGATGGTAAGCCTCGATAGCATTTTGCTGTTTACATTGCTCACTGAATTCTACAGAGCTTTTAATGCATGTTCTCAAGGCTACGATTGAAAAGACTGGTATTGATCCTGCCTTGGTTGAAGATATCACTGTCGGTAATGTTTGTGCTGCAGGTGGTCTTGCTACACCCTCTCGTATGGCTTCACTTGCTGCTGGATTTCCTGAAACTACTTCTGTTAGCACTTTGAACCGCCAATGTTCTTCTGGTCTTCAAGCTTGTGTTCAAATTGCCACTGCTATTCAAGCTGGTTTGATTGAAGTTGGTATTGGTGCAGGTGTTGAATCCATGACTTCTGATTATTTTAACCGTGATATTCCTTTGTCCGAGAAATTATCTCAAGTGCCTGTTGTTGCTGATTGTAAATTGCCAATGGGGTAAGCATGCATTTATGTCGAGAGGAAATAATGTACTTACATCCACTTCTAGTATCACATCTGAAAACGTAGCTGCTGACTATGGTCTCACTCGTGAAGAGCAGGATCTCTTCTCTGTAGAATCTCACAAGAAGGCTGCTGCTGCACAAAAAGCCGGTCTTTTCAAGGAAGAAATTGTCCCTCTCACTGTGACTACGCTTGATAAAGATGGTAAGCCCAAGACAATTGTTGTGGACCAAGATGAAGGTATTCGTGCTTCTTCTACTGTTGAAGGTCTTGGTAAGTTGAAGCCTGCCTTTATCCCCACTGGTAGTACCACTGCTGGTAATGCTTCTCAAATCTCTGATGGTGCTGCTGCTGTTCTCTTGATGAAGCGCAAGACTGCTCAAAAGTTAGGCTTGCCTATTCTTGGTAGATACATTACTTCTTGTGCTGTTGGTGTTCCTCCCCGTGTGATGGGCGTTGGTCCTGCCTATGCTATTCCCGTTGCTTTGGAACGTGCAGGCCTTAAGGTTTCTGATGTCGATATTTTTGAAATTAATGAAGCTTTTGCCTCTCAAGCTCTCTATACTGTCAAGATTCTTGGTATTCCACAAGAAAAGGTGAACCCTAAGGGTGGTGCTATTGCTATTGGTCATCCTTTGGGTTGTACAGGTGCCCGTCAAGTGGCTACCTTGTTCCCTGAACTGAAGCGCCAAAATAAGCGTATTGGTGTCACTAGTATGTGTATTGGTAGTGGCATGGGTATGGCTGCTGTTTGGGAAAGCGAATAGATCTGATGTGTAGGACTCTTTTTAAATGTATAGTATTTGTAAAATAAACCATGATTTAGGTACGCGAGACTCAATGTAACGCGTCCAAAAAAAATGCTTTTTTTCTTTCTGAAATGAACGATAAATTTATAGCTTTGGAGCAAAGCGCTTCCATCGCTGAACAATTATTACAAGAGTTCCTAAAAGACAACATAAGCGAGCCAAGAACTGAAAAGTTGTTTTATCAAGCTATTGGTAGCGTGACATTATATAAATCTCATAAAGCGCTTACTCTATTTTTTATAAAAAGAAACAAGGAGCAATCACTTTGGCGATGCCCTGTTTCTTGATCCCGTGTCTGTCATCTCAAACACTAGTTCTTCTAAAGAAAAGTTTGATCTTGAGCTAGCTGTGGAGAAAATCAACCTTGCTTCCTTTGCGCATAAAGCTTATAAACTCGAAGATTTAAAAACTTGCATTAATGCGTTTTTTGTGTCTGTATCGTCCTCTGCCACTACAAGAGATACGTTCGAGAAAGGGTTTTATGGTACGCTTCGCCTGACTTTGTTGGGACAAACGCTTAGGGAATGCAGTTCTTATGACAAACCTTACAGCTTAAAAGAAGCGATATTAGACAGTTTCCCTTCAAATCCCCGTCAATATTTCTTTGTGGATGGTCATACAGACAATGACAATATTATGAAAGGGTGCTTAATGATACAAGAATCGGTTGGTTTGTGACCTATACCTCATACATGTTGCTAATAATCTTTTGATTGCAGCTGTTAAAAAGGATCAATGACAATCTTGCAGAAAGAATTGGTGACCCCAACGACTTGAAGCAAATGTTGTTTGATTATGTCGACATGCGATATGTAACTTAGTCTCAAAACCAAACTGCTAAATAATATGATTTATTATATAGACTGAAATCCAAAATGCAAAATGGACAGCAAACAACTTAATGGAACTCGATGAAGACATGTACGATCCTGAGGAAGAATTTGACGAGTTGAACGAGGATACAGATGAGGATGAGCAGGAAATGAGAAGAGCAATCATGCAGTCTACTCAGTCTTCAGTTAAAAAAACCAGCAATATAAATTCTAATGCTAGTCCTTTCAAACATACCTCAAGAAAAGCACCTGTTCCTTGGACCCCAGAAGAAATAGATGCTCTTGAAATGGGATTAATTCAGTACAAAAGCCGTAAATGGTCTGATATTCTCAAAGCTTACCCTGTCTTGAAAAATCGCGGGCAAGGACAATTGAAAGACAAGGCTAGGTCAGAAATCAAACGAAGAGAAAGGGATGGTATCGACCTCGGTGGTTTCTATTATGCCAAAAATTGAAGATTGTTATGTGCTACAAAAATAAAGGGCTATGTTTTCACAATAAACAGAAAAATCGCATAAGAAAAGTGTCAGTCATTTCTGTGCTTTTTGTTAAAGTGCTTTATTTGATAACAGTGTAATACAATGCTACTTGTCCTCAAAGCAGACTATGTCAATATTCCTGTGCCAGTCTAGAAAGATTTGAAGGAAAGGTCGCATTTTATGGAAAGGACATATTGATTTTAACAAAGAGCTCTTAGCACTACTATTTTTGGTAATAAAAAAATGCCAAGGAGTAGGGGCTACTGCCACTAAATTACTTGCCTCATCTTCTGGATTAAAATTTGCTCCTTTGGCTTTTGTTGTTTAACAATAAGATTGTCAATAGCTTTATATAGTGTTTTTAGTGCCATTAAAGATAAGAAAACAAGCTTTGTGAACAAACAGGATTCTTTCTAATTTTTTTGTAGGCGTATAAGGTGTCAGTGTTCTATTGTCTCTATCATCCAATACAATTCTGAGTCAAGTATGGTTAAAAAGTTTCTCAATAGAGCTTATACCATTTCTCTTGAACAAACAATTGATATTTCAAATAGTGATCTGATCACCATGGCTTGTTTTCTTTGAGAATTACATGATCTAAAGGAAGAAATCCAATTAACTAAAATGGCTGTAAGAATTCAATAGTATATACATACTAAGCTAATACAATGCTTTCTAAAACTAAGGCCAATAATAGACTTCACCTCCTTTTTGATGTGTTATTTTGACTTTGAGTGTGTGTGTGTGTGTGTGTTTACACATTTATTGAAATGAATGAAGATAAAATCATTAATTAGAAAAGCAATGTAAGGAAAAAGACATGTTCCTGGATATCTGAAATAAGACTGAAATCAAAGCATGATTGCTTTCTTTTTCATGTCAGTTAATCTCAATTATTGATTGAAAAATTACGGAAACGTTTAATTAGTAACAATGACGCTAGTTCATTTCTTATTATTATTAAAGGTATAGTGCAGTAAGTTGCTTTTTATCTTGAATCTAGTGAATATAGACTACTTCTTTTTTCAAGCACAGAAAACCATGAACCATTTACATTCTATTAAACTCATTAAGTGTTTGTGTCACAGATAAAAATCGAAGTGATACAAACGATTTATTGCTTATTACCCAAAAGAAGTAAAAAGGTATTTGAAGGATGTGCTCGTGTGCAACATGAGCAGGAAGTGTATATAAAAGAAATCAATTTTTTTCCTCTTTTTTATACAGTCATCTCTTATTTTTAATTACATTTTGTAATCCTTCCCATTCATTTCAATTGAACAGTTATCAACAAAATTATTGCATAGCATGATTAAGACTCACTTGGTATTGTTCACTATTGCTATTGTTGCTTGTTTGTTTTCAACAATTGAAGCTGCAAAATCTAACAAGAAAACATGGGCATTCCATAACTGGAATAAATATAAAAAAGCTACTGTTGGTAAGCCCACTGTTTGGGATGCTGCTTGGGGAATTCCTGAACACAGTGGTTGGCTTTGGTTCTGGCAAGGTGCTGAGAAAAACAAAAATGTCCTCGTTACCGATCCCTCTAAAAAGACAAAAGATCTTGTGCTTCGTGTCAAATATCCCAAGAACAGTAGAAATCCCGAAGCTAGTCCCGTTGGTGGTCTTGGATTCAAGGCTGAACCTCTCACTATTACTAACAAGGTCAAGACTGTTACACTTCAATACAGTGTTTATTTTGATAAAGGATTTGACTGGAATCGAGGTAAATTAACAATTGAAAAATTCAGAATCCAATTCAATTTAACTAACTCATGAATAGGTGGTAAGCTTCCTGGTTTGTTTGGTGGCCATGGTGAATGTACTGGTGGTGATGAATCCTCTAAATGCTTCACTACTAGGTATGACAAGAAAGGCCAAATGTTTTGAATGTAATAGTAACTAAACATTGAAAATTAGAATCATGTGGCGCCACAAAGGTGAAGGTGAAATTTATGCCTACTTACCGTCATCAGCTCAAAGATTGTCCTTGTGTGATAACAAGGCCAATATCTGTAATCCTGATTATGGCTACAGTTTGGGCCGTGGCTCTTTCAAATTCGCTACTGGAAAATGGACTACTGTTCGCCAAACACTTACTATGAATACTCCTGGAAAGAAAAACGGTTCTCTTTCTTTGTATATCAACGGTAAACGTGTGATTAATGAAAAGAATCTTGTTTTCCGTATAAACAGCACTGGCCGTGTTGTTGGTATCAGTAAGTGGACATTCAGCTTAATTTGAGAGGTACTAACTCATTTATACTAGTGTTCCATACCTTCTTTGGTGGCTCAGATAACAGTTGGAAAACTTCCAGAAACCAATATTCTTACTTCAAGAACTTTAGTCTCAAGCTTTCTTAATCACAATTAAACGTTTTCTTACTCCTTTTTTAAGGAAAAGGAGTAGAACATCGACAATACACATTATCGATTAATGTGATTACATACCCTTTTGTTAGACAAAACTTTTTTCAAATTGAGAAATATATTAAACTTTAGACCTTCTATCCTTTTTTTTCGATTGTTACTTTATATTAAAGTATTGAAGCAATTGCTCCAAAGAAGGTTTTGTTATTTTCTGTATTTTACCTTATGAACAATTAGTTGTTGAAGCTACCTAAAAAATCTGTAGAAAAAATCCTCAAGATAAACTTTTGAAAATCAGGCACTAAACCTTATTTTTCTTAACAGCTTGTGTCATTGTTTTTGTCAATGATTTGTGTATAACAGTGAAACATCAAAGTTAATTGGACTTTTTTAAGCCAAAGACGCGCATCAAGTATCATTATTCACACCTTAGCAAAATGGTTTTGAAAATAGTCAATACCCGTCTGGACATGCATCAAGCGTCTTTTAAAACTATTAAGTTGAACGAACTTTATCTCTTAGAACTGACGAAGCTTCTTTATCAGAAAAATGTAAAGATTCTCTTAATACATTGCTTTAGCTAACAATTCGGCCAAAGAACAGTCAACTACACATAGTCGTTTGATTAAATAAGGATAGTATAAAGCCTGTTCGTATACATATAAATGCTCCAATTACCTGCAAACCATGTGTACTAACATCCATGGTACTTTTAGAGTTGATTTGGACCAAAAAATGAGACATGTAAAATTTGGTCAAAAATGCATTTCGACCAAAGGTAATTGGTCATGAAAATTGTCATTTTGACAACTTTTCACCTTTCTTTCGTCTAAAGAATTTTTTAGTACGTTGGTCTGGTCACTCTTGGTGGCGTTCCGGATTTTGCTATAATCCCTTGCATCTCTTAGGTATCAACAATTGTGTCAAGTGTCAAGTAATTGAAGATATTTTGAAATGGTGTCTTTTACTTGTGGTATTGGTATTGCCATCTGTAGCATTGAACAAGACAAGATATAAAGAGTATTGACTCTCAGGAGCAATGAACGAAAAACTGAATGCTTCCACAAAAGCATTGTCTTGAAGATATTTTATGTGGCTAGTTACTTTGCTTCACATACACTAGTTTCCATCTATACGATGATTTTATTTTTTTCCAAATAAAATTTTGATTTTGTTTTTGATACTACAAGACAAAAAATGGAGCTATCAACAAGCTTAAGTACTCAAAATGTGTGTAAAAATTTATGGTTTGTGGTGAATGTGTTTGCTTGCTAATCGTACTATCAAAACAATGAGATAAGAACAGAAAACCTCGTAAGCATTCTTGCCATATTGGTCAACATTTTACTAGTAGAATTAATGCTTTCTTTAAACTGATAGACTCAGAAAAAAATATCTACAGCTTTTACTATTACAGTAAAGCCAAAAAATCGCGTCTTTATCCAGTTTTAGACAAAAGCTTGATCTTGATGGGGTTGGATGAAGAGACGAATTACTTCTATTTCAATCTCCGACCACAACCATTCTGTATATTGTTCATACATTTACCCTACATTCATGGCTCTTCCCAACTCTCAGCACTTTCAGTCGGTTACGAGGATTGAAAAATCTCCAAACCTAAAAGCCACCCAACAATTAAGATCATATGCTAGTGTAGCAGCTAAAAATCGGGTATCACTCATGCACCAAGGCATCGTTGAACCTGACAAAGATGCAGACTCACCTTTGCGAGAATTTCAGTCGAGAATTTATCGAGCAGATAGCCATTAGGATGCTTTCTTCCATGAGGATGCTTTCTTACTCGACATTACTCCAGTTAAGAAAGAATACACTGATCTCCAGTGTATGTAGGAAATCAGCGCTCAACACCCAAAGATCTACGCTTGCTCCATCTTGAGAGATGGTCCAACTCAGTACTTGGAATTGTATATCGAAAAAGATGATGATGACAATAATCTTATGGAACATGGTGTTTGTTGTGATGTAAGAGAGAAGATAAAAACAAAGAAGTCGATTAGAACTTGTATAGGTTTATTATCCAAAAATATATATATATATCATTTTCTAGCTCTTCATTCTATAGGTATTTATATATGAAGAGATGTCGGAGTAAGTAGTAGTAGAGTTCATGCAAATGACTGTCTCTATTATCATAGACTACTTTAAATTAAATAACGTAAATTATAGATTTCGGTTATAAGTCTTGATCTATTAAAAGATACTTTGTCTTATTCAGTACAAGAGGTTCTTTTATGTCTATTTCTGATGTAAATTGATTATGATATATTTTAGTATGTAAATGAAGACTTATTTAATGTCAGATCATCAAATGCATATAGATTCTATATGTTCACAACAGTGTTGTCTAAAAAGTCGAAATTGCGAATTTTCCCTTGCAAGGCAGCAGATGCCACACTCCGATTTGTTACTGTGAAATTGTCCCAATTACCTTTACGTCCGAAAAGGGTAGTTCTTGAGGGCGTGCAGCAGAGTTTAGCTCCATTTGAAAAGGTGATGTAGGAATCAATACAGAAACCACCACCGGATGGTTTATGGGCGCAGAATATGCCGTCATTGGTATTCCTTCTGGTCCTTCAGAATCAACAGACAACTCCAAGTATCAGCCTTTGGAGCATAACATTCGTTGGTGCGAAACCGAAAACCAAATATTCCACACAACCTGGAACAACGTGCCCACTTGGTGCAGGTATTGCCACCAAACTGGACACACAAAATTTGAATGTGAGAAGTCGAAAGCTAGAATCATATGTTATGCGTGCCATCAATTAGGACACCGCTCGTTTGAATGTCCTAGGAAACAGTCTATGACGCCTAGCAAGTGTTCAAAGAGAGAAAGATCAGCTCTTGGAAAGACCACCCAACCAAGAAAAGAAGCATTCAAGCCTGAAGGGCAAAGCAATATTGAAGTCAAAAGTAGCAACTTTGGCCAGACAGAGATCAACGTCGACAAAGATAATGATGACGATACTAGCGATAGTGATTACGCTCCTTCAGAGAAAGAGAGCATGGAAGAAGATGAATCTGAAATAGAAAGTGGAGACGAGGATATAAACAGGATGGAGATTGAAGACCTCCATAAGGATACTAAGATGTACAGCTTCGGCCAGCAGTTAAAAGATCACCTCGTTATGAAGAAGGGAGAAAGAAGTAATGAATCAAATTTGAATCAACAATCGGACACAAAGAAATCTACAGCACTCTCTTCTGCCTCTGATAATCAGAGGGTAGAGGGTCATCCTTTATAGGTCCGCATCAATGAGTAAGAAAAATATCCTGCGCCACTATGCCTCACTAAACGTCAATAGTTTAGTGAAAACAAACTCCAATAAAATACAAAAAGAATATATACGATACCTTCAAATGCAGAATTTTTCTATATTATGCTTTCAAGAAATTCATGCTTCCACTCCTTCAACTATAGATAGCCTCAACATTCTCTTTCAACCCACACAGTCCCATTGGACCAGTTAGGTGGGCACACTCTCCTTCTCTACCGATTAAAACATCTCTATCATCGACACTTCCTCATCCTTTACATCTGATCGATTTCAACTATGCATGGTTGAACATTCACATCATTTCTATGAGCCTTTCTTTGTTCTTAATGCCTATGCACCGGCAGGCCTTGCTGCAGAACGTCGAACATTCTTTAGCAATCTAACCCAAATGCTCCATGATTTTCGATCAGTTATCTCTTTTAACAGATTAATTATTTCAGGAGATTTTAATCACTCAGTCCTCAGCCACCACCATAATTCGTCTTCAACATCAACGCAATGGTTAGCCCTCTTGCAAGCAAATTTTCAAAATGCTTTGGCCATCAATGGTCTTGACGAAGTTCCCACCTTTCAACGCACCGCCTCAAGTGAATTAGTGATGACTGTCATAGATTATATATACTTGGGTAAAAGTTTGTATCAATGCGCATCAAATTTATCTATTACCAGATTAGGAGCGAAATAGTCAGACTATTCCATATTACATACGTCCTTACTCTTGGGCCAATCCCAGTTTGGTCATGGACTATGGCGTGCCAACCCAGTGTATGCTTCCCACCCTAAGCTACAAAATACATTAGAGAGGAATATACAACATTTGGTTCAAGGATTTGATGAGAATATATCGCCCCAAGAACAATGGGATGAAATAAAACACAAATCCAAGTCAATCATTAGAGGATATTCAGTGGATTACGTTGATTGGCGTACTAAGAGAATTCGTGCTTTAGAAAAGAAACGCAATCGTTTATTACGCACAAAGCCTCCTCCAGACGTTCAGCGCTTAATAATTCCACCTATTGACAATGAGCTACAGATACTAAAACAAGAGCTGGCTGAAATAGCTATTCTAAAAGCTGGTCTTCGCTGGCAAGAGAATGGTGGGTGCAATGCTGGGTACTTGAAAAAAATACATCAGAGTCGAACAACCCAACAATATATGTCTGGCTCCAAGGATAGCAATTCCGAAACATTAACAATTGTACATACCACCAAATCGACAATGCAGAGTATTGTATAACGGTTTTATAAAGACCTATATGCGATTGATGCAGTACCTATGAATCAAATACAAGAGTATTTGGGTAACATTCACTTTCCAGGTAAGGTTAATCAGGATGAAGCAAATCTGCTCCAAATGGAATTTGATTGGGAGGATATTGTCAGAATGACAAAGCGTAGCCCAAAACAAAGTAGCCTAGGTAGTGATGGACTAGGGTATACATACCTTCAACTCTTGTTTGGTTTTCCTTGTTTGAAGCCCCTGATACTCCAGGTATACAATGATGCCATGACAAAAGGAATTTTCCCTCAGTCATGGAAGGAAATCAGAGTGCGCTTGCTACCCAAGAAAGGTGATTTGTCAGAATTAAAGAATTGGAGACCAATTTCATTGATCAACTGTGATGGTAAAATTTTCACAAGGCTCATTACCCAACGTCTAGCTCCTATAATGAATCGAATTATCAATCCGCTTCAAAAGGGCTTCATCCAAGGGCGTTTTATTGGCGAAAATGGGATGTACGTCCACTTGGTTCTACAACAAGCAAGATATGAACATCATCAAGGTGTAGGTTTGCTTCTCGACCAGGAGAAAGCCTATGATCGAGTATTACCAACATATCTTCAACAAGCTCTTGTGTCCCTAGGCTTCCCTACCTTATTTATACAGAGTATCTATAATTTGTTCTTTGATAACTCAATAGCAATCAATGTCAACGGATCCAGTACATCAGCAACGTGGGTTAAGGCAGGGCGATCCTTTGTCCCCTTTATTGTTCAACATCGCTTTGGAACCGCTGATTCTTTCAATCCAGCAAGACCCTACATATCAAGGTTATGTCTCGACAATGAGCACTACATCTCAACAGATCAAGTGCATCGCATATGCTGATGATATCTGTGTGTTTGTCAAGGATGCCACTGATTTTATGCGTCTCCAACATCACTTGACTAAGTATAGTGCTGTATCAAATGCAAGATTTAACAAGCACAAGACGGAAGCTTTCTCACTGAGTGGAATCAAGTCAGAATCTTGGGAATCTTTGATTTTGAGTCACGATATCGAAACATACTACCACCATCATTCCCCTTCTGCTTTTCGATACCTTGGCTTTTATATGCCATACACAAATTCTCAACGGAATCGTGTTCAGGATATGTTATTGGAACAAGTGCGTACATGGGTTCATGGTTACTCTCAGCGTTACCTCTCGCTTCAAGGAAGAGCTACCGTTGCCAACACTTTGATTTTATCCAAAATTTGGTACTGCTTGCGGCTGTTTGCGCCTACCAAGCGATTTCTGAATGAACTTTGTTTGAGTATCTATGCTTACGTGTGGCAAAAGAAGTTTCCTTATGTTTCTTTTGACCAGTTATGTCTCCCTAAGAATCAAGGTGATGTAGAAGCTCTCAACCCTATCACATAATACTTGGTGCTGCAGATGAGATGGGTCTTTACTCTGTTTAGTTCGTCTAATCTAACTACTCAGCTCCGAGTGCTTATGGAAGAACACTTTGGCATCATGTCTCCGGATGCTGACAATACATTGCTACCCTTTTTCTCTAGAACTCTTCGCCGTCATGATCTTTGTCATCCCACTTCAGTTGTCAATGGTATTTATGCTGCCTTTGATCACTTTGTTATCAACTTCAAACTTGATAATGTGCCTCTAGCCAACTTGCTTTACTTTCCACTGATTAACATGTTTCAAGAGGTACCTCAGAACCACTGGCTTCATCGACATTCAAAAGTACCAGCATCTCTCTTCTTCCTCTTTAGCGAACAGAGTAACCAGTTATGCCTGAAGGTTCGCTATGAATATGGGACATTGCCAGGATTGTGCCATCAGCTCTTTATAGACGTTCTTCGCAGACAAACAGTAAAACTTCAATCTTTCCTGTGGCAATATATTACACAAGATGTGACACCATCTACTGTCTATGTCTATGATGCTTTGACCAAGCAATTAACTGACACAAGATTGTGGCGCTCTTTCACTTCTAGGGATTTATGCCTGCATCCTTATGAAGACAAAGCTAGATCCCAAATAAAGGCTTCTCGTACTTTACTCTTTCCTCCCTCCACAAGATCCTCACTCTTCAAGCCTTTCCCCCTGCCATTACAAACCGCTCCAAGCTTGTATCCATCGTTGCGATAGCTCAATGGAATGTCTGGAAATCCTATTCAAACCTGATTCTCAACCAGGTTGCTTTTGAACATTCTTGTATCATTTCAGATACAATTTACCAGGTAGCCTTAGCTACAAAAAATTCCTCCTTGCTAAAATAACCCTGATCATTGTATGATCTTTACTTCGTCATTCCTTACTCCTGTTTTTCTACGTCCCACCTCTCTGTGATGTGTGACTAATCAACAATTTTGTAAATAAAATCCAACTACAAAAAAAAATTCACTCCACATCACATTATTAACAAGCCTTATTTTGTACTTTGTGTTTTTTGGTGCTCTAAATAGCATATGACACTTTCCAGAAGTTTGTAACTAACATGTCTTATAAGCCATCAAGAGTAAAAATACTTAAAGCAGGGCTCAGACAAACCATTTTTTGATGCGATATTGCTCGGCAACTAGAATATCAACAGGGCTGTTCTTTTTCGCTCAAGACATGTTATTCGGACTTCATAAATTAAATGGCATCATTGGTTTGGTAGTTGTAAGAAGATCATTTTTGATCTACCGAGGATTGATCTTCCTGTGATGAGTTAATATTTTTTTGACATTCTGACTTTGTTTCTCAGTAAATAAGAAGGCCGATGAACATGGCTTGTCCTTTTTCTTTTTCTTTTCTTAATTACGATACCATGACAGCTCATCTCTATCCATGGAACACTAAGGAGCAACTAGATGAGTTAAAGCAATACTTGTTGCAATTCACCCCAACCACCTCGCAGTTGGTTGGTTTGTTTATTTCTGATGGTTTACATAAAACAACACCTATCAGTACTATAAAAATCTATTGTTCTCATCCAGACCCTTTGAATACCTCTGACATTGTTGTATGGATTTTTGACACTCAAAAAAGCATTCGTCTTTTTGTCAGTACCGAAGTCCAATTGGACAAATTATCCTTGACTTTAGAAGCTCAAGCATTAGCACGCAGTAAAGGCGACTATACTAAGGCATTACCTCGTTACTTCTCTGACGACGAACATGAAGAACTATACCAAAAGAGCTGTGAAGCACTCGAGCAAATACTTAAGAATTATGATGCTCAAAGAAAGTCAGGTAAAAAAAAAAAAAAAAAAAAAAAAAAATCGCACGTATCGATGGTCTTTATTTATTTTCAGATTTGGAAAGTACACTTTACCACGGTATCAATCTTTTGTGGGCACCCGTGTTACACCAGGTTTACAAGGTTGGATTTCAGGCTCCTTGCTTCAAATATATCAAATCTGCTTCTACACACTCACCTAAACAGATTGAGTTAAAATCACACCTCAAAATTACCCAAGTCCTTCAAGAAGATATAGATTTGATCAAGTCTGCTACTAGTGTAGATTATGAACTTGAGTATTTAAAACAATGCGCTTTTATTTCTACAGCCATCAAGACCAACGATAAAGACGAACAGTTGGCAGGTTGGGTTTTAACACATAGAGACAGTAAGTGAAAAAACAAGAAAAAAACAAAGGAACAAGTAACATAATGCCATCATAGTGTTGGTGGGTGCTCTTCAAGTCTTGCCCAACTGGCGTCGTCAAGGTTTAGCTGATATTCTTGTGCAAAATATTTGTACAAAATATGTAGAGTTCTTCAAAGAAAATCTAACAGAAGTTGCTCTTGACAAGTTGTATTTTGTAGCAACAGTAGAAGCACACAATGATGCTAGTGCTAGACTGTTTGAAAAGATGGGTTGGGTACACTTTGGATGTGGTGTTACATGGCTTTATTGCTTACCAAAAAACTAGACTTCAGATGCAATAAAACTTTGCTCTTAGAAAACTTTTCTTTTTATTATCATATTTACATGTATATAGTTTAAATAACAGCAGCAAAGAAACCAAGTGTTTCTACATGCTCTCCCTTTCTCTTCTTGTCCTGCACTGCTTGTTCGTCTTGTAAAAGCTTTGCATCAATGCGTTCTATCAAAGGTTTTGCCAAAGCAGTTGCTGTACCAATCATTTCGTTCAGTAAACTAGGATCAATGCTTCCCACTTGTCCCTTTTGAATACCACATACAAGACCATCCTTATTAACACCTACAATAAGAGTTGCTTCTGAGCATAACTCTTCCAGAACAGTAGGGTCAATAATATATCTGTTGGCAATCTTGTATAGTGTGACTGAGATGGGTAAGTTTTCCCATCCTTTAATGGGTTCAGCATCTTCCACGTCATCCATTACTTCAAATTCGAAATCGCCATCCCCTAGATCTTCAATTTCTGTCTTGGGAATACGGGTATTATATAAAGCAGCGCGTGTCGTCATCACAATACAGTCTAATAAGTTACCAGCAGCATCCATGACCTTGATTCTGTTATTATTCAACATGTAGCGTGTTTATTAACCTTACCATGGCATCAATATATATAATCCAACATTGTTGACCAGGAATAATACATAGACTTTCAAGATCAAGTCCGCTCTGTGTGCCATTGAAAAGTCTGTCAAGTGCAAGTGTCAATGTGTTGTTGATTTCATCAGCACCACGTCCTTCAAATTGTTGTGAAGCACTAGGAGAACTAAAAACATGTTAAATTGGCTTTGAGGAAAAGAATAGTCTACCATTCGACATTACAGACAACGCGTCCTTGATTAGGCTTTGCTTGTTCAACTTCGCCGATTTCTACCTTGACACCTACAAGAACATCGCTATCACCTAAACGGCAACGCGCACTGCCACTTGCTTGTGATAAAAGTCCACTTTCCATAACAACATGACGATATTCAAGTCTTGAACGGCCATCAGCACGACAGTCTTGCTCAACACCTTGTTCAATATAAGATCTTTCTGCTAGTGATATAAGTGGAGCAGGCATTTGAAGGAATAAATAAGAAGACAAAGCCAAAAAAGAAAAATTTAAATAGACCGTGACTGCTAGATTTTTTTTGAAAGAGGTCTTCATGTAGACTTCAAAATTACATCCTTATTATACACTATAGAAATAAAGCGTGGTTTGGAAGCCTAGTACCATATTTTCTTGTTCTTGCTTAGTTAGCATTATGGGCGTCTCATATGATATATTAACTGATGCAAATACAAGAAAAAAGTATTTACAATGACCTTTTATTTTGATGAGCTATGAGAAGGGTATTCGTAAGAAGGCTAAAGCCATTCAACAGAGACAGGCCCCAAAGAGAGTGTACCAAGAAAATTTTAGCCCTCCCTCCCAACAAAAGGAAAAATGAAAAATAGAAAAAATCAATCTGCTTTAGACATTGTTGATTCTGAAACAAGTATAGGTGAATGCTTGGTATCTTCTCTGTAAATGATCAATTGTACAACTAAAATACTATTCAAGAAGCTAGCCAAGATGTTTCCTCCGAGCATAATGGGGTCATCAAGTTCTGTCCAAGTTGTAAAAGCGCGTGTGGTAGTGCCTATGAAATAACTAAAGACAGTAAATGTTGATAATTGTCCAGTGGATCGATTGAGATAGTTCATCTTTATCTGTGGTATTTTACTTGCAAGACCAATTGGAATTTGAACGGCGTATAGTAGCGACATGAGCCAGCTTGGTATTAATTTGAGAAAAATGAATCCAATGACAAATCCCATTGATAACATTGCCATTACTTTTGATTTTGATGTTGTCGTTGTCGAATAGAATACAATTAAGAATGAAATGAGAATATTTTGTATTGTCATGAATAACACTTCGCCAAAAGTACTGAATGGATTATGCAAGCGTGTGTTGTACATAAGTATAATCATGTAAGCAGATGTTTCTAGCAGAAAAGAGGCAAATGATAAGCCCTTGGCTGATTTGTGTCGAACAATGGTGAAGATCTGTGGTACTTTTATGATAGCGCCTCCCACTACAATACCCAATCCTAACGCTTTGGAAATAGCTAATTTCAGACAAGGAATATCAGTGAAATGGAATTCTTCAAACAAGTTTTCATAACAAGCGTCTCCAAGAAGGCTAACAAGTGGTGTGCTAACAAGTGAAGGCCACCAATACTTGTCTTGTTGGAGATCGTTGGGATCTACTACTTGTACTGGGAGCGCAAAGAGCGCCTGAGTCTGTAGCCCCACCACAAGGACCAGTAAGGCTTTAGCTCTTTCTAGAATCATTTCTTGTAAGAAAAACAAAAAAAAAAGTCAAAACAAAAACAAGTTCAGCAAAGGCTACTTGAGTGAAACAAAGTCAGAAAGTAGCACAAAGCTCTTGAAGGCTGAAGTCTGTTAAAGCATGAAGAAATCATTATAAGGAGGTTTTCGTGTGTGTATGTATATGTGCGTGCTTTTCTGTCAGCTATATGTGAGATAATCTGCTTGCCACAGACCATCAAATGCAGCAACTGGAATTCCGTGTGTAAAGTTGCTGAACACATCCTATAATCTCACATTCACTTGACATTCTAATTCCTTTCCACTGTTGTTTTGAATGATCAAAACAGTTTATCAATATATAAATGGAACAGGGTCTATCTAGCCATCTATGGCAAACGCGTCTTGTTCTAATGCCAGAGATAATTTACAGTCTTATTTATCAAACACACTGACAAGGCTCTAGTCAAGCACTTTCTTTATTATTATTGAGAATTAGAGACATCCTTGGTCGGCTTCATTCAATCATGGTATGAAGACGACACTGTTAGTCACCTTGACCGATTCTCCTCCCGCCCACCGATAAAAAAAAGATAGTTTGCAAAACACGCTCTGTTCATTGGCGGTATAAAAAAAGGTATAATATAAACAAGAGTAATGATTTTTCATTAGGCATATTCTGACAAAAGATGTCTCGAAATATTCATTTTTTTAGTGGCTTCTAGTCTTTTCTTAAAAAAAAAGTAAAAAAACGAGCAAAGAATGATGAGGAAGAAAAAAATTGATTAAACAGTGCTCCGTGTTCGAGATTTGTGCGACACATAAAAATTCCAAAGCTAATTTAATCACAGATTGATGGAAGATATATACATATATGTATTTGTTTCTTATCAATACTCTTCAATTGGGCTCAGAGGTACGCCAACTCTTTTGCTAGCTACATATATCATGGAGGCGAAGCTTGACTGGAATCGCCTGTACTTCCGTTTATTTAACAGAGTTTAATCAAAAGCTCGTCTTTGTTGGCTTGTTCATTTTCTAGAGCTTTGTAGCTTTTAATCAGGCATCTCAAGACTATTTTGCTTTGTTTCCGAACCGTTTAAACTTCATTTAATATTGCAATTGTATCTTTGGAAATAGAAGTTCCTGTTGATTTTAACCTTCCTTTGAATGTAACTGTCTATCTTACAGCAAATCAATTAGAAGAATGTTTGGCTCGTACCAGTGGACTGTATAGAAGTGGGTCAAGCAACGCAATCACATTTCTCAAGGCTCGATTATGGGCGAAGCTCGTGGCTGTCATCGCCGCGATCACTATATACTATCCAGATCTTCTAGAATTAGTCAAAAGGTTGCGGAATAATCTTTTAGTCGTTCAAATCAAGTTGCTGAGAGATCATGGGTTTCATATTCCCGGAAAATAAAAAGACATTAAAACTCTTCTGTTGACTAGAAAAACAGTTCAAGTTTTTAAGAAAGCAACATGCAATGAAATATACAAGCTGCAATTGGACTAACGAAAAAATAAAAGCTCTTATTAATCAAGCTTTTCGGATCAATTACTACGATGTTGGAAACAACATTAATGCCAGAATGACCAAGTTGAGCAAAAGAGCTGCCGAAGACATGGGAAATGTCCAAGCTCGGATGGAAGAACTGGCTGGCAAGGAAGCCAAACTCCTCTCTAAAGCACACGATGGTTCTTTTCCTGTTTCCTGGGCTGCTAAATGGCAGATCAAGGTAATAATCTCTATAAATTCATGCAAGTTAAACGAGGCAATACTTTAGCATTTAAAAGCAGCAAAAGAATGGCACATTGATTTGATTCATAAAACCTATTAGTCATTCACTGACTTTGAAAAGGATGATTTCTTGTATGCTGTGAGTCTCTGAAAAATACTGATCAGTGCACGGAATATGAAGTACAACGAAAAAATTAGATTGTTAAAAGACAAACCAAAAAAAAAAAAAAAAAAATTAGAAAATTCAGGGAGTGCCTTAAGACAATCAGTATCTTTTGGAACTGTGTCTCAGTCCAAACCTCACAGACAGTAATTATAAATATAAGAATAAAAAATGATATGAATATAACGTTCTTTGTACAAATTTTCTTTTTGAACAGCATTTTTATCTAACTACATACCTCAAATCCTTGATAAAAACCAACAAACAGTGAAAATTGACAACTTAAATCCTTGATAAAAGACGATAGGTAGTAGATGATATGGCCCAGGAATCTGACTTGGTTGATCAAAAAAAAAGTTGTTGTCCAAATAACAAAACCCTTCTTTTAAATTCTTAAGAGTACTTGGAAAGTGATGGATTTTTTTTTGATGCCCCTTGGTTCGGGGTATTTATCCTTATTCCGGAGTCCAGGACATGCGGTGGTAAATCTGAATATGAATCTTTATCAGGGAAAAATGTTCAGTATGGGGGGTGCTTCATTCCGTCATTGCCTTGCGGGTGACGAAAAACTCGCATCATTTTTTTTCTATCTTTCTCATATTTGTAACCAAATTATGCACTTCAACTATTTCCCCATACATAAATAAACAAAAAAAAAAGAAAGAGAGAGAGAGAGAGAGAGGGACAAGTAATAAAGAAATACTTGCTTAAAAGTATCAGAATGCAAATAGAATGAAATTTATTTTTTAATGTAGCACTTTTTGATATGTGTCCCTCTTCAATTTCCGACTTGCATTTAATAATAACCATGATATGATAATTGAAATACGGTAAATACATATCATGCCGCTCAAACGAAGCAGCCATGGAATTCAGGAACAAATGTCAAGATCCCTCTTCCTCTTCACATTATCCAATTGATTTTGTACCACATAAGGGAGTTGTATACCATATTTCTTTGATAAATAAATATGTTAAAATCACAATATTAAATGAGTAGAAACAGAGAGTAATAAAGAGTCATATGATGTTGTGCTTTTTATATAAAACACAGCAGAGATTCTTTTTATATCTTGGGAGTGGAGTCAAAAAAAATGAGAGAAAATTAATATGGGAATTTTTTGTTTTTTTCTCTTTTCTCTTCTTTTTCTTATAGTTCATCAAAATACGCGACCTCTTTTCTTTTATTTATTTTGCTTCTTTCCCTCCATTTTCTATTTTCAACAGACATAACTTTTGCGGCAGTTATAATTTGTGCCTTCATACCTAAAACTATACTCTTTATCTTTTGTTGAAAGTATGCGCCAACAACAACAACAACAACAACAACAACAACAACAACAACAAGGACGAAACCCTACAGAATACGTACCAGGTACAACCGTCTTTGCTAAATTGAAAGGATACCCTTGGTGGCCAGCAAGAGTAAATAGAGAAAGAAGAAAAGGTTTTTTTTTAACTTAATTTAATTTGTGCATTATTAGATTGAACCAGACCATGCAGTGCCGCTCAAGGTCTTGAAACAGAAATCAAAGACAAAAGGTGGTCTATATACCGTGTTCTTCTTTGGTTCAAGAGACTAGTAAGTAGTATGCATAAAAAAAGAGAAAGAGAGAAACAGGAAAGAAAGGAAAAGGCATTTCTTTTAACCTTTTTTGACAGTGGTTTCTTTGGTCCTGATGCTATCAGACCTTTTGATAACGAAAGCGTGGAAAACGATTTGAAAGCAAAGAAATTCAAGACAAAAGATCTAGAAATGGCAGTTCGTCAAGCGCTAAATCCTTCTTTACTAACTCAGCTGGAAGAGGAAGAACGAGAAGACGATAAGGATGATGAACAAGAAGAGGAAGAAGAAGAATCAAAAAAGTCAAAGGGAGGAAGAAAAAATTTAACGACAACAACAACAAAGAAAAAGGCGCCAGTGGCAAATGGTAAAACAAAGAAAGGAAAACAAACAGAGACCAAGCCTGTTACTCCTTCCACTACAAAAAGAAGTCGTAAGATAGCATTGGGTGATGAAGATGCTGTAGATGAGACAGCTGTAGGTGAAAGCATGGATAGAAAAAGAAGAGTAAGTAAAGAAAAAAAGGTAATGATAAGAAGCTTGTGCTTAATGTATTTGTGCATCTGTAGCGCAAGTCAATGTCACTTGAGAAGGAAGATGAGGGCCGTGATTCACCAGTTGCTCAGGAACACACGGATAATAAGGAAGATATCAAAAAGACGCCAGAGTATAAAAAGGTATACCATATTAGACACAGATTACAACGATTAGTATACAATAAGAAAGAGGTAATATTCATGCGCTATTTGTTGAACGGATTGCTAAATAACGCGTGTATATGATGTATAGGGTGAAATTCCAAAGGAGGATTATCCAAAGATTTTACAAGTTGTTAAAGAAATCGAAGAATCGCCTATGACATACAGTCTTTTAAAGGTAAAGAAAAGGCGCGTTTATTATACAGGCTGACAAGGTGCTCTAGGATACCAAAATTGGCAAAGTCGTTAAAGCAGCATGCTCTTATCCATTTGAAGACGATACTGTCATTAAGGATCGTTGTCAACAATTGATGAGAAACTGGAAGGTGCTCTTGATTGATCCGCAATCTGATAAGGCTCATGAAGATACACATATGCATCATGCTTAACTTATACACATCCCTCACCAATAATTCATAATATTATATATGCAGATTTCTCTTTCTCCCCCTCCTCTTTGTTTCTCACCGCATACAACGTACAACATACATTCTCATATTCCACTTATTTCGCAAGAACACCCACACCCACACCCACACCCACACATAAAATACGTACATACACACACATATATATAATTGTTTATATGCGTATATAAGATACAGTAGGAAACAAGGTTAACAATAAAAGAAAAGACGTTAAAAAAAAGAGAAGGGGTGCACGGTTTTCCTATTATGGACTTGTTTAATCTGGATAATTGTTGTTATTGTTGTTTATCATAAGAAGCAATTGTTTTCTTCTCAATTTTTTCTCTTCTTCTTCTCTCATTTGTCTTTGTCCTTTCTTCTTTGCTCAAGAATGCATAAATTAGATCTGAAAATAGATTTATTGTTGTTATTGTTGTCATCATTTACACGATCAAATGCAGCACCGACAGTAGATCAGCCAACGTATGAACCCGGCGTTCTTTATCTACCTGATAAAGCAATCTCATTAGGTAATTCTGAACAGGACAATGCGCATAAGGTATATGTTGATTTCTTTGCCTTGTAGATGATGGCTATAGATTGAGTGTTCAAGGTGTGTTTGCAGGCATGGTGTTGATCTCATGCGGCATATTGCTTATATTTCGAAGTCTATGGGATAGAACACCTGCTGGTACACGCACTCAAGGATTAACTGGCTTTATTACGTTGGGATTTGTTACTTGGGTCATGTTGGCCAACTTTGAACCGAGCAATACGTATGGTGTGAATCGACAGACGATTTACTTTATTGTGCCTTTTGTGGTAGGATTGGTAACAACCTGCTTTATGGCTGTCACTATTCAGCTTTATTTGGCATTGCTGGGCGGATTGGGTGGATTAGCTTTTGGTTTATGGATCTTGGGCTGGAAAGAGAACCTGTCAGTTACATCAAGTTATGGTCGCGCCATTTTATTGACAGTTCTTGTGGTCGTATTTATGCTTTTAGCATTGTATTCTTGTGTATGGCATAAATTGGGTGCTGCTCTAGCTGGCTCGTATCTGTTCTTTATGGGTCTGGATATCTTTTTCCATACTGGATTTCTGTATTGTTTCACAACCGCCTTGGACGCTAATCCAAACCATGGTAATAAAATACACACTTTGGTGTACGTATACTCACCTTATTTTTTTAGAGCATATATATCAAGTTTATCGTAATGTATATGTGATGCAAGCATGTCTTATTGTTGCTTTCCTTGTAAGCTATATTATTCAGAACTTTGGCCATCGCCCTGAAGTAAGTAACAAACATGTATGATAATATCTCCTCAACTCTGTCCTTTAGCATATTCGATTACAGCACTCCATAGTCATGGGAACACTGCAAAATCCACTTTATAAACCACAGCCAATCCCTGGCAATTCCTTTATACCAACAGCAATGATGCCTACTTGGAGAAAGCCTAATTGGCCATTCTTTAATAGAAACGTCGCTGCCCCTCCTCCAGCAGCTGTATAACACAAAAAAAATAAATTAATAAACATTTATTTAAAAAATTCACACTTGTAAATAGAACTCTATAGAATAGCTTTTAAACGGATTGACTTTGTCCGAAAAAAAAAACAGAATATTTCATCTTGCGCCCCATGTTTCAGCCGATAAACCATTTTTTATTCCAAGTAGATTATTCCGTATTTTTAGAAAACACTTATTTGGGCAATACACAATACACTTATTTTTAGAATGCAAGTGTAACTCGAATAATATGTTTAATGAGAAAAAAAATGCAAAATAAATAATAAAATGCGGAATAAGGATTATAGAATTACAATTGTTCAATTATAATAATAAACAGAATCTAAGTGCTTTAAAGAGCAAAGTAAACAGCAGCAAGACCAGAAACTAAAGTGAGAGCAGGCTTGAGCATGGAAACACCACTGGTGTTGCTCTTGGCGGCAACTTGAGCAACAGCAGGAGCAGAAGAAGAAGCAGCAGCAACAGCGGCAGCAGCAACAGCACTATCAGCGGTTGCTACAGTAGTAGTAGCGGCAGCATCAGCAGCAGAAGAAGAGGCAACAGGAACAACGGAAGAAGAGGCAGCGGCAACAGCAGAAGAGGAGACAACACCCGAGACTGAGGCAGCTGTAGTGGCATTAGCAGCTAATTTACCGTTACCCCAAGGAATGGCATCACCGTTAGGTTGCTTTTGCTTAGGTTCAGCGGTAAGGTTTTGACCAGCAGCGGCAACGATACCGAAACGAGTAGTCCAAGCATATTCGCCATTATCACCTAATGATAAAAATGAGATATAAGTCTAAATGACACAAAATGCGCACCTGTAAACATGAAAAAGTAGATAGCAGAGTTAGGGTCTACTTGAGGAGCAACAAAAGAGTATTTCAAGAGAGAAGGATCAACACCCTAAGCAAGTATATGTTGGTAGTTTGATCATAATGTTGTCAGTGAATGTACCTTTGCGACATTATACAAGACAGTTTGGTTATCGTTGGAACCAGTCATGAAGTCAATTTGATATTTAGCACTGGCGTTCTTTCCGTCAAAAGCTACAATACACATTAATCTAAAATTCAAACAAGGTGGTTCTTAAACATACTCCAAGTAATGTCATAAGCTTGTCCAGAAGTTTGAATTGTACCAGGTGAAGGATAGGTGGGGGCAACAGCGGCTTCAACAGTAATGAAACTGGCAGCAACTGCGATAGATGAGGCAATGAATGTCTTTGCGGAAACCATATTGAACAATAAGATGTAAAAAACAAAGAAAGAACAAAGAATTGGTTCAGGTTAAATACTTTTTTTTTTTGATAGGCTAACAAGACTAATAAAGCAATCTGCTTGTGGTTAATTGCTGCATTTGCAATATCAGTGTTACAACTTCCTTGCAAATGGTATAAAAAAAGAGCGGGGACTGTACAGTTTAGTGGTACGACATGATTATATTTATATTCAAGTTAAGCTTGTTTTTGTACAGACTTTCTAAAGAGCAAAGCCATAAGCAACAAAAAGCTCATTTCATCACTTTGCTTGCATGATGCCTGAATGGGTTTGTAAACAGATAAAAATCGAGACAGGCAATCGTCATCTGCGAGCTGAGGAGAGGCACTAATTTATTGTTCAGGAGAGCCACCTATGCCTTGATTTGCAAATTATCAAGATAATCGTTGTTGACTCTCAAAAAAAAGTTTATAAATGTCCTTAATGTAGTACTTGTATCGTAGATGCATTATATTCAGTCGTACTTGAATCAATACTGGTTTTCTAGACCTGTTTGCTAAGACAATCTAATATCCTTTAGATCCAACAAGCACGTTTAATTTTACTCTTAACAATCAAGTTCAATACAAGACTGCCCTTTCAGGGTTAAGACTATAAAAATTAGTTTGTAAACAGAGGAAGAGGGTAGAGTGCGTCTTGTTTGAGCCTCGGTTCAGAGAGGGCTGAGACAATATATATAAAGACAAGTTAAATTGGTAATTTATTTTAGTGTCTTTATCCTATAAATGTTGCCTTCAATACCATTTGTAACAAAGGATCTTCAGCTAGAGATCCGTGCATTCTGTGTGACAATTTAAAGAAAACATTTGTTTTTTTTTATTAAAAATACGTGTATAAATGCAGCATCAATGTATAAAGCATGAATGTGTATATAAATAAATGGATGTATGTACAAAATCGTTATTAGTGTTGTGAATGTGACTTTTTTTTGAAAAGGGGGAATATAGTTTAAAATGCCTGATTCAATTGTTCCATAAAAGATGCTGTTGGAGAGAATTTACGCGGTTTAGGGTGAAGTAAAAGGTCCATCGTTTTATGGTGGTCATTGGAAGCACAAGATGATATAGACGATGAAAGCGAAGGTGAAAGAGAGGGTATTTTTTGTGACGATTCTTGAGATAGGCTAGGAATAGATAGCTTTCTTCTTACGAGTGAAGGCATGGTTTCGTTGCATTGGTGAGGGAAGCCCTTAAGTTCAGCGTAATCGTAACCAAGCATAGGGTGGTGCATCAAGGCGTCTTGACGAAGGCATTCTTCAGAACAGTAAAGCGAATTGGAGTAAGGGCTGATAGCATTATCGCAGAAAGTGCACCAGTTTGTATCGCACATCATTTTTATAACATAGATAAAAAAATGCGAGATTGAAAGATAGATTGGTCCTATTTATATAGAACAAATAGATCTTGATAACCCCAGTTTTTTTTCTTTTCCAGAGGGGAAAGCAATTCCAGAACGTATCATTTACAGGAGCACTTTTGATTGATTGGCTAATATACAGCTGCCTTTGCGTCATTTATTAAATATCCGCAACATGAGCTTGCTCTTGACACGTTTAGCGAATCATTTGCTTGGAATAGGCGTCTGAGGCCAATAGGAACCATGCTAGGATCTAGGCAGCTTAATTACGTATTTATGAAAAGTAATGACGAAAGGTCCTAATTTAAGAGAGACAGAATATTCTAGCCCAGTCTTGTTATCCTTTTTTAAGAATGAATCGACTTTATTCATGCTGACGTGAAATTTATGTATCCTAAAACAAAAAAGAAAAAACGCGTATTGATATATCAATCATAAAACAATTCATGTTGTCAACCAATAAGCAAACATAAGGTGGGAAAATAGAAGAAAGAAAAAGGAGATGCCCCAGGACCTGTGCTCTTTTTTTGAACCCCTGAAACGCTTGAAGAGTCTAGAAAGTAACGCGTTATTTTATTAATGCATGATTCTTTTGATTTTAATTAGCGAAGCATAAACAACACACTATTCCGTAACCCGAACCATCATAATGTTGTGTGGAGGTTCAATCCAGATTTTTACTATATTCAGGTGAAGAGCCGGTAGAAGTGTCGCACATCGCCAAGCCTTGCTATAGTCTCATAGAGACCCTTTTTTTTATGTAAAAGAGAGGATGGGAAATCAAACAATCATGATGTCACTTATTCAAAAGTGATAGACACTTTTTTTCCACAGCGATACGTCATGGTGATTGTATATATTTCAATGAATTGTACACAAAGTATACAAAAAGGTATATATACATAGAGTATATCATGCTCTTTTTCTTTTCTTTTCATTCTTAATTGTCTTAAATATGTTGTCCTCTCACTCTGCTCCCCGTGGTGTTCTCACCGTTACTATTATCGAAGCCCGTAACCTCAAGAAGGAAGATCTTGGTGGCCACAATGACTCCTATGTCGAACTCTGGTTAGACGAAGACTACAAGCAAAGAAGTGAAACTGTCCAAAACACCGAAAACCCTGTCTGGAACCAAACTTTCACTTTCAACATTGAAGAAGGTTCCTCCAAGCACAAGCTCTACATCAAGGTTCTTGATAAGGATCTCGTTGACGCTGACAAGATTGGCAGCACCCATCTTGATGTTGCTCCCGCCTTCAAGGGTGAAGTTCTCGATACCTGGGTTAAACTTCCCGCCATGTTGGGTCTTAGCAGCCATGGTGAAGTTCACATTGCTGCTGAATTCACTCCCCAATAAAATACCAAATGTTAAAAGCTTATTGTAAAATAAAATCATAGTTTTGTATACATATATTATTAGGATGATTGAGATAATAATCCAACATCTTCTATTGATTTAGTTTGAATGGCAACAGCAGTACCATCTGAAATACATCTATATTCTTGATCACGCCATGAAATCTTGGTACCTGCCATGGCATAAAGGTAAAGGGGTAAAGCCAACATTTCTCTCGAAACCCAAGCACGTAAGAAATACAAAAATGGCAATGGCTTTTGTGCATCAAGTGAGTGTAACGAAGAGTGAATAAGTATTTGATATAAGAAATAGTCGTTTATGAACCACCAAGTCCAATGAAACACCAAGAACAAAGACATAGACAAACCAAACAAAGCATGGAACCCATAAGCACCCATAAGGCCACACAAAATAGACTCTGTCATAGGTTCAACTAAGGTAGCAGCAGTAACAATGTATTTTCTAAGCCGAACCCATCTTGCCCGACGTCCACAATAGCCCTTGAGAGAAATAGAACCTAAGGCTTGACAGGCAGTATCGGCACTCATGGCATGTCTAAGTCCTTGATACCACAAGGCTTCGCCAATGATATTATCTTCGGCCATATATTTACCGAAGCTTTCTAGGCCACCCACACGATCCAGGTCAGAGCGACGGTATAGGTTAGACTTGCCCATGACGCATGAAGCAATACCGACAGCATTAATAGCTAAATACATTTTAGCATGGTTTGTATCTAAAAAGGTTTGTTCAATCTGTGCTGCATAACTTGCAGGCTGAACAGCAATAGGCAAATGATGGACTAGACCAATACCAGGCATTAGAAGTTTGTCCACTGATCTTCCAAGCGTGTCTTTGTCTATATGGACATTAGAATCCAAGACCCAAACAATATCGTATTTTGCTGTCCGATAGGATTCAATCATATTATTAATTTTAGGGTTAATACCAACTTGATGATCACCTTAGAAATTCAATAAGCATTATGTCATTTGTGTATACACAATTACCTATGATCAGTCGACTGTCTATATGATGATATTCCTGCTGCAGTTTTCTAACAACTTCAATAGCAGCATCTTGTGCTGAAGCAACAGAGAAAATAATTTCGAATTTAGAATAATTCTGAACAAAAGAGGAGCGCAGATTAGTCTCCAATTCCAGGTCAACTCCTTTTAAGGGTCTAATAATAGACACTCCTTCTGCTTCTGTTGCTGATAGTTTAGACGATTTTGGCTTTGGCTTATTTCGATATCGCGATTGTCTATACACGCGTATATTAGAGTTTATGTTTAAGATATATTCAAGCCTTTTTTTACCCAATGTATTGACCAAATAGACTTAGAAAAAACATGAAGCCATACCAAATGACAAGCAAATAATAAAAAGCTGTTGTAACTGTCGATAGTTCCATGGCTAACTACACTTTGATCATCAATACCATGGATTGAGGAAAAAGGAGAAGAGAAAAAAAGTTATTAAAATAAAAAGAGTCAGCCTCATTTGTGCGCACCTTTAAATACTCTATGTCTGTACAAAACTTGATTACTAAAGAAACCTTTCCACTTATTCAAGATGGCACTATTACTATGGGAAGGGGTAGCTATGGTATAGAATCACCTTATATCAGTCGCCAACAAGGTAATAAGCGCTACAGTGCCTTCTTTACTGACCATGACAAAGTCGAGATCACGTATTTAAGTAATCATCGCTGTTTTGTCAAAAAATTGTCAGACAAGATTATGTTGTTGAATGAAGCTGCATTGCCTTTGCAACAAGAATGCGAAGTAAAAAACCAAGACATTATTAGCTTTCCTATTGGGAGAACAAGCGAGGTAGTGATATATATACATACAAAGAGACATTGATGATTATATAGAAAGACACACGGATTCGATTCATGTTGATATTACCTGAATTACCTGAGTCACTTGTTCGAATCATTGATAGAATCAAGACAGAAGAAGGACAGCTATCAGACAGTGATAGTCTGTCTACAGTAGATAGCGAAGAAGAACAAGAGATTAACTTGAGTGATATTTCATCAGAGTCAGATGAAATCACAAGCCGTTTATTTAAGCAGAGACAAAGTCATTGACATCTTTTAACCAATGTACATATTCCTTTTGTTCTTTGTAGTCAATATAGTCTGGCAAAAAGGTAGCTAATGCAGTATCAATGCCTCTTTCTTCTAGATAACGCGTAAAAGTTGCTTGAATCTCTTCTTCCAGCTCTTCAAATACAGGCCCCATATAAAGATCTTGCCTTTGCTCTCCAATGTTATTTGTTGTCACATCGTCTATATTGATTTGGCCTTCTTTAAACTGTCGAATGGCATCTATATGTAAATAACCATCTTGTGCAACTGTATTGAACATAAGACATCCTTTGTTTTGCTTTTCGACAATGACTGTAGCTCTGACAGGAAAAGAAGCCTTTTCCTCTTCCTCTTCTTCTTCTTGTTGTTGTTCGTTACTCTCTTCCATGTCCTGTACAATGTTGTTGATATCAGAAATAGAAAATACAACGCTGATCCTATTAGAGTATGAATATCCCAATCACACTTCATTCCGATGTTACTTTTCATTTCCAAACAAACGAGTCAAGGTGACTTTATCATAGCCAATTCGATCATTCATCTAATCAGATTTACAATTTGCTGTTGCTCTATTTTTTTTTCTTACCTGAAAAGAGTTATGTTCCAAGAACTCGGTGACAAAAGCAGGTGGTTCGTTGTCGTCTTTGGTTTTTTCAAATCCCAATTCTCCTTCCAGCAAGTGAACAAGGTCAGGATCAGCTATCTCGAGTTAGAAAAACTTCAAGTAGTCTATTTTCCTACCGTCACCACTACCAAAGCGAGGTGTAGTAATAGAAAAGGGTCGAATAAAAGCTTGTTTTACAGCTGGTCTTGTTATAACGGGTCGAGTAACAAAACTTTTGTTTAATAAAGGACGAGTCCTTAACAAGGTTGTGAAAGTTTGACGCAACATACTAAGGAAAAAAAAGAAAAGAAAAAAAATAAGTCAGATCATTTATGATTTAAACTAAGTAATGAAAGCCACCTTATCTATTTTTTTTCTCTCTTTCTTTTTGAATGAAAATGCTTATAGACTGACCCGAAATAAAAATCAGTCCGTTCAAACTCAACCACAAAGGTATCCTAATCCAAGAACCCTTTAATATGCCAAGATGATACAGCTTTTGGCATCAATCTTAGCTTAGTATTGGTCAGTCGTATTGTCGATAAGGCATATAGTAGTATAAATGCAATGATTTGAAGATTATCTCATTTTTAGCAATTATGCAATTGAGAAGATAGTGGCAATCAACTACCTCCTCGTATCCGTGTCAATATCTTACATATACTGGTTAATATATGTTACCCTTCTATTCTCTGCTCTTTCTTGGAATCTAATGTAAGTAACAACATAAATATCACTTATGTATCTCATGCTCTGCTTAATTTTTAGATTTTTTTATAGTGTAGAATAGTTTATAGTGACATTATTCCTTTTTGCGTTTTTCAGAAATAGCAAAAAATAGATTTATACAATTTGGAAAGAATTAAATGATGAAACACTCTCTTTTAATTAGGAGATGTGTGACCCATAAAAGGAACCGATTCTTCACCCGAATAACTCACTTCAGAAGATTCTTTTCTATATGAGGGCCTTTGGGATGAATCTGTTAGATGCTTAGAAGGTCTTGTGAAGCCAGTGGATGGAGTGGGTAATTTTGTGCTTGTACTTGTTAGATTAAGCAAGGCTCTTGGAATAGGCAATAATGCTGTCATTCGATTGGCTGCCCAAAGCATGATATTGGCGGGTAAAAGCATAAGACTAACAAAGAAATGTTGAGCTGATTTGCGTTGTTCTTGTTCAATGCTGTAACAAATGAATTGGTCAAAGTCATTTACTTTTTGATCTATTTCAATAAATTTATCTTCTGACCATGAACGCAACGCAGATTCTTTCTTTTCAAACCGTTTCATTGCTTTTGTAAGTTGATGAATACTTGGTGTAATACCTTGAGCCATCTGTTTGTATTGTAAATTGAAAGCAAGTCAATTTATCACTTACTTGTCCCAAATCTTTTTTAGTTGCAAATGCTTTTCGTAAATTATCCAATTCATCTTGTATCATTTCCATTTTTTTTGTTAATATATCCACCTCACTTTCGTCTATTTTCATTTCACTCTGCAAATACAAAGTACGTTCACGCAACAATACCACGATATGAAGTAAAGGTTTTAGACTGGCAGCTAATACAAAGACAGTGACATTAAATGTACTCATGTACTTTTCATAGTTGCTAAGAAAATATCGGCTGTATTGAAGTGTATAGCCGGCAATAGCAGGAGAAAGAGCAACCCATGCTAATCCCACAAATTCATGCTTTCTGAGTTCTTCCTCCACTCGTTCTCTACGCTTGCCTTTTTTTTCATCCATATGATGTTGATGAATGATACGACGTGTTCTTGCGCTTTCATAATAAAACCAAGGTACTATGTTCTTAAGCAAATTTTGTCTTTATCGCTTATCTTACTTACCTGTGATCCATTTGTATACATAGTAAAGAATAAGTAAGATCATGATTAGATCACTCCAGACTTCTGCACTACCAGCAATAAATGCACCCAATGTAGGAATAATGGCTAGAATAATGGGCCATGAAATGGCTGTTGAGAACTCATTGTCTTGCTGTGGCGTTTTCTTTGCATGATTAGAAGAGCGCGATGTCTTGTATCCATGCAAAAACATATCTTCTGTGGAATCTAAATGGTTCATTTTAAAGCGAAAAATAAAAATAAAAAAAAAAAAAGAAAAAGCGAAAAATAAGACGCTTTCTTTTGTAGCGAGTAACAAGTATCAGAAGACTTCACACGTACAAATATTTATGCTAAACATTCCTTTTTTTTTGAGTAACGTTGATCTCTTGAAATGCATTTAAGCACACACCCAAATTTAAAAACCGTTTGTTTCAACTCTAACATTCAGATCAAAAAGCTACAAATCATGGCTCCTCCTTTGGCCTTGAGAAATATTACAGAAGTGAAATGGAAATTCTTTTGGTCTCTGTCTCTTACCGCCATTCAACGTAATGTGACATACCAGTATATCTTGGGGTGTATTCCTCATCGTCGATTCTTACATTTCATTATGTCTCGTGTGTTTGACTCTCCCTTCTGTCCGGTGTGCTTAACTACCACTGACTCTATTAGCCATATGCTCTTTCATTGTCCAACTAAAGAGAAGGTATGGCAGGAAATCATCTTTGAGTTTCTCTGGCCTACCACCTCAATATCTGATATCAAAGAGGCTCTTCTGTCCCTGGACTTCTCGTACATCTGGTACTACCAATAGAAAGGAATCAAATCATACCGAATCCTCATAATGACTCTTTCACAAATTTGGCTTGCTCATATGAGATTTATCTTTGACAAGACCCTCATTGTACCCACGGCCATATTAGTAAGCATCCGATTCAATTTTCGTCAGACTATTCAAGAGGATCAATGCCATTCAATCATATAGCTTTTTTTTTATTTTGTTTAGTATATTTCGTTTTATTTTATTAACTTTCATTTTAATTGCACCCGCCTCTTCACTTTGACTATTGATCTTAGTGTACGCGGTTCAATCAATAAACACATTTAAAAAAATAATAATAAAAAAAAGCTACAAATTTGATTTTGAGAATACAATTGATATAAGCGTTTCAGTAAGTTTTAAAAAATGTCAAGCTTTTTCACTTGATCCTAAAATGCCTTTATTGGAAGCAAATAAAATACAACTCGCTCTATTATCTTCTTTAAACACTTTTATTGAATAAATTTAAAATAAGGGGTTTGCCCTATGAGTGTCAATCAGACTCGGAAGCTTTTTCAGGACACAAAATGCGAAGGACCTGATTGAAGCTTTCTTCGCATTTTGTGTCCTGAAAAAGCTCTCGTGTTTAATCCCGCAGGTCATAACTTTCAACTGAATGATTATCAAGCAGTTCAGGCTTATTGGACTCACAATCTTAATGGTTCAATAGCCGAATGTGGTTCAACGGGCTATTTTATTTGAATGAACAGTTTAAGAGCACATTAATTATTCATATAACAGAGACACCGGGCAAACAAATGCTTCAACAACGAAAAAAAAGACGTAGCATCTTCTTTTCCTTGGACAATATGAAAGAAGCATAAAGCCTGTTTATACACATATAAATGCTCTAAATACCCACAGACCGTGCTTATTAACATCCATAATACTTTTAGAGTTGATTTGGACCAGAAAAGCACCTTGCAAAAAATGGCCATTTTGGCCTCTGACCCAAAGGGTACTAGTCGTGAAAATATTCAAGTTGACAACCTTCAATCTTGTTTTTGATACTACAAGACGGAAAATAGAGCTATCAACAAGCTTAAATATTCAAAATGCGCACCAAAAGCTATAATTTTTTGGTAAATGTGGTTGCTTGTTGATTGTACTATGAAAATAATGAGATATAGGCCAAAGATCTTGTACGCATTTATGTCTATTTGCTCAACATTTTAGCAGCAAGTTTTTTGTGATTTCTACATCCACAGACTCAGAAAGCAGAGAAATACAACTTTTGTCATTATACCAAAGCCAAAAAAAAAAAAAAAAAAAAAAAAAAAAACCGCGTCTTCATGTAGTTCTCAGCAAAGGCTCAATTTTTTTTAAGGATTTTATTTTTTTACTCCACATAGCCTATGACTAAAGTCTGTCAAGAGGTGGTCACAATTTTAAGAGATGCAAAGGGAAAATACGTAAAGTAATCAACTATAAACGTTTGTGCAAGTGTTTCTCGTCAATCAGAGAACTGAGAGAAGCACGAGTGGACGAAAGGAGTAGAATTGGATTAAACGGAATTTCATTGAAGATAGTATTCCAATGGGCCTTCCAAATTTGACCCAGGAAAACCTCATTTCTAGTGGGGCTGGAAGAGAATCGAGATACATAGTTTTCAATCCCCGACACCAGGCATTTTGTGTGCATGATGATGATGCTTTGATGCTGCTCAAGACACACAAAGTCAATGAGATTACGGGTTGGTGCATCATTCAGGTTCTACAAAGAGCTCAGCTGAGTTATAACACAGAGTAATAAGTGCGCTTACTGTAAGGATAAGGATCAAAGGCTTAAGAAAGAGCTGTATAGTCTCGACTACATGTCATTCTTTGAGAAGTCATCTCCCCTGAGCAATTGATTTTTCTAAATCAAAGATAATCTTCTTTTTAGGATCAAACAGAGTGTTTACCCCAAATTGTTCTTGTCAATAGATAACCTTCTTTTCTCTCCACTATGGTTTCATGCCCAGCAACGTTTTTTGTACACAATAGAATTTCCTTTCTCACTCATCCCCTCTCACTTTCTTTTGGTTAGTAACTACAGTACTACCCTTGTATTTAGCTAGTAATGTAAGTCATACACCATGACTTCAAAAGACTTGAACAATATAGAACAGCACAAGTGCAATTCATTATTACTTTTTGGTCTATTCAGAATCCAAAGAATATAAGCTTGTACTACAATTCTCTTGTTATTTAAGGGTCAAGCGATGATCATTTTAGTATAGTGTTCTCAATTATATTTTCTTGCTTTTTTGATAACGTCCGAAATCAAGTAAATACACTGCATAATGAAGCTCGGCTCGTTAATAAACTTGAAGCTCGGTTCATACAAATATAGAAAGCTTCTTTATCTATAAATAAACTGTCATTTTACTATTGTATGGTCAATTACAATAGAATCACATTCTAAGGATGTTTTGTACAAATATGCTAGGGAAAAAAAAAGAAATAAAGAAAGCAACGTGCTTTATGCTTAATTATATGTTCTCAGGTGATATAAATCAAAGCGTAATTCTTTGTTTTCTTTTCTCTCTTGGTAATTGAGTTTTATTCATACCATTGTCTAATTATAATCATGTAGTACACTGATAACATATATACCTTTTCCAAGATCCAGACAAAAAACATTCATACGTTTTTTGATTGTGCTACTATTTGATTCATGAAGCTATAAAGTATTGTATTTAAAAGGAAGGTAATAATAACTCAATATATAAGCACACGCACACGCTCACACACGCACATACACACATGCATATACAAAAGAGTAAAACAAGAACATTCTATTTATTAAAATATATTTAGTTGGATTCTCGTTTTATGAAATTAAAGGCTGCTTTATTAAAAACGAATTTAAGGTTGCTCACAAAATTCAGCGTCTGTGTGTATATGTATTTCTATGTGTTGTGTATAAATGTGTGTTCCTGAATACATGTGTTGAGTTTCCTTTTTACTTGGCAATTGATGCAGCTCCGCTCAAGACGAATTAAACCCGCTTTCTCCGCTTATTAAATTATTTTTAAACAAAACCTGTATCTCACTCTCTTTCTTCTTTCTTGTACCTTTCTTTGTGTGTGTATATTATAACTCTATCTATTTCTCTCTATCTATCTTATTTCTTTCTCTGTATATTTATTAGCAACATATGACAACCATGGCTGAGACAACTGAAGATGGATCATGGTTAAAAAAGCGCTCTTCCGTTTTCAGTAACAGTAACAACAACTCTTCCAATACCACCAAAGTAGTTGACAAAGAACTGGCTAGATTGAAGAACAGAGGGGCTGTGTCTGCCGTTTGGTCGAATAAGTTCGTTCAAGAAGATAATAATAGTACAGGAGGTAAATCCCCCTTTTGACAACACTTTTTATTTTTCTAAATTGACCTTTCCCCCCTTTTTGTATTGTCAATGTAGGAAACCGCCGAAGTTTTACATTATCACCAAAAGAGCCAAGATCACCTTCTACTGAGAAATTTAATACTTCTCGTACTCGTGGTTCTACAAGTAGTATTTCAAGTGTTCTAGACACTCATGAACAACAGTTGGGAAATCTGGCCAAAGCCTCTACATCTAGCTTGGAATTGAGCGATACACCCTTTGAAGAAACCAAGCCAAATCGTTCGTCTTTCTCTTCTATCAAGGTCAAGGAAGAGAATTCTACAACACATGCTCGATCTTCCATCTCCTCTATCAAGAGTAAAGACGAGCCATTACTTGCTCGATCCTCTATGTCTTCTATCAAGTCTAAAGAAGAAGAAGCAGTAAACACTCAATCCTCTGTCTCTTCTGTCAAGAGTAAGCAAGAAGACAAGGAATGTGTAGTAAGTGGGAGTTTCTTGAGCTCTTCTAAGTCCACAAAATCCACGGATGAACATGAGATGGAAGCTGCCTCACTTTGGTTCCAAGCCGAAACTCTCAAGACACAACTTGCCCAATCCAATGCTCGACTTACCCGAGCTAATGAAGATATCGAATTCTATAAGCGTCAATTAGAAGTCTCTGGTCAAAGTGTGGCTACTGTGACAGAAGAAAAAGAAAAGGAGTTGCGTCAATTGGCTGAACTGATCTTAAAACAAGATCAACTCTTGATTGAATATGATTTGCATCTACAAGAACTGAAGCAACAGTCTGATAATACTTCTGAATCAAAAACGCAAGAAGACATGATTGCTTTGCGTCAAGAATTGGAGTTGCTTTACAAACAAAAAGACCAAATGGAAGGCACCATTGTTTCTTTGCGTGCTGAGCTTGAGATGAGCTATAGTCAAATGCGCTTGATGATGGTTGTCTCTACTGAAATTCAAAATGAATTCCAATCTTACAAAGAAAAGATGAATGGTGAGATTAGTGACATCTTGAATCAAAAACAAATTGAATTGCAAGCATTGGAAGAAAAATTAAATGCATCTAACCAAAAAGAAATTACCACCGCTGCTGCTGCTGCTACTACTACTACTGGTGTTGCTGCTGCTGCTGCTGTTGCTACAATCACTCATGAAGACCATACTGCTCAAATTAAAAAGGCTGTTGCTGAAGCTACTGCTCATCATGAACAAGAGCTCGAACAATTGCGCCAACAAATCATTACTCTAACTGAACTCCTTCATACCAAAGAACAATCAGGTCATCAAGAGGCCGAGCTTCGTGAACATATCGAGACGTTGACTGAACAACTCCATGTTAAAGAAAAAGCAAGCGAAGACCATGATACTGCTCTTGAAGCATTGAGGGAACAAATAATCGCATTAACAACAATGCTCCACAAAAAGGACAAAGCCGTCCAAGATTTGGAAAACCAACTCAAGACACAAAAGAGAACCATGGATGCTCAAGTAATGGAATTGACACAGACTGTTCTCGAAAAAGACAGCCTTTTAATGGAATACATGAATAACTCAAGTCAACAAGAAAAGAGAATCTCTGCTTCTGACAATTTCTTTCATACAACGCAACAGCAGCAGCAGGATGTTCATGAGGCTCGTCTTCAAATGGCTCAAGTGCGTCAATACATGTACTCTTCTTCTGATGATGATGACGAGGATGACGAAGTTGAAGTTCTTCACATGAGCTATTCTAGCGACGAAGATGATGACCATATTATTCACCGCCATTCATTTCACAGCCAACATATGGTAACTACAGACAACACCACTAGCCATCGTGCTCCTCATAGCCCTGCTGATACCATCTCTTCTCATGTGAGCTACTCTTCTGAAGATGAAGAACAACAAGAAAAAAGAGCTGAAATCAAGCACTTTTCATACTCTTCTGTTCAATCACCATCAAGACCTATTTCTCTTGTGAGCGGAGAACAATTATCTGCTGAAGAAGGAAATCGTCGTATCTCTCAACGTCTTAGTGGCGACGGTAGTATTCCTGCTCGTTTCAGTCTTGTCAAGGAAACCAACAGTGCTAGTTGGCCTATGCCTCCCCCTACGCCTCCACCTTCTGAACCTTTGCCTCCTGTGCCTGTCATGGAAAAGTCCATGGAAGAAAACTCTGCTGTTTCCAACAGTACCATTCCTCCTCCTCGTCGTGCTAGATCCAAGACCATGGCTCGCTCTGAAGCTCCTCAAGTGTCTGCCTATACCACCTCTATTCATCAAACCAATGATTTACCTCGCATTATGCCTGAAGCTCAACCTGAAAAGCAAGAAGAAGAGAGTGCTCCTATTCCTCCTCCTCGCAAAGATCACCTCCCTAGCCTTCTTCAAGAACAACAAGAAGAGCCTCATACCAAATGGATGGATGATCCTGAAAGTGAAGAAGATGATTTATGGTGTGATCCTAAACCTCATCAAGAATGGGGAACTGCCACTGCCATGTAAAACTATATTTAACTAGAATTGTATTTTTGTATATGTTTATTATTATTATAAAAGAAAGACATGCTTATGTTTTGTACCAACTAAACCCGTTCTCTACGTTTTTTTTCACATTGACAGAAACCAGCTTGTGTTTGCTGACATTCTTGACAACAATAAACTTGAGGATATTTTGACTGACAACTATCGCATATCAACACTAAAAGATGACAACCAGGAGAAGTGCATTTTTTATATTGATCCCAAGGTTCCTGACAGTCTTGACATTGACTGACAATTGTACCTGAACCTAGTGACTGTCTTGCATCAAACACATAGTTCTTGCCCAACCAGACATGCTGTTGTTGGTTTGATTGTTGATGCCACTCTAAATAGTTATGAATACCTCCATCCAACATAAAGATGTCTTGTTCTGGCAATGCTTGTCGCATATAAGCTGTTGCTTTTTCGCATCGAATACCACCTGTACAGTATGTCAGGATCTTTTTTTTACCTTGAAAGATATGCTTGTTGCGTTCAACGTATTCTGGCAATTGAGAGAATTTACGGATAGGGGGTTTTATAGCATTCTTAAAATGACCAATATGAGATTCATAATAGTTTCGAGTATCAAGCAGGATATAATCATTGTCAGACAACAATTGTTGATGGAATTCAATAGGCCCAAGTTTACCATGTTGATGGTCTTGGGTCTTGAGCGTGTCTACTATTACAGAGGATTGGCCCAAAGGACAGATTTCATCTACAAGCTTAATAGAGAGTTCTTTAAAGACATGGATGCAGCCCTTGGAGGGTTTAAAAAACTTGTGTCTAGCCTGTGAATCATACTGAAGTTCTTTTAGCTCTTCAAATGGCTGTGTTGATCTTGTCAACCAATCGAGATAGGTTTCAATGTCCTCATTTGTTCCTGCCAAAGTAGTATTGATGCCTTCTTGAGCAATACGGACTTTTCCGGTCATTTTGGCACAATATTGTTGATGGTCAAGTGCAAACTGAACGGGGTCATCGACCTTTGTATACCTGTAAAAAAGAATGACTTGATAGTCTTGCAGATCACAACTACAATCAGCAGTGATTGGATCCGAGGTACCCTAAAGGACAATAAGTATACACATAAAGCCATGGATTGGCTACCTTTTCTCCTCTTCTTTGCTTTAGTTTGGCTAATTTTGTCTTTTCTTGAAGATGCTTTTCTAATTGCTCGAGTTGTGTTTGTTCTCGTTGGTCTAGATCAGCCTGGTGATGGTTGTTGACATGTTTTCCGATTTCCACTATACTGTTGAATGAGACATCACAACAGCACCATAAATCTGCTTCTATTTGCTTGTCTTTCAAAAAATCCTGAATAAGTTTTCTTCTTTGTTTGGACAATGGCATAGAATAAGGAGAGAAGGATGTCTTTTTTTTTTGACACATAGGGGTTATACATGGATAGCGAAAAAAATCTTTTCCTTTTCCGTCGTTACTGTCTCTTGCAGTCATTCTGTACCGTATGGAGACGCTTTCTCAAGGAAGAAGCAAAGAGAAGAAATAGCAAACTATCAAGCAAACTATGTTGATTATGTGTATATCTTGATTTATACTCATTCTTTACCGTTAGACATTACATAATTCTTAAGGGCAGCATAAATACTGCTGCTGAACTTTAGCTTATTCTTCTACATGCTACTCTTTAATGGCTTTAATAACAATTATTGTTTTATAATACAAGCAAAGCATCTTCTCTTAATTTATATGTGAAGTAACCCTTTGATCAAGCACAGCGGTGTTTTAACTCGAGAAATGCGGCCTACTTTTTTTTTTTTTCAAAGGAGTTCAGTTGCCCAAACCAAAAAGTTCCTTCTTTCCCCGCATCGGTAAGTTCAAAGAGACATACATAGAGAGACATGCATCCATCCATCCAGATGTCACAAAGACCATCATCCATCCATCCATCCATTGTACGAAACAGACAGGAAGAGATCACTAAACCATTAAAACAGTCATCCATCTAAACATCCATCCATTCATCCATCCATTCATCCACTAGACTCAAACGATCCTAACGTCATTTGATAAAGCCAACAGAACTTCATTCGACAACTCGTATCCATCGTTATCAGCATTATTGTAGAAGTAGAATTGACATCGTGGGTGGATGGGGACAAGTCATCTCTGATGAACATTTAAACTCATTCTCTTTTCTATATAGAACCCAACATGCTTATTTCCAAGGAGAACAGAAAGGCCATCTACTCGGCTCTTTTCAAGGGTAGGTTGTTTGCATTAGCATATACATGTGAACTCATCATTGCATAGATGGTGCCCTCGTCGCCCCCAAGGACTACAATCTTGCCAAGCACCCCGAAATTGATGTCCCTAACCTCGAAGTTATCAAGGCTCTTCAATCCTTGACTTCCAAGGGTCTTGTCAAGACTCAATTCTCCTGGCAATGGTACTACTATACTCTCACTGATGAGGGTATTGATTACCTCCGTGAATGTAAGTCGGAACATAAATAGGGCTGAACCATAGCTAACACGTTATTTGATAGACCTTCACTTGCCTCAAGAAATCGTTCCTGCCACCTTGAAGAAGTCTGCTCGTCCTGCTGCTCCTCGTCGTGCTTGTAAGTAGATTATAAGTGATGTAGTTGATATTTATTCTGTATAGTCGGTGGTGAAGGTCGTGAAAACCGTGGTCCCCGTGGCGACCGTGGTGACTACCGTCGTAAGGAAGGTGCCTCTGGTGACTTCAAGCCCGAGTTCCGTGGTGGTCTCGGTAAGTTACTTTTTTAGCCACTTGAAAAGACAGTGTAGGCTGATTGCATAAAATAATTAGGTCGTGGTAACCGCGAATAAAGGACTCCTTGTTTTTTTTGTGTGTGTTTTTTAAAAATAAACTGACATTGTCTAGAACTCGTTTATATGTTATTTTTTTTTTTTTGTTTATTTAAAGAATACAAGAGTTTAAAGGAAAAAAGATGTACACAGGAGATTATATAATTTAAAGCTTCTTGATCTTGGCATCACAGTCACCCTTGGGAATAGCAAGACCAACTTGAAGATTACTAAGATCGTAAATATGATAAAAGTTATGAAGGAAAGCACCACCCAAGACCCAATTCTTGTCGTCCTTGGTGTTGCGACCAATGAGAGTATGACAGGTCTTTGCGTCTTCGTCTTGTCGAATGTAGAGCTTGGGAGGCAAAGAGACACGGTAGCCCTTGAAATCAATTTCAAAAGTAGGGTACTTGTCAAGATCGTCGCAGCAATCTAAACGGTACACATCGTCATCTGAGTCGTACTTGGCGTCAATAGCAGCATGCAAAAGATCGGCTTGTTTGGTAGGGGCCAAGATACGGTCAGAACCAGTGCTCAAGGAAGCCAATGTCTTCTTGGCCAATTTGATATCAATCTTGTCGCCCAATTTGACACACTTAATTTCAGTCTTCCAGTAAGGAGAATCACCATAGTCGCAAGTGGGCAATTTAAAGTAAGCAATTTCGCCCTTGTAGACATCATGATCAACACCGCCAAAGATGAACTCAGCATCTTTCTTGCCGTTGCTTCTCTTTTGGTAGAAACCACTAGAGCCACTGGCGACCATACCGAATTGTTGAGAAGATTGACCATAAGCACTTTGGAAACCATTTTGAGCAAATCCACCACTACTGACAGCTATACAATTTTTTTTTTTTTTAGTTTACATTTGCGTAGATTTAAAAACAAGGTCTAGAATTATTTTACCTTGACGCTCTATTAAAAGAAAAAATTGGGCTTAGTTTAATGTGCATGTTATATATGTAACTTACTGGAATATGATGAGGCTGAGTTTGATGTCAAGTAGTTTGTGCTTCCATCAGCATTGAAACCACCTAGACCAAGAGAACCAACTATCAAAAAACGTCATGGTTTAGTCATAATCTTTTTTTTTTTATAAATATGCAAATGCTACATACGATAATCTTCGCCACCAAGCCCTTTGACGCTATAAGCACTACCAATCAATTGGCTGCCAACAGCAAGACCAGCAACAGAAACAGTATCCTAAAAATAAACACAAGTTAAAAAGAAGTGCGATTAAATCAAGCGACATACTCTATACAATCTAGCATCAATACAGACACCTTCATCATATTTGATGGACACTTTCTTGTGAAGGTTGACAGCAGTAGAAGAAGCATTAGCATTGAAAAGATTCGATTGCTGACGACATTCTGGTGTATGGCACTAGGCAAAATATGGTAAATGATACGTCAAAACAAAAAGAAAAAAGAAAAAAATTCGGGTTACCTCAGTGGATGGAACCCAAGTCAAGGAATTGCTGGTATCAAAAACGACCGGGAAAGTTTGTGCAGGTGTACCTTAAAATAAAAAAGTGTTACTCGGAAACGTCATCCGAATGTACAAATAAGAAACATACCAACTTTCACTTTTGCAACGTACTACAAAAAAAGAAAAAGATGAATGATTAAGGGGATTCCAAAATGTGAAGGGGAAATAAAGACAACATACCACACCATTTTCAACTGTCATGGGCTCTCTTCTTAAAGAACATCTTTTTTCAAGCTTTGCTGCCGATGTGCTTGAAATTAAAAATAAAGTTGTTGATAATAATACAGTTGAAAGACGCATCTTGCTTTTTTTTTAATTTGTTGTTGTACGTATGGTTATATGTGTGCTCTATAATATTAAGAAAGAAACAAAAAAAGAAAAGTAAAGACAAAAAAAAAGAGAGAGAGAGAAAAAAGAAGAAGTAAAAGGGAAAGAAAAAAGGCAAATTATTTATATTCAGGGAACTGTAAGGGGGGGTCTTTAGCATGTTGCACACAGCAAGAAGAGCTTGTGACTCAAATGTTGTTGTATTTGTTCAGTTTACTTTTTTTAGTCTCTAATTATAAATAGTTCATCTACATAAATATATATATATATATTTTCCATTGTTTATACTCGATTTCTAGACTTTCTTACTTGTTGCCTGTACTCTACAACTATTAATTAATAACACCTGCATAATTATCAACCGAGACTATCTTTTTGGTTATTTAACCTTAGTTTCCTTTTTCAGGCAGATGTCATTTTTAGCTGGAACATACTCATTTCTAAGCCCAACTTAAACTTTCTTGGTAATTTGAATGTAGATCCTTTTTTTTTTTTGAATCTATGGTTGACTTGCAAAAGCGACGACAATGACAACCTTTATCTCTGTTGATCGGCTCTCCCTTTTATATATATATATATATATATATTCATATCATGTCATCATTACTTTATAGTATGACAAGAAAAAGAAATTCAAAATTCTAGAAAAGTATCAAGTGAGTAAGTTTTTTTTTTCTTAGCCAAGCCAAATAAAATAGTTTGGTTTAAAAAAAGGTACAGATTTTGATAGATCAAGGCACATGAACGAATCTGATATGCCATGTTTCTAGACACAATTTTGTTAGCATTAAAGTTTGCCGAAAGAAGGAGGCATATGATTCGGCATTGTTGTCGTATAGAAAAAGAGTACTATTTTTGAAAAAAAAGAGCCATTATCAGCCACTTTGTCTTTTTTTTTTTACTTTTCTTTTTGAATGCATGTATAGACATACGCTTAATTATGCATAAATTAGTTTGAACAATTGAACAAAATGTACATTCAGTTCATTTGCTCTTGTTTCTCCTATTCTTTCATAAATCTTAGTCTATGATATGATTATAAATGCGCCATTTTACCTTGTAAAGACAGGAATAATCTAAAAATATAATTGCTTGGTTGTACAAGTGAAGAAGTTCATACCTTGACCAATACAGGTCTTAAGATATGTCTCTTTACGCATAGGCATCGTGTGTAACACATGATATAATGTAAAAAAAAAAAAGCTTGTATTTATAGAAGCAGTTGTCGAATAGCGCAGTTATTTGTTTGTACCTAACAAAAACGAAAGAAAAAGAAAAAGAAAAGAGAAAGTGAATTATCTATAGTTTATATAAGAAATGATGGATGGAATTCTTGATAAATAAAGGGATAAATTTCTTTTTTACTTAAATGACTGGTAAATGACCTGGACAACTTTTTATACGCCAAATGCTCATTACTAACCATTCGATTGATTAAAAGCATAAATAAGGCAGTTCTTTATTAATCCAAATTTATGTTACAACAAGATAATATCTTTTTATTTTTAAAATTTACTTGTTAGGATAATCAACGCTTTTTTTTTTCCTTGTTTCGTTTTATTCTGGAACTATCCAATCAAAGCTTGCATGAATGGTTTCAATTTAGAAAGCACCTTTTATTGTTTTATTCAAAACAGAGCTTTGCCTCTCCCCTTTCTCTCCTCGCATATCATTAAGAAAAAAACATTGATTTTATTACATAACTTTAAAGCTTACTTTGTTGCTGTTGCTGTTGCTGTTGTTTAGCTGATTTGGCAGCTTTCTTTCTCTTGTTTTCTTCAACAAACTTATTGAGAGCATCTTGTGAATCTTTTGATTTCATGCGCTCAGATAATCTAGCCATTTCCACTTCATTCACCTGAAGCAACACTTGTCGATCCACGTCTCGAATAAGCTTTTTAGAAACAGCAATAGCTTCACTTGAGAATTTGGCTGCTTCATGAGCAATAGCCAATACTTCTTTATGGAAATCTTCAGCTGGAATGGTTCTACTAATAAATCCGCAATCCACCAATTCTTCAGCAGTAAATGTACGGCCTAAAAGTAACATTTCATTGGCTCTGGAGACACCCATAATTCGAGGAAATAAAATAGAAGAACAACCTTCAGCACAAAATGCTAGCTTCATAAAAGGAGTCGTAAACGTAGCTTGAGGTATAGAATAAACAACATCAAATAAAGCAAGTGTTGTAACACCAAAACCAATCGCATTACCTGCTCAGTTTTGTTAATATCGACTTGCATGATTTTCTTTTTTCTACCATTGACACCTGCAATCAAAAGTTTAGGGAAATTGATCAATTCATCGACAAGTGTTCTGCTCATTTCAGTCAATCACAAAAGCTTAATAAGCCTAAACTTACTTTGTCACAAGTCTTCTTTTCTTATTAAATTCTTCACCTTTAGGACTATTGTCGGGTTCTTGTAATTCTTGGCCTGAAGTATAATATTTGCCACGACCTGTCATGACTACAACTTTCACAGCGTCACATCGAGCAGCCCATTGAATAGCTGCAAGCCAATCCTATTCCGTGTTATTCCAAGTGATTGAATGATGTACGTTACTCTATAGGCTAAAGGAGACAAAGCGTTATATCTTGTGGGGCGATTGAAAGCCAACTCTGTCACACCAGAAGAAGAAAGAGTGATTTGAAGTGTTTCAAGTAAAGGAATTGAAGTAGCCATTGTTTATTTACAAAGAAAAAGAAAAAGAGAAAGAATAAAATAGGGACTTTATATATGCATGTGAAGGAGATGAATATGGTACATAGTTAAAGTGTGAGAAGCATTGTGACTGCAAATGAAATTTAAGCTGACTCATGATGGTTTTTTTTTCTTGCTTAAACTTAACATTTTAGTCCTCTTTTGCTTTCGATCCAATTGAAGGCTGTGTAATACAGGATCTTCATCATCAGATAAAATAATAATGTCCTTGTCAAACAATGCATTAAATGATCGTTTCTTGGACAAGTCTTCTTTCTCTTCCTCTTTTTGTGTAGCTGGTTTTTCAATTAACACAACAACAGAATCAGATTTCTTTTTGACATCTGAAGCTTTTTCTTGTTGACTAATTTGTTTGTTTGTGTCTGATGAACAATTGACTTTTACTTCTTTAGTACAATGACTTTCACTTTTCTGTTGTTGACTGTTAGATACATTGGCTTGCTTCTTTATAGTTTTGGGTGCTTTTGTATCTTTAATTACGGCTGGATGATTAGGAGAAGCATCGGCTTGCCTTTTTTTGTTTTGAACTATTGTTGGTTGACTTTGAGAGCTGCTTTTATTTCTCGATAGTGATAGTTTTGTTTTCTTTTGTGGTTTGATTTCTTCTTCTTTTTGTTGTTGTTGCACCATTTCTTTTTCAGGTATAGGTTGTTTAGATTCCTATTTGATATTTATGAGTACCATAATGCAAGATAGTTCAACTTACTGCAGTCATGTCTTCACCAGCAGCATACTTTTGTGTATATTCTATTGCTTTTTGTTTGAATGTAGGATAATCAAATTGATATTCTTTTGCAATATCTGCATCAAGTGGATCATCAGGATTAGGTTGAGCAAGCAATTGACTCAAGAGTAAAAGCGTAGTCGAAAGATTTAAGGCAGGTCTCCAGCCCTGCCCTTTTTTGAGAATATCTGCGCAAATTCGACCAGTATCATCAATATTAGGATGGTAAATTAAAGTAACAAAACGTATTTGAGGAGGATCGAAAGGATAACTTAATGGTATTTGAATGTCTAATTTGAAAAGTCCCTTTTCATAAGGTGATTCAGGTGGTCCTTTAACGACTAGGTTATGTTGGTCTATGAAATCGATGCAAGGGAATGGACTTACTTGCTTCTAGATCGGTAATGTTGTCTTCTTTTGGATAGCAACTCACACCTGGAGGAGGATCTTTTTCGAGATCCACTAAATAAGATTAGCAAAAATAAAGTACGATTATCATGAACTTACATAGCTCTTTTTGTAATCGACTTGTTAGAACACCTGAAAGCATAATTAAAAGAGATTCTAAAAAAAAATACGCGTGAAATGAAATGACTACGCGTATTAAAACCGATTTTTTTTTTAAAAAAAAACGAGCGCACAACATCGTTGTGTTCAGCAGTAATTTTAGAAAGACAGCAAAAGGTCCATATGTATGCTTGATCAAGAATAGGTTTCGAGGTAATAAAATATTTACATGTTTGCCAGAAAAAAAAATATTTTTATACTACATTTTATTCTGCATCCCTGAAATAATCTCATAACAAGATATTATATCTAGCACAATTATACAAACACACTCATGATCTATATGATGAAAAAAAAAGAGTTGTCGTAAATGTCTTTCTATTCGATTTCTACTAACTTAGTAGCCATGTTCTTCTTCGCTTATTGTTCTTAAGAAACACTCTGTTTGATCCCAAAAAGAAGATTATCTTTGATTTAGAAAAATCAATTGCTCAGGGGAGATGACTTCTCAAAGAATGACATGTAGTCGAGACTATACAGCTCTTTCTTAAGCCTTTGATCCTTATCCTTACAGTAAGCGCACTCATTACTCTGTGTTATAACTCAGCTGAGCTCTTTGTAGAACCTGAATGATGCACCAACCCGTAATCTCATTGACTTTGTGTGTCTTGAGCAGCATCAAAGCATCATCATCATGCACACAAAATGCCTGGTGTCGGGGATTGAAAACTATGTATCTCGATTCTCTTCCAGCCCCACTAGAAATGAGGTTTTCCTGGGTCAAATTTGGAAGGCCCATTGGAATACTATCTTCAATGAAATTCCGTTTAATCCAATTCTACTCCTTTCGTCCACTCGTGCTTCTCTCAGTTCTCTGATTGACGAGAAACACTTGCACAAACGTTTATAGTTGATTACTTTACGTATTTTCCCTTTGCATCTCTTAAAATTGTGACCACCTCTTGACAGACTTTAGTCATAGGCTATGTGGAGTAAAAAAATAAAATCCTTAAAAAAAATTGAGCCTTTGCTGAGAACTACATGAAGACGCGGTTTTTTTTTTTTTTTTTTTTTTTTTTTTTTGGCTTTGGTATAATGACAAAAGTTGTATTTCTCTGCTTTCTGAGTCTGTGGATGTAGAAATCACAAAAAACTTGCTGCTAAAATGTTGAGCAAATAGACATAAATGCGTACAAGATCTTTGGCCTATATCTCATTATTTTCATAGTACAATCAGCAAGCAACCACATTTACCAAAAAATCATAGCTTTTGGTGCGCATTTTGAATATTTAAGCTTGTTGATAGCTCTATTTTCCGTCTTGTAGTAAAAAAATATTAGATTCTAGAAATTAAGCATCAAAAATATTTATATTGTTACTTGCATTGGATTATAAGAAAGAGCAGAGAATAGAAGAGAGATAAATTAGTAACAGATATGAACCAGTCTATTTAGAATATTGAGACGAATACGAGGATTTTGTAGAATAATCCTTAATTGCATCACTGCTTCAAAATCATTACATCCATACTACTACACAATATGATCAACCAATACTAAGTTGTGATTGATGCTAAAGGCGACCATATTCATTATCAGTTTTTTTCTGTTTATATCATCTTAGAACAAACATCTCAAAAAATCATCCACAAAAAAACTGAGTGCGTTAATTATCATCTTGGCATATCAAAGGGCCCTTGGATCATGATACCTTTGTTGCTGAGTTCGAATGTCAAAAAACTGGGCTAACTTTTATTAAATCTTGGTCCAAACCCATCCACCTTTAAGAATACGGACCCAACCAGCAAAAAATGATCCTAGTACAATAGTGACACCAGCCCAAATAGCACCATTGACATAACTTGGTGGTGATGATAGGTTAATCAGAGCAGAAGCAATAGGCGTACCAAACAAGTAGCCAAATATATTGGTAGTATAAAGCAAACCAATTGCAGGACCAATATGTTCCAGGCCTACAATCTGTGGTTGCACAGTAGGAAAGAGAGCAACATAACCACCACCAAAGAAGCCATAAAGAATAGCAAATACCCAAAGTGTAGCTTCATTATGAACATTGATCCAGATCGTGAGACAACATACACCACATAAGAAGGTACATAGGAATAGACTGTTGAATCGACCTAGCTTATCGCCCATGTAACCTGTACAGACACGGGCCACTGCATTGATAGCTGACATGATGGCAGATAAATTTGTACCAATCCAAGGGTCTAGATTCAGAGCGTTTGCATGCGAGGGTAATAAAAAGAAGGGTGTCTGATACAATTAGCCCTATCTTTGTCTCTGTCTATAAATTACCATATAACCAAATGTTGTGATCAGACCATGAAAGAACATGACAGTAAACATTGGATTCTTGAAAAGATACCAATTCAATAGTTTTCTTCCTCCTCCCGTCTTTCTAACATCACCAAAAGGTCGAACAAACAAAGTAGCAATAGACAATAGAACAAATACAATAATGCCATCAATGCGCAGTGCCCAACGATAACCTAAGCTCTTGATCACAGCCATACTAATGTTGGCTACCACTAAACCACCTATACCACTGCCTGACATAGCAAGACCAATGGCTAATCCACGTTTCGATGAAAACCATTGTTGAGGTGCTCCAATACAAGGCAAAGAAACAAACGAAGCACCTAAACCAAACATGACACCTTGAGTGAGAAACACATGCCATACTTGAGTAGCAAAACTAGCCAAAATTAATGCAGCTGTACATAAGACTGTGCCTGTCATTAACATGTATTTATAACCCATTTTTTCAATAACAAATTGATTGATAGGACCTGTAATAAAGAATAAAGCAACACAGATCGAACCAACCCAGGACAATGTACTCATTTGGCCAATATAGACTTGTGTCTTGTATAAATTTAGATAAACACCCCAACTATAATTGTAACCAAATCTATAATAGCCTGTTTAAAATGGCTATGATCATCATGACCTTATTATTATTCTTACATGGAGAACATACCCTATTGAACAAAAAAAAATTTTTTTAAATGTCAGAATATCCTTCTTCTTTAGACAACATACAAGAAAGGACCCCATAACAACAAGCCAACCTTTGCCACCGTCAGGAGGTGTAATTTCACTTGCAGTTTCTGATTTTATTGATTTCGTATAGGTCTTTTCTGAAGCAATATCACTTTGAATTGTCTGTTCTTCTTTATCCATTGTAACTATAAAAAAAAGAAAAAAAAAAAAAGAAAGAATGATTTGACAATCTTTTTTCACTTTTATTTGTATGTTTCACGAAAGATGTGCGCTTATTTAAAAACAAAAAAGACATTAAGATGACTAATGCATCCAATTTGCATCCAATTTGCATAAATTTCAAAACAAACACTACCATTTATTTTTTATTTTGTTTTTTTTGAAGTTTATTATGGATGTGCTTTCTTTATACAAAATGTAGTTAAATGAAATTTAGACCTTGCCAGCTTCCTTGAAGTAGTTGGAAAGAGGACCCTTTTGAGGAACAAACTTGACATAACAACCATCAGGTCTGAGCTTGCCAGCAGCACGAGCTTCAACGTATTCTTCGCGAGACAAAGGAGTGAAACCCCACTTCTTGGAGATAATGATCTTTTGTTGACCAGGGAACTTGTACTTACAACGTCTCAAGGCTTCAATGACAACAGCCTTGTTGGAGTCCTTGGAACGAACAGAGAAAATGATTTGACCAATGTTGACACGGGCAACAAGACCGTTGGGCTTACCGAAAGCACCACGCATACCTGTTTGCAATCTATCGGCACCAGCACAAGACAACATCTTGTTGATACGGGTGACGTGGAAGGGGTGGACACGGATACGCATGTGGAAGGAATCCTTACCAGAAGTCTTGGACATGTACTTGTTAGCACAGATACGACCAGCTTCAAGAGCTTCGGCAGAGAGTTGTTCGTATTCGTTGGAGACCAAGTGAACACAGAGAGGGAAATCGTCAACAGAAGCCTTCTTACGACCTAAATCGTAGATTCTAAGCTTGGCATCAGGGACACCACGGTTGTATCTAGACTTAGGGTAAGGCTTGTTTTTACAGTAACGATAACAACGAGCAGGACGACGACCCATTCTATAAAATATATATATATGAATAAGAGGTTAAAAAATAGAGAAAGGAATGACAAAAGAAACAAAGCTATTTATTCTCCTGGGTGTCGCAGTAGTTGGTATTAGTAAGCAAATTACAGGTCACTTTTTTTTTTAGTTCATGACAAATGCCACTAAAGTTGATGATGTAGGTTGATGTAAAGTCTACTGCAATGGTGGAATGGAGATGAATTGCTGAGTATAATCAGAAAGTGAAAATGTAAAGATTAGCTGTGTAATGATGTTATGTCGTCATGTGTTATGTTATATGTTCATCAGGAGAATAATAGCTGTTATTTGTTTCTTGTTGCCATCCATCCATAAAAAGTATATATATGCATATATGAATCGATATCTTACTTTTTCTTACTACTTGTTAAGAGAAAGAGACCTTAATAAGAGAGTATGGATGGATATATTTTGTGTGTCTAAACAGAGAAGCTGCAAGTGGGTCCAATCTTTATTTTTCAATGTCCGATGTGCGGGCAGTTTTTCTTTTTTCAGATCACATAAAAGTATATATCAAAGGTAGTGTGTATGACTATTACTATTCTAGATAGAACGTAGCTCTTTATGACATAAGAATACAATGTTATTCATGCATTCAAGAAAAAGACATAGCTAATGTTTATTGGTAATAAAAGACACTATTTTCTAACTCGTATGCTTTTTTTTTGTGTTTTGAAACAAGTTTTCTCGATCCTTCTATACTATAAAAAGAAAACATCATGTTTACCAATGAGGATAAAAACAAACAGTTTTATTATGTACATGTCTAACTTGACAAAATGTAGCTTCAGAAGTGACTCTCAAATTTTGTGTCATTTTACTGTGTCTCGGGCACTATTTTGTGTTCGAATGGTCAATTTCAATCCTTGTCTAAATAAATGTTTTGCTAATTCGCTTGACTCTATATAAACAAATGTGAGCTTTCTTTTCCTATCATGCCTATCATGAGCTCTGTCTCTACCTTTCATGCCAGGGTATGCTTTTGCAGAATAAACTGTAAATGGTTCAGAAAAGAGAGATTTTATTATTTTACTCCTACATATGTTTCAATCATACTTGTTGATCCTCTTTTTTTTTTTTACCTTGTTAGATGCATCAAAGTAAATTGAAGACGATATTCCCCTGTCATACGTACACTGAGATCAGGAAAAGCAAAATAATATGCTTCTTGACCATCCAAATCCTTCAATAAAGAAGGAGAAGCAACTACTGAACCCATTAGTGTACGTAATGCCTGGTGTTTATTTTTGACCAAATCCAACTGTCGTTTCATATCTGCAGACCATAACGATACCTGAACCACAAAAAATGGTGGAAAATCGACTGTTTTCCTAACAAATAATACATTCAGCCATCCCATGCACACACACGATGGAATAGTTACTCGTTTAATATTCTTAGACGAAGAATAGGCGCAGGATCAATGGGTCTTCTGTCCTTGGCTCCATAGTTGGATATTCGACATTGTTGAGGTTGTTCTACTATTTCAAACTCAAAACTAAAGTCATCTAATTCACATGTTGGTTCATCAATCATAAAGGAAGGATTGCCATATAAATGTTGGTTATTCTTTTTTGAATTTGAGACGTCAATATTAGGCTTGAGAAACGTGAATTGAATTGCGGTAGCGTTGTTGTCTTGTTTGATTGATCCTACATCTATATCTTCATCTCCATTATAGTTGATAAACGTTTGAAAAAAGTCCTCGTCGTTTTCTTGAAAGTCTTTGTTTGTTTTTGGCATATCACTATTGTCCATGAGTAACAAAAATCATACGTATGCATTACATTTATATAGAAAAGAGAAAAAAAGAAAGGGAGAAAAAAAGAAGAAAAAAAAAGAAACTCCCCCCCCCTCTTTTTTTGGTATATCTTGTATCGAGAATTTAGACTTTTGTCACTGATGTCAAAACTAAAGGTTTTCCTTTAAAAAGCAAAATAATGTTACACTCGCCTAACTCCGAAGTTGTTTTGATCTCGAATCATATCGTCATAGAAAGAAGTGATTTCATCGTCTCTTTTTATTTTTCTATTATTTTCTTTTTCTTTACATATTCAGATGAACCAGCCTCAAAATGCATATTATGGGCAATCACAAGCCTATGGACAACCACAACCTTATGGGCAACCAGGTTATTATCAACAACAACAACCAGGTAAGCGATCAAACTGTAATTAGACGGAAGTGTTCATATATATCTGTAGGCTATTACCCGCAGCAGCCCATGTATACTCAGCAACCACCACCACCACCACAGCAATCCAATGGTACGGGAGGAGGTTGCATGGCTTTCCTAACTGGTCTTTTGTGTTGCTGCTGTGCTGAAGAATGTTGTTCTATTTGCTGTTAAATATGTCTTGCATAATTTTGTCCAACCATCTTGTTTGTCATACAGTTTTATTATATGTACAGTAATAGTAATAAATAAACAGACTTAAAGTAATGATCCACTAGCAAATCTTCTGCGTGATCCTGTATCAATATTGAAATCTAAAACAGCATTTTCAAGGCCTGCTCTCTGTTAAAAAGATTAGAAGCAATGGATTATGTGCTTACCAACAAACATCTTCTGACTATCCAACGAGAAACATAAGCCTGTGATAGGCGTATCATTTCCATCTGAACCTACTCTGACTGTTTGTTGACCATCAAACGTCCTAGCATCAATGACATGCACATGGGATACATGCTCAGTAAATGCCAATAAATCAACTGCACCTGTCTGACTAAACTTGACACATCTTGCAGCTCCCTTTGTGATAGAGGGATGTAGGCCCGAGAATTTAGCCAGAGGGTTTCTGTTTCGAATATCCCATACATGAACAGACCCATCTTGACTCGAGACGGCGAATTTGTCAGATGTTTTGTTCCAAGCAACGGAGAAATTAGCATCCCGAGAAACTGATAAAACATGAACATTATATATATATACATATATGATTGAATCTTTTTTTTTTTTTTTTTTTACCTGCCATGGTAGTGACCAATTCATAATGACCTGTATTTGTCACATTAAACAATTGAACTCGGTTATCATCTCCAACGGCAATCATTTTACGACCATCAGGACTCACAGAGGCTAATAAGAAATAAGTGTCAAACAAAAAAAAAGCACATATTCAACTACGCTTTACTGTGATTCACTGCTGTTCGATAATCCAATGTATCAATAATCTCCAAGTCAGGCACAGAATAAATGCGAATGGATGCGTCATTGTTGGAAACAAGCAGTCTGATTTCTCCATTCAGTTGAGAGAAACAGAGTCCATTATTGATGGTACAACCAGGCGAAGTTGTGATGCTTCTATATGAAATCAAATCAGCCAGAAATCCAACCCGATGAACTTTTTTTTTTTTTTTTTTTTTTTTTTTTTACACTTGATAATCACTGTTTGTATCTTTTAATGTTAAATCGCCTCTTTGTCCTCCTCCAGCCCAATAACCATACCTAAATAAACTATATTAAACAAGCGCTGACATACAAACAAATTTACCCTGAAGCCATACAAGTGGGTGCATAGCCAATGTCTTTTAACAAATAACTTTTTTGCCCAGTTTTATAATTGTACTATAAAGGGAAATTATGTCAATAGGTTTGTTTATTATTATGCTGATCTCTTTACTCGAAAAATATCTTGCCCAGTTGGGACAATCAGTTCATGTTTATGATGTTCATTATGTGTGATTAACAAATCTCGAAGTTGCCTTCATAACATGTCAATCTTACTCTAGCATCGTAAAACTTACCAATGATGAATGGTCACTTTTTGATCATGGACAATGGGTTTTGGTACAACATATCTTGTCGTGTCTCTAGACAAGTCTTTTAGGATGTCTATCTCTTTTAAAATCGTGCTTACATCGATACACAATCTGTATCAATAATCGTCATTTTGTTGAATTTAAAAAAAGAAGAAAAAAGAAAAATCGACAAGGTGAGAAATATGAGGTGAGCTATCGAGCTGCATAAAAAAAATGATGGGGTTTCATTCAATTCAAAGAGCGAGACATCTGACGCAAACAAAGTAATATGTACAAAATAGGATATGCAAGATTTATTGAATGAAGTATATGACATTTATTGAAATGAACTTAAGCAGAAGAGGCAGCAGCAGCTCTACGGCGGTCACGTTCTTCAGTGATAGAGAGCTTGATACCCTTACCCTTAGGAAGAGAGATCATGGGCTTAGAGCTTTGACCAATCACAAAGACGTTAGAGATACGGGTAGCAAAGACACGATCCAAAGAATCCTTGACATGAACAATTTCAAAACCACCAATGTGACGTTCACGGTGAACGATTTGACCCACACGACCGATGTTACGACCACCAGTGATCATGACGACGTTACCAACTTCGAACTTGACAAACTCTTCAATCTTGCCAGATTCAATGTTGAAACGAATAGTATCATTAGCCTTGATCAAAGGATCAGGGTAACGGATAGTACGACCGTCATGAGTGGTGATGTAAGGGATACCCTTGGCACCAACCAAGACCTTCTTGACCTTGCACAATTTGTACTTGGCCTCCTCATCAGTGATACGGTGAACAGCAAAGCGACCTTTAACGTCATAGACGAGACGGAAGTTCTCGCCAGTCTTTTCAATAGAAATAACATCTGTTAAAAAGAAAGGCAAAAAAAAGCATCCGGGATTCGTCAAAGCCAAGCTGTGAGTAAAACTAAAGTTCTCTCTCCCCCTTCCATTTTTAACACTTACCCATAAAACCAGCAGGGAAGGTAGAGTCGGTACGGACCTTACCATCGACCTTGACTAAACGTTGCATGAGAATGGCTTGAGTTTCACGGCCGTTCAAGGCGTACTTGAGACGGTTACGGATGAAGACAATCAAAGGAAGACATTCACGAGTCTTGTGAGGACCGGAACTAGGCTTAGGGGCATAGTTGCCTATAGAAAAAGAAAGTATGAATATAATTGAACATGATGTGTAAATGTCATATTTTGCAATATCAACACAATTCAGTAAAAGAATAAAGCTCGTCATAGACATCGGATTGTTGAGCTTGACTATTTGTTTATTTTTTTTTCATCCCCATATGTCTTTATTGCAAATGACATTCACACAAACCATTGATACATACCCAAAAGTTTGTCAAGCATCCAGTGCTTGGGAGCTGCTAAACGCTTCATGTGCTTCTTGGGACCGCGAGCCTAGCATATTCATAAGTATGGATGGATGGATGGACATGTTCAACGTACCATATTGATGGATAAAGAAAAAAGGAAAGTTACAGGAATTGAACCTTTGTTTGGTATTTATAACGTGCCGCGCATTAGAAATAAGTCCGGTAAGAAAGAGAAAAAAATTTCATTAACTAGTCATAGAAAAAAAATTTTTATGCGAATGAACTTCTTGACGTGACGTATCTTTGAGTGCTCTATTGTCTTTCTTGGTTTGTATATGTTGAAGGAATGGGAATTATATTGTTATTTCTAAGGCACTGTTTGAAATGATTCAATATTGAACATGTCTTTTTATATAAAATTTAAATGAGACCCTGACTTTTATTACTTTCGACACTGAATCCGATTGCTTCCTAAGGAACCGAGTACAGTGAAGTAAAAAAAAAAAAAGGTCTATCTCTGTCATTTTTGATCTATTCATACTACTTTGATCTTTCAACACAAATCCTTGGATATCAAAATGGTGGAGGAATTCAAACATTGTAAACCATTTATCATTGCATACATTGTATTTTACGTTTCTTATTATTTAAGGCTACCAATTCATGACAATAAAGCCTAATCTTTGTCTCGCATACTTCAAGGGAGCCCCCGCTAAGAATATGATCTATGCTGCGTGGGCACATCAGGCAAAAAAAAAAAAAAAATTTGCTCATGGGGAATTAAAAAACCGCTGTTAGGAAATTTTCATCGCCCGCCATTATAAAAACAAAAAAACCGTCCTTTAGCGTTGAATGGACGCACACACACACACACATATAGCTATTTATTTATTGTATATATATATTACGACAACTGCTAGTGGCAAAGATACGATCGACGACTATTTCATTTCTTTCTTTCTTCTTACAACATATTACAGTAGAACCGAGATCCATAGCGTATGAATAATTCGCCTACTTCTAGCAAAATCAACTTGCATACAAAACGTTCTTTGAGTATGTCCTCAGAAGCCAGTGGTCTTCACGTTCGATTGCCTACACTTCACCACTCGGAAAGAGAACCTGCGCCTTATTCTCCCATATCTCAAAACAACATGTGTCCTTCTGAATCGAACTGGGCAAACAAGTATGAAGATTTCGATATTGGCAAACCCATAGGTAAGAGTGAAACAAGATTGCGCAGACATCTTTAAAAAAAATAAAACTGCTAGGCTATGGCTCATCCGCTGTTGTTTATGAAGCTGTCTATAAACCACTCAAGAAGCGAGTGGCAGTAAAAATGATTGACTTGGATATGTTTGAACGCAACCAAATTGATGAACTTAGGGTAATTATAGACGATATGTCCCATAAGCTGATGAAGTCATATAATAGCGTGAAACTGCCTTAATGGCCTTATCCAAGCATCCCAATGTCTTGAGAGTCTATGGTTCTTTTGTGAATGGATCTAAATTGTACATTGTTACACCTTATTTATCTGCTGGTTCTTGTCTGGATATCATGAAGACTTCTTTTCCTGATGGTCTTGATGAAATCAGCATTGCGACTATCCTCAAACAAGCACTGGAAGGCCTTGTATATCTTCATAAAAATGGTCATATTCATCGTGACGTCAAAGCAGGCAATCTTTTAATGGATCAGTATGGTACTGTTCTCTTAGCTGATTTTGGTGTCTCTAGTTCGCTGACGGAGAATGGCGATATGCGCAAAACGTTTGTCGGTACGCCTTGTTGGATGGCACCCGAAGTGATGGAACAAGCAGGCTATGATTACAAAGCAGACATTTGGAGCTTTGGGATCACCTCTTTGGAATTGGCCACAGGTCATGCGCCATTTGCTAAATATCCACCTATGAAAGTACTCATGATGACATTATCCAATGCACCGCCTACACTCGACAGAGAAGCTACAAAACACAAGTACTCCAAGCTATTTAAAGACATGATTGATCTTTGCTTGCAAAAAGACCCTAGTAAACGACCCTCGGCCGAGAAATTACTCGCTCATCCGTTTTTTAAGCAAGCCAAGAAAAAGGACCATTTGGTCAAGTCCATTTTATCGCATGTGTTACCTTTGGATCAAAGGCCACACAAGAAAGTGCCTCAGAAACACATCTCGTTTGAAGCAACTGAGCAATGGGATTTTGATACACAAGACAATGATCCACCTGTTGTGATCGATAAATCAGAGACACCCATCTTGTCAAGTGCACCACTGGAAAGATCGCGCTCTGTTGTCCAATTCGAGGAGTGTCCTAAACCTATCCATAAATCGTCTTCACCTGTGGAGACAGAACCTATCAAGAAACACATTTCGTTTGGGGATGCTGTGATTCGCGAATTGCCTTCTGTCAATCGACCTGGGATCATGTCTCCTCTTGTAGAAAGTCCTCCTCATCACGATGATTATTTGCCTACAACAACGCCCAAAAAGTCAAGATTTGTGATTGAGGGTACTCAACCTTCTCCTGCATCGGACTCACCTGCTTCCAATGTATCTGCAGAAGCTATCAATGTACATTCAGGAGGTGTCGGCTTAGGCATTTCTACCACACCTGTAAATAATACACATGCCCTTCCACCTCCACCCCCACCACCTCTTTCTTCTGCAGCAGCCAATATCCAAAGCAATGATAACACGTTACAAGAAGGCGAATTCAAAAAGGGCAGATTCAGTGTGAACCAAACACATACCACCACCACTCGACCCACAACACCAGCACCTGTTGAAGAACATATCATGGTGAGCACACCTGTAGAATTCAAACCTACACCCATGTATCGAAATGCGAGCCAGGATAGCTTCCAAGAACAACGAAGATCAAGGTTTGAAATCAAGCACACAGCACCCAATACACCCATTGAACCCCTTATGATGCAAGGCTTACCCTTGACACGCGAAAGCTCGAATGCTTCTTCCATCGCATTATCTCGAGATGGTTCTGTCAGCAATAGTAAAATCAGCCGTTTCTCTATTGAGAAGCCTGAAGGTAGTGAAGTATCCTTGTCGGCTGTGTCTCCTGAATGTCGTAAAAAGGGTCGTTTTGAATTGACAGGTGGATCTACAAATGAACCCTCTGGTTTTCATTCAGATTCACCACAGTCTACCGTCGCTCCTTCACCTGCTATTTCACCTAGTAATTCACTCTCAAGAGGACAAGCACATCGTATCCTTGACTCTTCTATGCCTCATTTAGTGTATTCACATATGGAATCCTTGATCAAACAAAACGAAATCCAAAAAAGTATGTTGCAGGATCTATTGACCACCTTACCCTTTATGTATCACCCACCCGCCACACGATCACGTACTGCGTCAGATAGCAAGAAACCACCTTCTGTCATCACGACACAACTGGACGAATCCTATCAAAGGTAAATTGTTGCATGTTTGCAACCCTATACTTATCTCATTAGACCCCCATTTACCATCACACCTTCTTCTTCATGTACTAGTTTGAGTTCAGATATCAACATGACCATCGAACACCTTCAACAACTGCTGATTGCCTCAAGTAAAGAAAAAGAAAGACTTCAGCGAGAAAACGAAGGCCTGAGACGAGAAATAGATAAATTAAAAAAGAATCCTCAACAAGGCATATTAAAAAAGCCTTCCATAGATGCCAGTACAGATCCTGTTGCGCCGGAAGCAACACCTGCAAATAATCAATAATAAGTAATAATTAATCTGATAAAAAAAAAGTGTATAGAAATAAACATATACACCTAGTGTCTTTTTAATGAGAGGGTATTCTATGGTTTTGGACGAACAGAGGGTCTAAGGCTATCTTCAGTGGCACTTCTCTTTTCTGCTTTCTTTTCAACAACACCAAGACGATAGACATAATCAATTTGACCTGTGATTGTATTGCCTTGTGTTGTAATCCAATGAGCATTTCTATCATGAAGAATATCATTGTATTCCGAAGGTTTAAACCATAATGGCAACATATAAGTCATTGTCTTGATCTTGACTCTTAATGAAAAGTGATGAGGTGTGTTTGAATAAGCTTTGATGGCCACTTGTACTTGATCTCCTATGTTACCCACTGGAATGGAGTTGTTGTCCAAGGCTTCACTTGAGACATAAACAGCATCACCAAAGAACTCTAGTTCTTCACCACCCCCATTTGATCTATGTTGTTGTTGTTGTTTGAATAGAGGTAAATAAGTCTGTTTGAGTTGTTGTGTACATGTTGAAGAGAGTCGAACAATAGTAGCAGCAGGTAATGGAAACAGTTGCAATGGCTTTTGGCTTGTGTCCAACGGATCTTCAGAGTGTGGCCATGTTGGAATACGTTGTTCAATTTTACCTCTTTTGAGTCCATCCTGTCGATGTGCTAATAATGCTTTGTTGTGTGTCTCAATAATATGGCCAATGACACGCTTCTCCCATACAGGATTGTATTTGGGTCGAATGCCTGGTACATAAATCACATGACCCTTTTGAATTAAGCCTGTCTTTACCAAACCCCCTAAATACTCTTTGAATCGTTTGACATGTGGTAGTCGATCATCCCACATAGTGACTTGCTTTAGAGAAGGTACGTTGTGCAAGATGTTCAAGATAAAGCATGTCTTGAAATGCATTGTGGACTGAAATACTGAGCCTGATAGATTATAGCATACACTGCCACCATGATTAACTTGCCAGTCATAGTCTTCTGAGATTCGTTCAGGATCAGGACGCAAGCCAATTACATCAAACTCAAGTCCCTTTGAGCTAAGCATCAGAGGAATCAAGTGATGAAATGGATGATAACGTCTGCCTGTCAAGACAATGGTCATTGTGTCTGAGTCCTCAATGCATGCTCTGGCTTCAGCCACTATCTTTTCGTTCCAGAATCCTTTCCATGCTGTCTTTTCTAGTTCTTGCGTAGGTCCTAAGTCTAGACTACGGATATCACGCCACCACCCAGGTCCATAAACACTTTCTGAAGTAGCCACTCGAATAAGACTCGGGTGCCAAATGGTAGGACTCAAAAGAGGCGAAAAGAACAAGGTCGAGTCAAAATCAAATATGGCGAGTTTAGTAGGTTGACGATGTTGTTTTGAGAGAAAGAAACTAGACTTTTTAAATTGACGTTGAAGTACGCCCTAGAGTAATTTAAGTCATCACTTTTACTTCATTTGAATAACTTACACGTTCAGCATCTCTAATCTTGTTATAACTAGTGATCATCATCATAAAAGCAAAGTAAAAAGAAGAGAAGAACAAACAGATATCTTTTTTTTTTATTTTTTTTTTTTTATTTAAGTTTACCGAACCACTATCTTTTTTTTTTTTTTTTTTTTTTGCATACACTTAAACACTGTGATATTCATGAATAGTAAAACGAGAACGAACACCTTTTTTGTTAATCAAAAGATAGTCTTTCAAGTCGTTCTTGAGTACAACTTGTTTGCTAGGAAATTTACGATCCCCTTCTTCTCTTTCGGGTTGTTCTACTTGAAGGTTTGTCTTGTATAAATAAGGAGCCAAAAATGGGATGGGTTGACTCGTCACCAAAATAAGCTGTCAAAAAGGAAATGAATATTACATAAAACTGAGATGTATTGACTTACATTCACGTATTTAAAGTTTTCTTTATGAGGATAAGGAATAGGAGGTGAGACCATGATTTGTTGTACTTTGCTTAAATCACAATTGGTGTCGAGTTCAACACGATTAATAGCCTTGGGCTTCTTGTTATCAAAATTGGCAATAATACCACAGTTACTAATCTATCGCGTATTTAAATGAGATGTATAGCTTCACACAACTTACCTTAAGAGGCAATACACTTGATCCAATATCACGGATACGCTTCTATAAGCACAAATGTAAGGTCTTGTATGCCGAACGAGATCGTGTACTATTTTTTTTACCACTTCTTTATCTGATTGTTGCTGGATCCACTCTTTAGCAACCACATCGATTTGCTCCATGGCTTCGACAGGATATTCTTGAAGATCGGCATTGTTGATGGGTGTTGACATGATCGAGATGAGTAACAGTAAAAAAAAAAAATTTATGACATGCCTAAAGAGAACTAGAGTGTCAAAAACAAAACTGATTGGATGAAATAAGCCAATAGAATTTATTTATTGACACTCCTCATTTGATACAGGTAAAGCAAATGTGTTGATATAACTCATCATATACAGTCAACTTTTACTTTGTATTATTTTATACCTGCCATGTACACTTTACATATGACTTTTTTTTTATGCACAACATTTTTCACCATACACTAACAAATTGTTTTGCAGTTTCCGTAAATTTCTGCCTACGCACTAGACGAATATATTGAAAATGTCAAGCCAATTCAAGTCTATTCGAATCCGCTTTTAATATAATACTAGTATAGCTTATATTCAGTTAGAATAGCCTAAATAACTAGATAGAATTGGATAGTACTGTCATTTAAAGGGAGTGTCCTCAAAGAAATTCTGACATTCTTTCAATGAAACTCCGTTTAATCCAATTCTACTCCTTTCGTCCACTCGTACTTCTCTCAGTTCTCTGATTGACGAGAAACACTTGCACAAACGTTTATAGTTGATTACTTTACGTATTTTCCCTTTGCATCTCTTAAAATTGTGACCACCTCTTGACAGACTTTAGTCATAGGCTACGTGGAGCAAAAAAAAAAAAAAAAAAACCTTTAAAAAAAACCTTTAAAAAAATGACACAAGCTCTGTAGACCAAAAGACGAAGCTCAAATATCATTGTCAGCAATTGATTGTATGACCCTACCACTTTCAGCTGTCTGCAAAGATTGGGAAGACAACGCTGAGCTGAAATTCCTTGGCAGTCCAACCGCAAAGAAAAGCCTAGTTCAACACTTTTTTAATCTTGACTTAGCAACCAACTGGATTGCCTTCAAAGCAAACTCCAATGCAATAGACCAGTAATACTAGCAAAATTAAAGAGACACACTTCCAGCAATACATTACAGTTCAGGAAGTTCTTTCTACGTCATATCGAACAAAATATCAAGGAGAGACTCAACACTGCGTAGGCTTTAAGAAGTATCTGAAGGAGTTAAAATACGAAAGCAGTGAAATTCCGTCCCTAACAACCAAGGCATCAGAAGAATAATGCTAGAGAACATTCCATTACAAATGCCAAGCGACTTCAATGCTAATATCAAGTCCTGTCAATGGAAAGAATTCTATAAGATATCAATGCATTAATCCGCAAGGAACATCTGGTTCAAAATGATACACAGCAGAATCCCTAGCAGGCAATTCCTATTCCAAAAAAAGAATAAAAGACATCGAAAATGATCAATGCGTCAGTTGTAATGAAATAGAAGATGCCAAACACCTACTGATCTCTTGCGGTAATAAGGCAATGATTTGGCAAAATATATTCAATAAGTTCCTTGGCTACCCAATCGAAATTGATACAGATAAAATATTCCAAGATCTTAAAAATCTCACACTGCCAAGATACCTCATTTACAACTTAGATGTCAAGATCAATATATTCGACTTCTTTGCAACAATTATCAGATCAATCTGTGGCGGCCGTTTCCAACAACACTTCCATGGAGCGCCTTTTGACCCTGAAAAGATTTCCAGAAAGATTACCAAAGAAATATTAAAGATCTCAAAAATGAAGAAGAAAGCTGATTAATAGTTAATACAAAATGACAATTATATGGTAAGTCACTTCACTCTGTGTACACTTGATCAACCTCCCAATGTTTTTGTTTTTATAAATAAAATTTCATTCAATACAAAAAAAAAAAAAAAAAAAGACATTCGAGAGAAACGATGAACTAAAAGTGTCTGAAAGAGAAGAGCTATCAAAAAAGTGTATTACCAAAACTGGTAGGAATAAACAAGGAATATCAAATGGTGTAAAGAAAGCAGCATGTTTAATATGAAGATAGTGAGCTATCCTTCAAAAATGTATTTTCTGTTTTTGAGCTGTATCGTACATTTTTTATAGTAGTTTTGCAAATTCAACTGTTTGAGTGTGTTTTGTAAACCTAGAGGAGAAATTCGTACTAAAACGTGTTATGTCTAAAATGTCTCCATCGCTCACCAATCGCAAAATAGTGAAAAATGAAGATTTCGTAAAAGGGATCATAAGGGTAAAATGTCGATTTTTTAGATTTTTCAGACCTTGCATAATCATGTTCTTTTATGTATGCTCAAACACAAGAAACTCAAAAAAAGGGAATTAGAAGGCAGAAATAATAGTTTATGTTGAAAAAACACTCGCGTTGGTAGCAGGCTGCCAATACACTTTTGGTGCTATTATGCTTATCAATTTTATTCAAAAATGAGTTGTAAGGAACGTCAGGTTATAAATTAAGATTGTATAACATGTTTGATGCTCAAAAAAAGGCACAAATTGAGGATCGAAAGCATATTAAGTGTGTAAGGTGCCAAATGGAATCAAAAGTTATTGGGTAGTTATTAGGTATGTATGTTTTTAATTATATGGATATCTTCTGGGATGAATGAATTATTTCCTCCTTACGTTACTTGAATGACAACTTAAGCTTAAATTTCAATACTCTGCAATTCGCTCCTTGAAAGAAAAAGAGATCAAAATGTATCGCATTCAAGAAAGAGTTTGACGCATGGAACATTTTCGCTTTGAGTAACTTCTATATTTTAAAATACGATCCTATGAGATTGCCACACAAACAAATTGTTTCTTTGGAATTGTAAATGAAATTGAACCAAACGCTTGGCACTTTTTCTTTCTTGATGGCATAGAATTAAAGCATGACGCCTAAAGAGCTACTAAATGACGATCATGTTTGAAAACGCTTATCGTACAAACAGCGAGACATAAAGGCCAATAAAGGTCTTTACTCAACAAAGAAGTTTTAGCACAGTTTCCTTAATCTAAAATAGCTTTCTATAGTCAATTGGACACAATGCAAGACAGAAATACGATAAACATTGGCTTTTGTTCTCATAGTAAGACTGTTATTGCCTAATTGATACTTTTTTCACTGTATTTTATTGGTTTTTGTGAATGTATTTGTTTAACACAATTCTCGTGACAGGACATTGATTCTGCTCGTTATCAATTGTTTCACTCTCCTGATAACCTCTTGTTTTTTTATAAAATGTTATCTTGTCAATTAAGACCAAAGATTTAGTAAACTTTAAATTTGACTTGATCAAGATCTTGTTTGTTAACATTTGATTCTATTTGCTCCCGTCAAACTATTAAGAACAGCATGAATATCTACATCATAATGACACTCTTTCTTATAATTGAACTATGCTCTAATCAAAGCATATCTCAATAAAGAAATAAATGTAACAGATCATCATCCATAGACACGCCCTTCATTTTATTTTTGGACAGATCCTTCCGTTTGTTTTCGGATAGGGTCTTTTATTGGTCAAGCTCAAGCTTCAATACAAGTTTCTTGCGCGTAGTAAGAAGAACAACACCAATTGAGTTTCAAGTCCTATGTGTAACTAAGCCTGAGTGCGCGAGAAAAAAAAAAAAGATCTTCACAAAAGCCTATATAAGGAAACTATTAGAGTTTGTCTTGTCACATGCACTTGAAGTTGTTCTTCAGAGCCAATGGTAAAGAAGCCGTTTCTGATCCACAGTGTCATTCGCTATGAGAAACAAAAATGACAAAGCATACCTGTGATGTTTGATTGTATACCAATGTGCTAAAAAAAATTAAATACGGTATTATTATGTGAAAATAATCATTCAGTGCACAATAAAACTTCTTGTCGAATCTCAAAAAAAAAGAGACTACACATGAACATCTACTGTCTCTTTACTTATTTGGATTCGCACGTAATATCCATAAGTGTAACAATAAAAAGAAGAGGCCCAGGTTCCCTTTCTTATCTCTATAAAATTCTATCTTACTCTCTTACAAAGAAAAAAGAAGAGAAGGGTGTATCACATCTGTTCACGATGATTTATTTCTGTAACAAAAGATCAAGGGATTAAAGTATGAGTGGTACAATGACAAAATTCATTGCCTATAGTAGTTTCCCAGTGGAAGAAGCAAGGTAATTAGATGCTCAGAATAATAATAATAAAGAAGCAATAGTGATACAGCTGATAAACAAACACTGATAAAGTTCTTCTCTCTTTCTTTATCTTTCTATTGTTGCATGATCAACAGCAGTTTTTTTTTCAAACGGAGACCTGATCTTTCTATCTGCAAAAGCATTGACATAGAACAAATAATGGCTTGTTAGTATAATTTCGTTAAAAAAGAAGATTGAGTTTTAACAAGATAGTATTTTGTGTTCCTGTATACAACCTCTCTTTCTCTTTCTCTCTCTCTCTCTTTTCTTTGATCTTACTCTTTCTGTTTTTATATTTCTTTACCAAACCGAAAAAGAAAACCGAAATGATTCCCACGAAAAAAAAATAAACAGATATCTTTCTAGATAACTTGTGTTTTACTTGATAGTCACACAAAAAGATTGCTCGATTTGGTTTTGCACATGACTAAAGTTCAACTGAAAAAAACCAAATAAGGCATCGACGTTTTATTATAGCAAAGTTCGCTTTATTGCTCCTTATCAATAGAATAAGCAGAACAATAGACATAGAAAGAAAGTGGCACAGAGTCACTTGTGTACACACTCATTTCTTAAAAAAGTGAGCATGAGTGATTTATTTATTTTTTATGATGGTGAGAAACAAGCCAGAGATAGGTGGCGTCTTACTTTATATAAATAGAGGCTTGAATGATAGATCAAAAACTTCATTTCCTTCTCTTTCTTTCTTTCTTTTTTTCTTTTCTTTTTCATATCTACATACAAAATGTCCTTGGACGAGAAAGGTGGACAATTTATAACAGAAACACATGTTACAACCACAACTACAAGTCAAGAAAAGGGAGCCTTCTATCAGGCTGTTACTACTCGATACAGTAAAGTAGATCCGCATTCGTATTTACGCCAAGACGGTGAAAGTGCCAGGCATTTTTGGTTTCGTCGTCTCGGTCAAATTAAGCCTGTTGAACTATTATGGGGAGATGCAGAACACTCTGAATTAAAGCGTGCTTTATCTGCTTTCCAGTTGATCTTTGTGGGTATCGGTGCCATTATTGGTACTGGTATTTTTGTACTTTCAGGCCTAGCAGCTGCTAAAAACGCTGGTCCTGCTGTTACTATCTCTTTCATTATTGCTGGTATTGCTGCTGGTAAGTAACAAAAACAAAAAGAGAGAAAGCAAGTTATTTATTTTATTTTAGGGTTTGCTGCTCTCAGTTACTCTGAAATGGCCTCTATGATTCCTGTCTCTGGTTCTGCTTATACTTACGCCTATGCTACTATGGGTGAATTTATCGCTTGGACTATCGGTTGGGATTTGATTCTTGAATACATGGTGGGTGCTGCCACTGTAGGTGTTGGTTGGTCTGGTTACTTTGTCAAATTCTTTTCGGTTGTTTCCGGTGGTCGTATCCATTTTGCAGAAAGCTGGACACAACCTACTTTAACATGGACCGAGAATCCCGCTAGTATTTCTTACACACCTGGACACTACTTTAATGTTCCCGGCTTTGTGATTATCATGATTATCACACTTATTTTGGTTGTTGGCATTCGTCAATCTGCTGTGTTTAACACCATCATTGTCTCGGTTAAGCTTGTTGTGATTCTCATCTTTATCTTTGCTCTTTGTGGTTTCATGTACAGTCCTAATTATGATCCTTACATTCCTCCCAACACCACAGGCGATTGGCACTTTTTCGGTGTACCTGGTATCTTTGCAGCTGCCACAACTGTCTTCTTCAGTTATATTGGTTTCGATATTGTGACAACAGCTGCACTTGAAGCCAAGAACCCTCAACGTGATCTTCCCATTGGTATCATTGGTAGTTTAGTGATCTCTACTGTTCTCTATATTGCTTTCTGTACCATCATGACTGGTGCTGCCAAATACACTGATTTCTTAAACTCGGCTACACCTGCTTCTGTGGCTGTTGAACAAGTCATGCTTCGTACAGGCAAGAACTTTGAATGGCTTAATATCTTGGTAGCCATTGGTGCTATTGCCGGTTTGACCTCTGTGTTGTTGATCAACTTGATGGGTCAATCCCGTGTGTTCTACTCCATGGCCCAAGATGGTCTTTTACCTTCTCTCTTTGCCAAGGTTCATCCTAAATTCAAGACACCTTGGTTAGCTCAATTGACTGTGGGTTTCATTACTGCTATCTTGTCTGCCATTTTGCCTGTTGATTTGTTGGGTAACATGACGTCTGTGGGTACACTTTTGGCTTTCTTTGTTGTTCATGCCGGTGTGATTGTCTTGAGATTCACTCGTCCTGAAGTGCCTCGTCGCTTCAAAATTCCCGGTGGAAAATACTTTTCTTTGATCTTTCCTATCATTGGTATGGGTATTTCAGTCGCATTGATTGCTGTTGCTGAAGTCACTACGATTTGGCGTCTGTTTATCTGGATGGGTATTGGTTGGGTCCTTTACTTTGGTTATGGTATTCGTCATTCTCGGTTCAGAAGAGACCCTGTAGCTCGTTTTGCTGAGGGTGAATCTAAGGTGCCTGAGGATGCTGAACATGATGAAGCTGGTATTCAAGTCCAAGAATACGAATACATTCCCAATGCTTATCTTCAAGATCCTGCCTCTCATCATGCTTAATCATCAATTTTTTTTTTTTTTGTATTTGTCATCCTCCCCTCCTCCTCCTCTCTCTCTCTCTCTCTCTCTCTCTCTCTCTCTCTCTCTCTCTCTCTCTCTCTTTTTTTTTCTTTAATGCTATAATATTTATAATAAAAATCATCACCTAGTTTATTATTACAAGATATAAAAATACATAGCATTTGTCTAAATCTTAAACCCCAAATTGCGCATACAAGTAAGGTGGGCTTGAATTAATTCTTGACAGTTTTCTTCACCTTTTTGAAAGATACATTCGTCTCTCACTTTCTTTGTTTCAGGACAAGCACAACAAGGCTTTAATGGTTTTCCATCTTTTCCAATAGGAAGTTGACCAGAATGTGTTGATGTTGTTTTTGTAGGTTCCGACATAATAAAGAAAAAAAGAAAGAAAAAGAAAGCTAGGGATTCGCGAAATCCGTAGTCTGTCAAAGAAAAATGAGATGACTGTGACTGACTTGCTTAATTTGGATCTACTTACAGTATTTTCACTTTAAATTCAGACGATGTTAGTTTTTTTCTAGACGAATCAAAATTAATCTTTAAACTTTTAGTTTACCTTTTTTGGACAAAACGAAAAAGGAAATTAGACAGATTCAACATTTTGCCTTTGTCGAAGATGACGACTTTCAAGGTTCCATTTCCTTTCCTAAACGTGAAAGAAAACAAGGCAACTTACCTAGTACACGTGAGCTTAATCAAAAATGACTTGAGGATGAACAAAAAGAAGTTGTCCCTGAAGGCTGAGCTTTTTTTCCTTTAGATACCAGCGAGAAATTTCATTCTCGAGAATCAATCGAATTGTCTATGATTGGGCAAAAAAAATTGTTTCTTACCTGTAAATCCAGCAGTCGTTCTAAGGACATCAAGCCTAATCCAAATGCGAAAAGGCAACATACATCCTTCAAAACTGACCGTCCTTTCATCATCAGAATCAAGTTGTTATCGTTTCCGTAATTGATCTATTAGTTACACTCTACCATCAAGGATGTTACTGAAACAAGTTAAGAAACACCCGTGGACTTTCTTGAATTTTCTTTGGGACCATGGTCCCTAAGAGACTTGTACTTTCAATGACCATTACTCTGCTCCTTTGTGTTTTTGGGTATTTTTGATTCTGATTCCTTAATAGTATGCATTTGTCTATTAGCTATTCAAGAACTGTCTGATTTCCATTGGAAAGGATGTCTAGAAATTAGTTTTGCTTCTTACAAAAAAAAAGAGATAACATCTTCTAATTCTAAAAGAGTGGAAAAAAACATTGTCTATTGCTATAGTTGATATCATGCTTGAGTTGAAATGAACCTATCTCTATTTTTAAACAAAGACACTCGTTCCTCGAGTCTGATTGGTCGAAGGAATAATATAAATACTGAAAAATTTTTTTTCTTTTAAAGCGATCTCTTTTTTTTTTTACTTTCGATCTGTCATGGTGATGAAGAAGAACTCTGGCTATTCAAAAAAGAGGTTAAAAGAGCATTTGTCACCTAGTTTACATGATCCTGTTGATTTGTTGAGTCACATTGATGTATCAAAATATAAAGATAATCGAGGTAAAATTATGCAATGAATGCTTGGACTGTATTGACTGTATAGAATAGACTTGCATGAGGACCAACATGTATTCATGGTAAGTAATATTCTAAAAGTAGTATGATGGACTCATATTTGTACAGAAATTACTAGAGGCAATTAATATGCGAGCAAGCCATATAGCTCAAACATATCCTGATTTTCCTTCATTGGATTTATCAGCGCTTTACTGCATGGGCATTATGGTACAAGAATATGTGCGCTACTTGAATTCAGATATCCTGATAGATAAACAAAGACTCGAGAATAGACCTACATTGAACAGTCTTTTGCCTGAATCACCAGATACATTGAAAAAGACAGTTATGTCAGCCAGAAATATAGAGCAAGATACCAGTGGAAAAGAAAGAAAGAAACGAGCTTATTCAACCTATCGAACAGACACTATTACCCACCAAGAATCAGAATACGATCATATCTTTCGACAACCCGAATGGAAACCTCTTTTGCATAAAAAGAATCCCGAAGCAGAACAAAAAGCAGCTCATCTACGCCGAGAAAGATCAAAACAACAAAGACAAATCAAACCATTAGAGCAAAAGATACCCGCCATTCAGCATATAGAAAAACCTTTAGACATATTCGATAACCAAGCATCCTCTCATAAATCACATAAAAAAAGAAAAAGATTAAAGACAGATCATTTTCAATAAATAGAACTTATGCGGGCATCCAAATTCTTTTTTTTTTTTTCTCTCTCTTTCACTTTTTTTTTTTATAAACTATGTCACTTGTACAGTGTATACAAGATCAAGGTCCTTATTTCAGGAAACTAAAGAACGATCTTCAACATGGAGCTACTGTCCATACCGAACTGATAGACACAAGAAATGACATCAAACAACTATCCGATGCTATTGAAAAAAAGAAGCAAGAGATCAGCGCACTGGAACAAAACTCGTAAGTTTAAACAAGAGATACAAGCCTATTGATAAACTAGAAAAAAAGAGTTCCAAGATGTTCGTAAAATGCGCCATTTGTCTTTTCGTTCAGCAGCAGCTACTATTTCTGGCAAAAAGAAAGAATTGACAGCTAAAGAAGAAGCGAAATATCAACTCGCATTTGAGAATGAACAGCGATCAAAACGAGATATGGAAGAATTGCAACTTGCTTATGACGCTCTAGTGACAAAAGTAAGTAGGAATGGTGTCTACAGAAGGCTAAGTCGATTTAGGAACAAGAACTGGCTCATCAAAAGCAACATTTTGAAGATGTTCGATTTCAATATGAATCCTTGTTACAACAGGCAAGTCTTATTTAGATCACGTGTTTATTAACCTATTATGACTTAGATTTTTGCACAGGAAGATGCTCAGTTTCCTCGAGAGCAACAGTTACGTGCTGAATTAGCCAATTACAATGACCAAAGACGCATGGTAAGGAAGAAACTGGATCATGCCCATCTCACTCTCTTATAGGCAAAAAGAGATACCAATCGATTTAAGACTGCTGAAAAAGCATTATCAGATGCACTAGTCGATATCAAAAAAGCCATTCGCATTATAGACACAGTAGTGAATTATATGCCATTTGAATTCTTTGGTGGACCCGTAATTGATCAAGAACAAATCACTTATCTAGAAGGTAAAAGAAGAAAAAAAAGGGAAGGGAATGAAAGTAAGGTAAACTAACTTTCTATAGCTGCCAAAAGAAAAATATGGCAAATTCAACAACATTTTAACCTGACTCGTACTGAATTACCCGAGATTCCTTATCCTCAAGCATTAGATGTTGTCACAAACAATACATTGCTGTCGATGCAATTCAATGCGAGTTATGTTGAATTAGCTTGGAAAGGTAAAGTCAATATCAACACAATAGAGAAACTAACTTATGTTTATAGCAAAAGCATCTCAATGTTTTGGTGTATTGGCTTCTGGTTATCGAAATGCACAGACATCACTGAATTGGGTTAAACAATACAAGGAGTATGCAACAGGTGCACTCATTCGATTAGAAGAAGCCATTAACCAGATGAAGAAGACATTAGAAGAAGAACGCTGTCAAATTATTGAACATGTATTGGCGGGTGATCAAATGCCTGTTACACATACTTCTTTACCACCACCTCCAGTGTATGAAGCACCTCCTTCTGATCCTCAACATTTGGATTTGCCTGAAGTACCTGATAATATGCCTGTTGCTTCACCTACTCTGTCACTAATTGACCATTCAACCGAGTCTGCTTTGCTTGACTCTTCTCAGCCTAGTCATAACAGCTCCTATGTATCTCATAATGTAAATAATCCATTTAATAAACAATAATACAAGGTTTTATTTTAGTTAATATTTTTAATTAATAATATCATCATTAAGCAGAAGGATCTAGTCAAACATCAGTTAAATGGACACATAGTATGATCATGTCAACTTACAGCCAATCACACCACAGGCCCAGCGTTCACCAGAATTGCCTGTCGTATTCGATAAAGGAGAACCACCTAAACCAAGATCATCTTGACCCGAATGAACAACCACAGCACGACTATTTTAAATGAGACATTGGTTTATGTTTTCTTCCTTCTTACCCAATCACAGAGTATTTGCCACTCAAGAAGATAAGATCGCTTGAGACATTTAAGAAGGCTTGACCAGCTTGATCAGCCACTATATTACCAAGATCACCCACATGTCTTTCCTTGTTATCAAGGCCACCATGGGTTCGATTGAACGGGTTGTAGTGAGCACCTGTTGTAGCACAACCACCCGAGAGATCACCGGATTGATGGATATGAATACCATGGTCACCTTCTGTCAAACCAGTGATATTGGCAAAAATATGAGTAGGCGTATGACGGTCTTGTTGACTGAATTGGATAGTACCATGAATAGTACCATTGGTGTTAGGGTTAATACCAGTGACATAAGCAGTGGCATGCATAGGTTCAGCACAACTGACAATAGAGGCAAGAAAAGCAAGTACAGTAAGACCAGAGAAATACATTGTATGGAATAAATAAATAAATAAATAAAGAAAAAAAAGTTGATTTATTTATACTCTTTTGGCAGGTTGGGTTTTGGCAGGTTGGGTTTTGGCTGGTTGGATTTTGGCTGGTTGATTGTCTGTTATGCGCATCTGTGTCACTTGACGTTCTCTTTAGGTTGGGCTGTGGTAAAATATTGAGCCATGTAAAATAGAAGATAGAGATTTGATCAGATAAAAAAGAGATTTTCATGAGGAGTTTACATTCAAATCAAGCTAAAAAAAAAAAAAAAAGATCTGATAAGTCTCTTTTTTTTTTTTTTTTTTTTATTCAAACATCTTGTATAATCTGAACAGATCATCAAACGTCACACCAATTTTGAACAGGTAAACATGACAAGTATTTACAATTTGGACAAATCTATAATTAAATATTGATATAAATGGTCATTTTAAAAAAAAAAAAAAAAAAAAAAAAAAAAAAAAAAAAGAGGTGGTACTTACTTTGCTGGGATCATAGGCTGAGTAAAATTCACGAACCAAAAGTGCAAAGAAAACAACAAGAATTACCAAAGCCACACAGCGCATCACCCATGTTACGACTTGTGTACTTCTGGTAGCCATAGGCTGCATGGGTGCAATGGTGATACCTAAGAAAAAGCCAACCACAAATCCGCCTAGGTGCAAACAATCAATGACAGCATGGTAAAACAGGATAGCTTACCAATATGAGCAAAATTATCAAGACCAGGCAATAACCCCAACACAAGCGAAATAAGCGTTGAGATAAACAGTCCAAATAAATCTTGCCAGGGATGACTCAGCATCCGCCAATGGACCAAAATATCGATAAACATATAACCAATCAAACCAAACAATGCGCCTGAACATCCTGTGGATACTGTCAAGTTTTGAGACAACATAGCCGAGAGCAGGAACCCGCCAATCCCTGAAGCCATATACAACACCACATAGCGCGGTGTACCCAAGGCTCTTTCGAGGTCTACACCTAATCTTAAATGGGTCAACATGTTGATCAAGAAATGAATCACACCAGCATGCATAAAAATAGGCAAAATCAAGCGAAAGTTCTGATCGGGTGTCTCAAACCCACCGAACCCACACATCTCTTTGACTGTACATGTTTGATTCGATGTGTAGCAATCACTGATGACAGTTGAAGTCGGGAAACTAGGTACATCTCTGATACAAGGTGTAAATCGACCTCCTACATTGACCAAGACCTATTGACTGTGATTATTGGATGCCGAGATATGGCCTATGTACTTGCCTGAAAACTAGGTCCAATCATATAATTAAATGGGTTTGTTTCAATAATATCGCCTGTCAGTTGATGAAAACGAACAAACTCATAAATCAAAACGCCCGCCATCACAAGTGCAGAAAGTTGGCTAAAGATAGGCACCCGAATTGGGCCAATCAACATGCGCAACCATAAAGGACGATTGAATCCGCGAGGACCTTCTGCGATCACTAAAGGTGCTACGGGTGGAGCACCGTAATAAGGTTGTGCACCATAGGGTGGTGCTCCATAAGGTGGTGCTCCATAATGATAATAAGGTTGAGGTGGTGGTGGTGGTGTAGCAGCATAAGGACCTGACGGAGGTGAAAAATAACCTTGTTGCTGTGGATGCTGTGGCACTGGTGAAGAAGAAGGGGAGAAAGGATCATTGCTGGGTAGTTTTTGAAACCCTCCAGTGCCTCGGGGCTGTAATTCATGAGCATCGTCGTGTGCTGGTACAGGTGGTGGTGAAGGAGACATGATGTTGAGATTAAACAATTACAAATGGAATCAAGATGATGAATGACCTCTTCTTTTTTTTAAGAAAACAGGGCAAGCAAAGAAAGGGAGGGAGAGAGTTTCAATGCTATAGAAGAACAAAAGAAAGAAAAAGAAATACTCTATGAAAAAAAAGGGGATCGAGAAGGTGCTTTAGCTTGTAAAGGAGGAAGGAGCGAATAACCTGTGCCAAGGTTTAACGTCAAATGAGTGTTGCACAAGCACTAATTTCTTCAAAGACTCCATGATGAATAACTGCAGTTGACAGTAAAAAATAATAATAACTCTCTTCATAGGCATGCATACTTCAATTTAATCTATCGTTCGTAGACAGAAAAAGAGAGGGTATGATCATTCACCGTTCAACTGCCAAAATGAACCCTAATTCAATAAGCCTAGCATGGACCTTTTTGTTTCAGCGAGAGAGAGAGAGAGAGAGAGAGACATACTGCAGTACATTGTTGTGCTACATTTTGAATAGTTTGCATAAAACATTCTATTGTATTTTTCAAGTGTGTGTATGGGAGGGTAAAAAATTGCATAGAGACTGTTGCGGTACATTATTTTGCTTTCATATGTATGCACTGAAGTTCTGTCACCTCTTTCTCAGCCTTGGATAAATCAGTCTGTCTTTCAGGCAAAACATTCTGTTTAAGATGATTTGAGTACTGAAAAGAAACGTTGGGCAATACCAAGGATCGACGATGATAAGTCACTGGTTTAGGTAGCAGTCAGGCAAATATCAGCTTCTCTAGGAACCAAAGTGCATCATTAAAAAATCAATATCGTATTGAAGTAGAACCATGAGTTTGCGATAAAAAAAAAACATACATATACTGCACCGTATAAAAAAAGTAATAAACGTTCTGAACCACAAACTTACATTGCTGTATACAAAAAAAGAAAATGTGTATATGTGCCCATCTACACCTAAGACAGTCGTCCGTGAATGAGAATCATTGAATTTATGTTTTCTCAAGTAAATCAATGGCATAGAAGTATGGGTAAAGATAGAACAAATGACACTTGCTATAAGAAGACTATAGACCAAATCATACAGCCTTAGTTTATTTAAATGTCGAATGACTTGATATGCTATAGTCTGGCTGGTGGATATTCGGTTCATAAAAATACAAATACTAAAAGATAAGAAAGAAAAAAAAGTTGATATACTTTAAAACTTGGCGTAAATGAAGATGTTTTGAGTTGAATTAATATTTTCATGTCAAAAACTAAAATAAGAAATTCAAGAGAAATGATGGACTAAAAGTGTTTAAAAATAAAGAGCTATCAAAAAGGTATATTAGCAAAGTTGGTATATACAAATAAGACGCATCTAATGATGTAAAGAATGCAACATGTTTAATATTAAGATAGTGAGCTATCATTCAAAAACTTGTTTTTCGTTTTTGAGCTGTAGCATACATTTTGAATGTGTTTTATAAACCCAGAAGGACAATTTGTACTAATACATGTTATATTTACAACGTCTCTATCGATCATCAATCAAAAAATAATGAAAATTGAGTATTTCTTCAGGAAATCTCATAAGGACAAGATGATGATTTTCAGAATTTGCTATATTTTTGCATAAATAGATTCTATGTATACTCAAACATGGTTTATTCCGAAAAACAATAGCGTCTGCAGCGGGCTGCCAAATTTATTCGAGAAAGAAAAGTAGTTTATGTTGGAGTTCTGTTTAAGAAATTCAGGCTGTGATTCAAGATCGCAAAATAAGTTTGATGCTCAAAAAAAGGCGTAAATTGATGACAAAAGCATATTAAGTGTATAATGTGCAAATGAAATAATCGAAAATCCTCTTCCATCAATTTACCAGTAGACTCAAAGCAGAGCAAAGAGGACGAGGGGATACATAGTATCTTCTCCAGGGAAATCATGGCTGAAATGGAAGAAACTCTCTCAACTAAGATGTCAGTCTGCAGTACAAAAGCAGTTCAATTGGGCTATAAAATTGAGGAAATAAGGAAGCATGCCAACTAGAATCAATTAGCAAATACATTGGAAAGATTCTTTTTTAACCCTTCAAGACCAAAACAGCAGCAAAATCATGACATTAATTTTTTCTGATACTGCAAATAATACCACATCTGAATTCAACAAAAGGTTACATCGAATTATATCTTTTGTAACCGACAATATCTACCAACCAGACTGTATCAAAAGTGTCTCTAGAAAGGTGATTCATTTTTTTAAAAAAAAAAAAATGTAACACTAAGCATAATTGTTATTGTTCACCTAGTCCAAAAAACATTATGACTCTAAGCAGATCAAGCAAACATGAAACAGTCAGATTTTTTTTTATTGTTATTTTCTTTTAATCCATGTCTTTTATACGTGTATTTCGATTTTATGCATCAAGAAATGCACACTGTAACTATACAAACAAGACCCTTGTCGGGGCTCACAATCTTCAATACAGAATAATCTCACGGCGTAACTCATTTCTTTTCAGGTCTTTTAGTCAAGTTACTATGCATCCCCTTGACGATTCTTCAGTTGAAAATTTCTCTATTCCCGGTGCTCAAGTATTTGATAGATACTTTGAGTGTCCCTTGGGTAAGTATTGAGTATTTATTCACGTGTCCTGATACATATAGAAAAGACTATGATAATGATAAAAGCCCTAAGCTCAAGATCTTTGTGCGTCACTTGGTTCCTATAGAAAAAGCTTCTCTTATGAAGAAAATGCCTTTCTTTCTCTATCTTCAGGTAAAACAAGAAAAAATTGGCTTATGTTGTAACCAACACGCTATGAGAGAATAGGGTGGACCAGGTTTCGAATGTGCTTTGCCTAGTAGTGGCACAAGTGGATGGATTAAAGTAGCATTCGAAAAAGGCTTTCAAGTTCTTTTACTTGATCAACGCGGTACAGGCTTCTCATCACAAATTTCTTCTGAGTCCCTTGATAAACTGTTCAAATCAGATGAAGAAAAAGCCGAGTATTTGACTCATTTCCGTGCAGATAATATCGTACGAGACTGTGAGCATATTCGCAAGTTATTGACAGCTGAACGGTCTGCAGAAGAAGAAAGTCGCATTACTTTATTAGGCCAAAGTTTTGGAGGTTTTTGTATTACGACTTATTTATCTTTATTGTAAGTTACTCTTGTATGATCTGAACTCTCATCAATACATTAGCCCTGAATCCATTCGACATGCTTATATTACAGGTGGTGTTCCTCCTCTTGTCAATAATCCAGATCAAGTCTACCGAGCATTGTATCCTCGTATTGCTAAAAAGAACAAGCTTTATTATCAAAAGTTTCCTCGCGATATGGCTCGGGTTCGTCAAATTGTCGAGCATTTGACACAGAACAAGGTCGGTTTGCCTAATGGAGGTTATCTTTCTGTTCGTCGTTTCTTGCAGTTAGGTTTAAGCTTTGGTGGTTCAGGCGGATATGATGCTGTGCATGGTATTGTTCAATCTGCTGCAGAAGACTTGGACCGTCTTGGTCAACTTAGTTATCGTACACTGAATGCTGTTCAAACCACACAGAGTTGGGATACCAATGTGATTTATGCTGTTTTGCATGAAGCCATCTATTGTCAAGCAAATCAATCCAGTCGCTGGTCTGCTGAAAGACTATTGAAAGAAGAGCCTTTTGCTAGTCAATTTGAACATCGTCTTGATTGTCTGTCCAAGGATCAAGTCATGTACTTTACGGGTGAAACTATCTATCCTTTCATGTTTGATGATTATGCAGAGCTGCGTCCTCTTAAACAAGTAGCCCATTTGTTGGCTGAAAAGCGATGGGGTGCTTTGTACGATACAAATGCCTTGAATCAATTGAAAGGACCCCAAGTAGCAGGCGTTAGTTACTTTGATGACATGTAAGCCATTCAAACACAATGACAAAATTAACCTTATTTTGGGTAGGTATGTGGATAGAGAACTCTCGGAACAAACAGCAAGTGAAATCAAAGGCTTTCAACAATGGATCACAAATGAATATGCTCACAAGTAAGAATTGTCCATCTATATAGTTTTTTACTCATATATCTCTATATAGTGGCCTTCGTGTTGATGGTGAAAGAATCCTCAATTATCTGATGAGACTTGCTAGAGGCGATGAAAGCTTCAATCGATAAAAAAAAATTAAACCTTCCTTTTGTCCAATTCTTTTTGCGTATGGTGTATGTCTGCGTGTGTGTGTGTGTGTGTGTGTGTGTGTATATTTGACATGGTCGTCTTTACAAGCAATTTATTAAAGATAGTGATATAAAGAGCTTAGAAAACAAGAGCAGCACCTTTGGTCTTTTTGTCACCACCCAATTCAAAGTGCTTACATCTCTTGATAGCAAGTTGCATCTTGTACTTGCAAGCTATAATACGAATTAGTTATTGCGAACTTGACTTATTCAATACTTACAGGTACATTCGAGACGGAGGACAATCTTCTTGGTAGTCTTAGCCTTCTTGTGGAAAACGGGCTTGGTTTGACCACCATAACCGGATTGCTTACGGTCATAACGTCTCTTACCTTGGGCGAAGAGAGAAGCCTTACCAGCCTTGTATTGGGTGACCTTGTGAGGAGTGTGCTTTCTACACTTGGAGCCCTTGCAGTAGGTGTTACGGGTCTTGGGAATGTTGACCTAAAATAGTCATCAGCAACATGTTCATGGTTGCATACAAGAAAAAGAAAAAAAAACGCGATGTCATCCACATTTCATGTCTCATTGAATATTCAATACTTGATTGATTCAAAGTCGAACAAAGTATAAATTGGATGCATCAAAATCTATAGACGAAAAAGGCTGCGCGTTTCTTCTTTTTTGTTGTTGCTTCAAAAGAGTTGGATGGATGGTTGACCTACCATGTTTAATTCAACTGTATGCCAAAAGAGAAAGGTCTAACTAAGGCAGTTGATTCCTATTCTTTAATGCTCACTGTGCTTGCTTCCATTGGGTTCCGGGTCGAACGAGCGGCGATTCAACTATGATTTGCATGATCAGCAATTTTTAGGTCTATATACAAATGAAGCTCAAGATAACTCAATTTTAAAGAGCTTGTTTCTATTGATAAGTCAAGCCGAATGACTCTTATTAAGCAAGCCACCCGGTTTTTTCTTGAGCATATGATAGACGAATGCTTAAGGGAATCATTCCATACTATTTTTAAAACTACACTTATATTTATTGTCAATATGTTGCATGAACCCTATTTAAGCTTGTAACTCAGGTAGACTATCTATAATAAACGCTATGTTGAACATGTATCGCTAAGGAGGGGATATGATGAGAGTTAGAGTGTGCTAATTGACCTTGAATCTGACATAGCAATACTCAACGTATGTACTACAATGGAAAATATGGAGAATTTATTTGTGAAATCTGATTCTGGAAAAATGAAGAATAAATTTGGTTATTTCTGAAAAAAGCGGCTAATTTTGCTGGTAAATAGAAGGCACCATTCTCCTTTCTGTTTCGGATAAGTATTTTTATTGTGATTATAGCCTTAAGTAAGTGAATATCAACAAGTTAAAGGACTCATTTAGTGGTCTTGACTAAATACGAATCGCATGAAGTATTTATGATATCAAGGTTTATTATGTATTAAATGGTTAGCACCTGGCTTTGTGTAAAATGTGTTAATAGAAAAAAATCCTTTGGTATAATTAACAAATGAAGGCAATAAATGTATGTATGTGTATATATATAGCATTAAAGTGACATTTTCTCTCTTTAAAAGAAGGGAAACTTGATCATAGTGTGCTCAGGAGTGAACAAGAGAGCACACATAACGTACCAAGCAGTAAGGGACAATGTAAATGAGACCCAACCACTTGCAAGATTAAAACCATGAATACCAGATAATCCAGCAATACCGCCAAACAAGAAGGCCAAGAAAACTTGTAAAAGAACAAGACGAATAAGGATAGGTTGACGCAAAGTACCAAGCAAGAACAAGAAAGCGGCAATGGCATAACCAACTTGAACAAGGCCCATACATAACTCAACTGTCTTAAGTCCACCATTGGCCATAGCAAATTCAAAGAAGCCTGAGCTAGGAATCATCATAATACCATATGTAAGGAAGAAACCAGAGAATGTCAACATGGATGTAGCAGCAAACATGTTTCCAAGAACTAATTCACAAATACCACAGATGAATTGACCCATAGCACCATAACCGAAAGCAACACCCACAGCAACTTGTGGTAAATTAACAATGAGGCCAGTATTGTATAGACCAAGGACAAATGAACACAAGGCGAATGCACCGAAACCAATAGGAGCTGGTTGGAACTTGGAAAGACCATTTGGAAGCAATGTGTTTACATGCATTTGAGCAGCAGTTTGAGTGATAGCCTTTTCAGCGTCATAGTTGGAGTCACTGTGATGGCTCATATCAACATTAACAGCCTCATGGTGTTGGATGTCAGGCTTTTGATCGATAGAAGAAGTCATTATATTAAATATGAGGAGTGGGTTTGACAGACAATATGTTTTTTTGGCCTAGTATTTATACAAAATCTGACAGTTCAAAATATAGACCAACCATTCACATGGTCACGTTTTTTATTGCTCTTTGTCTAACAAGTACTTTCCAAAAGAGTTCTAAAAGGAAAGTAGCACAACTAGCTTTCCCCACATTTTTTCAGATCGTAAACATCAGGGTTTCATTATTACTGTTAAGCGAAATGCTTGTTTATTTCCCAAGGAATCATGAAATATCTCTCGATATAGACATAATATTCATAGAAGGCATCTCTATATTCAGTTAATTTCTACTTTTTTTTGTGCTAAATAGAGAATGAAACCTGTCAACTTTCAGAATCATATATAAATGAATGCCCAGTGTAACAAATTTAAAAATATACACTTACTGCGATTTCTTGGATGACTTTTTGTATCATTGTGAGACAATTAAGGCTTGAATTTGTATGTAACAATCTTAGCCTTGCCCAATTAAACCTTTAGCATGATATTTTAATTTGGGTCTACAAGAAAATCTCTGTTTTTCCCATGCCTTCGTAATTTTGACCTGAAAGGGATTGAGTCTTAAAAAAGTAAATAGACCCTCTATTAGTTTAATTTTTCCTCAATCTCACACTTATTCAAAAGTTAGATTTTCAGGATAGCGTGTAATACACAGTTTGATTAAAGTTAATCCAGAAAATGAAGCATATACGTCACAAAATAGACAATTACCCTCTTCCCCGAAGATTCTGATTTAGGAGATGATAAGGCAATCTCAACCCAAGCGGGCCTTATATTGCCGAAAACACTCACAAGCATATTGTTTGATTTATTGTTTGTCATCACAAATCCCACGAGAAAGACAGTAAAAGCGCATCAAGGAGACATTTTGAGATACTTTTTTTTTCACTGTTTATTTCTTGAGCCCGCATACTTGGGTTTCTAATGTTTCTTTTTCTCATCAACTCTATAAAAGGCGATTTTCCCAGTAGGATTGCTTTGTTGGAGAGGTGGATTCGACCACAGAACGAGTCTGTTGTTTTCTAAGTTGGGGTAAATGGCCATTCTTTTTTTTTTGGGAAGAATCGTTTGAAGTGATGGAAGAGGTCTAGGTGTTCAGGAACACATGATTCATAAATCTGTAATTTTGATCAAATATTTATTGAGAGAAAACTCGCTATTACTTGGCAGTACACATAATGAAGTCATTGTTTCATGAAGACCATGAGCTAGTTTTTGGTCTTGATAAACTCAATATGACATTTATCTATGAGAGCAAGTACTTTATTGATATCAATTACATCTTCTTTTTAGTATTTATATTGAATCTTTTTTACGCTAGAGTTTGGGTCTACACATATCAATCAGTCACTTATCTCATTCACTTCGAACTTCTCTAGAAGTAATACGGGTATAAATTATAAAAAACATCAAGTGCTGAGTGAAAGACAAAATCAGGAAGACTGTAGATGAGCAGCTTTCCGTAAGTGTGAAGAATGCTCTTTGTTATGAAGTTTTGGCTGTGGGCTACGTCCTTTGCTTATGCTACAGCCCTTGAATATAAACCAACCTATAGTTGTATTAAGATGCAAAGTTCTATCCTCCTTATTTAGCCTGAAGATGCGAGAAAGCTTGTTGGTCTTGTTGGTGCACCTTTGAAATGCAAGTACATGCTACATGACTATGCCAAATATATAGAAAGCGAAAAGACAATAATAAGTAAGTTGATACTCTTCACGGAATTCTGAGTGCATGTTTGACAGTAAGAGTAAGCAAAAAAAAAAATCAGTAGCCCTCTTTTTCTTTATCTCTGTTTATGTCTGTATACATTACTATTAACTTGTCAATAAACCCTATGCTTCCATTAAAAACTTCTAAATGTCAAACTGATTCAATATGTGTCTAATCCAATCAATGTGAGCTAGAACTACACCTAAGTACCTCTGGTAAAAAGAAATCGAGTTTACTAAAATGAAAAGGTTGAATCTATTTGAGCATTGTCTTCAAATCTGTATCTAAATTTCATTGTACACTGTCAATGGTAGAAAAAGAAGGCTCTTTTTAGTAGATACTGACTAGCAAGTATACACTTGTTTCTACGCCATCCGATGTGCAAATCATAACCGAGTAGACCATATTATAGTACTTAATACTTTTGTGGTCAAAAAGAGCAGCTTTGGACATGATAAACAATAGATGTCATGCAAAAGGAGAGCTTAATGTTTCAAATACCGATTTTCTTTTTACTTTGAGTGTTAGGTGTATTCTCTGTTTTGATGAGCATTGTTTCTCTTCTTAAGGACGTTCACAAACCGTACTCACGCTTTGGTTGAGTTGAAAGAAGAAAGAAAAGGAAGAAATGAAAAGACGAACAGTTAGATATCATATGCACAAAAGCAAAGCGTCATTTCATAGAAGAGATCTATTATACAAGTAGATCCTGCAGACGGATCTCACTTGAGAGTGTTTTTGTCAATAAATGAAGAGAAACAAGCAGTGCAAAAGCACTAAATCTAGTCAAAGACATGCCTTAATTGTGAAGCAAGAAACTCTGTCATGGATCACAATAGAGGTATCATTGTAATTTATAATACAGGAGGAAAAGACATACATTTTTAAATATACAGCAACACGATACCTGTAGAGTATAGACAAAAGAGGTCCCATCGCACTTTTTAAACATAAATAGAACACAAACAAAAAAAGAAGTAAGAATTAAAAGGAGAAGGACATAAACGGAGACAAAAAAAACTCAAAGGAAACATATACCGCGAAGACTTGTTAAAGTCTCGAATGAATATTTTCAATCGGCCAAGAGAGCCAGATCTAAGATAAGCAGTTTGATCCAGTATTATATCTTGACGGAGAACCTTGTAGACACTTGGGAAGCCAATTTGAGTAGAACAGTCAATCTGTAGGTGTATTATGCATAGCTTTTGATTACATAAGCTTCAGTGTAACCTCGTATCTGAACAGCGCCAAAAAAGCAAAGCACAAAAGACACAGCTACACCGTTGGAAGACATTATACTTCCATGTCTATAGAAAAGGCGAGTAAGAATAGAAGCCTTTTGAACATTATTCATCTATCTTCGCAAAAAAGACAAGCGATAATAAAAAATTCTACAGTGTTTAAAAAAGTAACAAAATCAGAGCTGAGTGGCTTGACTAATCAATGTCATAGTGATTGTTCCCCTGATTTCATTGTAAGATGCAAAAGCAAATGATTTTTGCATTATTTTTTTACAGTGAAACTCATTGTCTTTTAACTTATATATGAAGCTTGAGATATTTCTTACTATAAATCAGTCTTCTCAACGTGTGAGTAGCTTCAAACACAGTTTCTTTAGAAGAAAATGCTTCAAGATTGCGTAAAACCTTTGTTTTTTCTTCTATATATATCAACAAACAATATGGCTAAAGCAATTAATAACTTGTAAAAAGCTTTTGAACGACAAAGATTTCTCATGAACATGTTGAACTTATTAAAAATTGATTTGTACAAAATTATTATACAAAATGCTTTTTAAAGTTTTTTTATTTTTGCTTCACGTATATTAGAACGAAAGACTGTCAATAGATGGTCGTAATTTAAAGAAATATATAGATGAGAATATATAATATTTAACTATAAACGATTATGTAAGTGTTTCTCATCAATTAAAAAGCTGAGAGTACACGAGTGGATCTAAGGGTAGTGATGAGATAAAAGGGAACATCATTAAAGCCAGTATTCCAATGAGCTTTCAGCATCTGACTTATGCCTTGGATACTATTTCTTGAGAATTTTTTGACTTTTTGAGTGTAAGGAATGAACTAGAAGTTCATAGAATAGATCACTTTCATGATATCTTCAACGGTAATGGTTGGCCACAAAGCCTCAAAATGAGTTTTTTTCCAAACATAATGTTTTGAAGGGCGTAAGAAAATTATAAGGCTGTCACTTTTAGCATAAATACCACAGATCTGGCGCAAAAAAAGGAAATTGTTCAATTGTATTCTTAAAAGCAGCTTGTAGTTTATTTACCGATACATCACATTTCTTTCCACAACGATAAGCGACAAGGCCCATATACAGAATACCTCTCGAAGATTTCTACTATTTCTTAGCATAAAGGTTCGCTAACGGTGCTCAAGAGGCGGACACAATTCATAAAGAATTATATTGAACTAATATATGTCAGAAAAATGTCGTCGGGGTTTAAATCACATCTTTTCTGTATATCCAGGTAACATTGGCCTGCCAAGCTTGCCTGCGTTTACCGATGAAGGCCGTTTTACAACCTTTAATATCCCGTTTGCTCCGTTTACCAAAAAGAATCCAATTCGTCCCAGCTCAAGCATTCATGTTATTCAATACAAATCTAAAGTCAAACCATTGAAAACATTCGCAGAATCTCCAGAATTTTTACGGTACTACCATTCCCATCACTATTGCTTGTTCCATTTGTAGACTCCATCCAATTCGCGACTCTGACCCGATAAATCACTAGGGTATCGATAAAGAAATTTCGGTTAACTTGTCAGAGTACTATGTCTGCCCCGGAGCGTCTGTGGGCCATTTCTAGCGCCTTTTGGTTTGAGTTTTGGAGCTGGTATTTGCAGCCAGTTGCTCGTACTACGATGTACCGGCTGCTTGTTACCAAACTATCCTCCAGGCAAATTCTTTATTACATAGTTCTTGTTAAATACTCCCTACCTTCTTGTTCCGTTTGCCAAAGACATTTTTTTGAAACAATCTCATTTTTGAATTTCTGTGACCTACGACCACTGTCAAAGATGTTATTCAAGCACTTGTTACACTAAACTTCTTCAGAATGGATTATTCACAAAAGAAAAGCTCAACAGTCATTGGCATTGCCATTACTGCCTTTTCGCAAGTCTGGAAAGCACACAGGAGATTTGTCATTGACAACATCTCCTTTGATACCTACTCCACTTTACAACAAACACATACCGCTTTACACCTCCTTTCAAACCAAAAGCAAGGGCATACAAGACTGTAATCCTTCTCTCACCTTTTCCTACTCATAACAGTGGCCTGCCTTTGATTCTATTAGTTTACTTGGTATAGATTACTCTTTTATTTTGAATTCTAATTGTTGTATTACTTTATATTACATTAGACTTTAGCACATATTGCTCGTCTTATTTTTAGTCAGCAAAGTCTTGACAGGTCGTACCATTTCTACAATGGCTCATAGATTTATAGTACTTGGACTATCATAATTGCATTTTTGCAAGTCCAACATGACTACTATAGAGTAGATATAAGTATTAGTTTAATTCAAATTAAATAAAGCCATCCCTATTTTATCCTAGACTTACGTTAGGGTTGGTAATTATTTTCTCAATGAACGAGTATATAAACCATTCAAATTGTTACTCAATAAAGATCAGAAGAAATATTCTCGCTTTACTTTACTTTGGCCGATTGGGTTACTTGTTAATTTACACTACTTGAAGAAAGTGATGAAAAAGCTTGGCTTCCCTTCCCCACTGATTAAATGCATTTACAAGTTAATAGGCGATAATCTTATCCGAATCAACATCAATGGACATCTCTCCTCCGAAGTTGCTAAATTATGCGGATTGAAACAGGGTGATCCTCTCTCTCCTATTCTGTATAATTTGGCTTTTGAACCTTTCTTGCTCTCCATTCTCCATGATCGTCAATTTCAAGGCTACATAATGGCTATCAAGCATTTGCACTCTGTCGAAGGTGATGAACCCTTAATTTATTTGGGTTTTCCATTGATACAAAGCCGTATTCAAAGAGTCAATTTTATGGGTTCTATGATAACAAAGGTTAAGACTGCCATACAAATCCACTCTACACGTTCATTGTCTGTTGTTGGCCGTGCCACTGTCTTGAATTCACTGATATTGTTTAAAATATGGTATATCTTGCGGGTTACTCCGTTGACGCTTGCTGATTTCAAACAATTGGAACCTTTGGCCATTCAATTCTTGCGTAAGAATATAGTTCCTGTTATTCCCTGGAAAGTATGGACGCTGCCAAAAGAAAAAGGTGGACTTGGAGTAATTGATATTCAGTTTCAGGCCTCGGCTTTATGTTTTCGCTGGCTGCATCCTTTGTTGGCGTATAATCAAGATACTATTGATGCTTATCCGGTCTCGTACTTACTTAGCCTTCATATTCATAATATCAATGACTGCAAATATCATCAGGTTCCATTGTTGTTTCCTTCTTCTCGTACACAAGAGCTGAAAAAACAAATAACTGGCACTATTAATATGCTATATCGTGCCATTGATTGTCTTCCTCGATCATTTGCTAATGCTCGCCTTAATACTGCTACCGCTATGGTCCTACCTTTGCGAGCTGTGCTTTACGTTCCTCCTTCTTCGTCCTTCGTTGTCCCCCTACGTGTCAAGAAAATAATGGAGTCAGATGTCTTTCAAGTTGATGCTAGACTCAACTTTGTTCACTGGAAAGATACTCGTGATCCTTCATTACTTCATTGGAAGCGTACTCCCTCCACAGTCTTCAAAGGTCTTGCATCTGGGAGTTTGAAACTTCAGCCATTTTTTAGCTCTGTATGTAGTCCTGCTTCACTTGAAGGCTTGACGGTCTCATTTGCACCTTTGATCAACCAATTTCGGTTTCAAGATGATCAAGGTATTGGTAGCGTCAAGGCTTCGGCTAAGACATTTCGTCAGTCAGTTCTCTCGTCTATGGCTCCTCCTTTGGCTTTGAGAAATATTACAGAAGTGAAATGGAAATTCTTTTAGTCTCTGTCTCTTACCACCATTCAACGTAATGTGACATACCAGTATATCTTGGGGTGTATTTCTCATCGTCGATTCTTACATTTTATTATGTCTCGTGTGTTTGACTCTCCCTTCTGTCCGGTGTGCTTAACTACCACTGACTCTATTAGCCATATGCTCTTTCATTGTCCAACTAAAGAGAAGGTATGGCAGGAAATCATCTTTGAGTTTCTTTGGCCTACCACCTCAATATATGATATCAAAGAGGCTCTTCTGTCCCTAAACTTCTCGTACATCTGGTACTGCCAACGGAAAGGAATCAAACCATACAGAATCCTCATAATTACTCTTTCACAAATTTGGCTTGCTCATATGAGATTTATCTTTGACAAGACCCTCATTGTACCCACGGCCATATTAGTAAGCATCCGATTCAATTTTCGTCAGACTATTCAAGAGGATCAATGCCATTCAATCATATAGCTTTTTTTTTATTTTGTTTAGTATATTTCGTTTTATTTTATTAACTTTCATTTTAATTGCACCCGCCTCTTCACTTTGACTATTGATCTTAGTGTACGCGGCTCAATCAATAAACACATTTTTAAAGAAAAAAGCTACTTGTTAGGCCGTTGGTATTGGCTTAAATACTTATTTTTGTCTATTTGACTTCCTGGATATCGACATAGGAATGTCTTTTACTTTATCATTTCTATGTGAACTCTTATCTTCTGTTTTACTTTAAACCATTTATTTAAAGGTTCGTTGCCTTAACAACGTAATGCTCATTACATACAATCGTTCCTTTGCTTTGGATTCTATTGTATAAACTTTTCCATACGTTACTGGTATAAAAATCAAGTCTTGTCTCGTATCACTGCCTATAGCTCTATACCTTTGTCCTGTTACATTGTAATGAAGACAAAAAAGAAATGACAGTTCTTTTTAGTTCGCTACATCATAAATTTCTCAAAATAAAAAATGCGTCGCCTGCAGGATTCGAACCTGCGCGCTCAAAGAGCACTGGCTTAGCAGGCCAGCTCGTTAACCACTCCGACAAAGCGACTTACATGTCAATTTTATTTTACAGTATAATATGACTAACATACTTTAAAAGCACGTGACCGCACGTGACTATAGGCACTTTTGGATGGTTTGATTGGGACTGATACTGAAATACTGACATGTTTTTGTACAGATTTTTGTAATCTTCATGTTACTTGCACACCAAGATTCGATTTTATGAATGAGTATCAAGTACCATCGAATGTAAAAGCTCCTTGAAGCATCGAATTGAGCTATAAGTGCGCGTTTGCATTAGTTTAGCGCTTATTGAGGCCCCAAGAAATGTGGTTGTGAGATACTATGAATAAAACATAAAAAAAGAACTTATTTAATCAATTTTAGCCATAGCTTGAATGATAAGGGGTACAATAAAAAAACATTCCTTAAGTTTTATTTACATCGTTTGTCTAACAAGGTGTCTAAGATGTTTGGTTCTTTTTTTTCTCTACCATTTAGTAGCTAGAGGATTCCCAAAATTTTGGGTTACAGCGTGGTATTGAGTACGTAAAAGTTGGTTAGCTCTTTCAGAACTGGGATTAATAATCCACTCACTATACAAGTCATTATGAATATCTCCTTTACCCATAAAAAAAATCACTTACTTGTAGATACTTTTGATGATTTCGTTTTCTTCTGGTTTAACACCTTGTGAAGAGCGATAAATGTTTTCTACATAATTCACCCAGTCTTTAGCATTAACTATCTGCTCTGAATCTGCTTGAGCAGGCAATTGTCCACCACCATTAGCACAGCCACCAGGGCATGCCATGACTTCGATATAGTGATAGTTACATTTTCCAGTCTTAATTTTGCGAACAATGTTTTGAATATTACGGAACCCATAAGCAGTAGCGAACCGTAACAAAATACGGCCATCATCACCTTGTAAAAAGTATTCTTTGACATCTGCATTTTTACCTGTCTTTATCATCACACGAGGTGATGCCATATTCAAAGGGTCATTGGGTACATCATGGATATTAAATAATTCACGAGCTGCGGTCGCAAAAATGTACTCTAGAGCACCTCCTGAAGATGAACCGGGTACACCATATGCTGTTTCCATTTGAGTTGTAGGATCAATACCAACTTTGTTGAACATATCATCAATTGGACTTTCAGTCAACTGGGTAAAATCCAAGTTGTGTTCAATAACCATCTTGTCAATTTCGCTTGTTGTCAAAACACAGTCGACTTCCCTTGTATTATATTGTTCTAGAAAGAAATCGGGTCTACTGGCCTCCAGCTTTTTGTCATAACATGGCATGATGGAAACATGATAAATCTGATTAGGTCTGAAAAAACAAATAAGTACATACTCCCTATCATTTTAGAGCTACTTACGTTAGCCCAGTCTTCTTTGCAAAGTAGTCTTTAACAAGTGATCCCATCATTTGTTGAGGAGATTTGGTTGCGGTGATAAATGGCAATACTTCTCCATGTGTCTTTTCAGCATAACAAACCCATCCAGGACAAGAGGAAGCCAACATAGGTAAGTCCTGATTGATGGATTCACTCGATTTATCCGCTTTAGCACCTGCTCTTCTCCTAGCACGTACTTTAGGCTTGCCTTCTTCTTCCATGGATGCTTTTTCGATATCCGCTTGTTGCAGAACAGCTTCCAGTGCTTCACCTCCATTTTGCATATAACGCTTAAAGCGATCTGTAAATTCTCGTGCAGATTCTACTAGCGACAAATCCTGAGTAAATGCTATATCGAAAACATGATGTGCACCTAAAAAGTGCTTGAAGAAATAAACAAGTCTGTGTTGAACTTGTAAAAGTGACAGTTGATATTTAGCCGCAAATGAAGCTCTTGATTGAGGACTGATAGAGATAACAATCGTGCGATGGTTTTGGGGTTGATTTTGTTCGATAGCGGCCTTGTTTTGCTGTAAAATTTTAATTAATTCATCTTGTGATTGCATAGAAATCAAGACACTTTCTGCAGACGTTACGCAGCCACTAAGTAGTATTTGTCAGCAAATCTTTTTTTCCTTCCTTCCTTAAGCATACCTGCAAGCTAAGCAATCATTTAAGGAGATAGAGGCCTTTTCAAGCTTTTCTTCTCCTCCATCTTGACTGATCTCGTAATAAGCGCCTTCTGTGTCAACCTTGATCTCGGACTATGGTTCAAATAAAATAAGGAAGATCTCGATAGATGACTTTACTTACAGGTCCTTTGTCTTCAGATTTTTGTACTTCAATGGGTTTAATACAAGCTTGTGAAGGAGCAATGTAATCATTAAGATCGGTGAGAACTAGTGCTGAAGAAAATGCCATTTTTCAGTTGTTAGTGTAAGAAAGTAAAGAAAAAAAGTTAAAAAAACATTGATTCTATGCTCAATTTTATTAACCAATTGTCTTGTCTCATAATTCACTTTTTAAGGTTAAAAAAAAGTCAGATACAAGATTATCGGACAAACCATATTCTCCATTTGCTGATGGTATATTAATATACCAAAGTAGCTACAATTCTCTTCTTTCATACTCGATTAGCGTATTATCAAGGATTGTGCCTTTCTCAGGATTTTTTTATTCAATGAATTTGCCTGCAGCATCTCGTTTGACTGTTTCTTGATATCTATCTTTGATGTAGTTTGATTTGTGTCTCCAACAATATTCTTTACCCTTTTTTTCTCCCTTCAAGTATGAGTATTGAATTAGATCATACATATACTTGTAATAAAACATCAAGTTATCATATTTTCCATCATAATCTCCCTCTTCATAGGCTTGAGCATATTCTACATACAAGTAGTAGATTGCTTCAATTGTCGATAAGTAATTGATACTTATTTCCTGATAGCGCCAAAAAAATGTCGAACGGGGTTCAATGGTTACTTTCTGTACTTTTTGTAATAATGGTGTATCTCGAACAATCTTATTTGCCTGTTTCCAAGTACCATCAATGACTATCATATGGTCGAAAGAATTTCGTGGAATTTCGCTTAGTTTTTTTGCGTCCTACGTTTGTTACATGTCAGTTTAAAATCGAATTGATATAGAACACTTTACGGGTCCTGGAAACAACATCAACACTCGTTCCGGCTGACTGTATTGTGGCATTTTTTTCCAATTATAAATGTTCACATCGTCAACGGCCAATACTTTTGCGTGAATTGCTGTTGTTTTGCCATCCGTTTCTCCTTCATGTTTAATTCTATCGCCATAAGACATCAAATGACATATTCTAATAAGCTTACATATCCAAAGGAATTGGTAGTTTAACGATCGGTACTTGCGATCGGTCCATACCTAGCACTTGAAAACAAAAGTAGCAATAGTGTTTCATTTGTTTTTGACAAGTGCTACAAGTATTTCTATCGACATTTTGATAGAGTATTGTATCATCTTGAATCTTCAAGTTCTTGAAAGGAAACTTTTCTCTGATCTCTTGTATGTCTTCAAGATCTATTTTATTTGCCATTTTTTTTTCTGTATAAAAAGAAAATAATTAAAAATGTTACTGCTGCTTCGCGAAACAAGTCCCGAAGATAAGTTTAGCTAGTATTGCATATAATCAAAGCTATAGTTAGTAACGGATCGAACCGAATGCTTCTTTTATAATATCTCCAGATAGAATCTCTGCTCTTTAGTAATCATTAAGTAAGACGATATTGCTTAATCACACAAAGTGAGTTTCAATCAATGAAAAACCAATGCTTTTCTTATGAATAATTATTAGTACGTACCACTAAAAAATCTTTGTCAAGAGAAATAAGGTTTGCGAATGTAACTTATTATTAATGATCTTGAAGACGCTTATTGGATTATATCACAGTTAGTCATTTACTAATTGAGAAGATTGGGCGAAACTATTCTCCGGATACCACTGCGTTACATAAAATTTCCATAAAAAAATGTGGAGGTTCAATCCGCATGATTTGAATGGGCAACCCTTAGTGGGAAAACCTTCACATCATAATGCATGTCTGCGCAATCAGAAAGATGGGTATATAAACATGCATTAGGAGAAATACAGACTATACCTATTTTCTCTCTCTCTCTCTCTCTTTTTTTATTCTTTTTTTCTCTTTCTCACACATGAAAGATACCAAGGCAGATTTCACAGAAACAGAACATAGTTATGATAAGCATGAACTTGTTGTTGAATACAACGATGTTGAACGTTCACTTGACAGTGAAACCGATGCATCTTTTGTTCCTCCAACAGCTGAAGAACTCAAGGCTGTTATTTGGAAATTAGATCTTCGTATCATTCCATTTTTGGGTCTTTTATACCTTTGCTCTTTCTTGGACCGTGTTAATATTGGTAATGCTAAATTAGCTGGCATTGTCACAGATCTACATATCAATCCATCTGATTACAACCTTGCTCTGTCTATTTTCTTTGTTGGCTATGTAAGTAATAAATCAAAGGCGTATTATGTTGATAGATCGAGTTTAGATTATTTTTGAAGTACCATCAAATATGATTTTGAAAAGAATTGGTCCAAGCAAATGGATTCCAATTGTCATGATATCTTGGGGCACAGTGGTAAATATTTGTTTTGATTTTTTTGTGTATGAAAATTAACTCTTGATCCGACAAACAGATGGCTGCTATGGCTGCATGTAGTAGCACCGCAGGTAAGAATATCAGTTTCTTGTCTTGCATGTAAGTATTTACATCAATTAGGTCTTTTGGCTGCTCGTTTCTTTTTGGGTATCACAGAGGCAGGCTTATTCCCAGGTGTCATTTTTTATCTTACTTTATGGTACACTCGGGGTGAACAAGCAACTCGTGTAGCCTTGTTTTTCGCATGCTCTACATTGGCTGGTGTAAGTGTTTATCACTGTCTACATATATATATATTTATTCATTAATCTGTATATCGTATAGGCATTTGGTGGTGTTTTGGTAAAGCATAAATGGCTATTGGTAATGAATAGAAGTGCTTACTTTTTATATATAGGCTTATGGTATTATGCAAATGGATGGTATTAATGGTCTTCGAGGCTGGCAATGGATTTTTATTATTGAAGCAATTCCCACTCTCATATTATCTATTGCTGCTTACTTTTTCCTTCCCAATTTCCCAGAGAATTCAAAATGTAAGTATAAACATGTGTGTGAAAAAATCTGACAAAAGCTATAGTCATCAATGAGCGTGAAAGAGAAATTATTATTCACCGTCTTAGGGAAGATGCCGGCCCGTCAACAGAAACACTTTTCTCATGGAGACAATTCCGCGCAGCTTTCACGGATTATAGAGTATACGTTCATTCGCTTGTTTATATCTGTGGTTCAACTCCCCTCTACAGTTTGAGTTTGTTCTTGCCTAGTATCATTCAAGGTATGGGCTTTACTGATCTTCGTGCTCAGGCAATGACTGCTCCTCCTTATGCTATCGGTAAGTTTTCATGAAAATTGTGGCATTCAACTTATCTGTCTACAGCTTGTGCGGTTACTGTCTTGGTTGCTATGCATGCCGATAAACATCGCGAACGTGGTCTTCATATTGCTATCCCTGCAGCTGTTGGTTGTATAGGTTATGGTCTCTTATATGCTTTGCGCAATAAGGGTGCTGTTGCTATGTATATTGCTGCTTGTATTACAGTGACTGGTGTCTTCAGTCATATTCCAGCTATGCTTTCATGGTTTACAAACAACATTGGTGGCCATACCAAACGTGGTGCTGCTACTGCCTTTATTATCTCGATTGGTAATGTGGGTGGTGCAATTGGTGGTCAAATCTATCGTGCCGATGATGCTCCTCTTTATGGCAAAGGTAACTTGGCTTGTATGGGTCTCATGTGTGGAGCTACCGTTATATCCATCATTTTCAAATTGAGCTTGATGCGCGAAAACAAGAGACGTGATAATCTTTCTAAAGAGCAATTTGAAAGAGAAGCTGTTAGTGAGATTTGTGATAGACACCCTGGCTTCAGATATATCACATGATTTTCCTTTTGTTCCATTTTAATGTATATTTCTTAACTTAACCTATACTTAATGTAAACTACTTCTTAATCGTCTCTGCATTTTATTTCATACAAATAAATAATAGTTCTTTTTTTTTTTCAGAAAGTGCAATTCTTAAGCTTTTGTAGTTGACAATCTTAGCCTTGATTTCCTTTTTTCAATATGGTCAAATTAAGCATTTATTTGATCGTCATCGGGCTGTTTAGTCACCATCACTAAAATGCCTTACGAATCAAATATGGAATTTGCCTTGACAAAACGCTCAATGCTGATCCTATCTTCATATCATCTCTTCATTCAGGGCCCTCTGTTTTTCTATTGTGTTCATCGGTCTCCGTAGAACTGAGTGTAACATTCTACACATTAAAAATAGAATTCTATAACCAAAATAAGGCATTTCTAATAAGAGGCAAAAATATCGCCAAAGGAATCTAATGTCAAACACGAGTACTATATATTCTGTAGAAGAAAACCAGTACCATTTGTTTTCGGGGTTAGTTTTTTGCATTTCTAGAAAAAAAAAACAGAATTTCCAATTGCACATATAAAGACATTCTGTATATCCGTCCAAATAAACGGTTGCGTAATTCTGCTCATATATTCCTTCACTGAAATAACTTCAAATATTATTTGCAAAGAAGAAAAATATCATTTAAAACCTGCTTTCCTATTGAATACATCTCATGCTCAAAATAGGGATATTTTTTTACCGAAAAATTAACCCATTATATTCCTATTTACCTAGCTATTGCACTTTGATAAAGAAAAACAATGATGCTTCTAGTACAGTAAAGGTTGCAGTTATGTCACATAACTTAATTAATGGAATCAGAGAAAGTGGCTGTCCAATGTAACCAATTGCTGTCTTAAAAAAAGGAATTCAGGCGAACAATGAAATACTTGCATATGTTCAAAGAAAAAAGGGTAGAGCTTCAAAGAAACTAAAATAAATCGTTAAAATAAAAAAAAAAGCATTGTGATGACTATAAAAAAAAAAGAGATCCAACCTGAACATCTTCAACAATCGTTTAAATTCTTTTTTGTTGATCTATTGCTCTTTGATGAATAAAGTTTTTTTTTGAGAGCAAAAAAGGATTCTATGACTCCCTTTGGCTTCCTAAAACATATAGATATCTTGTTTATTCTGCTTACACGTGGGCGGCCAATCAACTTTGCTACTTGTGTATACAGCAATTTCAAATGGTGATACAAATCTGAACAAAGAATGATCACCAATAAGAGTATAAGAAGGAACACAGCCTCAGTTAGTATAAATTATCTCGATTAAAATGTTTGTACGCCTCTCTCCTCTTGTCTTCACTTCTTGCGCAATGCTGATATCAAGTTTGAAAAGCTATTCAGAAACTTCTATAATTAAAGAGCGGAGTGCCACTTGTTTAATATGTTTAACTTATTTAGTATAGGCAAACCCCTTTTTAAAAAAAAATTAATAAATTGATATATTTTCAGACTCCAGAACAAATATATATAGGTAAAAAGACGATTTATTAGCTAGTGTACAAAAAAAAGGTTTTGTAACAAAAAAAAAAGAAATCGTATCATTCTTTTTTTTTAAAAAAAATCTAGAGTGGCGAAGAGAAAAATTAGACAACCTTCCAGGTGATCTTGCCAACACCCTTATTCATGTCACCAACAACTTTCTTGAAGACAACAGGAGTAAGATCGAGGTCACCCTTACTACAGCCAGGACAGGCATCATTGATCTTTGATATAGTAGAACCCTTAGGGCCTGTAATTTTAATCTTCTTTCCACACCATGATGATTTCTTGCTTGTGTTGCCGTATTGAGCGACATTCAAAGCGACAATGTTAGAGTTGTTGCCTTCTGAAGGACCACAAGCACCTTGAGATCCACCTTCACTAGCAGGAAGGAACCAAGTAGCAGTACCAGAATAGGTACTAGAACCTCTCTTGGCATGCTTTGCTCTCTTTCTGAATCGTCTTTCTTCACGCTTATTTAATGAGATATCGACTGAAGCAATGTTGTTATCAATTGAGACGGAAGCCGTGCTTTCGACAGGTGCTGCAGCGCTCATGGCGCTAATGGCAAGAATGACGGCGGTAAATAAGGAAAGGCTGCGAGACATGATTAAATGATTGGAATGAAAACGGCCAGCGTTAGTCAATTGATATAAGAAAATTAAAAGAAAATGAGACTTTGTGGCAAATTGAGCAAATTACATTTACTATTTATACTCTTTTGAAGGACTCACGCCGCTCTTTGTTCGTTTTAGTATAAAGAGTAACAGGACACGAATTTCTATTTTAAACGGAGAATTTGATTTACAAAAAGGTACTTTCTCTTTTTTTGTATGTCCGAGGTAGGATAGCTTTAATAAACCGCTTTCCTATTTTGATTGTTTTCATCACTAATTTTGAATTTTCATTAAGAAAAAATTTATAGGTGCTTTGACCACAAAAGGAAGATGAAACACACGGAAAGATGAATGATTAGAAATTGTTTGTGTTCAGAGATACACTTTATGACATGAGAATTCATGCAATGAAGATGCTAGAACCTGCTTCCTCATAGATTCCAAACGTCATAAAGTATGTTTGTCATGGAAAACTTGATTTAATTTGTACAACTTTCCAAATCTACTTTGGGATTATTTCCTTTTTCTTTTTCTCTTAAAAGCCTTTCCATAGAGTGAGTCTCGTAACAAAGCAGTACCAGATGAGTACTGGAATGAAATACAGGCTCCATTTCTTAAATGGGCATTGGTGGTCTCGGACTTAATTCCAGCTTAAATGAACCTGAAACATATATTTCTGTCTTTTTATATCTCCTTTTCTGGATTTCATTCGAATGATTCATTGTTGTCCTCTTGTGTCAAGCTGGAACGGGTCCGTTTGATGTGTTTTTTGTCCTCCTTTCATGAAAAATAGGAGTCCACCCGAGCCACAATTGCTTCTTATTTTTTTTTTTTTTGCGGTCATATGAATCAATTAACAAGACATGCTAAATATGGCTTTAGAATAACAATTGTTCCAGGCAGAAATCTAAAGGTCTGGAATTGAAGATGAGCCGATTTTTCTTACTTGAAAAAAAAAAGTGATAATTGTTGAATGTCGTCAAAGAACGAGAGAATGCCGCTTGTACTACCTTGACGGAGAAGGAGATAGCTTCCAATTGAGACAAGACCCCTTAATTTCATAATACGATCCCGAGTATCATACTTTCTATTCTGTCCATAAGATCACTATCAATATTATATATGGTATAATTATTCTAAACGATTATTTTTGAAAAGAAATAGATCTTTTTTTTACAGAATGCAAACATTAAAAAGACTGTTCTTCATATATGTCTTGGAACAATGGGAATATAAGATTGTCTTATCCTTGTTAGTAGAGAGTATAATCTAATATGAGAATTTGAATTGGGTAACAATAGGTGATAGCAATGTTTATGAGAGGGGGTCTCATGGTTCTGAGGGAGATACCGACTATCATACAGTCAAATTAATATCAAAGATCTTTTTTATATGCAAGAAAACCATTGGCTTAAGTAAGAAGATTACTGTGTCGTTAGAATTGAATTAAGGGAGAATGCTAATCGACTACATATGTAGAGTTTAAAGAATTTGGTTTAGTCTAATACCTTTTGGTAATCCGATCCCTGATATAAGAAAAAATAATAATAGTAGGGAGAACAACATCAACATATAGAGTCTATTGTTTAGGCCACATACTGTCAATGTGTATTTCTTTTTTTTTTTTTGAATAGCCAGTATACATGTTATCGGAGCTTCCTACAAAGCGAATCAATGCAACCATAGTTCGTAAAAAAAAAAAAAAAAAAAAAAAAAAAAAAAAAGAATGACGCGCATTTTTTATATTTTTCTCTTTCATCTACAATATGGATGCAGCGACTGCACAAAGGAACTGGGAGCTGGAAAATAATGTAGCTCTTGTTGATCCTGCTCAAGATCAAATCTATTACTACGATGCGCCACAAGACAAGGAAAACGTAGCTCAAAAGCCTTGGAAGAGCGAGTAAGCCCTAAAGAGCAACAAGGTGTCTGTATATTTACGCGCCTTTTTTTATTTATTTATTAATAGTCCTAATTATTTCAAACATGTTAAGATATCAGCTATCGCTCTTATCAAAATGGTAAAAATAAAAATGAAAAGGATATGGACTAACTATTACAATATAGGTCATGCATGCTCGCTCTGGCGGAAATATCGAAATAATGGGATTGATGCAAGGTAAAATACAAGGGGATACAATGTATGTTATGGATAGTTTTGCTCTTCCTGTGGAAGGGACAGAAACAAGAGTCAATGCTCAAAATGAGGCTTATGAATACATGGTGTCTTACATTGAAAAATCAAAAGAGGTATAGTAATTCAGTCAATGTGCAGTTGTTGATCAATGTGTTAGGTTGGGAGATTAGAGAATGTGCTTGGTTGGTATCATTCACATCCTGGTTACGGCTGTTGGTTGTCTGGTATTGATGTTAGTACACAAATGTTGAATCAACAATATCAAGAACCATTTGTAGCTGTTGTGGTAATGAAAAAAAGAAAAAGGATGATAAGTAATTTAAATGTGTTTAGATTGATCCCAATCGTACAATGTCAGCAGGCAAAGTTGAGATTGGTGCTTTCAGAACATATCCAGCTGTAAGTCAATATATCGACAGACAGCCATGATTAATCTACCTCTTTAGGGATACAAAGCTCCTGATGAAGGACCTTCTGAATACCAGACTATACCCCTCAACAAAATTGAAGATTTCGGTGTTCATGCAAAATCCTATTACTCTCTTGAAGTGTCTCATTTCAAATCAACATTAGATACACAGCTGCTTGAGGTCTTATGGAATAAGTATTGGGTTAACACGTTATCGCAATCACCACTTTTAACTGTAAGATGGATTAGACTGGGATACATTGACTCATGATAATAGAATCGGGATTATGCAACAAGACAAATGACTGATCTTGCTCAGAAGTTGAACAAGACAAATGAGAGTATGGTGGGACGTATGGGAGGATACTATGGCGATCGAAAGAAAAACGATGAAAGCCAGCTTAGTAAAGTAACAAAAGATAGCTCCAAAATCACTGTAGAGGCAATTCATGGATTGTTATCTCAAGTACTTAAAGATCAGGTGTTCAACAAATCTCGAGATGAAAGAAATGTTTTAGAGTAAAAATTGAATAAACAAAATGTTGAATATCTCCTTTATTTTAGTTTTACATTAAAGCCTCTCATGCTTGACATATAATTTACATATATTCATATGAAGCGTAACGTATTGCCTGACTTTTGATCATATATCATTGTATCTTTTATCGTTTATGCAAGTAGAGTAGGTATAATACATGGCAATAGTTTAATTATTTCAGTTAATTGTAGTCAATTTACAGTACTTCTTTTATAGTCTGTGCCTCTTGAGTTGTTGCTATATTTGTTCTTTTCTATAAAAGAATATCTTATAATTCTACCCACCTCATACATTTCAATTTTGATTAAGCCGTAAAATCTAAAAGCCGATTCATTGATTACGAGAGAACAGCCCAAATAAGAAAGATCATGTGACCTTAACATAATTTTAAATTACTAATATAATATAAAGGTTGGCTCATCTAATATAACTGCCTAGCTAGCTCAATCGGTAGAGCGTAAGACTCTTAATCTTAAGGTTGTGGGTTCGACCCCCACGTTGGGCTCTTCTTTTGCTTCAATCATGGAAAACGTGAGACGTTGTGGGCTTTTATTCTATATTTTCGATCTTGAGTCTTTGATTTTCTCAATAATGTGGTATCTATTACATACAATCTCTTTTTTTTCTGATTTGGATTCTAGTATATTACTTTCTTTATACACTACTGGTAAAAGATCTAATCTTATCCCGTAATACTACATAACGAAACATGTCTATTAAGCAAAAATGATACTTGAGATTAAACAGGAATAATAAGTGAATGAACCTCCTATTCTAGTATCCATAAATCCAAATAAATTAGAATAAGCATACAAACCATTACCAATAGCCTGATAAGTAACCCAGGTAGCTCAAGTAGAAGTAAAGCGAGAAATGAATAATTGAAGCGTTCTTATATTCGTTCATCATAATAAGAACTTCCAATTCCAATGCATGAAGATATGGCTACACTGAACTCGGTAGCATAAACTAATTAAATTATAAAGTAAAAGACTCTTCTAAAACGTCAAATCTACATACATCAACGTGGTCATGTCAAAAATAGGAGTTTTAAAGCAAAATAAAAAAGAATAATAATATTAAGACAGAAAAGATGAAGATAAGAGAAAGGATATGCCTAACAGAAACGAATGCAATATAGCACCACAGGAACAGAATGTGTTTATGTTTTACTTCATAAAACTGCTTATATAATTCTTTTTCTACCTGGAATAAGGGATGATCTTGGCAAAAAAAAAACAAAAAGAGAGATACGGCTTTATTGAAGCTAGGAGGAATGATGCCAAGCCGATAAAGATCATAAAAAACCGATCTCAATTTCTTTCTAATAAAGATGAACAAGTAGGTGCCAAGTTTTGTTTTCTTTTTTGATCAATGCTATTACAACCTTGTTTAAAAATACAGCGCCTCTGTTAACAACGAAAATTTCATTGCTACAAACTTCGAAAAAGATCTGTTATGACAAACAAATGGAAGAGAGTTTGAATCAAAAAAGCTTAAAAAACGCTTGCCCTTCTTTTTTTTTTTTTCTATCTCTCCTACATGGATGAACAATAAACAACAATTTACTCCTAAAAAAAAAAAGCACATCAATAAACATTTTATTGTCTTATGATGTCCAAAGGCGGGTGCTTTTGATTTAATTATTGTAAGTAAACGTTTTTATATGCACATGATCTACAAATAGTACAAATCAAGATATTGTTTTCTCCAAGAAAATCTTGTGCATTATTCGGAACAACTTTAAAATACCAAGAAATTTTTTTTTCTTGACTTTGATAATACTCTCAAACCTCTTTATTGATCTTATGGACCACAGTACTTGACTCTTAAGATTAACCAGACATGATCAATGAAGATCATGGGAAGTCTTTGTCTCTTGTTGACCCATGTGCAATCAATTTTAAAAAGAAAGTTCGTTCGGCACTGTGGGGAGACACCAGCGAACAGGCGCCGAATACTCAAATTTCCGCCAATCTCAACTTGCGGTGTCTCAATTTGTTTTTTTTTAAACAAATATAAATAATGCAAATCCTTTTCTTTTTTCTTATTCTTTTCCAAATTACGCTTTATATATACACAATAATGAAAACAATTCTTCCTCCAGAAAATCAAATTAACAAAAGAGATATTGTCCCCGATAAAAACTTCCCTAAATACGTTCTAATACCAGTCGCCATTCTTCATTCTGAACTGTATTGGGTCTGTTCCGTTCTTTATTACATGTTTCGAGAATCTGGATTGGTTGCAAATCAAAAAACATTACCGAGTCGAAATAGAGTCAAAGTAAAGTCTTTAATTCCTCTGAAACCACATCTTGACGTTTTAGTGGAAGATAAACAACAAGAGGAGCAAGAGGAACAAGAGGAACAAGAGGAAAAAGACCAAGAACATACCGACCATGGCATTCGTGCTCGACCAACCATTCATGATGAACTGCTTGGAAAAACATGTCCTCCTCTATGGTGGCAAAAGACTCGAGTCAAACTAGGGCGTCCAGCTGTTCGAGGTGATCATAAACCTGGTTCTAAATCAGAATCCTCTACTACCTCCTCCTCCTCCTCCTCCTCCACATCCTCTTCTCCAAACGAACAAAAATCAAGAAATAGATCAAATACAGTTAAAAGCGACCAGAGCTTAACATCAACAGCAGATTCAATCATACCGTTGTCGAGTAACAGTTCTGTATCATCACTCTCGCTTGATTCGATTTCACCTACCGATTCCATTCATTCATTACAAAGCGAACACTTTGAAGCATTTGATCCACAAAGCAGTTATATACCCAAGCGCCATCGCAAACACAGACTATTACATAAACTCAATGCTGCTTTACAAAATATCCACCATCATAAGAAATGAACACCTTGTATATATGCTTATGTTAATAAAGTATACTTATTATGTCACAATGAAAAACAAAAAATTTTTTTTCTAACTACTTTAAAATTGATCACTCGTTGCCTTTGGACCATTGTAATAAAATCTACCCCACCCTAACCAAAACAGTAATGTAGTCATGATGACAGTAATTAAACCTACACCTGCATAATTAAAGTTGTCACCTAAAGATAATCATTAAGAAAAAAAAAAAGCTTATTTCTTTGTTTATCAAGGACTTACTCGTCATGGGCCAAGAAAATGGTAAAACAAAAGCACAGACAGCAAACACAGACCATAAAAATCCCATGAAAGTAATGAGCGTACTGTATTTCCCCAGATTAATTTTTCCCTTTTTTTGACTTTGATCTGATGCAATGATGTAAAGCAAACGGGATCCCAATACCATAGCTAGATGACAAATGAATTTTCATGCAGCAGTGACATGACATCATATTATACTCCACTTACCGTAACTGAAATGGATAGTAATCGTGGTTGCACTGACAATCGTTTCAAATAAATGCTCAGACAGTGGGAAAGGTAAAACAACTAAAAACGTCATGATCATTGTAAACCATACTGCATTGTCAGGTAGTTGTGTTTTGCTGTTAATCTTGCTTAGTATGTTACTCATAGGTGTAGCATCATCTCTAGCCAGTGCATATATCTGTCGAGAGGTGACAGTAGTGGTGGTTGCACCTGTACAGAACTGACAAAACGCGATTAAGATCAAAAATGCAAGTGTACCCCATACACCCACAGCATCCTAGACTATAATTTAGTCATACTATACGTATAAAAGAGTGATGCTACTTGCAAGAAATAATTGGGCTACTGGCATATGTAGTGTAGAGTTTAGAATGGCTTCCATATTCTGTATGGAAAACAATAAGACAATCAAGAAAGCAAGACCCACAAACCAAGAAACGACAATAGAAGATACCATGGCGCTATAGTAAACACGTAAGCAAAAAAAAAAAAAAAAAGACATGAACAGAAATGATAACCTACATGGAAGAAGACGTATCAGCATCTTTTGTTTCTTCATTTACTGTAGCAGAACATTCACAGCCTATATGGGTAGACTATAAGAAAACACATAGGCGCATTTTTTTTTTTTTTTTTTTTTTTTACCAAACAATGAATAAGCAGCACCAATCATACCCAAAATCAAGATATAAATTGGATTCTCAAACCCAGTTTGGTTTTGGTAGTGTGTGAATACCCATGTAGGGTTTTGGTGAGGTGCTATACAACTCAAGACAGTGATGATGATCAACAGGCCAATACATGACCAGAACACACTCCATTGATTTAGACTGCTCAATAGCCCCATATGGCGTACATTTAAATAAGCGTGTATAGATGTGATCCCTAGTGTAATAAGCATTAAACAGGTCTTGTCAAGGTCTATATGGAGTGTCAAGTTCAATACGGAGCCAATTGAGAGCGCTATAAGGATAGAATGAGTTTCATGTTTGTTGTTTGATGATTGTACCAACTGTCACATTGGTAGCACCAATTGAGATAATATTGGCTAACGAATAAGTCCATCCTGTGACAAAGGCACTATAGACCTGATAAGAAATCTAAAGAACCACACATATACACATACGCAATGGGTGCCTGTTTCTTTAGGCGAGGATGTTGATCTAACAACTCAAATACCCAATAATACAAGCCTCCACTTTGTGGATAAAGTGAACAGATCTCAGCAAGTGACAATGCTACACACAGCATGAACATTGCTACTGTATTCCAGCTCAATAACATAATGACTGGACCACCTCTTTGCAAAACTATATCTATTATTTCTATGCTCTCATCTATCTCTTGTACCTGTCTGAAATGTCGCCGAAGTATTCGATAAGATGCCTATATTCGAAAATGCTAAACCTATTTCAAAAAAGAAAGAAAAGAATGAGTGGCTAAACAACAAATGATGGACTACCAAATGTTGCAAATGTAGACAGTCTTCGTTTTAGTGTCTATGATGAATAAGTTAGTATTTCATATAATGAATAACTACGTTGGGATGTTTCTTTAAGGTGAGAGTGCCATAATCTTGATTTGCCATTCTAGAGAAAGAAAGAAAGAAAGAAAGAAAAAAGATCGAAAATGTGACACTTGACAGTGTATGTTTATCTCTCACTTATTCTTATCATGCGTCAATTGTTCATAAAACAAAGTTTGCTTCCTTGCCGTTCAAAATCCCGCTTGAACAGAAAGGAATGAAGTATGTGCCACAGAAAATACACGGTATTTGATTGGCTCAAGCGGTCAACCAATAAGGAAATAACAACCAAATAAAAATGATATTCAGACTACCATTTGTTCTTTTTCTCTCTTTTCTTCTTATTTCTATATCTACCATGAGCTCTGACCTTAAAGAAACCGCACAGCAAGTTGTTGATGGACCCAAGCAATTCTTCAAAGAAGGTGTTCAATTTATTAACCGTTGTAAGAAGCCTGATCAACAAGGTAAGATGAAGAATGACAGCTGGATGATGCTCATCTAGTCTATTAGAATTCCTCAAGATTACTCAAGCTGTAGCTATGGGTTTTGCTGCTCTTGGTGCTCTTGGTTACTTTGTTAAGGTAAGTCTATATCTAAGAGAAAGAAAGAAAGAGAGAAAGGTTTATAACGCGTATCTTGTATAGCTTATTCATATTCCTATTAACAATATTCTTGTTGGTGCTGCCTAAGATATTAGCAGATTGTTCCCTTCAAAAAAAAAATTGTATATAAAATAATGCTCTCTTTTTCTCTATGATTCAGCTTGTTCTCTCTTACTCTTACTTAGTAATAAAGCATTTTTCTACCTTTCCTCTCCCCTTTTTTTGTTCTTCCAAGTTCTTTTGCTTATTCATGATGGAGCAGTCACAATACTCTTTTAAAGATTTTTAGTCTCTTGGTTGTTCTTCCTCTTTCTTTTTTTTATAGAACCATGGAAGCACAAATCAGAGAAGTAAGCATCAAGCAAAATAACAAACAAGACTAACAAGAGAGGTGAACTAGCTTATTCCCTTTTTGCATCAACCTGCACTTGAGGTAATATGATTTATTTTGTTGCATATAACTCACCATACTATCTAGATTCGTGCTATTGCTGTTCACCACCTTGTTCCTTACACTCCTAATGACAACCAATACCGTCATTTGTTACTTGAGCAAAAGCATGTTGTCTGTAAGGATCTCAAAGCTTTATGTAAAGAAGATCCTGTAAGTTGACAGTTGCCATGTGGACCCATGACTCATGTTTAACTAGGTTACTGCTCATGACGCCCTTCGTTGTCTGATCAATCTGTCAAGTGATCCTCTTGTTCAACAGGAATTAGACGACGCAGATTTTGTGAAGCATATTGGATTGTTGATTACAGTAAGCATTCGATTCATCATGATTCACGATACTCATTCTGCTTGGACAAATAGAATGCTAAATCTGTGCTTGCTGATCTTGCTTGTATGCTCTTATCCAACATGACAAAGTATGAGCCTACTTGTGTCAAAGTCATTCAAGCTACAGCAGAACCTATTGATCTATGTCAATCCACACGTTTTTTAGATCAGCTTGTTGAAGTCTTCCACAAGGGATACAAGAAGGAATACAACCCTGAAGCAGAATACCATTTCTTGGCAAGTGTATTCTCCAATGTGTCTAGTATCCGTCTTGGTCGTGTGTTTATGGTTGAGCGTGCTCAGGTAGATAAGTTGTCTCCTCTCAGCAAAATTCAAATCTTTACTGAAGATGCCAATGTCATTCGTCGTGGTGGTGCTGACTCGACCATCAAGAATTGTTGTTTTGAAACAAGAGAACATGAACGCTTGTTGGATGTGGACGATATCAATGTTTTGCCGTTTATTTTGTTACCTTTATGTGGTAATGAAGAATACGACATAGAAGAATTTGAGCAGTTTCCTGAAGAAATTCAAATGTTGGATGATGATAAGAAGCGTGAAACAGATCCTGTTCTTCGTACTATGTTGTTGGAATCCCTTATCTTATTGACAAGTACTCGATTTGGTCGTGATTATTTGCGTAAAAAGCAGGTGTATCGTGTTATTCAGCGTCTTCATTTGCAAGAAACAGATGACAACATTAAGGAAATGTGTGTTACAATTGTAGATATGTTGATTCGTGATGAGGATGGTGCCGAAGTTACAGAAATTAAATCTAAAGAAGAAGAAGAGGACGAGGATTTAGTGATTGAAGAAATTGCATAGAGAAAATAAAAACTGAGTTTTAAAACACCCCTCACTTTAAGAGAAATTTTTTTTCGCTCTAAAATAATTTCCTTTTTTCTTTCTTCTTATACACACAATGGACAAGCGTCAATTAGAACACGGAAACCAAAAGTCTTCATTTGTACAAGCCATCAAGTCAGAACTCTTTAGTCCCGAAAAGCGTCAAGGTAACCTCAACATCGCCTTGTCCGTCACTGTCTTTACTGGTGCCATTGTCTTTCTGCGCAACTGGGGTGAACTCTTGGCTGTCTAATACTTGTATAAAGCACTTTATTTTTGTATACATATCTTTTTTTTTTTATATTGTTGTTTATTAAAGGTAAAGGCGATGATGACTATCATCAACAAGGCCCTGCTTCACCTTATTTTCATCCAATGTCAAATGAAGGCCAAGTGATTTCAAACCTGCAGTGTAGGCAGATAGAATCTCGGTTGTCACAATCAGTTTACCATAGATGGATTCTTGAAGTGTCAATAGATCATAACATGCAATACCATGTATTTCACACTAGATGGAGATATTAGAGATATGTCCTATGATAGAGGCAGATATAGCTTACGTAGTTGATGATGGAAGCAGATAATCCCTTGATCATATTGGGTGGTTCAAACAGTGCTAAATCAACAGGAGATGCAGGAGATGTGTGTAATACTCTTAGAAAAGGTGGTGTTAAATCATCTCCCCACACTTCAGATATATAACCAACAGCAGTAAAAGAATCCAACACAACCATTTTAGTCACATGCTTAAAATGAGTCAAAATGGATCTTGTACATTGTCCTGCTTCTTCAGGAGAAATGTCTGCATGGAAAGAAATGAGAGACACAGGTTGGTCTTTAAGCTGAAGGATATCTGCTTTAATTTGTTCCTTGTCTTCCACCTAATGACGAACACATGAGACGAGACATGGTCATAACAAATCACTTACCAAACGATAGACCTTGCCCAAGGACTCTGTATTGTCTTGAAGTGAGTTGATATAGACACTGCCAGGTTGAGCAAGACCCAAGATCAACGTATTGTTGTTATTTTCAGCAACATCTACTTTGAATGTCACTTTTGCAAGTTCCTTAGAGGCTTCTAATTCCTCATCGCTATCGTGATCGTCCAAAGCATATCTGACAGGTGCAGAAATAAACGAATCTTCGTAATCCATACTGAAAAAAAAAAATAAGAAAAAGAAAAAGAATCACTTATTGCGCGTCTCGCTCTCGCTCTCTTTTTAAATGCGAACCTATTTGAGTTACCGAAATCAAGCGTGTGTTGTTGTTTTTTTTATTATGGTACATTTTTTTTTCTTTTTTTTTTTTTTAAAAAAAAGAGGGATCTAATATGCGTATGTATATGAGGATATTGTTGTTGTTTAGTTCTTGCCAGCATTTTCAGGTCTAAGTTGACGAACAGTCTTGCCAGTTCTCCAAATTTCAGACTCACGGATTTCTCTGAGTTCTTCTTCGAGTTTTTCACGGTAATCAGGTTGAGAGTTACGGTCAAGAGAACGAGCAGTTTCAGAACCATCCTTGACAGAACGGTAAAGGTCTTCAAAGACAGGCTTAGAGGCATCATGGAAAGGCTTCCACCAATCAAGAGCACCGCGCATGGCAGTAGTAGAACAGTTAGAGTACATCCAATCCATACCACGTTCACCAATCAAGGGGTAAAGAGATTGAGTGGCTTCTTCAACAGTCTCATTGAAGGCTTCAGAGGGAGAGTGACCATTGGCTCTCAAGACTTCATATTGAGCTTGGAACAAACCTTGGATGGCACCCATCAAGACACCACGTTCACCAAACAAGTCAGAGTACACTTCCTTTTCAAAAGTGGTTTCGTACATGTAACCAGAACCAATTCCGATACCCAAAGCAACAGTGCGTTCCTTAGCCTTACCACTGGCATCTTGGTAAACAGCAAATGAAGAGTTGATACCACGGCCTTCTTGGAACAAACGACGGACAGTGAAACCAGAACCCTTGGGAGCAACAAGGACAACATCGACACCTTCAGGAGCCTCAATCTTGGTTTGATCCTTGTAGACAATAGAGAAACCGTGAGAGAAGTAAAGGGTCTTACCGGGAGTAATCAAAGGCTTCATTTGAGGCCAGATTTCCTTTTGATAGGCATCAGACAAGAGGTTCATGACAACAGTACCCTTATCGACGGCATCCAAGACAGGGAACAAGTTCTTACCGGGAACCCAACCTTCTTCAATAGCTTGTTGGTAAGTCTTACCTTCACGTTGACCAATGATGACATTAACACCATTGTCACGTAAGTTCAAGGCTTGACCACGACCTTGAGGACCGTAACCCAAGACAGCAATGGTATCATCCTTGAAAGTCTCAAGCAACTTTTCCTTAGGAACATCAGCACGTTCATAGACAGTTTCCTTAGTGCCACCAAAGTCAAGGGTCTTCATGCCACGAATTTGAGTGTTGATCTAATGATATTAGGTACATGGTCGTTTTATCTATTCAACTTACAGTGGATTTGACAGCAGTGCGTCTAACATTGTTGGCCAAGACAGACATAGGTCTAATGGCAACAAGAGGACGAGAAGCAGAGCGAGTAGCTGAACGAAGAGCAGTGGCAAATACGCGAGAAGCCATAATGATAAGTAAACAAAAAAGAGAAAGAAAAGAGAAAGAAAAGAGAAAGAAAAAGGGCCTTTTATTTTTATATTGAAAAATAAAATAAAAAATATTGACCAATGCTATATCATCCAATCATAGATAGAAGATAAGGAATCTTTGATCAATGCATTTTCATTTAACTTGACTCTGATTGGTGTGAGTCATTCCTTGTAAAATAACAAAAGCACCAAACATATTTATTCGTAAATATGATATGAATAGATTTAAGCATAGACAAATAGAAAAAAAAAAAAAAAGGAAAGAGCTTTTGATTTATTTTACTGTATATCCTTGTTTCTCTTTTCATAAAGTAGGTAGGTATATAAAGTTAGGATACTGTATACACTTTTTACTTGAATCTTATTGGATATCATGTTTGAACGTCAGATCTGAAGGATCAAAAGGCAAGTCCAAAGCTAATGCATAAACGTATTTTCTTTAAGAGAGACAACACATCTTTATTTGGATTTTTTCAAAATATACAAATTTACATCTAAACCACCAATACCAATAGGCTTTACTTGTTCAAGATGCCATAGTTTCTGACACCAGTCATATTCCAGCACTCTTTTCATCAATTTGTGTCCTTGAGTCACAATATAAGCTTTACCTTCTGGTCTTAATACTTGCCACATTTGTTTCATGAATTTAGGATAGAGTCCTTGAATTTGTTTATACGTGTTTTCTCTTATTCCCCATGGCCAGTCTATATGTTATGTTAGTCAGAGACATAGTATGACCTTGTAGATTGTTACCCGAAACAATAGTATCCACTGATTCCTTTCGATAACAAAGCTTCCTACCATCTCCCAGCATTAAATCTATGTTTCGCAAACCACAGTGTTTTACATTGCCTAAAGCTAATGTTTCAAGTGTTTCCATCTTGACTAATATCAAATAAGTGTCTCTTGTGAATAGACTTATTTGCATTACAAACCTTCACTTCCAAGCCAAAATACATTTTTAAACCGAGCTGCTCCTTCAATAGGAATCGTCGCTGTTCCACAACACATGTCAAGAATGACCTGCCCGGGTCTTGGGTCAGCCAATAATACCAGACAATAAGCAATACAAGGATTTAGACTTGTGCGTCCAGTAAATATGCGATGTCGTTGTGCTTGATCCTGAACAGGAATAGTGAGTCCTAATAAAAACACATAGCCTTCTTGATTTTGTTGACCAGGTAAGCCAGGCAACCAATAGGCCATGATCTCATAATCGTACTCTGTCATCTTCACTTTCCATCCAGGATAAAACTCACTAAATGCAACACCAACATGACCTGCGAATTCTTGACTGGAAATCTTGTGTTTTACGCCTTCTTTTTTAAATGTGGCTCGAAATGAAAAGCAGTTGGATGTAGGGTCTTGTTCGATCATATCGTACCATGGTGTGTTGATTGTTTGTTGTTGAATAAATTCAAATAAAGGTTCTTGTGTTGATAGTAGCTCGGAGGATACGATAGATTGAGACGCAATCAGTGTCACACTGTAAATACTCAATAGCCGTGCAGCTGAAATAGAATGTTTGATTGCTGAAACACTGGTAACTCGACAAAACAGGTGAACATGGCCTGTCTTGAGTTCATAGCAATAACGAGGCTGTTCAAGATCAGGAAGACAAGCAGCAATATCTGTAGCTGCTATAGATTCTAGACCTATAACAAAGGAGTTAAGTATACATACATACTCCTTTTATTTTTTATTTTATTCTTACCTTTAGGAACATGGAATAAGACGTGGATCTCTGTCATAAAGAGTGGCTATTTTTTTTCTCTTTTTGGCACTTATTCTGACTTAAACACAGTCACTGTGTACAAATAATCAAAGAGAATCAGGGACACATTGTCAATAGACCGCTGACAAAACAAATCGTCATCTATATACCCTCAAACAACATAAAAAAAGAAATTGACCTGTGATGTGTGTGAGGTATTTTTATTTTTTAAAATTCACTCCCTAATTATCTTGGTAAAGCAAAAAAAAAAAAAAAAAAAAAAAAATTAACCTAAATGAGGCAAGATCCTTATTTATCACATTGTCTACCGGCGGAGACGTGCGAGGCGTTGTTTGTGCCATTGGGCATAAGCCACAGTGGATCTCAAAGATTTTGAGGCATTTTCACTTTTTTTGTGTAAGCCAAGAGCCGGCTAAAAAAGGGCATTTACTATCTTGAATGAGTAATTTCATATAAATATATATAAATATGTATAATTAATTGTTGTTTTTTCTCTTTTTTTATTTATTTATTTTCTTTATCCTCTAGTTATCATGAGCACTACGTTTTCTCCTAATCTTCATAGATTATCGCCTGGAGATATGTGGCTCCCTGATCAAAGAGCCTCTTCTCTCATCACAAATGATCTTGCAAAGCAACAAGCTAATTTACCCAACTCTAGTTTTTTGGCCATGAGTGAAAATAGCTCTACAACATCCTCCTCTAATTCCTCTGTATTATCCAACAATCTTTCCCGCCAATCATCGATTGCCAGTAAAAGACACCGTGCAGACACAGCAAGCTTGAAAGAATATGGCGAATGCTACAGACGATTAGGTCAAGGTACAGCAGCCGTTGTGATGGTTATTCGTAAGCTTGGAGAAGATGGTCGATCTGAAAAGCTCTATGCCATCAAACAATTTCGCAAAAAGCAAAAACATGAAAGTGAGAAGGAATACATGAAGAAACTGACCAGCGAATTCTGCATTTCCTCCACCTTTTCTCATCCCAATGTGGTGCAGACCATTGATCTTGTCTTGGACGATAAAAAGCGGTATTGTACTGTCATGGAGTATTGTCCTGGTGGTGATTTGTTTACAATCATCATGACAGAACGCATGTCAGAAACAGAAAAAGTATGTTGTTTCAAACAACTGCTTCAAGGTTTAGCCTATCTGCATTCCATGGGTGTTGCTCATCGTGATATCAAGCCTGAAAACCTTTTGCTGACCATGGACGGTAAACTCAAGATCACAGACTTTGGTGTCTCTGATGTCTACCGTTTTCCTTGGGAATCCAAAGGCCGCCAAAGTCGGGGTCTTGTCGGCTCTGAACCTTATATTGCCCCCGAGGCTTTTGAACAAAAGGAGTATTGGGGCTCTACCGCAGATGTCTGGTCCGCCGGTATCGTCTTCTATTGTATGTGGGTAGGTGGACTTGCATGGCATAAGGCAAGAAAGACAGACAGTGCCTATTGTGGTTACATCCGTGCATTTGAAAAGAACCAGATATTTGATTTGTTTAAAACGTTGGGCCCAAATGAAAGAAGAATTTTACATCGCATGTTGGATCCTCATCCTAGTCATCGTATCACTACAGCCGAACTCTTAAGAGATCCTTGGATTCAGTCTATCTCAACCTGTGAAAATTCGATTGATATTGTATCAGGGAAACAACACAAACACACAGAAGGTATTCAACCTATATGTGTTCTCAGCAAAAAATAAGCCCATAAACCCCTCCCTCCCTCCTCCTCCAAAGAGTAATAATAACTAGACCAGCCTCATTCTCTCATTCATGTTCTATATACCATCTTATATCATTCCCATCTTTATGTATATTATATGCAACTTCATTTTATTTTTATTTTTTTTATATATGCTAAATATGTATGTACATTTCAATAAAACCATTCTTCTCGCTGCAAATTAACAAAAAAGAAACCGCAGCATTGTTTGTAATTAATCAACTCATATTTGCGTTCATTATGTACCACGTTTTTTAATATGCGTTCTTCGTCGGCCTATTAAAAAAAAAAAAAAGGGCTCCACTAAGTGTGGCACTGCTTCTTAACTATCCAAAAAAAGAAACGCAAGATACTTGGTTAAAAAATAGTCGCCTTAGAATGCATATACAGACGGCGCTTACATCCGTCTCATTCTAATCCATACATAGGTTCCGCTTTCCGTGTTTTCAACAAAGTGGCTAATGTAACTTTATTTCGGTATAGAGTTCGGTCTATCCTCTTAAATTGGTATATGTCTTGATCAATTTACTTTGTGTGACAATTTGGAATGACACTCTGATTTCAAGTTGGAAATTACAGCAAGGCTCTTGTAATGAATTTTTTTTTTTTTTTTTTTTTGAAATGCCAAATGAGACACTTTATGCAATCATATTAAAAAAAAAAAAACTTAATTCTTCGATGTGTTTCTTTATCCCTTGTTTATGTTCATATGCGTGCTCTTCAACTTGTTCAATACAACCATACTCCAGATGCATTTGCTTATACAGATCAACTGGCTAAACCCAGTGTTTGTTCACCTTTCCAAGTCCTTGTCCGTATCAAAGCAGCGGGAACAAATCCCGTAGATGCAAAAATAGCTTCTGGTGAATTGAACACAAGCTCTTTTTTACCATTGCCTTGCATTATTGGTGCTGACTTCTCTGGTATTGTAGAAGCCATAGGCAATCAAGTCGAGGATTTTAAAGTAGGTGATCATGTCTTTGGCTCATTACATATGCCTTTTGTCATGGGGACATATGCTGAATACACCTTGGTGGATACTCAAAAGGATTCAATTGCTAAAAAACCTTTGCATCTATCATTTGAAGAAGCTGCTTCTGCAGGCATTGGCGTATTAACGGCCTATCAAGGTATTGTAAAGAACAGCCCAAAGGACATACATCAGAAAATGCGGATCTTGGTCGTGGGAGCTTCTGGAGGTGTTGGCGTATTTGGCATACAGGTAGCAAAAGCCATACATCCTCACAATACAGTGGTAGGTATCTGTAGTGGTAGGAATGTAGAGTTTGTCAAGTCGTTGGGTGCTGATGATGTGATTGACTATACAGACAAACAAAAATATGAGCAGTTTATAAGAGACAATGAAAACTCATTCGACCTTGTCTTTGACTGTGTAGGGGGAGACGAGTATTATCAACAACTCGATCCTCTTTTAAACAAAACTGGTGTGTTCTCTACAGCAGTGGTTCCCAAAGGATATGTTAAAGCGAATGGGGGCAGGTTGACAGCAATTGCTATGTCTTACAAGTCTTTCTACAAGCATGTCTTTGCTTCTCATGCCTATGCTGTTGTAGTGTCACTTCCTCATGATGATTTTAGGTCAAAAATCGCTCCATTGTTTGATACTAAAGCAGTATCTGGTTTAGTCCATAGTGAAAACAAGATCCCATTAAAAGACGGGCATTTGGCACATCAGAAGCTTGCAACACGTCGTACAGTTGGCAAGATTGTGTTGACAATGGAATAAAAAAAAAATCCAATTCTTTGGACAATAATGCAACACAATAGTTTAATCTGCTTTATTTGTTACCCAAAAAAAAGAAATCGAATCTCAAGTAGTTTTTTGTTAGTGTTTAAGTACAATGGCATCTTTACTAAAGAGAAGAGGTCTTCTAAAGTGAAATAACACGCTTTTTCTTTTTCTCTTTTGTTCTTTTCATTGCATTGTTCTTTTTTTTAAGCCTCCTCTACGCGTTTAAGTCGGTCTTTCAATCGAATGCGTATTCATTTTTTCACAAACAAAAAATCCTTGTAGTGCTTTTTTGTCTTCTTTTTTTTTCTTGCTTGTAGCGTTGTGTGTGTATATTTAAAAGCGAAAGGACAAAAAAGAAAGAAGATTACTTTGCTATAGAACCACGTTGAATTATGCGTATACCACTCATCCTTTCTACTGCTTAATCTTGTTTATTATTTGGATTCCTTCTTGTAACATACATCTCCCCTTTTCTTTATTATCATTATTATTATCATTATTATTTAGATCGACTACCTTTATTATTAGACTGTACAAAAAAGAAAAAGAACACACACATACAAATAAACACACTTGGGAAAACAAAGCTATTATTATTATTATAAAAAAGAACACAATGCCATCTGGAAAGGTAAATTTCAAAAGAGACGTGTCTAATGACTAAAAATTTTTCTTTACAGCAGAATCTCGATCAGGTTCTTATGCCAACTCTTTGTTTCGGTGACATTAGTCGAGATGAAATCAATACTGTACTCAATATTGCTGGTGTTCCCTTGACGCCTCCAACAAAGGTAAGTAACAAGATGCTTTCGGGGGAAGTTCATGAACCAACATGATTTTTTTAGACTCCTTTTGTTACTGGTATTCAACCTAGAAAACCCGTAGTCATTCATACCCCTATTGTGATTGAACAAAAACTCGAATCCGTCCATGCCACACCAACTTCTGTACCAGTTCAACAAGTTCAATCTACACTCCATGAACCAAAGCTTGCTTCTGCTAAACCTTCTACTGCGGCCGAGAAGCAGCCAAAGACAGCAACCAATAAAAAAGAATCTACCGCTAAACAATCCGTTCAGAAACAGCAGCCAACACAGCAGCAACCTCAACAACCTCAACAACCTCAACAACAAGCACAGGAACCACCTTCTCCTCAACCAAAACCTAACAATAAACCTGTCGTTTCGAGTTGGGCTTCTTTACTCAAGACGGCTGATACAGTCAAGAAGCCAGCTTCACCTGCTGCTACTCATGCAATGACCAATGGTAAACTTCAACAGTCTCAACAGCCCAACAAACCCTCCAAACCATCTTCACCTACACCTTCTGTTGTTCCTAAATTCACTGGTGTAGCAGGTAAGAGTGATCAACAAAGAGAGAGTCATTGGCTGATGATTGTTAGATATCATAAACAAATATGAGCCTAATTACAGTGCTCCATTGATTCAACCGCGCGGTTTGATTAATAATGTCAATACTTGTTTTATGAATGTGGTAAGTTGTGTTTGAGTATGTTATGGTGCTGTACAAATTCATGGCTCTTTTCCTTTAGATCCTTCAACCATTGTCTCATTGTGCACCTTTTTATAATTTGATCAAGACGATTAGTAATCAAGCAGCACATAGCATAAAGAGCAAAACACCTTTACTGGATTCAATGCAAGTATACTATCTCAGTTGATTTGATCTAATCTGATAATGATAATATAGTATTGAATTTATCAATGAATTCCCTGCAGAGCGTCTTGATCAAATGGAACCTTATGGAGAACCTTTTGTACCAGAATATGTGTATAATGCATTACGTGGACAAAAGAAGTTTGATACATTACGTGGTCGACAAGAAGATTCTGAGGAGTTTTTATGTTTCTTGCTTGATGGTCTACATGAAGAAATGACTTCTGTCTTGAACGACAAGCGAAAAGAAGCTGAAAACAGTGAAGAATGGCTTGAAGTAGGTGCTAAAAATAAGACGAGCAATTTGAGATCCACAGGGTTTGAAGAATCGCCTGTTTCCAAGATTTTTGGTGGTAAAGTACGTTCTGTCCTTCGCTGTCCAGGAGCCAAGGATTCTATTAACTTGGAACCTTTCCAATCACTTCCTTTGGATATTCAGCCTGATAATGTACATTCAATTGAAGATGCTATTGCTAACATGACAGTGCCTGAAACCATGCACGATTATACTTCACCCAAGGGTATTAAAGTAGATGCAACAAAACAAGTCTATCTTGAAAGTTTACCACCCGTCTTAATTCTGCATATGAAGCGATTTGTGTTTGATGGATTATCTGGCAATGTACAAAAACTATCGAAAAAAGTCAATTACAGCGCCAAACTCACCATTGACCCTGAATGGATGGCAGCTGCATCAAGACCCAATGAGCCTTATACGTATCAATTGTTTGGCTGTGTGTATCACCATGGTACTTCTGCTGGTGGAGGGCATTATACGTGTGATATCAAGCGTAGAAATGGAGAATGGCTTCATATTGATGATACAACAATTACTTCTGTCTCTGAGCAAGATGTTACTGAAGACAATACCCGCACATCTGAAAGATTACATGCTGATCAAACAGCCTATATTTTATTTTATGTCAGATCTTGTTAGTTTAAATAAATATATATGTCTATGTCCATAGAGTGGCTTATTTGACTTGAGTGACTGGTAATTCTTGAAGAGGACAATTTTGTTGTTTGATTTCATTTTTTTTTCTTTTTTTCTTTTTATTTATTGCAAACCAAGTATGGGTGGTATCAGTAACATTAACAACAGTAAGAGAGAAACAACAGCAATAAAACAGAGAGAAAGAGAAACAATCTAATATATCATAACTTAGTTAGAGGTCCTTCTAAGGTACATGCTCGTCGTGCTGCCAAGAATATCAAAAAGAATAACCGTCGTGTGGTTCCTTCTGTCACTACAAAGCGAGTTGTGACCAAAAAGAAGCAAAAACAATTAGAGAGAGCCATCAAGAACGAAAAGAAGATGTTGGCTTCTAAAGGTTTGATTGAATTAGAAGAGGAAATGAAGGATGTTGCTCTTCCCAACCCTCTTAGACAAAGAGTGATGAATGCTTGTATGCCTTCTGATGAAGTTTTGGCTGCTGCTGCTGCTGGACCTGGTACTATCCTCGGTGGTCCTCAATAAGCAAACCCTTTATTTTCAGCATATATATGATTCATTTTATACACGCACGCATATACAGACTTTCATTTATTTAACTATGTAAATACACAAAATAATAAACACTGATTTTACCGGAAAAAAAATGTGATATTTCCCGGTTATTCATTCTAATTCATACTGTTTAGACCAATAAGAATACATCGTTTGCTCTATTTATTTCCCTCTTTGCATAATCTCTCTCCTTTCAACAGTTTCTCATGAAAGACATAACAAACCATTGTCCTACTTTGTCAGAACAAGTAGCAACGAATGATTTATCCGTTGAGACAACATTAGAAAACGAAAAGCGGAAAATCATTGAGAAGAAACTGGTTCGAAAAATTGATCTACGGTAATAAGGAAGTCATGTTGCTATTCAACTCAATTTTATCCAGATTGATTCCATGGTTATCGGTGCTTTATTTATTGCTAAGTCTTGATCGAAACAATATTGGTAATGCTCGATTAGGGTCACTTGAGGCAGATTTGCATTTAGTAGGCAATGATTATTATACTGCCTTGACCATTTTCTTTGCAGGTAAAGAAATGTAGAAAAGACTTAAAATCAATGTATGTGTAGGCTATGTTATTTTTCATATTCCTTCCAATATCATGGTAAAAAGAATACCTCCTTCTCGTTGGATGGCAGGTACGATGGTACTTTGGGGCATTTGTTCTCTTTGGTAAGCCAGGATAATAAGATTTTGGCTCTCATTTCTATTCATGGCTAGTCAAGCATTCACGCAGAATGCTGCAGGATTGATTGCATGTCGATTCTTTCTAGGTTGTTTTGAAGTAGGCGTAGGTCCTTCTACGCCTTTGTTTCTTTCGTTTTGGTATCAACGCGAAGAATTAGCTACACGCGTAGCCATCTATTTTGGCTCTTCTACAGTAGCTGGTGCGTTTGCAGGTGCTATTGCCTATGGTGTCTTGGGTCATTTAGATGGTGCGCACAATATGGCTGGTTGGCGATGGCTTTTTATTGTAGAAGCCGTTCCTACTATTGTGTTGGGTTTCTTGAGTTTTATTGTATTACCCAACATGCCTGAGACTGCAGGTCGTTGGCTTTCAGTCGAGGAAAAGCAAGTAGCTATTCAAAGAACAAGACAAAGTGGTAATACAGATGCAAAGTCATTTGACAAGAAGCAATTTGTGGCCGCTTTGATGGATTACAAAGTTTGGTTAGCAGGTAATAACCCCCCCAAAAAAAAAGGAAGGCTGTTTCCTAACCTTTTTGATAGTGGTAATTTATGTTGGATTGAATATAGCCTTAGCTAGTTTTGCTATCTTCTTACCCACCATTATTCGAGATATGGGATTTAGTTCATTAGATGCACAGTTACTTTCGATTCCTCCTTATGTGGTTGCCTGTTGCCTTGTATTCGTAAGTCCAGTTTCAAGTTAATGTGATTGATTCCATACTAGATTGTTTCCTGGAACTCGGACCGTACATTACAGCGTGGATATCATATCATGGCTGTCTGTGCCCTAGGTGTTCTAGGCTATATTTTCTTGTTAGCCAGTACAGATACAGGTGTACGTTACACAGGTGCTATTCTTGTTGCTTGTGGTATCTATCCCATTATTCCCCTTACACTCTCTTGGGTTTCCAATAACCAACTAGGACATACGAAGCGAGGGGTGGCTATTGCCATGACTTCCATGATTGCTCAGTGTTTTAGTATGTTGGGTACACAAATCTACAAGGCAGAAGATGGACCTCGTTATCTCAAGGGACACTGTGTTTGCCTTGTCTTTTTATGCTTGGCAGGTTGTTCAGCTGCATTATTACGGTTTTTATTAGCACGTGAGAACACGCAGCGTAACAAACAAGTGGGTGAGACAAATAATGATATGACTGGCATAGATATTGACGGAGTCTATGATCGACATCCACAATTTAGATATACTTTATAATAATAAATAAAGATCAAACAGGCGTCATATAGTTGCCTGGTACAAGACCTCGTTTCCTTCTGACAGGATCTAAAAGTTCAGCATACCACCAGCCGTCAGGTTGTCTGTTCAGGATAGCGAAACGATCATTGGCTAAAAAGGACAGTTCCGAAGCAATCTAATTATGAGTAAGAGGAGGAGGGGGGGGAATCATCTATGTTTGTACTCTTATTACCTTGGCTTCATAGTTCCATAAGGCACGGCATTGTTGCAAAATGATAGCACCATCAGCTAAACGTTGAGGTTGATCAGAAGAAGACAATTGGCTTGCTGTTACGATTTGTTGTAATTGCTTAAAAGCAGAATGTGCATTTTCATGCTTGGTTGGATCCAAATGAGTGTATCCATGACTAGGTACATATTTCTGAGCAGCATATCCCTGAAGTTCAGCAGGTGTCTGTACCAGTAAAGTGGAACGTTTTGACTCTTCCACTTTAAAGATAGGGTTCTGAACAGGCTTAAAACGCTCGTCGTCTAGTTGCGTCTTTTTCTTTTCTTTTTTATCCTTCTTTTTGTCTTTTTTGATATTCACAGGCACTGTTTCTGTCATGACAGCCATTTTATTTTAAAGAAAAAAGAAAATAAAAAAACTAAAAATAAAAAATAAAATTTTTATATCGAGGCAACCCGAGGTACCTGAACTATAGATGATGTAATCTTTTGACAACTGTATATATTTTATTCATGCTTAATTCATTTGAACATCTTCAGATCCACCCATATAACTGTCCATGTCAGCATCCAATTGATCTTCAGTAGGTTTAGGACGATGGGTTCTGTTTGTATTACGACGAGGTCCACCACGGTTATTGGCACCACGAACATTACCAACACGACGAGGTGAAGGAGCAGGAGCCACAGCAGAGACAATAGAGGCAACCGTGATTCGCATAGGGCGACCTAGCATACATAAGTATATGTGCGTGTATGTATTGCAAAAGTATTCTTACCATCTAATTCAACATTGTTGTATGTGTTGCGTGCTCTTTCAGCATCATGGCTGGATTGAAAGACAACATCAGCAATACCAGCTGATTTACCATTAGGACCAATATGAAGAAAAGCTCTTTTCAATGGACCAATTTGACCAAAAAGATCCTATCATTCAATTAGAAAGACGCGTCATGTATTAATAAAACTTACATAGAGATCCTTTTCAGTCACATTGAAATGCAAATTAGCAACGACAAGGCTGTTGTTGGCACGGTTTGCAACAGGCTTAGTGTTGTTGCTGCGTGTGTTGTTGTTGTTGTTGTTGCGAGAAGGTCTGGATCCATAAGGCTTTTTTTTTTTTTGAAAAGGAGAGAAGGGAAGAAGGAGAGTTGATTAGGAAACACGTAAATAAAACATAATAATAATAATAATAATAATAATAAAGGGAAAACACATCATTCAGAGTGACCATATACACAACTTGAACCAACAAAGAGACAGAAACAGACAGACAGAGGAGAAACAGAGAATTTTTTTTTTAAGAAAAAAAAAAAGGTACCGTGTCTTTCTTGCGCTGAGCAAAATTGCTGTTTTTCTTCATATCCAACATCTCTTTCTTTCTTTCTTTTTCTTTCTTTCTTGTCTTATTTGCATGTGGTGTATATATATACATATGCGCATGTGTATATGTATGTGTGTATATGTGTGTGTGTGTGTGTGTGTGTACAAGTGTATATAAAATTAAGTACATACCGAGCGACCACCAGATGAACGAGGTTTGTTGATACCACCACCACTACCAGAACGACGGGTGTTTGATTTACTGTTATTGTTGTTATTGGTGTTATTGCTACGTCTACTGCTACGGTTTTGAGAAATGACATCGTCAAGAGCCATATCAAGAGCGCCAAGGTTACTCATAGTGTTATATATATATATATAAAAAAGAAAGGATGTGTAAAAAAAAAAAAGAAAAGAAAAAAATTAGGGAGGGGGATTGTAAGTGTGCGTATACCCAAGAGTAGACGTCACAAATAAACAAGAGCCAATCAAATGATAAGACATATACACACACTTTGTTGATACCCCCTTTTTTATTTATCAACATTATGTTCTTTATCTTGATAACCAGTAGCAGCATCCCAATTTCCAATACGGAAATCTTCTATAGAGCTCTTTGCTGGTTGAGTAGGAGAATAGTCTTCAGATTCGGGTAAAGGATTGTTTTTGCATTTCTCAGCTGTTGTCTTGCGTTTCTGTGCTAGTAGTTTAGCAAAGTCACTCCATGGCACATCCACAAAGGATGTATTGGTAGGTGTGATAATACTTGGTTCTTCGCTCACCAAATTAGGCACGGATTTGAGGTTTTGAACATATTTCTGACCGGGATCCATTGTTGTATAAGAGTTTCATAAGAGAAGAATGTCACTTGCTTTTATAGCTTTTTCTTTGAAGGGTTTCTGTTTCATTACTTGGGAATTATCTTAATCAAAGCGAATAAGTTATATTGCATGTATTCACACAAGCAATGATCATCTTGAATGACGTAATAATGAGCAAAAGCTTTTATATATATATATATGAGATGGAATGTGGGTAAATAATTAACCAGTCTAAAATAAAATTTGGTAAATGAAATCGTGGTAAAAGAAAAAAAAAAAAAAAAAGGCAAGAGGCTCTCTCTCTCTCTCTCTCTCTTATCTTGATAAAATAAACATATACATATATAGTAGAAATACATAGTGGTACATATAAAACAAAAAAAAAAAAAAAAAAATTAGAGTAATAATGTCTGAAGGTTTTCATGAAGTATACTGTCAGACACAGATTCCATGACATGCGCTAATAACCGAGTATCTGTAGCCACTGTATAATGTACATAAATTTGTTTGCCGGCATTGTTATTGAGATTCATGAATCTTGTCTTGAAGAATTCTTTGCCTTGGTCTACATTAGTGGGTGATCCTTGATAGTCTGGGAAATAATCTTTAATACGAGATCGAGTCACCTTTTCTTCAAACAAGTCTGCCTTGTTAAGAAAGAGAATGATGGAAGTATTGACAAACCATTTGGAGTTACAGATAGACTCAAATAGCATGAATGCTTCATACATCTAACAAGATTAGTCTTTTAGCTGTGTGTAATCTTGCTTACTTGATTCTATATGTAGAACAAATTAACGATCGATCGGTAACACAAAATAAACTTACAGAGTATTTATCTTCCACAAGACAGCAATCATATCCACTTAGTGCGGCTACAAATAGAATAGCTGCCACGTTGTCAAAACAGTGAATCCTTTAACTCTGTCAATATATATATATATATACATGTAGACTTGGTGACTTACCACTTCTTTCTTTCACTACGCTGCCCACCCACATCAAACATCCTATAAATCACAGATCCATTTCTAAATTTGGTCTCTACAATTCCTGATTTTCGGTTTAGGTTACACTCTTCTGAGTTATATTTTTACCTGTTGTTTTGATTCTACAATGAATAATATCTGCATCTGTTGGCATGTATTCAGGGTCAAACAGTCTATCTAACTGATCAAAGAAACTAGAGACATAAGAGTAAATAGATTGCGTATGTGCCTTGGACTTACTATTTGATATTCTCATTAAAAGCAAATGTGTGTCCCTTGGAAAATGTGGTCTGGATACTTTCATCTTGCCATAGTGATTTCAAGGGAGATAGGTAATCAATCAGATATGGCTCATGAATCGATAGTTGCGATGCACTCGAAACATCTTCAAACAATGTAATGTAATTCTACAATACCATCAATACACATCTCCAGCCTACAAAGTTAACTTTACCCAGTTTTCTTGGTTTGACAATGTCAAATTGAGAAGATGCATACTTTCCAACAAGGCTTGCATCGAACCTAACAAGTTGGTAAAGATCATGGCCCGAAAGTTTTCTCGTTCAATCTTAGAGAACCCAGAGGCATGAATCAGTCTCATCTGTTTGATGATGGTGGACTTGCCAGAATCACCAGCACCTAAGAAATATGTGAATATAAGGTGCATATATTATAGAAATGTACCTAAAAGTAGAATCTTAATTTCTTTAGCTACTTTCTTTCTCTCCATTTTGAGTTGTTTGTCAATCGCTTTTGACCGCGAACTAAGGCTGTTTCCCATTTTCTCTAATAACGAAAAAAAAAAAAAAAAAGAAAAAAAAAAAAGAAAGAATGCAGGAGGATATTTTTTTTTCCCTTTTCACATTTTGTTATTGTAAGTTAAATGAAAAAGTCATTAATGTTATACAGTCACACAGAAAAATATTGAATATCTTTTCATTCTCCAAGTCAAATAAACATTGCATGCTTTCCATCCTTGAACAAGTTTTCCCCTCAAGGCATGATACTGTAAACCGTATAGAATAAAAGCTTAAGTTGCTTATTTAACAAAAACAATATTTAATGTAACCACTATTTGCATTAGTTACAGCTTAGTATTGGTCAGTCAAGCGTGTAGTATGAAGGTAATGAGTAGTCAACTACCTCCTTGTATTATTTTACATAGACTAGTTAATATCTGTTACCAGTGTATCTCTTTTCTATTCTCTGCTCTTTCTTATAGCCTAATATAGACATTATTTATGTATCTCATGCTCTGCTTAATTTGTGGAATCTGATTTTTGCTTTATTTTTTCACAGAATATAAAGAGAGAAACTCAGCTATGGATAAATATTATTATTTTTTACAGATAAAACTTATTTACAACGAGACCAGCTTGCATGTGTTATTTCTTTTTTTTTCTATCGATTGGACAAGTCCAGCCAGGCTGTTCAACTTGATCGTATTTGGATTTCCAGATCCAAGAATTACCGACAATACCTTGTCCTTGTCGTTCAGCCAATCGATAGTATCTGGCAGCCAAGTAGACATCTTTCTTGATACCCAAGCCATGCATATAACAAAACCCTAAATCATTTTGAGCATCAGGGTCACCCAAGTTAGAAGCCACCTGGAAATAATAGGTAGCAGTAGACAGATTCTTGGGCACACCCCAACCATGCCGAAAACAGACACCCAATTCATAAATGGCCAGCACGAGTTCTGATTTGGCTACTGTATAGGCAGCCGTTGTGGACTGAAGATCATAGACAGCAGATTCAGCCGCTGTCTGCAAGTACTGCACAGCTTGTGCTGGGTTCTTTTTACATCCCCAGCCATGTCGAAGTGCAATACCATAAAAAAATAGGCCGAGGGGATATCCGTTCTCTGCACAAAGACGCCAATAATACGTTGCTTTTTCTAATTGTCCGTTTTCGTGGTATTTAAGGCCCATCTGTAAATGAATTTCATCTTGCTTTCTATCTTCTGATGACCTATTGTTTTGATGAGACATGAGACTGCTGCTGTTTGTGGTTGCGATGGAATGATCATCACTGAGTGAGGGTTGCACAGATCGAGGACGATACAGGTCAATAGGATGGTCATTGTTGTCATATATATTAGACACACTGAGTGAAGAAATAGGAGGATCTGAAGATTGTTTTTTAGAGAGCAACATGGAGAACCGTTGCTTTTTTGTAGCGTCTTTGGACGAAAACACTTGACGCAGTTTATTCATATCAACCAAAAAAAAAAAAGGAGAGAGAAAAAAAAAAGAATGCAAACTTATTTGTTGGTTTTTTTTAGCTGAACTAGTGGAATTTCCTAATTCAACTTTTCGCATTTTGAAATTCTTTTGATATACCTTAGACTTGAAATAACTAATTAGGAAAGTTATTATTATTGATCTTTAGAGCTGAAGGTTTCCCATGGCATGAGTCTCTAGGGAAAGTACCTATCGTCTTTATCCTTGATAAACTTTAGTACTTGAAGCACATGATTTGTGTAGAAGGTCGAGAGGAGGAGGGGGGGGCGGCGGCAGGGAAGGAGTGTCTCCATAAGATAATAATTAGCTTCAGTCAGATATCTGGCTCTAGGAGATTTTCTTCTGAGGATAACAATAAAAGAACATAAATAGAATTGTTTATAGTACCAAATTACGGATAAGAATTTTATTTGCTACTGGATTACAATTTGGCTTGCAAGAATTCAGCTCTTTGTTTTGAGGCTGCTTTATCGTAATCAGCTTGAGTGATGCCTCTGGCTTCAACAGCTGGGTTATAGCCTACACGAGGCTGAGTGCGTGCATTGTTAGCCTTCTTATAGACGGTGACTACGACAGCACCACCTAAGCCCACATTATGCTGAAGAGCGCAAGAAGCATTAGGCACTTGACGATCGCCTGCCCAGTGACGCAACTGCCAAACAAGTTCTAATCATTCATTAAATACGAGTTTTCCCATGCTTTACATTACCTGTGCATTGAGCTAAACCTGTAGCACCCAAGGGATGTCCTTTAGAGATCAAACCTCCTGAAGGATTGATGACATACTTGCCACCATACGTATTATCGTTACTGTCAATCAACGTATGCGCTTTTCCTTTAGGCGTTAATCCCAGACTCTCATAGGTCAAGAGTTCATTGGCTGAGAAACAATCATGTAGTTCAATCACCTGCACATCATTAGGTGTGATCTTGGCCTTCTTGTACACTTCAGCAGCAGCACGACGAGTCATGTCACAACCGGCCCATTCAATCGCATCTGTGGAGAGCATAAGAGGTGAATCTGTGGCCATCACTTGAGCCACAATCTCCACAGCTTGGTCCCATAATTGATGCTTTTCAACAAAGGCTTGACTGGCTACGATAGCACAGCCTGCACCATCGGATGTAGGACAGCACTGGAGTTTTGTGAGAGGACCAAAGACCTTGGGCGATTGCTTGATTTGTTCAAGTGTGTACACATCGCGGAACTGAGAGTATGGGTTCAAGGCACTGTGACGATGATTTTTTTCTGCAATTTTAGCCAAGTGTTCTTCAGTAGCACCGTATTTTTCCATGTAACCCATGCCGGCATTACCAAAGATTTGTGCAGCAGGAGGTGCTTTGGGTTCGAATCCACGTTCTTGGGCCATGATGGTGCTGACGTGATCTATACATGTAAACATATGAATGTTTATACCTTATATATATATATATCATTTACCCATAGGATTAGTGCGGTCAGAAAAAGTAGAAGAAAGTGAGCCTCTAGCCATACGCTCAAATCCAAGAGCCATAGCACATTCAACAGAGCCTGAAGCAACAGCGTTCTTGGCTTGGTAGAGTGCAGTGGAACCAGTAGAGCAGTTGTTGTTGACATTGATAATAGGAATTTGAGTCATACCCAGTTGATACAAGACACGTTGACCTGCAGTACTATCACCATAGACATAACCTACGGTAGCATATTCAACAGCATCATAAGTAATACCAGCATCATTTAATGCCTTGACTGCTGCTTCAAGGCCAAATTCTGCTTCTATGTCAATACAAGTTGAGGATACAAAACTCACTTGCCTGGATAGTCTACTTCACCACGAGGTTTAATAAACTTGGACATACCAACACCAATAACATAGACTTTGTTTGCAGTCATAATGTGTACAAACGAGAAGAAATAAAGAAGAAGAAAAAGAGAGAGAGAGAGAGAAGGAATTATATGAGAAGGAGTTATTTGAGTAACAAGGTGGTGCATGAGAAAACTTTAAATAGGAAAAACACTACTGCCGTCAACTAGAATTGCACATTCGAGTAACATAAAGTTTATTAGATTTAGAGAAAGTCATCTAGTTTTTCAATCAACAGTTGACAACGCACATGCAATCGACTATCCCAATCAGAATCACCTGTATTGTCTGAAGTTACTGAAGTATCGTATTGAGGTGGTTGACTTTGTTGTTGTTGTTGCTGCTGCTGCTGCTGTTGTTGTTGTTGTTGTTGTTGTTGTTGTTGTTGGCGGTGTTGCAAATGTTTTTCTGACTTGGTGATCCATTCATGTGCTTCTTTATAAAGCTTTTTTTGTTGCAGTTTTGTCATAGATGGCTGCATCATTTGAAAACAACACAAACAGGCCATTTCATACAATACATGAGGAATAACCCAGCAATCTTCACTTGTACCATCATCAGAAAGAATGGCTTGACGTAAATAATAGTCCGCCAGGTCCATATCGCCCAACTCTCGTACACTTACACCCAGCAACAGATAAAGTAATGGTAAGTCATTACCAATGTCTTGTTTGGATATCGTAACCAGTGTTGTTTCAATCGTCTGTTTCATGACTGTCAGTGTCTCTTGATCCAACTGAGAGAATCCATTCCATAAATAAATCAACTCCCATAGTGGATGAGCCACGACAACGCGCTTCAGATCAGGTCCATCCAAGCACTGGCCTTTGTTTTTGGATTTCCAATGCTTGATTTTTCGTTCTGCAAAGATCTCATTGGGTAATAGACGACCGCCCAAATGTCTTTTGCGTTTAAGAATACCTGGTATTTGCATGAACTCCAAAGCAGATTTTTCGTATTCTTCGTCAGCAAACATACAACAGGTAGCAATATAGTGATAAAATGCTCGAGACCAATTGTTCATACTCTCTAGACGAAAGAAGGTCTCTGCTGCCTGAAAATAATCACCCAGAAATATTTGGCCCCTAAAAAGGAAAAGAAGAGGAGGTGAGCCATCTCTCCCTTTTTTTTATTGCTTTCTTTCTTACCATCCCATCTCATAGACAGCTAATGCTTGAAGTTGAACTAATTCAAGGCTTGTGGATGCTGATTTTTTCTTGTTCTTTTGTTGTTGATAATGATAACTACTATTGCTGTTACTAGACATCACTAGATCCACACGCGTGTTCTCTCTACGCCTAGCATCCCGTAATATTTCTACGCCACGTCTTGTCTTGCCTTCCATTTTACATAATTTTCCTTCGAGCAATTTCCAAATTTTTCCTTGAGGAAAAGTCAGTTTCATTTGATCCAGAGTATGTCTTGCAGTTTCGAGGCTGAGCGAATTGGGTAATAACTTGGGATGGATAAACAGAGACAAGTTGGTATAATACGCAAGTAACGAAAGTGCTGATAACGACGAATAAAGGCCTTGACTTCTAAATGATCTGAGGAGTAAATCCAATGCAAACGGACGAGACGAATGAAATCCAAGTGTGTTGAGGATTTTGTTCACTACTTGTTATGAGTACAATGAAAGTGGTGTTAAATAAGCTTACCTCGAGGCGGAAGTAACGAAAAGATCAAGCTAAACAACCCAATACCAAAAAAGACGCCACTTTCAATGGCATTGTCGATCACCAGATACGATGTATCTATTGCATCAAACGAACTCCTGACGGTGGATAATGGTCTCGATTTATGGGTGGGATCTACGACAAGGGTAGGTGAGGATGAGGCTCGATGTGTATCGGGACTTTCGGTGGGTATATGAATCAAACTGAGTCGTCTCTCTGTCCAAGAAGCACGTATCTGAGGTGAATTTGTCAACAGGGTCGTCAAGGATGACGCCTCAAAAGATGGTTTTTGCTGTTTCGACTTTTTTAGATGAGAAGCATATTCTGAAGCCTTTTGGCCTGTGATCGATTCAAACATTTGTTCGTATAGTTTGTAGGCTTTCCGAAGTTTATAGGCTGCTTTCATGTATTCAAACCAGCTGTTTCTCAAGAATTGGATAGTGGAGGACATGAGCATACAGCTGGTAGCCAATAAATCGTATTGAATCTCTGGTGCACTCGACCGATGCGAGGATTTTGTGTTGGTAGGATGATCGAACGAGACAAACGTGATGGGGTCTTCTTCATGATGTTGTTTTTTCTGTGTTGATTTGTTACTGCTCCAAGTTCTTTTTCGCGCTTTTTTAGAAAACTGCCTTGCCAAGATTTCTGCTGCTGCAATTCGATCAAGTGCTATTTGGATTTTATCTGATTCAAAACCAAGCATGGCTTCCACATAAGCAACAAGTGCAAACCCAACTGCGTGAAATGGTGATTCTTGATGATGTTGAAGGAAAATAGTGTTTGCCAACTCGAAGTCGTCGTTAAAAAAAGCGTCCTTGTTTTTTCAAAAAAACATATGAGCTATCCATGTTAAATAAAGTATGTCTTACCAAGCCCCTTTGTGTCTCACTAATCCAATAAGCAAGTAGTTGAGGTGAAGGAACAGTGGAGTCGTCTTTTGAAGAAGCACTTAGACTTATCAAGACTGCAGCAGTGTTATTAGCAGCATATTTTATGGAAGAAGTAGTAAATTTTGATAAATTGTTTAATTGTCTAAGCATGAATTAATTTAAAATAATAGTAGAAATATATATACACAACATGTAAATACAACAAAATACAATCTATACACAAAAAAAAAAGAAGAAAAAGAAAAAGAAAAAGAAAAAAAAACTCCCTAAGTTATTTTAAAAAAGTATGTATTGCCAAATAAAGAGCAAAGATGAAATACAATAAATGTATTGTACAACCTTGTTGCTCTTATTATCCCTTCTGTTTATTTACTTTCTGTGTAAGGAATTCTTTTTATTTTCCCTTTCAACAAGAACTTATACCTTTTTTGTAGCCTACTCAAGTGTGCCTTGAAGATGAAGAAACTAGGCTACTCTTCACTTATCTTTTCAAACTCAATGAGCTTTTTTTTAATTAAATTGTGCGGACTTTTTCTCTAAGCAAGAAGAAGAGATAAAATGACGATAGTTTGATCGACAATTAGAATAATAAAAACCATAAGATTTCGCCTCCTTTAGTATTTGGGGCAACTCATGATGAATGACACAGCCTATCTGGGGAATCGCATGACATATAAACAAATAAACAGACACTATAAAAGAGGAGAATTGATTGATATAGTTTCAAACAATACCCCATGTTTGAAATAACCTGTATGTCATAGCTACACTCGGTGAAGGCCGCTTGCCATCTTCTATAAGCATAAATAAGGGTGCTCTATTCTATTCTTATTATTATATCATTAATGACAGCATAATGGCTGAGATTTATGTCAATAGCATTACTCTTCTTGTGAGAGTCTCTTTCAAATAGCTCGAGTATGATTTTCATCGAAGCAATAAGACCCTAGAAATTAAAAAAAAAAAAAAAAAAAAAAAAAAAAAAAAAAAAAAAAAAAAAAAAAAAAAACTTAGTGTATAGGCTGTCAACATTACAAATGAGGGAAGGAATAGTCATTATTTGAAAGGAAAGCTTGCTTGAACAGTATTCTGCGTTTCGAAAACAAAAACTTCTTGCATTAATAGCAACAAATAAATCATCATTATTGTAGCAAATCTATCATTCAAATCCTGTTTATCCTTTGAGAATTGATCTGATCAAATTCAAAATATCTGGAGAGTATGATTGCTTCTTATGACAAATTTATTAGTTCGAAAAGTGTCATATACAAAGAAGGACACCTTATGTTGAAATAAACATTCTCTCTCTTTTTTTTTCCATAGGTTGATCTTGGCTTCAAAAAGCAATTCTTAACGGATACGTTTCTCAATACCGGGAAATCTATAAAGATTATTGTAGTACTTTCATGATGTTTTTACTGATGCGCATGAATTGGGTTTCCTATATTGACAGGTTCTGTCTACCAAACGAAGGCATTTTATCATTAAGACTTTTCATTTCTTATCTCCCTTGTTCTTTATTACTGTCCTTGAGCGTAAGCAAACATGTGCTAGTAGATTGTCTGTCAGCAACAGCACCAATGATGCGCTTAATAGTTTAATACATCAACACTCAATCTATCTTTTAATTGGCTCTTTAAGGGTTTATCCTTTTCGCATACTCATCTTTGAGTCAAAGAAAGAACTCAAGCGCTTTGTATTTTCTGATTCCTGACTTACGATTTTAGTGTCATTACATCATTAAAGACTCTGCTTTTTTGAATTGCTATTCAGATCTAATGTGATCTGCCTTTTTTTCTTAAAAAAAAACGGTATGACTAAATAAATACGGGACAATATACAGTATTTTCGGAAAGTATTCGTGCACTAATAATTTTTCGTTTCGTGCAATAAAAATAAATAAATCGTGCGGACTTGGAAAACAATTTCGAGCAAAAAAATTAAAGTCATGGTGCAAAAGTAGAAAAAGAGTTGGGTCAAAAAATTCATGCATGGTGCACGAAATTAATGTTTATTAGATTGGCTTTCTGTTCAAACAATCATCAAACATAGACATAGAATGTCTACAGAACCCCTTCAAGTCGCTCAAAAGGACTTTGTTACAGGCGTCTGTTATTCTGGAGGTGAGTGTTTCCTCTTTCAAAAGTTTCTCTCTTTTGACCTTGCTCTTGCAAACAGCCCAAAATTCTTCAATAGGGTTAAGGGTTGGTGAATATGGAGGAAGGTAGACGCAGCCATATCCTCTGCTTTCTATATACTTTCTTATGTCTTGGTGCGTATGGATAGGCGCATTATCCATGACTATATAGCTATCCTTGAAGATCTCGTGACGATCCAAAATATCCAAGCTACTAGCAATAAAGTTGAAGTAATGGCCAGTCACTGTTCCTCCTTTGCCCTTGTTTGCGACAGTTGAGTTTTTTCCTGTCAACTTTCTTTTCTTTGCGGGCTCCGCTACCTTGGGCTGTTTGATCTTGATATTGACAACACCGTGAGCAGATATAGCACCAAGAATAGTCGTGGTCTTTGCTCTTGTCTTTGGGACTGTGACAATGGCAGGATCACCTTTTTTAGACCAACCATAAGAGCGCTTCAAGTTGATATGGAATGCAGATTCATCAATAAAAACGCAGTTGCTCATATAATCCATGTCAGTCTCTTCCCAGTGTTTCACTCATTGATATCTAGCTTCAATTTTCTCAGGAGAATTTCGCTCAACTGAATAAAGCTTTGCTCGCTTGAAGCTGAGATTGCACTTTGTAGTGACAAACTCATACAAAGCAGTCTTTGAGATCTTCAGATCCTCAAAGCTACTCGTAAGACACTCCATCATCTCTTCCAAGACCATTTCAGGCCTTTCATCAATAGCTTCAATCAGACACTCCTTATGAGCATCATTGAGGATTGCAGGTCTTCCAAGCTTCCGCTTACCATCTACAGTCCTTTCCATAGCGACCTCACTGTCCTTTTCCAAGCTCGCCTCTCCTTGCTTGAACCATGTTTGTGCTGTCGTTGGTGGTATACCAAGCTGTTTAGCAGCACCTCGGACACTCATATTCTTTTCATACACTAAGTGAAAGAAGTTACTCTTGTCCTCAGGTTTGTACTTCCGATAGGTCTTCTTAGAAATCCCACCAACATCTCCCGCAATAGGGTTTGTGGTGTTGCTTTCAGTCTTCATAACAACATCTTTGGCTGCTTTTTCAGGAGGCTTGAGATCAGTGTACATTGCGAAATCTGTAACATCTCCTAAGGGGTAAGCTTCGTCATCCACTTCCATTGCAAACTCAAGATGCTCTTCTTCATTCTCATTTGTTAGGTTTCCGTTTCCATCTTCATAAACAAAGTTACTCATTTTCAACTACGTAGAATATAAAATTGCACTAAGTAAAAACTACTTTTGCACCATGACTTTAATTTTTTTGCTCGAAATTGTTTTCCAAGTCCGCACGATTTATTTATTTTTATTGCACGAAACGAAAAATTATTAGTGCACGAATACTTTCCGAAAATACTGTAGACGATGCCAAGTAAGATTACAAAACCGCCAATATATTCAAAAAGAAGCTCCTCTTCAATCCTATTTAAAGCAGTGCTTGATGAACAATGATCATAATAATGAAAATTTTCTATTGTAAAACGTGTAGGCTTAGATACGTGTGTGCACATACACATGTGTACATACATATGTGTATATCGCATTACAAATCCTGATTATAACTTGTATACAAATAGCTTATTGTGGCTAACTAATAAACTCAGTTCAATTTTCACAAAGTGTTCTAGTGGATTCGACCATTTGAATGAAATAATCAAATTTGGTTAAACGTTATTCGATTTGCCACGATATCAAAAAAAAGGGAAGAGAAGGAACATACAAGTACAACGTAATTTTGTTTTGTGTACCTCATTTTCTTTTTATTAGCTCGAAAAAAAAAGCGGGAAAAAATTATCTCTTTTAATGATAAAGCAAAATAAAGACGAAACAGAGTAAGGTAGCTCAAAAAAGTATAGGAACCAGTCACTTTTTTAGGCATAACACAATACTTTTTATGCGTAAGCTAATAACCAGTAAATCTCGGTAGAGCCTATCTCTTCGAGCCTAATTTACTTAGTACAACGTAATTTCTATGAACACATATCTAAAGTAGCGGTCATTCAATAACGAAGAGCTGGAATATTCTTGGTTTATGCTTCACCAAACAGCCTGAATGGATTGGATCAACATAATCTCGAGTGCGCAGAAAATTGAATTTCCTATTAAAACGGAACAACTGATAAAGAAAATAGCTACACAGTAAGCTATGGTTTTGCTAAAGAGGAAAAAAAGATACTATTGTGAAACCTTTGTTGATTTCTATCATCATTTTCTTGAGCCCTTTTTTACCTTTTTCTCTTCTTTTTCATTTTCTTTCTCTTTTTCTATCTCTCTCTCTCTCACATCTTCTTTTCTTTAAATGAGTGTCCAACAACATGACTTGGAAACATTAGCAAGAGTTTGCAAGGATGGTGTCTGTCATTGTGACTGGCGTCTAACACTTCAAGATTGTGTGGAGAGTAAGCCCATGACAATTATACATGGAATTCATATTGGCTTATCTGGAATCACAGTGTTGCTTGGTAAAATAACAACAATAACAATAGTGATTATGATTATCTAATACGATTTTAGGCATCGTTTTATTGACACACAGAGTGGTCTTTAAAGGCCATCGATTATTTGACATTAACCTATCAAAGGGTTGTTTTCGTCCAAAACCTATTGACTGTATGCTTCTATTTATTATCATATTTAATCTTTGTAAGGTATCACATTCTCTCTCTATATACATGCTTACATAGACCAATAGTACGATTGATCTCAAGTACTGTGCTGATTACTGACATTTGTCCTGATATGATTTCACGTTCATGTATATGTCCATATTGATACTAAATAGCATGTACTAACTGAATTTTTAGTTTTATATGAATTCCCTTGGCAATTCGGATTTGGTTCTTTTGCCTTGTATCTTATTGGTATTGCCCAGACGCTTTCAGATGTGAGTACAAATAATTTAATACTATAAACAGCAAAACTAATAACAATTTATAGAGTCATCGAGTACTTGCTAATAGCTGGCTACCATCACCAAGACTTGTTGACTTTATCGGCGGTAGCATCTTCCTTGCTCCTTTTATTGTTAACAATGTCATGGCACTCGCTGCTGGTATTCTCGCTGAACGAGACCTACATCTTGCCCAGTTGTTTACTCGATTGTTGTACATCATGTGGTTTGTACACTGTTCAAGTCTTGCTGTAGCTGTCATGTTTGCAGGTGTTCGTCTGATCGGTATTTTGCGAGAACATCTCAAGAAATTCAATACTTCAGGTCCTCGTTACATTTCTGTTCAAACTGGTATCTTCAAAATTCGTGCTGTCGTGACCATTATTACTATCTGTTTGATGATGTTTGCTGTGTTCTTATTAATCTTTGGCATTCTGCGTGAAATTATTGTAGTCAACTTAGTTGGATCTGTTGTTCTAGGCGCTGTGTGGAACTTTTTAGGTGCAGTTGCTACTATGGGCGTCGAGATTGCTATTATTTTCAAGTAGGTTAGAGTATTTATAGAAACACATGTATGCTAACTTTTTACTCTCTAGTCCAAAAGTAGACGATAATGCTGATCTTGGCCTCAAGACTTCCAGTGCTGAAAAATCAATCAGTCAAACACCTCAGTTTGTGACATACTCCAATTTTTCTGCACAAGAATATTCTGCTACTGCCAGTAATAACAATCAAAATGGTATCCAAGGAACACTGAGCCATAACGCATTTGATGAATTAAAATTACAGCAACTTCAATACCAGAAAGTGTTCCAAAAACACAACAATCACCAATCACCTCATAATAATTCATCTGATAAACAACAGGTGGCTCAAATGAAGGTGTCACCCTCTGGTATTCCCTTTCAAGATTCAGAGTATTATACCAACAAACCCTACCAAGATTTTCATGATGATGAACATATCATAGACGATGGTGAAACTTCTCAAATGGATCTAGTAGGATACACTTTGAAGCAGTAATGCGTTTTATTCCATTTTTATATATACATACATATATATCGTTATTATTACTATTTTGCTGGTCATTATTAGGTCTCTCTTTTTTCTTTTATCATTTATATTATTCTTTCTCAATAGACTATATTAAAAAAAAAGCTATACATTTTCACTTTTTCTAGTCTTGTTAACAACAAATGTATGCATCTACACATAGACCTACTCTATATAAAGAATATCTGTATGACGTTTTACAGCGTAGTTCAAAGATGTATCACTTATTTGAGCCAAAAAAAGAAGGTACGGATGTCGATCACAAGCAAATAAAGTTTAGTGTCAAGTAATATCATTTGTTGGAATCAAATGGCGCACACACATACTCACATACACAAAGATCAAGAGCAATTTTCCCATTATACTTTTTTAAACTTCTTGATTTTAGCTCTTTGTCCTTTTTCTTTTTTTTTTTTTTTTTTTTTTTTTTTTTTTTTTGGTTCCTGGTTATATTTGTTTTCTAAAACAGGTTGGGCCTCTTTTTTTTTGTTAACATAACATACAATTGGTGTTGGGGAAGAAATATCTTACAAGATAGATGAGGGATTATGAGTGCCTTAAGAGCAGCTTACAAAATGAATAAACTTTTCTTGTGTTGGGTCAACACGTTACACGTCAGCGGAATTCATAGGCATCTCTTTCTTTTTCTCTTCTCTATATTATTTTAGCATGAGAATTACTTTGCAATAGATAACGCATAAAGAGATGTACAACATCAATTTGAGAGTCGCAATTCCTCTAAATACGAAAATTTTTCATACCAGAATGATGTGCTACAGTTGACTTTGTCAGCTAAAATGTATAGTAAAACCGCTGATCATTGTTAGGTAATATAAACTCATGGCAAAAATATTAATATATGCTACATTCTGCATGCAGCTCTTTGGAAGTACAGGTTATCAAATATAAATGAGCTCCTACTGTCTGACCAGCCTAATATCCTTATCCGCGATTCCGCTGGTTTGTATCACAACTAGAAAGCAAATTTATATGAATAACTTTCTTTATTAAAGTTTAAAAACACACACGGGGATATAATTAATTTCACGGGCAATTCTAAAAATACTAGAATAGGAAGTAGATTGATAGACTCATGAACCGAAACAAATTCCATCACAAAAATTCTTTTTGTATTTGTTTGTGATGCATTTCTCTAAATGTAGATTTAGAATATCGAGATGATTTTTTTCCTTTTTTTGGTTTCAATCTTTTTTTTTTTTTTTTTTTTTTTTTTAGAAAAAAAAACCCGGAAAAAGGAAGCGTATTCCCTTGAAAAAAAAAAAAAAAAAAAAAACTACGAATGTCATCATAAGGCACCGAAATTTTTTAATAAAGTTACAAATATGACTCACTTGGTAATTTGATGTACAGAGCAATTATTATTTTCCATGAAGGAGAGTGGTAAAAATATTGGAAACGTTCATTATAAACCAAGTTTATATAATTCTTCAAGCTGGCAGTCATAAACAGCATAAAAGACAAGGGAGGCTTTCGGTTTTCTCTATTTTTGCTTCTATATATTGACTTTATTAAATCATACAGAGGGCATTGTGTCTCACTTTTTCCATTAAAAAATTTTCACATAAAAAGAACGCAAAGCACTTTTTTGAATATACAGGCCTACCAAACATCTATAAGCAATGTCTACCAACATATAGGGTGCTTTAGCAGTCATTTTAGATTAGAAAAAGCGACATGCCCAAACTGGCCAAAATTGATTTTTTTTATGGACAATTACTCATGGTCAATATTTTCAATCTTCAATTTAAGCTTCTTTCTGCCTTTTTAGAAAAAGTAATGCAGCTATCAACAAGGTTGAGTATTTGAAATAAGGGCTAAATTCTAGAGTTCTTGAAAATAGTTCTGGTTTTAGAGTTGTACTAGAAAAATAGTACTTGAGGAGCATAAAACTCTAAATATGTTCTTCGACATTCATTCAATATTCTACTAATAGAAGGTCTATTTTTTCTATGTGTTTCTAAACAAGCGCTCGATTTTGGATTCTTCAAACGACTTTATTTTCAATCTCCGAACGTCATTCTGTTTGTGCATAACGATATTTTCATGCCACTTTATACGCATAAAATTAAAGAAAATACGGACGAATATTAATATGTCAAAGACACAAATTAGAATCATACATAATATGTGGTTATTAAGTAGATTTTGACTCTATCTGGCATATTACACCTCTAATATGCTTTTGATCCTCAATTTATGCCTTTTTCGAGCATCAAGCTTATTATACAACCTTAAAGCATAATCTGGATCTCTTTAACTATATCTTCAACATAAACAATCTTTATTTCTGGAATATATGTAGCAAACAATTTATTAGCATAATAATAGTATTGGCAGCGGATTGGCAGCCCGCTGCAGGCACGAGTGGGGGGGGGGGGAGGAGTTTCAAAACAAACCATCATTTCTGCCTTCTAATTCCCTTTTGAGTTTCCTATGTTTGAGCATACATCAAAGAACGTCATTTTGGTCTTATGATCCCCCTTTACGGATTCTTCACTTTTCACTCTTTGAGATTGGCGGTCAATAAAGACATTGTAGGCATATCATACCTTAGTACGAGCCGCTTTTCTAGGTCTAAAAAATAAACTCAAGACGTTAGTTTTGCAAAAAATACTATCAAAAGTGTACGCTACAGCTCAAAAACAGAAAATACGTTTTTGTAAGATATCTCACTATCTTGATATTCGACATGTTGCGTCTTTTATACCGTTAGATGCGACTTGTCTATATCTACCAACTCTATCAATACATTTTTTTTATAGCTCTTCGTTTTTAGACACTTCTAGTCCATCATTTCTCTTGAATTTCTAAATTTCTTGACATGAGAATACTACTTTAAATTCAGGTTTTTTTTAGGGACACTCCACTTACGCTAAGCTTTAAAGCATGTCAACTTTTTTTATTTCATTCCACAGTACTCTTTCTTGTCTTAATAGTAAGCTTGCATGAGGCCCTGCTAAAACAAAAGCTTCAGAAACGCCATTGCATTTTCTATAAGAAGATAGGATCAAAGGCTTCAGAAAAAGATGTATACTTTCAATCACAAGCCATTCTTTGATGGGCAACCGTTCATAGTAATGACTCTTACAAAACAAACAATTTTGTGTAAGAACAACCCATTTTTGGGTAGTAGATGAAGAAATCTCCAAGCAATTATCCAACAAGACAAAAACAGAAACGATATGCTTACAAAACTAAGGCATCGGTATACTTTAAAGCTCATTACAATTATATCTTCAAAATGAATATATTCATACAAAAATGGTCAATTTTCAGAATGAATAAAATGTTTCCAATAAGAAGTCAGTGAATAGCTTTTGTAGACCAAAATAGCAACTTAAAAAAGGAGATGAATACATAGAACAATGCCTTAATATCCACATCATTTGATAGCTCTTTGTTTCTATTACCATTTGATAAGTAAATTTTCCATGCAGAGAAATTGATCTGATAAAGAATGCATGTGTACCTTATTCAATCAACTTTTTTCTCCTCTTTTATGGTCATCCACATGCTGAAAAGGCAATGGAAAGAGTGACTGAAAATAGATCATTCAACCTCAAGAATTCGTTGTCTTTATTAAAAAAGAAAAAGCCCACGTCATCTTTATTCTGCAAAAAAAAAAGAGGTACAAGTGGCTATGTGCACCTCATGAACCATATATAACATTGCTGCAGATATAATTGTTCCTTTCTGTCAAATAACAATATAAACAAATCCATGAACATTTAACTACATGCTTACTGATTCAAGTTTAACAAACATTCTCGTTGTGGTAAGACCATGATTACAGAGAAATATGACTTAACAAAAAACAGAGTGGTGTATCGCAAATACGGTATAGAGTCTATAGTCAACACTGTGATCGATCTCAACTTGTCGATTACTTAAAGAATAAACCAGATAAGCATGATCTTGTTATATTGAAAGCATATCGCGATTTAGTCACGATGAGTATACCTGCCTTATGGCAACCGTCAGCAGATGGATTAGAACTGTGGGTCTTTTGGTTTGATGAAAGGCACACTGGGAAGATAGACGCGAATGATGATCTATATGCTCTTGAAGGTACTAACAATACATATGTATCATTACTCACTATACCAATAGAAATAAGGGTGGGCTCGTTTACTTGGGAAAATGCTTATTCTAAAATACAATCCCCCACCGCGTCTCCTGGTGCTTCTTCAGCACAATCCAGTACAAGTGTACCTGTCACTGTCTCTGAAGAATACAAACTGTTTATACGTTCTATACGTAACTTGATTCAACTGTAAGCGATAAGGCACTTATGTTTAAATACTCAATGTTTTGTCTAGTCAAATGAAAAGGAAAGGTGCATTTCCTTTAGGTGAATTCTATCTATTTCCTGATTCAGATAAAGACGTGATTGTAGACACAAATCCAACCAGCTTACTAAAAGCAACCAGCTCTATGCTATGTTGTTCCTATACTATTTATTTAGCCAGCACTAATCTAATATTTCAGCCTAATACACGTCGCATACAAATACGGCCCATGACAGCACAAACAATACGAGCCCGAGGAAGAAAAGGTGAATTTTGCTCAATATGGTCCAAATAATTAACGCAATGCATTATAGTCATCATCAGTCCTTCAGGGGAAACAGTCTGGATTGGATCGCATCATGGCATACCACAACAGACAGAAGAGACAGTACTAAAACAATGGTCCAACCTGTTTGACATTCCTTATGAACACTTGTGTTTGCCTCATTTGCCGAATGTCATAGCACTTAAGCGTTCAGCCAATGAAGATCCATTCTATTACCCTACAGCACTTGTGTTTCTGCCTTCATCCAACAAGATGTCACCTACTGCCATGGCTGGTATGCATGGATTGTCTAGCTTTAATCAGGGATTTTCAGAGGATTTAGGAGATCGATGGCGTCGTTGGACGTGGAGTGAGCACATCTCAAATTTTTGGGAATATAGGTGTCCTAGAGATACAGCTACTACTGTTGTGTTGGACACTCTCTCTCAAGAGAATGGGTCAAATACGACAGGTGCAGGCCTTTTACAAAAAGCCATGAGTGAGCCAGTGATATCGAGCCCTTTAATGGCCACCAAATCCGTAGCGACACCAGGTTCAGCTGTGCATATGAACCCTATATCTACGCCTTCTTCTGGTCAAGAAGAGGATGTGTCCATGTATTCTTATCGTAATAACAAGTCAACTCAGCCATTGTCTTTGGCTGAATTTGCCATGACACATTTTGGTTTACCAACACAAGAGAATGATATGGTTGAATATCCAATGATACAAACACCTATTCTTCAATATAATGAACAACTTTCTTTACCACCACCATCACTACCACTACCACCACTGCCACAACAACAACAACAGCTACCATCACTACAACAACAACAACAACAACAACAACAGCAACAACAACAACAACAACAACAACAACAACAACAACAAGAAGATACTACTCAGTTAGCATTAGATAGTTTTGGTATGGTTGAGGATATGGATGTGGATAATATGGTATTGGACACCAATAGATGGACAGACGATGGCATGAATGATCTTGATAATTTTGATTTTGGTGTAACAGAAGAAGATTTCAATTTCTTCGAGACTACTAATACACAAATGATGGACACAAACATGCTGGAATCAAACACACTCTTATTGCCTACAGAGAATTTAGTCAAAGATGAAATGGACTTGATGTGCGAATTTGAGGACAAACTGATGCCTACATTAGAAGAGCCTCCCAAGGAAATATCACCTATAGAGCAACAGTCTGATATATATGTGCCATCTCAGTTTGCACCTGTCAAATTTGATTTTATGGTCAATGATGCTAAATATACACAAGGTGGAAAATTTACCTATACGCCGCACACAAATGAACTTATCTTGAAAACCAGAAAACCCAGTGAAGAATACAGACCAGACTATATACCCATCTTACGCACAAGAAAGAAAGGTGGTAGAAGGAAATCAAGTAAATTATTGCTAGACACCATTGATAAAGAGAACAAATCATTGGAGAACACAACTACTACGATTGTACCCACTATGGAGAACGAAGATAAGATGCATGCGATGGGCAATGGCAGTAGTAACAATAACAACAATACCAATGATAACACCAACAGCAATAGCAGTAACAGTAACAGCAGCAGTAGCAGTAGTGATGATAGCAGTGGTAGTAGTAGTAGTAGTGATGATGATGATGGTGATGATGATGATGATGATGGTGATGATGGCGATGATTCTGTTTATTCAGATAGTACGTCTGTCGATATGGAGAGCGAAGACGATGCAAGCAAAACAAACAGAATTTTGAGTGCTTTAAATCATGCTCAAGACAAGTATATACAGCAATGTATGACTATCTCTTCTTCCAACAAAGCTGTTAAGCTAGATCAAGTATTCATGGACTATGATAGTCCTTTTGCTCGTTCAGTTGTCAGTAGTGTCATTCGATTGGATTCAACAGTAGACGTATATGAACAAGCAGAAGCATTGGATTATCTATGCCAACAAGCAGTGATGGGTGGTTATCCTTTCTCGGGTAATATTGAAGCCATGTCTTCAAATGGATTTGAAGCCAACGAAGGAGAATCAGCTCAAATAGTGATTGCCAGAAGAAGAAACTTGTTACAACGCTTTCATGGTGACGCTATTCATATTCCATCTACGCCTAGTGATGTTGATTTCATGATTCAACATTTTAAACATGTTTTGAGTGATATATTTCATCAACAACAGCAAAGAAAGCATACATTAGATGCTATGTGTCTGGACCAATTGCCTATACCTTCTTCAGTCACTGTAAAAGGCCCTTTGAATGTACAGCAATACTATGATCTATCAGGTAAGAAAATCATGAAATCTGTCTCTGTACTTATATTTATAAAACTCCAGAAACAAATCAAGCACATTCAAAATATGGTAAATATCAAGTCAAGAAGCGTAGACCAGCCGAACCCAACCTTGACGTACTTCAACCACCCAATATTACTGTCAGTAGGCAAGAAGAATTTCTTGAAGGAACTTGTAAACTCATTATGTTTTGGGAGAAACTACGACTAGAACCTTACTCTAACAAGAAGCATATCAATTATTTCGTCTTGTACCCTAAAAACGATACGATTGAATCGCATGTTACACATTTCTTTAAGGGGCTCAGTACACTGTATGAGACATGCCAATTAGGCGCACATCACCCGGGCAATTTGAACCAGTACAAAAGAGGACTTGTGCCTGTACCACTCTTACCAGCTCATGAACATGAATCCATGGACCAAAGGCAAGTACGGAGTTATATGGTAGAATGTCAACAGTTAGGTGCTGCACTCTCTCACTTGAATGAAAACACTCATGTTGTGATTTATATGGTCAATCCTGCTTCTCATCTTGGCTCTCATCTGGATCTTAGTCGATGCTTTAGCCAACTTGTACAAGTCTATCATACATCCATGATGCACCGAGGAAACACGTCTCCTACTCGGCTTGTGCTTCAATTGATGCCAATTGAACATTTACTAAGGTCTACTTCATTTGGTGGCTGCCTTAAATTTGGTATGAAGGAAATAGCTTTTTCAGTCTACAGCAAATGCCACACTGTCATTAATCGACAACAAGAAAATTCAGTCACCGATATCTATACACCTCCCTTCATTCTGTCTAAACCTGCTCCTGCTCAAATTCAGTTTAAACTGAAAAAGGCTATCAGCGCATTCCCTACTATTCTTGAAAGTCAACAGGTATTACATTTAGGCTACACATTTAGTTTTGATAGACGATGGATGGTGGTTGTATGGACAGACAGTCATGGTGAATTAGTCGAGTTTGCTATTCTGGATAGTCAGCAATACAGTAATGTGTTTGAAGAAGCATGGTCTCGTACTAAGCAAGTATCAAAACGCACTGGATTTACATGGACCTTTGTGATTGCCAAGATGGGCTTGTTGTTTGAAGAGGAACTGAAATCATGGATCTCTTGTCTCTCAGAAGAACAAGTGGCCATTGTTAGTATGGACATTGAATCCACACTGTCAGTGAATGCAAGTACATTTGATCCTGTATTACATGATATCTTACCAGAGATCAATACACCGGGCATGATGAACACAACCAGCAACAAAAAGATGTTCTCGGACGTCATTGAAAATGGACATACCAAGGCATTGTTACTTAATCACCGTGTAGCCTATTCCAACAGACGAGAGCGTATGTCACTCGGAATATTACACATGGATCCAATATCAGAAATAGAAGATTGGATGATACCCTTGGCCAGTGGTTATATGATTCATACACCGCCCACAACTGAAAATCCAAACAGTGAACTCTTTAACTGTAATCCTGTGATATTGGAGGTAAAAAAAAGAAAGGAAGTAATATGTATATTTATTATGTATAGGTACATTTGGTCTATAATCAAACAAGTCATTCTGCTTACAGCACACTCAGAGATATTATCAAGAAATACCATGCTTTATCGTTTGTAAATGTCATGCCTTCCAACAACAATTGTTTCCCTATCCACCTTGCCTTGGTTGAAAGACTCTGTCGTCTCTTACTTGTTGTTCATACATAAAAAGACTTTTTATTATTATTATTATACAATTCTTGGTGCAAGTGAAACTGCCTTCATCCAGTTCTTTGTTCTTAATTCAGCAGAAACTACACCCAACACACGGGTGCCAAGAGGTTCTTTTTTGTTGTTTAATAAAATACAAGCATTGTCATCAAAGCGAATGGTACGGCCATCAGGTCGAGACATTTCTTTCTTAGTACGCACCACAAGTGCATGGCGTACATCACCCTTTTTCACTTTTTGAGCTGCAGCTTGAGTACCTGCAATGTTAGGATTGATGGGTCGAGCACGTTTAACAACACATACAATTTCATCACCTATCCTGTATTATACATACTATTTCGTATGACCTCTTTTTCTTACCTGCTCTCGCGAAACGAGCTCCACTCATGACACGAATGCATTCTGCAATAATAGCACCAGAGTTGTCAATGACATTCAGTGTACCCTTCAATCCAATCATCGTTTTATTCGAGACAAATAAAAAAAAAAAAAAAAGATAAAGGATGCCCTGGCATGAAAATTGAAAGAAAGCCACTGAATAGTCACATTTTCCTTTTTTGGACATGTTGCGATACACTTGTTCTCCTTTTCTCTAATGAAGTCCATTGCGCTTATCGTCGCTGCTACAGAAGAACTTGGGATTGGTGTCCATGGCAACTTGCCTTGGAGACTCCCAAAAGACATGGCATTCTTTAAACACGCCACATCCCATGTGCCTAGTTCAGAACACGGTCAAAATGTCGTGATTATGGGCAGAGTCACTTGGGAGTCTATTCCTGCTCGATTTAGACCTTTAGACAACCGATTGAATATTGTTGTTTCCAGAAACACAAACTATGACTTGTAAGCAACCATAAAAGTGACCATGTGTTGATTGAGCTGTAGGGGATTGGATGAGACTACGAGAAAGACGACATTACTTGTGAATTCGTTTGAAAAAGCATTAGTAGCAGTAGATCCAGCTCATCATGCACGCGTCTTTGTGATTGGAGGTGCACAGATGTATAGCTTGGCTATTCGTCACCCAGCGTGTTCTCATATTCTGTTGACACGCATTACATCCAAAGTTGAATGTGATACTTTTTTCCCTGTCATTGATAAACAAGTCTTTTATGAAGCAAGCCATCAAGCATTAGAAGACTATGTTGAACAGGCTGTACCAAAAGGCATTCAAACACATAAAGATATTGATTATGAATTTACCTTGTACATTAGAAAATAAAATCCCTTTTTATTTAAGGCTAGCAATACTATCACTCATTGCTTGCCAAAGAGCAGCACCGTATTGACGAGCAAGAATAGAGACAGCACCAATGACCATAGGTGGGCCTGCATATTCAAAGAACCAAGTGAGTGTGGACGGTTTGATCTTGTGAATCATGTTCTTGACTTGTATTTCCAACTGACGGATATCGCTTGAATTGTCCAGTATAATATCTGCCTTTTCGACTTTTTCAGCCAAAGGCATTTGTGATTTCATCCGTTGCAACGCTTGTTCTTCTGTCAAGTTGTCTCTTTTTCTTAGTCTTTGTAACTGAAGTGCATCTGAACTAGATGCAGTGTAAATATGGTTTATAAGCTGACTATCTATCTTACCAGAATACAACGACATTGGTACTCATAAATCGATCCAGTTTACTTTCTATCAATAAAGGCACATCAAAAACAACAACATCAGCTCCTTTTATCCAATACAACAAGGCTTGCTTGACCATCTCCAGTCGCACATAGGGATGTGTGCACCTATTTAATATCTTGCGCTTCTCGGGGTCTTGAAAGATAATCTGTCCTAGCTTAGGTCTATCGATATGGCCATCAGGCAAGAAGACTTCATCACCAAAGTGTTGTCGAATAAGCTGGTTGGCTTTTCTGCCTGGTGCAACAACATCTCTTGCAATCTTGTCTGCGTCGATAATGGGTATATGTTGTTCTGTTAATAAACGAGATACTGTTGATTTGCCTAGGCACTAATGAGTTCATGGGCTATGGTTTATTGTTATCACCTGTGGCAATTCCTCCCGTTAAACCAATAAGCTTCATGTATATATATATAAAAAAAGACGCGTGAGGGAGAAAGCTAAATCTGCAGAACGGTTTTTCAAACTCCAGCACTTCCTTTTCATGCCTCTGACAGCGGAATTTTCTTCATGGTCCGGTAAATTTTACCTTAATGTGGTATAAAGCATAACACACTTTCTCTGTCTCTCTCTCCCTTTTTTTTTGTCTTATAGAATGGAGCTTGCACTCGACATTACTTCATCTTGCCGAGTACGCGTCTTACTTATCCCTGTATCGCCTATTAAAAAGTCTAAATTCTGGAGCCACGTTGAACTTGTTCGAAAATTCAGCCTTGTTCGTTTAGGGGATGTCACGCCAAACCTTCATAAAGGTGCTAATGGTAAGCTATAGCCATATTAACCAATCGCATGACCATTACATTAGCCAGGTTTAGCAGCCAAGTATTTCAAGAAGGACAGATGCACTTTCAGTTTGTCACAAAATACGACCGAGATCATAGTCATCTCGAGGATTTTCAGCCTCACCGACGCATTTTTGGTGTAAGTTAAAACCCATAAATTTTTCAGGTACACTTAGAATTCGATTAGGTGATTGGTATTATGGATTGCCAAGAATGGAAGGATAAAGATCTTAGTGAAGGATACAAGAAATTTCATGATATGCTTGGACAGGTAAAAAAAAAAAACAACAACTTTTTTTTTATGATTTTGATGGGCTAATCTTAATCAACAGTATCCTACTGCAGTAGCCACTCGGTGCTTTGCTTTTGATCCAAATGAAAATCAACCAGATGACACTAAAGGGCTTATTATGATTCCTAATGTTGGTAACATGTCTTTTTATATGAGTACAATGATATGTGATTTTGCAAGCGAAATTCTGGATCAATTTGCCTCTATTGTAAGTCTTGCATTTCTTTGTTACCAGCTCACTGATTTCCCCTTATTAGGCAGATCGTATTGAGAAATTAAAAATGCTTGAGTCGCCTATTCCTATGGGATTCATGCCTCTGTTACAACCTCAACCTTCTGTTAGCATGACTCCTCCTTCTCCTCCTTCGCCTGGACCTACGCCCACAGGGTCTGTTTCAGCTTCGTTCTTAAAACGAGCATCCACCAGTGCTGCTAATAACCGTAAAAGCACCATCAATGCTGCTAATTCACCACCTACACCTAAACCTTCTCTTTCTAGATCAACTACATTTACAGGTTCATTGAACTCATCTAGTGATATAAACCGTACTATTCAACGTACACCTGGAAGAATTAAGAAACTGTTTGCTGATTTCTATTTACTGGCAGGAAGGTTGCCTGATGCCATGAAGCAGTAAGTATTCAAATGAACACAGCGACAATGGTACTGATACTTTCTTTAGTTATCAAGAGGCCATTGATATGACGCAAAGTTCATCTGATTATTTGTGGTTAGGTAGTGCAAAAGAAGGGTTGGCTTGTACCATGATATTAATGGCTTATCTTCATACGGATGTTGGTGTAAGTATAGCAAAATGCATCTATGGTACTCATTCTATATCCAATAAAAAAAAAGCATATTGTATCGAGGCAGTCTATCCAGAACGAAGAAGACCCTACACCTTCAACCATAGTCAAACCAGAAACTACCTTGGTCACTGAGATCACGCAGCTCTATGAAGACCTTGTACAAAGCTATATCAAGGTCAATTCAACCACCAATATTCCTATTCCTAAACTTGTATTGGCTGAATCTTGTCTCAAGATTGCTCGCTTTTTGATGTCTGTCTTTTTGAACGGTGGTTGGAATGATAGTTTATTGACTCGAATTGTTCAATCACCTACTTTGCAAGTAACAAGAGAGACTAGATTTATATCCATGGCTGAATTAGTAAAGTATAAAGGGAGTGGAATTGCTCGCTTCACGATTGCCAATTGGGTATCTAAACTGTGGACGATGGATATGCACAACATGAACATGATGGATCAGATCAACATCATGACACAGATGTCTTCGATTCTGTCCACCATAGGTTATCATCGAAAAGCAGCTTGGTATATGTACGAAACTTTGAACCGAATGATTCCCTTGTTGATTCAAGGAAGAGCCACTATGGCAAGTGTGTCCAAGAAGAACATGACGAAAGGAGATGATGGTATTCTAGAGGTATTGAAGCGTATTTGTGAAGTCTATGGCATTGGAGGTAAAGAGAAAGGTTAAAAACAAGATGGTATTAAACATGTCACTATAGAAAGCAATGTCCATGATGGCGGTGCACTACAAATGATCCAGAATCGATTTGATGGACAAGAAAAGACAAAAGATATAACAAAGAAGAATGATACAGTTGGATTTGGTTGGGCTGCTTTACAGATTGACATCTTGAGAGAATGCATTGTTATTTCAGAAGCCATTCAAGGTAAAAGAATCGTATTTTATTGATCAAAATGACTTATAGCTGACTATAGACCATGCTTCCATGCTCTATTATACGACTGTACTATTGAAAAACTTGTATCAACATATCTCTAAAGAAGAGCAAATTCGGTTGGCTTCTTCTATCCAACGAATTGTGAACATTAGTAAAAGATCAGGCCAAGTAGACAACAGCGTGAATTACTGGGGATTCAACATTGTTAAATCTATTCAGCCTATTCCACCTATACCACGTAAAGCCATTTATCAGCACCCATTATTGATTGCTAAGGCTATTGCAGCCTCTAAAGAAGATCGAACTAACTCTGGTGACCCTTTCATCTATAATCCATTTGCTAAAAAGAAAGACGACAAGGTAAATATATATATATATATATATATATATAAAACTAAATCTTGCAATAGCCTCAAATCAACTTGATCAAGGATGAAGCATGTGAATTCAAGGCCATGTTGACAAATCCGTTTGGATTTGACCTTGAGTTAAGTAATATTGTATTGAGGTAAATAGAGTATGTATATTGACCAAAATGACTCATGTTGAGCACAGTACTTCGGGAATCGAGTTTTCTGCTGTTCCGACTGCAGCTACTATTCCTGCCAATGATACATTGGTCGTCAGATTGATGGGTACGCCACTAGAGACTGGCTTGCTTGTGATTAGAGGTTGTATTATCAAAATTACTGGGTTTGCAGAACAAGAATTCTTGAATGAAAAGCAGGAAACGAAAAAAGTAGAGCAGCCCAAGAATAGTAAAGACATTGTTCAGCAATCCAAAGAATCAGAACGATTTAAATACACGTAAGTACGGTATTAACAAGCGCTGTACTAATATAGACAATGGTAGTGGCCTTCAAGCCTTATGCAAGTCTTCAGGCATAGAGAATACAACATCTAATGAAAAAGTAGAACAACAGCTCACACTGAATGTGATTGAAGATCAACCCTTACTTAAAATCAAATCCACTTCGCTTTTACATGGTGCTGTCATGCTTTTTGAAGGCGAGATGAAGCATATTACAATTGATGTAGAAAACATTGGTAATATTCCAGTTGATTTCTTGACTTTGTCCTTTACAGATTCGACCACACTTCACCCAAAGCAAATCAATCCAGAATTACCTAGTGAAGAACAGTATGAAATTGAGCTCTATACAAAAGGAACACCTGTGTTTTCTTGGGAAGGATCCAAACCAGACAGTAGTCAGATTGGTAAACGAATCAACCTCCCTCCTGGGGAGCGTACACAAATCATTGTGAATATCTATGGCAAACAAGGATGGTAAGTGTGTACAAGGCTGTATTCTTCTTATTTATCATTCGTATAGCACAGGTGGAGCTATTCATGTAGATTATGGCTATTTAGATAGAGCCATTAAAGACCAAACAAAAAAAGCAAGTAAATTTGATCAAGAATTGCCAGCTACATTATATACCAGACAACTCTATTTGCCAGTTATGATCACAGTCTATCAAAATCTGGAACCATTGAATTGGGATGTACTCTACCTTCGCGACAATATGATGGTCACTGAAGATCAACTGAATTATGCAGTAGATAAAATCGAAAAACTCGATATGAACCATATGCAATCTACAGAGCAGCCTGTAGAGCAACTGTTAGTCATTACACAACAAGCCAATGATGATAATGATAAAAACCCTTATTGTTTATTGACATTAGATGTCAGAAATACTTGGACAATTCCTTTTGACATTGAATTCACGATTGATAACACAACAGAAGGAAAAGAAGAGAAGGCAAGCCTATTGAAATCTACAGTAACAATTCAGCCTGCATTAACGAAAAGGTAAAGTGATGCATAAATCATCCACTTGTTCATGCCTTGGTTTAGAATGGTACTCCCTCTTAAAAAGCTATTCTTAACTTCAGAAGAACGCTTACAGCCTATTCCAAGCTTTGAGCCCAACAAGCAGTTTGTCGTATCTCAAGCACCTAAAATGGCACCGGAACAAGAGCGTGCACATCTACAGATGTTTTGGTATAGGGAACAGTTACTTGCACGTATCAAAGCACATTGGCGATGTCCTACCTCTAAACGCAGTGGTATCATCAATTTGCGACCTTCACTCAGATTGACAAGCTTACAACTAAGCGTATTGAAGAGACAGGATATTGAATTTATTGTAGATATGACACAACAAGAAGGAGCCAAAACAATGGGACATCGACAATTTGCTTGCCAAGTGAATACTTTTGTACATATGAATGTAACCATTGCCAATCGACAGGGTATGTGTGCCTACTCTACATATTATTATTGACACATTTTCTTTCTAGTTCGACCTGTGAAATTAATTTTGCGTATTCAACCTGTACAGAGTTATAATGATGGCGCGAAAGAGTATGATTTGACAGAAAAGTTATTAATGCAAGGTGTATCACAACTTGTTTTGCCAGAGATTCCTTCAGGTGGTGAATACACGCATATGATTCCTCTTTGTTTTTTGTCAAGAGGTAAATTTGAATTCTTGTATCATGTGGAAGATGTACATACAAGAGAAACTTATTATGATCATGATTGGGCTTTTGTGAATGTGATTGAAAGTTAATAAAGAAATATGTTTATTTGCATGTTATGCTGTATGATAGAATCTAAGCAAAATGTCAGTCAATCAATGTTTGTCAAAATCACTTACTTTTTGTTGATCAGATAAATCAATAGGTTGACATTAACAGTAGCTATGCCATCGAGTACTTTCATGGTTTGAACGCCTTCATATTGTGTTTGCAATAAGTCTTCGTAGTGAACATCGACATGTAAGTCTTGTGTATTCAACAAAGGGAAATAGCCCTCAAAGGTAACAATGCCTGCACGATCCATAGACAGAATCAAAGTGATACGAGAATAAAGCTTCTTGGATACACCTGCGATATCCAGAATGATACCACGATCATACAAGGTCTTCGCAGAATACTTGAAAGAACCAAATTGAGGCACCAAGCCACGTCGTTGTAAATTCTTCATGTGAAAATACTGGCGTGTAAATGGAAAGACAAACTTTTGCTTCTTGCCTCTTCTTTCTGCCATGTTTTTCATGCATCCATCCAGGTATTCCTTATAGCTTTCCCCTTGGCCAATCAAGAATTGTCGTTTTTCATCCAAATGCAAAAGGATGTTTTGAAGTTTTTTGATTTCTGTGTTGCGTTGTTTACGACGTTCTCCCTTCTTGGTAATATCGACTGCAATCATATTGATAATGCTTTGATAGCCTGGACTTTCTGGGATAATGCCATGCTTCATCAAGTGATTATGTAAACTAAACGCAAATGACTTTAGCTTGGCAAAACTCAAGCTAATCAAAGACATGATTAGATACATTTTACAGGTAAAATACAGACTTACCTCTTCACATCCATAGCAGCATTTTTATAGCCAAACTTGAAATTTCTTTCACGGACAGCCATTTCAATCTCTTGTTCTGTTCCTTTGGATGGAAATGCTTCCTCACGAACCACTTCCCAGATAGCCTCATGCTCTTCAGTTACGGGCTCATCAAAGATGGCTTCCAAGGAAGGACCTGACTGTACTTGGATCACAAGAATCACAAGGCGCTTTGTATCCAACAAGAGTTTCTTGACGTCACCCCCTTGTTCAGAAGGAATACCATCTCGTCGATCACTTAGTTCAAGTCGAAGTACATGCAAAGGCACACTCATATTAACATCTAAGGGTGCATCGCCTAGATCAGCCAAAATAGAATGAAGAATACCCGTATTAGATCGCTCAATAAAATCAACATGTTCTTGTAACAAATGATGCATATGGTAAAGTTCAGTAGGGTGAACATACACAGTAGGCTTCTTGGTGTTTGTATAGTCAGACAAATGGTCCATACCAAAATGTTCTTCAGGGTCTTCTACATCTGTAAGATCGGTGAACCATTGAGTAAAACGGTTAGCAGATGTTTGCACGTAATCATGAAGAGCACCGAGTTGAATATTGCGCGTGTCAAAATCACTTCCATTAGAGATGTGTTGAAGCATTTTAGACACTTCAGCCAAATTCTTTCGTTGAAGTGAAGAGATATCGTGAGATAAAGAGATGTATTGTTCTGGTGCTGTGATGACAGGACTCAAGTATCGATAATATAAAAAGTTACCGAGGATTTTGTTGATTTCTTCAGGTGCTTCTTCAGGGAAGTTTTCCTCCATGACTAATCGAAGTTCTCTTGCAATGACTCGCATACCATAAGGCATTGTGTTGACTGTATTAATAATGCTGTTCAAAAAGAGCTCAGTGATATCACGTAGTTTTTCCAAATGTTCTGACAGGATACGGATCACATCAGGTGATTGAAGTGCTTGAGATTGACTAATGTTGAATGGACGTTTAGATGGTTGTCCTGTAGCTGATTCTTCTTGACTAATGCACTTTTGGTAAATAGCAATAGGATTTGTTTCTAAATCCAAGTCGTTGTCATTCAACACCCTTTCAAATAAACCCTTAAACAAGGAAGAAAAGAATTCTCTTTCTTTAGCACCACGGTTAACTTGCACAACTAGTTTCATAAATGTGTAGTTTCCTCGCATAAACTCTTGAGGGCTCTTGACATGCTTCATCTCTTGCACAATACAAGCCTTGCACAAGTTGATCAGAAGACATTCTTCACGAGCATTGGTGCCATAACCAAATAAAGCCAATACAGTTGCGTCAATTTTGCGTTGCCCCTTCTTTTCACCATGTACTTGGCTACCAGTAATCGACATGAGACGTGCCAGATACACAGGCTCTGTTTGAAGCAAATAAACCATTTGTTGATACAGTTCTAATTTATCGCGGTTGTTCTTATCAACCCCACGCAAATCAAAGGGACTGTTAGAAGGATTTGATGATACAAGTTCTGAAAATCGTTGCTGTTGTTGCTTTTTGCGGTTTGGGTTAAAGAATGCATTGCTCAGTTTCACAACTTCATCCAGTGTCACTGCGTTTTTTAAGAGCAAAGCAATCTGAATATCTACCATGCTGACTTGACTATCCAGCTGGTTATTTTCTTGAATTGATTCGACAATTTTCTGACGAAGATCCTCAATAATCAAGTCTTCATTGAAATCAACGTCGTTGTTACTGAGCATATGCAACACACTCTTGACCATACCGAGAGAAGGGTTCTTTTCGGATTTGAGTTTTTGATAAGTGCGTTCATGGAACTGTGCTCGGAATCTGCCTTCAGTTCTTAATTTGCCCGTCTGTAACTCATATTGTTGAATGTTGTGATATTGTTCATCCATTTGCTTTATGGCCAGGTATCGACGAATCATGGATTGTAAAGCGATTACCCAATCTTCAGGGTACGAAAACATCTCTCGCCTTTTTTCACCAAATTGTTGGCGCATAGTCGAAGTCTGAATTCTTGCCTGTATACCTTGTACGGAGGATTGAAAAGAGTGGCATCGAGATTGATCCTTGATTTTCTGCAGTTTGTTGCGTGCCATGAAGGTACGAATACATCCTTGCGCAGACACAAGTACGTTTTGGTTTTCAGGCCTAGAGAAATGATTTTCGAGCACTTCAGTTCTTTCTTCTTCATCATAATTAGAGACAGTGTCTTCAAATTCGACCTCGGATCCTGAGCTGCTAATAGTTGAATCAGCTACAGATTCTGTGCATAGCATAGTATTAATTAAAAGACGACATACTCATCACTTACCAAAGTATTGAAATCGCTGCATAATTGGTAATGAAGTACTTGCTTGCTCATCGCTGGAAGATGTTTGAGAATCCGAGTCAGAATCATATAATTCATTAACCATTAAATCAGGCGTATTTTTGTTAAAATGACGAATTCTCGGTAAAAGATCTTGGTCTTCGTCTAGCAATGGTTCTTCAATAGGTTTGAATGCATAACTTGTTTTTTTGCCGGATTTTCCATCGAGCTCTTTTTGTAGAGAGGAGCCAAGGTTATTGAAGTTTGGCATGATAGCACCTGATTTTTCCAAATTGCGTTGAGTTGCCACTAATACATCCTGAGAAAAGTTGAATTCGCCATTTAAATCTTTGATTTTGGGTGCAGAATCTGTTGAATGTAGCAAGTGACTAGAAGAGTAATAAGTATAAACAAACACTAATATTGTTTTTTTTACCTTAAAGCGTGGATGCAATAAATTACTTTGGGCATGTTTTTACCATCATACAAATCCACAAACTCAAACCAAAAGATGGAGGGTAAGCCTACTTCTCTTATGACAGTTAAAAATGCATTGATATTGTTAGAACGTAGAAACTTGAATTTGGCATCGCTTGAGATAATATCACCAATAATATTAGGGTCAATTCTTTTGGCCAGTTTGGCTAGCACAACACCATCATGTAATGTTTGCTCCAAGTGTAGGATGGAGGCCTCTTTGTTATCATTGTCATCAATCTTTTCGTTCAGAAAGCTTTCTATCCACCTAAGTTATACAAGTTACTTAAAATGGACTCTTGTTTTTCTCGACATTTCTATATTTACTCTATAGCTTCACCAATATGACAAAGGTATTCATGAATTTGTAGTAAATTTCTCATTTTATCTGCCCATCGACCATCATTTTTTGTCTCTTCCACTCGCAACAATCGAATACGATCTAAATAGCATGAGTATTTTTTACACGTCAAATTACTTTTTTTTTTTTTTTTTTTTTTTTACTTGTTCCTATAATAAGAAAATGAGTTAATAATGAATTCGGACGTAAATTGAACTATTTACCTGCAACAGCGTCTTCTTCAGATAAAGTGATGTTAGGTAGTGTACGTTGCATTTTTGTTAAACAGAGAAAATGAAAGAGAAGAAGAAAAAGAAAGGAAAAAAACGATACTAACTCAAGAGAAAAGGAAGAAAAACAATAGTATGAAAAATGCCTTTTTTAGGATGTGTTGTTTATGCACCACATTTTTTCCTTTTTTGCATAATCGTAGCTTTTCCATTATTTTTGCCCTGAAATTAAGGTAAAAAAGGGACAGCAACCGAGTTGAATAAGAAAAGGTAGGTCTTATGCAATGACCAATCAATAAGAAAGTCTTTGTCACTGTGTCTTCAAGATGACAAATGGTAAGTGATAAGCTGATTGTAACACAGAGAAGGTTGCTCTAATTTTCATTCTTTCTACATCTTTTCATAAAATGCAGGAGAGTTCATTTTAAATATTGTCAGACCTTTACAGGAACAGCTGAAACAATTCATTTCATTCTACTTTACTTTTCTAATGCTGTTTAAATATGCAGTCTTTTCTGAGTTTCGGATTGGATAATTATTTACAAAACATTACTAATCTATTTATCAATGTCACTCGAATATGGTTTAGGCAAAGATAAAAATAAAATAAAAAAATACAACACAAATGTCCTGCGTTGAACTGATTGCTAAAGACAAAACTCAGCTATAGCAGAAAGCTTGCTCTAACAAGAGCTTATATTTGATGTTCCTGAACTAAAAGGATGAGCTCATTTTTTGTTGCCTTGTGTATGTGTAACAAGTAAAATATTTCTCGGATAAAAAAAGGGGAAAATATTAGCTTAAAGACGCGTATTTTTCAGTAAAGCAAAAACACTTTATAAGATACGTCATACTAATTTGCCCTATAATTCAACCTAATCTTTGTAATCAGATCAATCATTTGCCTGACAATAAAAATAAAACTCACCCCCATTAATAATCCAATCCCCCAAAAAAAGGTGACGTTTCAAACCAGAAATGTCAACAACTATAAAATCCCGTCGAAAGTTTTCTAGTCTTTTTTTTTCTCCTTCCTAAACTTTAAATATTACCATGGTTCAAAATATTGATCAAAGAGCAATCAACACCGTTCGTTGTCTTGCAGCTGATGTCGTCAAGGGCGCTAACTCTGGTCATCCTGGTAAGAGAAAATTGATCTATGTTGTCAATGCATTAACTGAAATATAATAAGGTGCTCCCATGGGTTGTGCTCCTATCGCTCACGTCTTGTTCAACAAGTTCATGACCTATAACCCCAAGAACCCCAAGTTCATTAACCGCGACCGTTTTGTTCTCTCTAATGGTCACGCTTGTGCCCTTCAATACATCATGCTCCACATTGCTGGTTACGATGTTTCCATTGAAGACTTGAAGCAATTCCGTCAACTCGACTCCAAGTAAGTTCCTGATTTGCTTTTTTCTTTCTATATCACAAAAGACACGCGAAATTAGACTTGGCGAATCATATCGTTTCGCGCCTTGATGACCAATCATGGCGGAGATATGATAAAGAGTCATTCTTTTTTTTTTGTGTCTCAGCGACACACCAGATATATTGACTAATAAACTCTGTTTAGGACTCCTGGTCACCCTGAAGTTAACGATACTCCTGGTATTGAAGTCACCACTGGTCCTTTAGGTCAAGGTGAGTCTAGATTTTTTTTCTTTCTGATTGCGCTAAACATGTATGTATAGGTATTTCCAACGCTGTTGGTTTGGCTGCTGCTGAAGCTCACTTGGCTGCCACTTTCAACAAGCCTGGTTATGAAATCTTCAACAATTATACCTACTGTCTCTTGGGTGATGGTTGTCTCCAAGAAGGTGTCTCTGCTGAAGCTATTTCTCTTGCCGGGTAATTTGTTTATTTATTGTTCCTGAAATCTTATTTCCGTGTTAACCTTAAAAATGTAGTCACTGGAAGCTTGGTAAATTGATTGCTCTCTATGATGACAATGCTATCACCATCGATGGTTCCACTGAAGTTTCTTTCACTGAAGACGTTCTCAAGCGTTTTGAATCTTATGGCTGGCACACCATCATCGTCGGTGACGGTGATAGCGACATTGCCTCTATCCAAAAGGCTATTGAAGAAGCTCAATCTGTCACTGATAAGCCTACTCTTATTAAGGTCAAGACCACCATTGGTAAGTCAGCATATACTGAAGTAAGAGCTTTTTTTATAACATTTATTTTAAAGGTTACGGTTCTTTGAACCAAGGTGAAGAAAAGGTCCACGGTGCTCCTCTTTCTGGTAAGTGTTTTCTTTAATAAGACGTGCTTAATGTACTCAATATGATTCGCGTATTTATAGACGACGATATCAAGCAAGTCAAGGAGAAGTTCGGTTTCAGCCCTGAAGAAAAGTACGTTGTTCCTCAAGAAGTCTACGACGTATATGCTGCCCACGCTGCTGAAGGTGCCAAGGCTGAAGAAGCCTGGAACGCTCTCTTTGCCAAGTACAAAGCCGAATTCCCTCAAGAAGCTGCTGAAGTTGAACGTCGTTTCTCTGGTAAGCTTCCTGAAGGTTGGGAAGCCGCTCTCCCTCGCTTCACTCCTGCTGATGCTCCTGTCGCTACCCGTAAGTTGTCTGAAGGTGTCTTGACTGCCCTTTCCGATGTTCTCCCTGAATTGTTGGGTGGTTCTGCTGATTTGACTGGTTCCAACCTTACTCGTTGGAAGAAGGCTGTTGATTTCCAACACGTAAGTAGCTGGTTATAGAGACAAGCAGATTACTCATGAATGAATATAGCCCTCTACTAACCTTGGTGACTACACCGGTCGTTACTTCCGTTATGGTGTTCGTGAACACGGTATGTTTGCCATCATGAATGGTTTGAACGCCTATGGTGGTAACATCCCTTACGGTGGTACCTTCTTGAACTTCCTTACGTAAGTTCATCCCTTTATGTGCAGTACAAAAGTTTAACTTTATCTTTGATTAGCTACGGTTGGGGTGCTGCTCGTCTCTCTGCTTTATCTCACTTCCGTGTCATCTATGTCATGACTCACGACTCTATCGGTCTCGGTGAAGACGGTCCTACTCACCAGCCTATCGAAACCTTGGTCTTGACTCGTGCTACTCCTAACATGCTTACTTTCCGTCCTGCCGATGGTAATGAAGTCTCTGGTACTTACTTGGTTGCTCTTGAAAACCAACACCGTCCTTCCGTGATTGCTCTCTCTCGTCAAAACTTGCCTCAACTCCAAGGTTCTTCTGTTGAAGCTGTTCGTCGTGGTGGTTACGTTCTTCAAGATGCTGAAAATGCCAAGTTGATTTTGGTTGCCACTGGTTCTGAAGTCTCTTTGGCTGTTGATGCTGCCAAGGAACTTGCTGCCCAAGGTATCCCTACCCGTGTTGTCTCCATGCCTTGTACCGAAATCTACGATGAACAACCTGAAGAATACAAGAAGTCTGTTCTTTCTCCTGGTATCCCCACCATCTCTATTGAAGCTCTTGGTGTCACTGGTTGGGAACGTTACTCCCATGCTCAAGTTGGTATGAGAACTTTCGGTGCCTCTGCCCCTATCAAGCAATTGTACAACAAGTTCGGTATCACCGTTGAAGCTACTATTGCAAAGGCTAAGAGTGTCCTTGCTTACTACGAAAAGGCTGGTTACGTCCCTGAAGTTGGTCTTGAATTTTAAGCATTTTCTCTTTATCAAAAATGAATAGACAAAAAAGAAGTTTATCATTTTGTTATAAAATACATATCTCCTGTAACATGCAAAAATACAATCTACATATATTCAAATAAAATGCATACATTTATAAAGTAATTAAAGGATAGATAACTGCTTTTCGACTGAGCGAAACAAGAACAACAGAGAATTTATATTGATAGTATATCTCGATTAATGTATTCTGTATACTCTATAAAAACCAGCATAAATGCTATTAACTCTTCTTTTTTCCAGATAATCATGTTTAAAAAATATATTTCTCATTTGATGGACCTCTTCATCAACAAGGAAAAAAAAAGATGTTGTCCCCAACGGATCAATCGTCTTGTTGTAAAAGGTGATCATTGTACTCAAATAAAATTGTATATTAATTTTTTTTTCAGGATTAAGCTTTAGTGCAGCTGACTTATGGTACCCTTTACATGAAAGAGGGAGAAGAATGATTTGTATACATATAGAATGCATAGCAATATGACATTAGGCTTTGAAGAAGACCACTATGAAAAACCAAAGCTTTTGTCAGATCACAAAATTCGTCAAGGGGATGTGGTGACTTTGGATCAATTTGATATTCACTATGTTAAAAAACATGATCATGGCTTTAGAGGGATTGTAAAGCAAGCCAAAAGATTTGAAATTCAAGTTATGCTTTATAGCAAAGTTGACTATATTCCAAGTGATTTGACTCACTTGTGTAGTGTGTAAGTAAAATACCATCTAATGAGTATTGATTTTTGAATGATGTTTAGTATAAAAGTACGATGCAACACTGTTTATAAAAGATAAGCAGCGCACTTTGTTTAGTTTTAAGAGGCTCATTTAATTGTATTAGAATGCTAGAAAATCTTGCCAAGTTATTTCTTGATGAAAAATTCTCTAGCCTTTCTACATTGGCATCTGTACTGCTGGAGTAACAAAAATCATCAATTCCAAATGAATAGACATTCAAAAACATAGAATATCTTGACGATCGTTTGAATGAATACCAAAGAAATGCAGTACAATTCGCTCTCGTATCACCAGAGATTGCTTTGATCCACGACTCACCAGGTAGATAAATCTTATCCATAGCTGTTTGATTAATAGTTAAATAGAAGCAAGTCAAGTGATATGATTCATTAATCACTCACTTTAAAGATAAAAACCAGACTGGCAAAACTCAAACAATAGCTAAAACTGTTGGACAGTTGGTCCATAAAAAGAAGTCTGTCTTGGTAACTGGATCTTCGAATGTATCAGTAGGTAAATATGGCCTTTTCAGTTATCTTTTATGATGGATGTATACATATGCGATAAATAATATTTTGGAGCCTATAACCAAATACATACCAGGAAATATTGTCAGAATTGGATATCCTGCCAGAGTAGCAGCGCATTTGTGAACAAGCATGCCTGAAGCATAGGGTGATATCGAAGTAAGCAGTGTAGATGGCTTTCAAGGTCGAGAAAGAGAAGTGATCATCCTTTCAATGGTCAGATCGAACGAGAAAAAACAAGTTGGTTTTTTAAAAGAAGAGACGATTGAATGGTAAGTTATTGTTCTTGAGAGCAATCAATCAATAATTTTGTCAGTTGACATTACAAGAGCTAGAAGACAACTTGTCATTATTGACGATACAAATATATTGGGTAGTGCAAGCACCTTTCAAGAAGCCAGAGAATTTTTAACTGGATAGACTGATTGGCTAAAAGAGTAGTACTCATATGCTGCTTCTTTTTTTTTTTTTCTCAGTTACATGCATCATTAAACATAACTCAATTCAACTTTTTTTTATAAATGGATTTTATGAACAAAATTTTGAGAAATCTTTTTTAATACTAATGGAAATAGACTTGACAGTGTTGAATTACTACAGCAGCTTGACACTTGAAGACAGAGGATGATATTCAGAACGGACTCATGATTCAAGAACTTGACCTCAAAGTACAAGAAGGGGAAAATAAAAAGGAAGTAGAGAGAGATAGAAAAGAAAGGCCTCAGGAAAAGTTTGAAAATAGAGAGGATTCAATTGTAGCCTCGCTTATTGGTTTTGTGGGGGTTGATGTTGGTTAAGTAGAGCAGCTAATTGTTGCAATGCAGTAGTAGCATCCATTCCTGGAATGGGTGCTACGCCCTGAGGAATCACTGATGGCGATGCTTGAAGAGGCTGTTGAGGCTGTTGAGGTTGTTGTGGAGGTTGTTGTTGTTGCTGCTGTTGTTGTTGATGTTGTTGCTGTTGTTGTTGGGCAGCTTGATTCTATGCAATAGTATGGGTACCTCGACTTCAATCATCATTTAGACTTACCAGCAAACCTAATAGTTGTTGAACCTGAGAAGCTTGATCATTTGTAGGAGGGACAGGTGGAACAAATGGTTGAGGAGCAACAGGCATAGGTAGTGGTACTTGCTGACTAGCAGGTGATTGGAGGTTTGTTGGCTGGAAAGGAGAAGTCAATGAAGGAATTGGCTGTGGTTGAGGTGGAGGCTGTTGAGCCAACATTGACAGAATATGTTGTGCTTTTTGAGCTTGCTCTAATCTTTGGTTATCAGGACTCAAAGTGGATGCCATAGGACCAGTAGGTAAAGGAGGTAATGAAGGCTGCTGAGCATATTGCAATCTTGGATCTAAATGCTGCTGCATAGGAGAAGGGCCATAGCGATCATCCATACGCTGACCTCCGCCACTGTAATGATCATAATTATCACGCTTCATGTGATCACGTCTTCTGTTCTTCATTTCATCTCTATCTGGGTTTCTTTCTCGTCTTTGATGTGAATTAGTACGTTCTTTATAAGGATGATCCCAAAAGAAGGCCACATCCCATCTACCACCCTTATACTCAGCATCGATAGTAGCATCATAAGCAGCAACACAGGCCCTTGAATCAAAGAATTCAACAAGACGTTGTTGGTTTCTAAAATCATTAGCATAAGGACTTCATTGAACTAAGTCTCATTTACCTATCTAAATGACTCACAACATGAGTATTGGTCTTTTTGAAATTTGGAACGCGAATGGCCTTGACTTCACCAAATTGAGAAAAGTAAGACTGCAACTCATGGTCATCCAACTCATTATTTGTATTTTTAAGTGTGTATAACAAAGTACCCTAAATAACTCATATTAACTAAAGCATGTATAAAAATCATGTTCATACCTGGTTTTTTGTTCTATCACACCTTGCCTTTTCTTCTTCTTCTTTAGGCAAAGAATAGTGAACATCGATCTTTCGATCACTCAAGTATACGCCCTGCATAGCATGCTTAGCTTCCTCAGCAGCTCTGACGTCGTACTAGTTTAAATGAGCTATTGAATTCATGATTCTTTCAAGACTTACAAAAGTAACAAAAATCATGCCTCTGTTTTCAATCAAGTTAAAGACATCTTTAATTTCACCATATTCTCCAAACATGTTTCTGATCTCACTCTCAGGAATTGTGTACTAAATATATACTCATTATTATATATGCGTATTCATGTGTTTATGTTTACCTGAACATTTCTGACAAACAATGTTCTACAAGGTTTTTCTCTCGCAGCTCTTGGCTCTAATAATGATCAGCTTAAGACTCAAAATCTCAATGCGCCCCTTACCGTCATCTGGGTACTCATTTTTGCCTCTATTTCCACCCATAGGACGGCCGCCTCTTTTATAAGGACGATTGTCATTGAAGCGCTCATTATTATTTCCTCCGCCGCGTCTTCCTCTATGGTCTCTTATAGCTCCTCCTCCGCCTCCTCCTCTGCGGCCACCGCCGTTTCCATAATCATCACGACGAAAGTTGTTTCCTTGATTATAAGGCTGTTGAGGTGTCTGCTGAGGAATCCTATCATAAACTGGAAACTGGTTATTACGATCCATATTTATCGAAAAAAAAAGTTTTTTTTTTTTTGAAAGAGAAAAGAAAAAAGGAAAAAACCAAAAAGAGGCCACAGTTTTCATCTGCGCGTTTTGTGGTGTTTAAATCATAATCAAAATGATCCAATCATATCGTGTTTTTTCTCACTCATTCAACTATATTTTTTCTGATTAGTTTTATTATGAGTAAAAAGTATATTTATATCAAAAATGCTATTTATCTATTATTAGAAGAAGGACATATAGCAGTTAAAGTGAGTATCAAAAGTAAGAGGGAGGGTCACGTATATCGTATAGTTTGATTTGATTGGATAAATTTACATCAGACGCGTTTTGGTATAATCGACTATACTGACAATTTTTATTTATTTCACAATCCAAACATTGATCGAATACATAGTTCTTGTAACTTTATTATATAGATGCAAAAACTAGTAATTAGCCAGTTTTCGATCTTCTTGGGTAATAGCTGCAGCCCTTCTTATCATTGCTACCAATTTGTTAGGCACCAAACATTTAAAAAGCGTGTAATGACTTTCTATTTACCTTGACAGACTTGTACATAAACATTGCCATCTTCTTCTCAGAGCCTCGGAAGGAGCTAATGAACTTTTTTTCTTGTTTATTAAAAATACTGAAGACATTAGATCGTATATTGCCAATATGTTCATTATTATCATCTTTTACTTTGACTTTGCTAAAAGATAAATATCGCCCAGAGAATAGATAAGACGAATCCCTTTGCTTACTGAAAAGCTCTGCAGCATAACGAATTAGCTTCAAGGACACCAAATGCTGAGGGCCTGTATTGGTAAACTGTTGCTGATGAAAGAATACTAAGAAAGTTCTTGATTTTTCGTCTATTTGCACTACTGCATAAAAGTCTTTTAAATTTAGTTTTGACCTAAGGTCACCTTTTGCATTGATGTTTTTTGGTATTGAAATACCTTTATTTTAAGCATTGACATTCAATAAACCGGCTTTATTGTTAGCGGCGGATTGGTAGTCCGCTGCAAGCGCGAGCGTTTATTGAGATAAACCATCATTTCTGCCTTCTAATTCCCTTCTTTTGAGTTTCTTATGTTTGAGCATACATCAAAGAACGTCATTTTGGCCTTGTGATCCCCCTTTACGGAATCTTCACTTTTCACTCTTTGAGATTGGCGATCAATAGAGACATTGTAGGCATATCATACCTTAGTATGAGCCGCTTTTCTAGGTCTAAAATATAAACTAAACTTTTTTTATCCTGTTCTATGTTTTTATTAATCGACAATATCTACCATATTATAGGTCTTGATAATCTCACCATCATCTACGAAACTGCAGACCATCAGTGAGGGCACACTGAGCAACACCAAACGGTCAAGTATTAGCTTCAACAGGTTAGTCGATTTGGCCATGTCCATGCGTTATGAAAATTTAGCTTTGAACTTCCTGGTCTCCACAGCTAAAAGATCAAAATTTCTTTCTTGAAAAGGATATCTTCAAAAGGCAGTCAGAAAAGAGAGACAATCAAGAGCGATAAGAGGAAGAAAAGGTGCGGGTTCTCTTTCTTGGACTTGTTGCTCTAGCCTCCTTTTAAACCACATAACAGAAGAAGCTTGATCTCGGCAGGTAATTCTTCTAATTGCCCTCTTATGCATTCTACTTGAGCAATCTTGTCAAAGATGTGCTCAAAAAAAGTGAAGGGATTTAATATAGCTCTGTTCAATTGCAAGTCAGATTGAATTTTATCACACAAAGAAGCTTGTCATTTATAAACGATTTATTTGTGTAAACAATATACTGCTTGAATGGTATTCTTTGGAATATCAATACACTTCAAACTCTCAACTAAAAAGAAAGAAAAAGACAAAATGTGCGTGTTTTTTTTTTACTGTTTTTTTTACTCAACTAATTACAAAGAAAAGCTTTTTCTTGTGTATATTTTTTGTTTGCTTGTTTTTTTTTTTCAAGAAAGAGAGAAGAAAAGAGAAAAAGATCTAATTAATGGTTTCTGTGGCTGTATTGGTTGGTGTTATTATTACTACTGGTAGCGTTATTATCTCTGCCGTTGGATGCTAAACGTTCATTTTGATCGACAAGGTTAGCAACTTTTTCAGAGTATTGCAAGGACAAAACTTGAAGTCTGGAAAGTTCAACTTGATGAAGCACAATACATTGAGTGACCTGATCTAGCGATGCTGATAATTCTTCATTAAAGATCATCTTAGCGACAATAGCAGAGACACTGTTGACAGATAAACCAAACATGCTGGACAATTGTGCCAAACCCAAAGTGGTGTAGTAAGAAGCATAGGTGAACAAGTAAGTACGAAGACCTTCTTCTTGGATCTTGCGGATAAGCATGTCCTTAATTTCTTGAGTTTCAGTCATCAAATCCCAAATCTTGATAGCCAAGATAAAGTCCTTGGCCTTTTCCCATTCACCAGAAGCCAAAGCCTTGGCAGCACTCATGATATGATCTCTGGTGTTTTCGGGAGGTCCACAAAAGGCTTGACGTTCATTGTAGTCAAGCAAACGACGGAAGGGTTTAGAGATGAATTTCTTGTTGTTAGGTCCAGCCTGTGCTTGAGCAGGAATTTCCAAAAGCATGGAACAGGTTAAGAAGATACATTCTAAGAGTTCCAAGTTGATGTGCATATGGAAAGGCAATTGACGTTGGCGTTCAGCAGCATCAATCTCAGGAGCAGGTGCTTGAGCAAAGCGTTGAGCTTGAACACCTTGAGCCAAAAGTTCCTTGACACGGCCAGAGCCTTGGATTTCAGAAAGAGCAGCGTGTGATTCCTTGACCAAACCTTCACGGAAAGCACAGATACCAATTTGGACCATAGCACGGTTATACAAGATTTGTGTAGCAATGTCTGCTTGATGAATAGAGTCTTGAACATGAGACATCAATAGCAAATCACGGGCAGTGTAGTACTTTTTGTGAAGAGCATGGTGGTAGATGTGACAGAGCATAGCGCGAGTACGGAACACTGTAGAGTCATCCTTGTAAAGATAGTTACAGAGTTGGTTGACTAATTCAGTGGGTTCAGTAGAAGTGGTGATGCTAGATTGAACATAGGCAGGCAAAAGTTTCTTGGAAGCAGTTTGGAGAGAACCAATGACTTGTTCAGGCTTATAGTAGACATGATCCAACTTGCGAGAAACAATTCTGGGAAGAGCAAAGTGAATGCTGTTAGATTCACAGTAGAATTGAGCACGGTCCAACATGGCATAAACAATAGGTTCATCACTAAGACGGTCAATGTATTCAGTAGCATGAGGATCAATGTTTTGAAGGGATTTGTTGAACTCATCGTCAAGACGTTCAACAAAGCTGAGGATAGAACCACGAAGCTTGACAACTTCGCCTTCCTTGGGAACAACATCTCTGTCTTCGTTGTCGAGTTCTTCAGCATCTTCAGTCACGACAAAGGTCTTGTTGTTCTCGAGGGTTTCAAGCAAAAGGTTAAATTCTCTAGCAGAATCCTTCCAAACACCAAGATCCATGAAAGGTGCTTTGTTGGCTGTAATGTCGAAACGGTAAGCAATAAGGGCCAACAAGACAGAGATCTTTTGGAAAGGAGACTTGGCACCTTCTAACAAGCTTTCCAAAATAGCAATTTGTTCAGTACGATCCGTGTTCTAGTCACATGAGTAAATTATATAGCTATTTGATCTATCTTACCTTTTTACCACGGCTTTCCAAGACTTCTCTTAAACGAAGCAAGACATTCTCATAACTGACAGCAACAACAACCTTGCCGCCCTTAGTGACAGAAGAGAAACCCTCGTTATCATCAACAGCAACAGCTCTAGAAATAGGTTCTTTCTTTTGAACAGGTGCAATAGGTTCTTCTTTCACTTCCTCTTCCTTCATGAACTCCTCAGGGTCCTATTGATATCATTAGAACTAAAGCTATAAATATAGACATGCCTTTCTGTAAGCAGTAATGTGCTCATCGTATTGCTTAGAGAGCTTCTTGAGCTTTTGCTTCAAGTTGTTCATAGCCTTGCTGTTGCCAGTGTTTTTCTTTTTGCTAGCCTTATCTTTTTGAAGATTTTCGGTCAAACGGTCTTCAAGTTCGACCATTGTCTTGATATAGAACTTGGGTAAAGGAATAGCATTGAATCCAGTAGTTGCTCTGGAAATAGTGACAGTAAGCTTATCGAATTCTAACCAAACACGTTAGTTGGCAAAAAAAAACTTTTTTTTTTTTTTTTACCAGTTGAAATAAGATTCCAATCATTGTTCTTTTGACCGTTTTCAATAGCTTTCACAGCAGTTTCCATCTCTTCAATACGCTTGTCTTTTTGAGACTTGGCTTGACGCTTCTTGTCTCCTTCGTCATCTGAATCATCAGAGTCGCTTCCACCCTTCAAGAAACGGTTCTTGGGTTGTTCTTCCTGTTGTTCAGAATGATGACTCTCGTTATCGGAATCGTAGTCAGAGTCGGATTGACTGTACAAAGATTCGTTGTCAGAGGAAGTGTCGGAATCAGATTCAGTGTCTGAACTACGGAAGAAACGAGACATGCTAGTATCTATAGAGTATAAAGAAAGAGAGCGAGAGAGATTTTTTTTTCTTCCATTAGTATTGAAAAAAATTTTCAAGTCACGGCACCGCCACCCAGTTTACAGTGAGCTAATGGAGCGTTTTGATTGGACGATTCAAACTTCAGGCTGACAAACTTACTCTGTAGCTATGGCCATTGAAAGCACGTTAAGAGTGGGTTATCATGCAATTACTCTTATAGCTCAGGTAAAAGAAGTGGACGCATCATTCATGATGTGACAATAAAAAAGAAAAAATACGCGTTGGCTGCGGTCTAATCTACTGCGGTAAATTAGAGCATAGCAAACTGACGCAAACTTGAACCTAAAACAGCATCAAATTCGTTTTTCTTCCTTTTTTTTTAACTTTATATTATAACAATATGAAACAACGTTTTAATGCTTTGGATGTACGCGCCACTGTCATCAACTTGAGAGAAAGGTAATTCCAATCATTTATTACCGAGATGCTCATTTATTTTAGGCTGATTGGTATTCGGTTGCAAAATATTTACGATGTAAACGCAAAGACTTTTCTGTTCAAATTTGCCAAGGTAGAGTTGTCTGATAACTAAATAGCTCCTGCTGACGTATGAATAGCCCGATGATAAAGAGCTTGTGTTGGTAGAATCAGGTATCCGTATTCATACAACCCAGTTTAGCAGAGAAAAATCAATTACACCTACACCTTTTTGTGCCAAGGTAAGCAATTCATGTATATTAAGATAAATGGCTCAATCTTGTTTTTCAGCTTCGTAAACACCTTCGTACACGTCGTGTGACTAATGTTCGTCAATTGGGTGTGGATCGTATTGTTGATTTCGAATTTGCAGGTGGAGAAAATAGCATCGGATACCATATTATTTGTGAATTCTATGCTTCTGTGAGTACAAGAATAACAAAAGAGTAGCTCGTTGACAATGGAGTAGGGTAATATCATTTTGACAGATCAAGATTATCGTATTTTGGCCTTATTGCGTGCAGTTCAACCCTCAGAAACGTTGAAAATGGCAGTAGGCGAAATTTACAATATTAAGTCAATCTTGAATGACTATGAAAAAGTACAAGTGGATCAATTAAGAGCTGCTTTACGGTCTGCTGGTCCTAAAGACAACTTGAAGAAGATTCTTAATATCAAGTTTGGTCAGTTTATTAATAGTTGTTTGTTTTCTTACTTGTCTTAACGTAGAGTATGGACCTGCTATGATTGAGCATATCATTTTAGAAGCTAATTTAGACCCCAACATGAAAGTAGCTACTGATTTCGATTCTTCAGAAGGTAAAGGAAGCAATGTACTTGTCTTTGTTGATCAGCGATTAGGTTCACCCATGTTGCAAGCATTGCTAGAAGGCTTTAGTAAAGGCGATGAAATGATTGAATCTACAAGAAATGTTGTTCCTAATGGCTACATTATTTTGTTGCAAGACTCACCCAAGTCTGAAAATGAGGAACAGGTTGAAATCTATGATGAGTTCCATCCCTTCTTGTATAAGCAATTCGCTCATCGTCAATCTAAAGAGTTCTCTACCTTTGACAAGGCTGTGGACGAATTCTTTTCTGCCATTGAGTCCCAAAAGCTTGAACTTAAATCAAGACGTCAAGAAGAAGCTGCACTTAAGAAATTAGACGCTGTTCGTAAAGAACAGGAAAGCAGAGTACAAGCACTTTTAAACCAGCAAATTACAAATGTACGCAAGGCTGAATTGATTGAATTGAATTTGCAAATGGTAGATGCTGCTATTACTATCATTAGAAATGCTGTTGCAAGCCAAATGGATTGGCAGGATTTAGATGATTTGGTCAAAGAAGAAAAGCGTCGAGAAAACCCTATTGCTATGATCATTGATAGTCTCAAGTTAGAAACTAGTCAAATCACGCTCGTCTTAAAGCAAGTATTGCACAAGAGTATATTTATGCATAAAATTAACTTGATAATTTATCATAGTGATCCTGTTGATGATGATGATGATGATGATGATGATAAAGAGACGAAACAACCACAAAATGTTAAAATTGATGTGGATATCAACTTGACTGCATTTGCTAATGCTCGAAAATATTATGAACAAAAGAAAACAACTGCTACTAAGCACGAAAAAACCATTGAAGCTTCTTCCAAAGCTTTGAAATCAGCAGAGAGAAAGATCAGACAGGACTTGAAGGAAACCAAGATTACTGCCACTATCAACAAGATCAGAAAGCCATTCTGGTTTGAGAAATTCCTATGGTTTATTTCAACAGACGGTCATTTGGTAATTGCAGGTCGTGATATGCAGCAAAATGAAATGCTTGTCAAGCGTTACCTTTCAAAAGATGATGTCTATATTCATGCTGATCTGAATGGTGCTGCTTCTGTCATTGTAAAGAACAAGCCCAATGCCAATGGCCAACCTATTCCCCCTAGCACACTTTACCAAGCAGGTATTATGTCTGTTTGTCAAAGTAGAGCTTGGGATGCCAAAATGGTGACAAGTGCTTATTGGGTCTATCCTGATCAAGTCAGTAAATCAGCTCCTTCTGGTGAATACTTAACTACAGGTAGTTTTATGATCCGTGGTAAAAAGAACTATTTACCTCCCGTGCAACTTGTTTATGGCTTTGGTTATCTCTTCAAATTGGATGAATCTTCTATTGGTAATCACGTCAAGGGCAAATTGGGTGAAGACGATCAAGAAGAGCAAGAAGAACAAGAAGAGCAAGAAGAACAAGAAGAACAAGAGAATATCGAACCAGAAAGTCAGCCCGAACTTGCTGAACAAACTCAAGTCAATGAAGAATCAAGCAACGTGTTGGACACCTCAGCTAAATCAGAAAGCGACTCTTCTTCCTCTTCTTCAGAGGATGATGATGATAGTAGCGATGATGAGAATGCTTTTCCTGATACCCAACTTCAATCCATTCCAGTGGCTGAAGATACCAAGGCTGATAAATACAATTTAGAGGATTATGGCCATGATTCTGACGAACAAGCAAATGTATCGAGTGGAAACAATACACCTACAAAGAAATTTATCACAGCTAAAGAACGTCGTTTGATGAAAAAGAACAATTTGACTGAAATTACTGATGAAATCAAAGAAGCTCAACAAAAGCAAAAGCAAAAGCAAAACAATAAACCCAAACAACAAGCTCCTGCTAAGCCTAAGTCTCAAGCACCTCCCCCAGCTGCATCCACTCGTGGACGAAAGGGTAAAGCTAAAAAGATCAAGGATAAATATGCCGACCAAGACGAAGAGGAAAGACAACTTCGTATGGAACTCTTGGGTTCCAACAAGGGCCCTCAACCCAAGGGCAAGAAAGCTAAACGTCAAGCTAAGGCCAAAGAAGAAAAGGCTGCATTAGAAAAAGAAAGAGTTGAGAAAAAGGCTGCTGTTGAAGAACAAGCTCGTGTGACACAACAGGAAAACAACAATATAGAACAAGAAGAGATACAACCTGATCAAGTTCAAGATGAAAAAGACACAGAAACAATTCGTCAAATGCTCAAGGAAGAAAACATTACTATGTTAGAAGCAGATGAAGTAGCCAACTTGTCTATTCTTGACTCTTTGACACCTAATCCTTTGCCTGAAGACATCATTCATTTTGCTATTCCTGTCTGCGCTCCTTACACTGCTATCCAAAAGTACAAGTATAAGGTCAAGTTGACTCCAGGTACATTGAAGCGTGGTAAGGCTATCAAACAAGCTCAATCTGTCTTTTTCAACTTAAATGATGCTGCACCTCGTGAAAAAGAATTGATCAAGGGTGTGCCAGAAATGGAAGGCATTAATGCCATGATGAGTAAAGTCAAGGTGTCAGCACCTAACCTAGAAGCAAGCAAGCGCAAGAAGGGTGGAAATAGACGATAAACTTTTAGACAACTTAAAACCTCACAATAAACTAACTGTATTATACTTTTAACAACCCCCTTTTTTTCTATACAGCTGTTTTTATTAATTACATTTTTTAAGTATGGAATGGAAAGATTTAGTTCTTGGCATTTTCCTTCATCAAGTTGAGAGCAGACTATAAAAGAGAAATGATAAGTTAGTAAAGTGCTTAAAGATATATATTTAAAGATCCTTACGCCGTATTTGAACCATTGAATTTGACCTTCGTTGAATGTGTGGTTGGCAGTGATGTCCTTGACGGAACCATCCTTCTTTTGGAGACGAACAGTCAAAGGTTTACCAGGTTGGAAGTCGGTCAAACCAAGGATAGAGACCTTGTCATCAGCATCAACAAGATCGTAGTCGGCAGGGTTGGCGAAAGTCAAAGGAAGCATACCTTGCTTCTTCAAGTTGGTTTCGTGGATACGAGCAAAGGACTTGACGATGACGGCAGCACCGTTAAGGAAACGGGGTTCCAAAGCAGCGTGTTCACGAGAAGAACCTTCACCGTAGTTTTCGTCACCGAAAACAACCCACTTGATACCTCTGGCCTTGTAGTCACGGGCAACATCAGGGACACCAGCATATTCACCAGTGAAGACGTTCTTGATGTTGTTGACCTTACCTTCGCTAGAAGTGGCACCTAGAGAAAAGAAAATGGCACATATAAGCACACACATATACACTATACACTAGACTTACCAATCAAGAAGTTGTTGGAGATGTTATCCAAGTGACCACGGTACTTGAGCCAGGGACCAGCCATAGAGATGTGATCAGTGGTACACTTACCCTTAGCCTTGATAAGGATAGGGACGTTTTCAATGTCCTTACCATCCCACTTGGAGAAAGGTTCCAAGAGTTGAAGACGGTTAGACTTGGGGTCAACGGCAACTTGGACGCTGGCACGGTTAGCAGGAGGTTCTTGGTAGGTGTTTTCACCAGCATCGTAACCACGAGAAGGAAGAGCATCACCAGCAGGAGGGTTAAGCTTGAAGGGCTTACCGTCAGCACCAATAAGAGAATCAGTCATGGGGTTGAAGTGCATGTCACCGGCAATGGACAAGGCAGTGACGATTTCAGGAGAGGCAACGAAAGCGTGTGTTTCAGGGTTGGCATCGTTACGACCAGTGAAGTTACGGTTGTAAGAAGTGATGATAGAGTTCTTGTCACCCTTCTTGATGTCTTGACGATCCCATTGACCGATACAAGGACCACAAGCGTTAGCTAAAACAACACCACCAGCGTTGGTAAAGGTGTCCATGATACCATCACGTTCGATGGTGGCACGGATTTGTTCAGAACCAGGAGTGACAGTGTACTTGGACTTTAATTGGATACCGTGTTCGTTAGCTTGCTTGATGAGAGAAGCAGAACGGGTCATGTCTTCGTAAGAAGAATTGGTACAAGAACCGATCAAACCGACCTTGAGTTCTTGGGGCCAATCGTTCTTGATGGCGGTTTCCTTGAACTTGGAGAGAGGAGTGGCCAAATCGGGAGTGAAAGGACCGTTGATGTGGGGTTCGAGAGTGTCGAGGTTGATTTCGATGACTTCATCATATTGAGCATTTTCATCAGCACGAAGGTTGTGAGAGAAGGACTTGGCATAGTCAGCAATGGCACTACGGTTAGTGGCACGGAGGTAGTCAGCCATACGTTCGTTGAAGGGGAACATGGAAGTAGTGGCACCAATTTCAGCACCCATGTTACAGATAGTAGCCATACCAGTACAAGAGAAAGAGTTGACACCTTCACCAAAGTATTCAACAATGGCACCGGTACCACCCTTGACAGTCAAGATACCAGCGACCTTGAGGATGATATCCTTAGGAGAGGTCCAGCCGTTAAGCTTACCGTTAAGCTTGACACCAATGACCTTGGGGCACTTGAGTTCCCAAGGAATGTCAGCCATAACATCGACAGCATCAGCACCACCGACACCAATGGCAACCATACCGAGACCACCAGCGTTAGGAGTGTGAGAGTCAGTACCGATCATAAGACCACCAGGGAAAGCGTAGTTTTCAAGGATAATTTGGTGAATAATACCAGATCCTGGCTTCCAGAAACCAAGACCGTACTTGGCAGTGGCAGTGGCCAAGAAGTCATAGACTTCCTTGTTGATGTCAATGGCACGAGCCAAATCCTTGGGACCACCAACTTGAGCTTCAATCAAGTGATCACAGTGAACAGTGGAGGGAACGGCAACGTTAGGAAGACCGGCAGACATGAATTGCAAAAGAGCCATTTGAGCAGTAGCATCTTGACAAGCAACACGGTCAGGACGAAGCTTGAGGTAAGATTGGCCACGAACGATATCTTGGTTTTCAGCATCATCCAAGTGACCATAGACGACCTTTTCAGAGAGAGTCAAAGGACGGTTCAATCTATAGAATGAGTTAGCATTTACGTAAGGGTACCCCCACCCTCTTTATTAATACATAATCCACCCCACATGCACACACTCCGCAATGTAACCAAAAAAAAATTTTTTTTCTGTTTACCTCTTACGGACGATTTGAAGGTTATCTTCAATTCTTTGGTAGTTGATGAACTTGTCTTGTTCAAGGTTGGACATGGCAACCTTTTGGGCAGCCCAGTTGGTACCAGCTTGAGCGTAGGTACGGGCAGGAACGTGAGTTCTAATAGCAGGGGCAAAAGCCTATTGATTAAATAATTAGAAAACACGTCTCATATTTTATTAAACATTACCTTGGCAGCTCTGAATAAATTGTTGGAAGAGAGCATCTTGATTTACTTAGTGTAAGCTCTGCCTAAACAAACAAATTAAATAAATAAAAAAAGAAGAGAGGGGGAAAAGTTAAAGAAGAAGAGAAAAAGAAAAAGAAAAAAAAAGAAAACTGTATATCGAACAGTAAATAACTGAATTTTTTTTGCTGTCACTCAACCGAATTCGGAATGGGCTACACACAGCCAAAAAAAGAATTATCCCTTTTTCAATGAAACATGTGGGTTGGTATTTCACATGAATCTGGGAAAAAAAAACTGTATAAAATTTAAGTTTGTTATGATGTTAAAAAGAAGTCTCCTTTTTTTTTGCAACATCTCTGTTTGCATATTAAAAACCATACTACATACTGCAGGTTCTTGAAATGCAAAGAGAAAGCATAGAACAAAATAAAAAAGCAAGTATCTATTACTGATATGCGCTGAGATAAGCAATATTCAACAATAAACTAATCGTAACAGGGCCAAGTAAAAACACAAAAAAAGCCGTCCGGGCCATGAAAAATTATGACATTCCGACTAAAATTTGGCTTGGATCATTGTTTAACCCATCCCCTTTTCAAAGCCAAGTTGATTTATCCAATGCCTTTTTGCTTTCTGCCTCTCCTTACTCCCTGTCAACAAAGAAGTACATTACATTCATTTGTAAACAAACACTTGTTGCTTCTAATAAAAAAAGAAAAGAAAAGAAAATTTCGCGTTTGAAATACCGAAACTGGCGTACAAAATTGCTTTGGTACACAAGCAAATGTAAAAACCCGATGAGGAGGACTTTCCCCGCATCCCATTTCATCAAATGCACAATTCATAAAATGACGCAGACATAAAAGAATTTCTAGCCATGTTTAAGTTAGAACATGTAGATGTTTTCTTGGCCCTATTCCAAATAGAAAATAGGCTTTCATGGCCCTTTCCAATTGTGAAGTATGTTTTCATGGCCCTGTCATGGGCAAAAATAACTCCATGACTAAAAACAAAACTTACCTTATCATCCTGAAATGGAATTTGTGTAACAGTTTAAATCACAGATATATCATTGCATGGCCCTATTTGAAGTGTGCTACATCACATCGTCATATTCTGTATTTCCTCGCCTTAATGTTGAACCGGTTGTTACACTAACAAGTAGCAGCTACAGTAACCAATCATATCTATGATTTAACAAACAAAAGAGCAATCCTTATGTGAAATAAGGTGTTTATAGTTCAACTATGCCAATGCCCATTGTCAAAAAATTAAAAAAAATTCATAAGCTTATTGGCTTATTTATCTCTCCCCCCAAAAAAAAACGAAAAAAAATAACAAGCAATGCACCTTTTAAATAACAATAGAATATTGTTTTGTGTTAAACAACTCAATTCGACTTTATTTCTTATTACATTTTTGTCAATAAAGTTACTCTTCTTGCTTTGACAACACAACAATGTTGCCACGCTGTATTGCTTCTTTTCTTGGCTGAACAATTAAATGGTGTGGATGATTTTGTGCAGGCACATCAGGATGGCATGTCTCTATACTTTTGACCCATTCGTCTTGTAAGATATCGACAAGCAAGCATCGTTCCTGAGAATCTGGGACTAAAATCCGAGAAATGCTTGATTTTGCGTAACAAGGCAGCATGTCAAACAATTGCTTTGCGCCACTGTTGTCTGGTTTCACGAAATTTCTGTAAGACTGGTCTTTTTCGGGATGAGGAAGCTTCCAAGGGAACCGACGAATGATCATGCAAATGTAAATGATGCCGCAGGACCATAAGTCTGTCTTGCGGGCATCATATTGTTTATCAGTGTATAGCTCGGGTGCAATATAAGGATCCGAACCACAAACACCTAAAAAGTAAGATTATTGAAGAAAATGTGCATTCTACTTACCTTTGCTTAGATGAACATCACTTTCAAATGGGTATTTAAACACAGTTGCACAACCAAAATCAATGATTTTGATAATACCCTTTTCATCCATCATCAAGTTATCCAATTTGAGATCCCTATGAGCAATACCCGACGAATGCAGATACTCTACACCTTGAAGTAATTGTCGCCAACAACAGTTGATTTCTTCCATGGTCATTTTGCCACTCATGACAACATTGAATAGATCATTGGGCGCATATTCCATAATTTCATAGAACGAGTGTCCTTCCTGAATTAGATCGAGTGCTTCAATGACATTAAAATGATGTAGTGTAGAACCGATGCAGAATTCGGCAGTGACTTTTTTTACGTATTCTTTGTAGTTTTCTCCTGGATTTCGCTTTCTAAACTCTTTGACGGCAAATGTTTTGCCATCAAGGCTTCGACGGATAATCCTGACAGATCCGCCTGAACCTTTACCAACAAAATTTCCTAATACGATGTGAATAACAGTCAATGACGCATTGGTAAAAATTTACCCCATTTGCCATAGTGTCTTTCAATATCCTTGTTAAAATCATTTGCAAACGACAGTTGACTACCCGTCGTAGAAGAGCCACCACTGCCTTCAGATACGTTATCCTTTAATGACCTTTTCTTCTTTTTTTCACCCTTTTTGAAAAATCGTTTCAATTCATGGAAAATGGTATCCTTTTTTTCAAGATGATGATGAAAGTGTGTATGATGGTAATGTTTATCATATTCTGGCTTTTTGAATATGAATTGAGAAGGTGTGTTTGAATGTCTTGAAGAACTGTCTGATACCTTGGAAGGTATAGGTGAATCAGAGCGAGAGGATTGAGATTGAGGGCCAAGAGGAGGAGACGCAGGTGCGGAGCTGTTGGGTGTTACATTTTCAAATTGCTGACGATGTGTAAATCTCTTGGCTGAAGTATCCATGTTGTTTAACTTGTCAGTCAATTGAGATGAGTAGTTAGTTGCATTTGAGATATTGCAATGATAATTGAATGCAGGTGATTCAGAGACTGGGCGTACTTTAGTAGTCATGAAAGAAAGAAAGAAAAAAGGAAAGAAACAGAATAAAATGACAGAAAATAGATATTAAAAAAGGGATCTTTGAAACACAGATTTAGACATCTTAAACATAAAGCCGATATCATTAGATTTCTTTTTCCCTTTTTGTTTATTTTCTTATAGACAACATAGTCTCCTGTTGTTGTTTCCTGTAGAGACTCTTTTTCATTCATCTATGGTCTCTAAAAAAAGTCTCTTTGTTTTTTTTTTATTAAAATCAAGTCGGATTAAAATAGTACCAAATTTAAAATTTTCAAACATATGTTCGTCATACTGAAGTGTTTAGAAGTCAAGGCTTACATAATAAAAGAGGAGGGGTTTATTTATAACATTAATGAACAATATTAAGACGAGCACTATCCACTTGCCAAATATCTAAATTCTTGTATTCACGAATAGCTTGGTCCAATTGAATTTCTGTATAACCTCTTGATAAAACACGCTGTCTAATAGTAGATAAAGCAATTGAGCTTCCATATTGGTATGTTAATTCTTTGACGATGTTGAAGATACCCGACATGGGTGATTTGTCATGGCGACCATCACGCTTTTGACTCTCATCTGTTAATGATGACTTGGAAACATCAATCAATCGAAGTGCTTCATCTACATCCATGGGCTCAACTGTGTCAGACAGACGCACACGGGCTAAGGCTTGAGCCATACGAATGATACCCAACAAAGTACGAGCAGAAGCATATGTGAACTGTTGTTGGCGGTCTTCGTCAATCTTGTATTGACGTCTTAGACCAACATAAGCACTGGTTACATAGTCAGAGACTTGTTGTGTGAGTACAGGACGCTTTGTTCTAGCATGGGCTACATAGTGCCTAATCATATGAGGCTCTAAAACATCAAAGTCCATCTTAGGAGGCTTATTGTGAGTATGAACATAAGTGACATGTTCAGCCAAAAGACGATCTAAATCGTCAGAAGGCTTATCGAGGATTAAATAAAGAAGATCAAAACGAGAGAGCAAAGCAGCAGGTAAATTGATGTTTTGTGTAGGAGAAATACGGGTATTGTAACGACCATACAAAGGATTGGCAGCAGCCAAGATGGAAGCGCGAGCATTTAAGGTCGTGTTGATACCAGCCTTAGAGATACTGATAGTCTGTTGTTCCATGACTTCATGAATAGCTGTTCTATCTGATTCGTCCATCTTGTCAAACTCATCAATACAGCAAATACCATTGTCAGCCAAGACAAGAGCACCACCTTCCAAAATCATTTCATCTGTCACAGGCTCACGCATGACAGCAGCAGTCAAACCAACACCAGAAGAACCACGACCAGTTGTATAGACACCACGAGGGGCCACTTTAGCAATGAATTTGAGTAATTGAGATTTAGCTACACCTGGATCACCCATCAAACAGATATTAATGTCACCACGAATCTTCATACCATCGCCTACTGTCTTGTTGACACCACCTACAAGCAACAACAAAAGTGCCTTTTTCACATCATCATGACCATAGATTTCAGGGGCAATACTACGGGCTAAATGGCTATAGATATTAGCATCGCGTTTCAATTCCTCAAGCCGTTGTTGATCTTCTTCTGTTAATTCAATTTCGTCGTATTGTTTCTTAAGACGGTGTACATATTGTACTTGTAAATAAGTGTCAGTCAAAAGACCAGCACGAAGGGCTCTGAATCCAGTGTAAGGCATAGGCAAAAAGATACCGCTCACATTGGCCACATCACCAGGCGTCAATTGACGACAAGCAGCACCATAGAGATGCAATGTCATCGTACGAGGAATATGGCCTACAGGCACTTGGTCTGTTAATTCTTGTAACTTGACTTCTTGGAAAGCCAAAAATTTAGAAGCTCTTGTTTGCATGTACAATTTTCCTCTTGTACCATTCTTTTGACATTCTTCAGAGACACAGGTGGTTAAAGGAGTGAATTGTCTTTGTTTGATTTCTTGAAAGATTTCATAACCACATGAATCACAACTGTAAGTGTTGACTTGAATAAAAGGCTTGACATCTGATACACGGGTGATAATACCACGCACAGTAACAAGATGGCCTAATTCAGCACCATTGATTTGGCGAACAGCATAAGATGTACTGTTGCTTAAAGGCTTGAAGAATACTTCACTATAGAAGAATGTAAATAAAATAGATCAACACAGGGCAATACTTTACTATCGACGGGTCAAAGAAGGAGGGAACGTTTGTTCAGTTTCAGTAGCTCTGTTGGAATCACGAATACTTCTTTGACGAATAATCACATCAAGCACACTATCTTTGTAACTCAAATCAGGTTCAGCAGGCTGTTTGGTGACTAAAAGATCATCAATTACAGTAGAAACAAGGTCAATGTAATGCTTTGTGTTTCTCATAATATTGGCCACTGTTCTCGTCTTTGAGTCTTCAAACTATCAAAAGCCGTTAGACGTGTTGGTTTTTACTTGTATTCTTTTACCTCGGCAATATCATCCAGTTCAATATAGAGAACAGATTGTTCTCTGTCTACAATTCTTTGCTATTGAACTCATCAATATTTTATAATAATAATAGTGATAAAAGCATATTTCTTTACCAACTGAATGTCATATTTGGCTTCTGTTTCTTCTTCACCCATGCTCACTGACTCTTTAAATCCAATGAGAAAGTCACGAAGATGCTCTACATGAAAAATGATTAGAAGAAAAACATGTTTGGTTCATGTTTACCCTTCTCCTGCTCATAGTTAATATTGATTGTAACAGGTGCAAGGGCAGCCATTTTTTATTATTATTGTTGAACAAACAGAAGAGAGAAAAGTATAAAAAAAAAAGAGAATTTTATTCAGTTTATCGCGTCCGGCGCGTTCGCGAAAAAAAAAAATTTTCGTTCACCAAGTCCGATGATTATTCTTTGATTGGTGGAGTAAGTGTAAGCGGTGAAGAGTAGATCAATGATTTAGAGATAGTTTGTTCAAGTAATTGAAGATTAACAGGCTTTCCAAGACAGTCATTCTATAAAGAATGAGAGAGAGAATAATTTGATTTGAGTTTTACCATGCCAACTTTAAGGTAATTATCTTTGGATTCTATTGAATCATTGGTCGTGACGGCAATGATAGGTACTGTACTATTTAAATTGGCTCGGATCTGTTTAGCTGTCTCGACACCGTTTAATAAAGGCATGTCAATGTCGAGTAAGATTATATCAAATGTATAAATGCGCATGAGATCCAGGGCTTCCAGGCCATTTCTTGCTTCTTTTATGCGTTTGATTTTGGTGGATGTAGAGAATGAAATAAAATTAAGGTGTTTTCTGAGGATGTTTAAATTGATAGGGTTATCGTCTACAATCAAGATATTGATACCAAATAAATGATCGACATCAAGTGGTGATGGCCTAGATTTCTTTTTTCTTCTTATTGTCTGTAATACACAAGAAACACTTCGTTTTGGTGCTTCTGTTAGCTTCTTCGTCACTCGCTCAGGAGTAGGTATTGATGTTGAACGATCCAGTTTGTCTAAAAGAAAAATAAAACAAAATAGAAAAAAAAGGGGGGGGGAGAAAAGAATAGGAATTCATTTAAATTTTTTTTTTTTTTTTGTAGTTGGATTTTATTTACAATATTATTGATTAGTCACACATCGCAGAGAGGTGGGACGTCGAAAAACAGGAGTAAAGAAAGACGATGTAAAGATCATACAATGATCAGGGCTATTTTAGCAAGGAGTGATTTTTTGTAGCTAAGGCTACCTGGTAAATTGTATCTGAAATGATACAAGAATGTTCAAAAGCAACTTGGTTAAGAATCAGGTTCCAATAGGATTTCCAGATATTCCATTGAGCTATCGCAACGATGGATACAAGTTTGGAGCGGTTTGTAATGGCAGGAGGAAAGGCTTGAAGAGTGAGGACCTTGTGGAGGGAGGACGGAGTAAAGTATACCAGAGGGTAGTAGCAGTTTAGTATTTCCAACCAAACACTCCACTTGGTAGAGCAGTGGGCTATGAAATGATCGTACGATTCCGGTTGTGATTTGCACAGACGACAGATAGGAGTAGAGACAGTACCAATCTTGAAAAGTTCGGACGCAGTGGGCAGTTTCTTGTAAAGCACACGATACCACAGTGTTCTAGCCTGAGGGAGCATTGGAGTCCTCCAATACAGAGAGAGCGAAGTACGAGAAGCCTTTATTCGGGATTTAGCTTTGTCTTCATAAGGATGCAGGCAGAAATCCCTAGAAGTGAAAGAGCGCCACAATCTTGTGTCAGTTAATTGCTTGGTCAAAGCATCATAGACAGATACAGTAGATGGTGTCACGTCTTGTGTAATATATTGCCACAGGAAAGATTGAAGTTTTACTGTTCGTCTGCGAAGAATGTCTATAAAGAGCTGATGGCACAATCCTGGTAATGTCCCATATTCATGGCGAACCTTCAGGCGTAACCGGTTACTCTGTTCGTCAAAGAGGAAGAAGAGAGATGCTGGTACTTTTGAATGTCGATGAAGCCAGTGGTTCTGAGGTACCTCTTGAAACATGTTAATTAGCGGAAAGTAAAGCAAGTTGGCAAGAGGCACATTATCAAGTTTGAAGTTGATACCAAAATGATCAAAGGCAGCATAAATACCATTGACAACTGAAGTGGGATGACAAAGGTCATGACGGCGAAGAGTTCTAGAGAAAAGGGTAGCAATGTATTGTCAGCATCCGGAGACATGATGCCAAAGTGTTCTGTCATAAGCACTCGGAGCTGAGGTGTTAGATTAGACGAACTAAACAGAGTAAAGACCCATCTCATCTGCAGCACCAAGTATTGTGTGATAGGGTTGAGAGCTCCTACACCACCTTGATTCTTGGGGAGACATAACTGGTCAAAAGAAACATAAGGAAACTTCTTTTGCCACACGTAAGCATAGATAATCGAACGAAGTTCATTCAGAAATCGCTTAGTAGGCGCAAACAACCGCAAGCAGTACCAAATTTTGGATAAAATCAAAGTGTTGGCAACGGTAGCTCTTCCTTGAAGCGAGAGGTAACGCTGAGAGTAACCATGAACCCGTGTACGCACTTGTTCCAATAACATATCCTGAACACGATTCCGTTGAGAATTTGTGTATGGCATATAAAAGCCAAGGTATCGAAAAGCAGAAGGGGAATGATGGTGGTAGTATGTTTCGATATCGTGACTCAAAAGCAAAGATTCCCAAGATTCTGACTTGACTCCACTCAGTGAGAAAGCTTCCGTCTTGTGCTTGTTAAATCTTGCATTTGATACAGCACTATACTTAGTCAAGTGATGTTGGAGACGCATAAAATCAGTGGAATCCTTGACAAACACACAGATATCATCAGCATATGCGATGCACTTGATCTGTTGAGATGTAGTGCTCATTGTCGAGACATAACCTTGATATGTAGGGTCTTGCTGGATTGAAAGAATCAGCGGTTCCAAAGCGATGTTGAACAATAAAGGGGACAAAGGATCGCCCTGCCTTAACCCACGTTGCTGATGTACTGGATCCGTAAAGGATCCGTTGACATTGATTGCTATTGAGTTATTAAAGAACAAATTATAGATACTCTGTATAAATAAGGTAGGGAAGCCTAGGGACACAAGAGCTTGTTGAAGATACGTTGGTAATACTCGATCATAGGCTTTCTCCTGGTCGAGAAGCAAACCTACACCTTGATGATGTTCATATCTTGCTTGTTGTAGAACCAAGTGGACGTACATCCCATTTTCGCCAATAAAACGTCCTTGGATGAAGCCCTTTTGAAGCGGGTTGATAATTCGATTCATTATAGGAGCTAGACGTTGGGTAATGAGCCTTGTGAAAATTTTACCATCACAGTTGATCAATGAAATTGGTCTCCAATTTTTTAATTCTGACAAATCACCTTTCTTGGGTAGCAAGCGCACTCTGATTTCCTTCCATGACTGAGGGAAAATTCCTTTTGTCATGGCATCATTGTATACCTGGAGTATCAGGGGCTTCAAACAAGGAAAACCAAACAAGAGTTGAAGGTATATATACCCTAGTCCATCACTACCTGGGCTACTTTGTTTTGGGCTACGCTTTGTCATTCTGACAATATCCTCCCAATCAAATTCCATTTGGAGCAGATTTGCTTCATCCTGATTAACTTTACTTGGAAAGTGAATATTACCTAAATACTCTTGTATTTGATTCATAGGTACTGCATCAATCGCATATAGGTCTTTATAAAACCGTTGTACAATATTCTGCATTGTCGATTTGGTGGTATGTACAATTGTTGGTGTTTCAGAATTGCTATCCTTGAAGCCAGACATATATTGTTGGGCTGTTCGACTCTGATGTATTTTTTTCAAGTACCCAGCATTGCACTCACCATTCTCTTGCCAGCGAAGACCAGCCTTTAGAATAGCTATTTCAGCCAGCTCTTGTTGTAGTATCTGTAGCTCATTGTCAATAGGTGGAATTACCAAGCGCTGAAAGTCTGGAGGAGGCTTTGTGCGTAGTAAACGATTACGTTTCTTTTCTAAAGCACGAATTCTCTTAGTACGCCAATCAACGTAATCCACTGAATATCCTCTAATGATTGACTTGGCTTTGTGTTTTACTTCATCCCATTTTTCTTGGGGCGATATATTCTCATCAAATCCTTGAACCAAATGTTGTATATTCCTCTCTAATGTCTTTTGTAGCTTAGGGTGGAAAGCATACACTGGATTGGCACGCCATAGTCCTTGACCAAACTGGGATTGGCCCAAGAGTAAGGATGTGTGTAATATGGAATGGTCTGACCATTTCGCTCCTAATCTGGTAATAGATGATTCTGATGCGCATTGGTACAAAATTTTACCCAAGTATATATAGTCTATGACAGTCATCACTAATTCACTTGAGACGGTGCGCTGAAAGGTGGGAACTTCGTGAAGGCCATTGATGGCCAAAGCATTTTGAAAATTTGCTTGCAAGAGAGCTAACCATTGCGTTGATGTTGAAGACGAATTATAGTGGCGGCTGAGGACTGAGTAATTAAAATCTCCTGAAATAATCAGTCTGTCAAAAGAGATAACTGATCGAAAATCATGGAGCATTTGTGTTAGATTGCTAAAGAATGTTCGACGTTTTGCAGCAAGGCCTGCCGGTGCATAGACGTTCAGAACAAAGAAAGGTTCATAGAAATGATGTGGATGTTCAACCATGCATAGTTGAAATCGATCGGATGTAAAGGATGAGGAAGTGTCGATGATAGAGATGTTGTAATCGGTAGAGAAGGAGAGTATGCCCACATGACTGGTCCAATGGGACTGTGTAGGTTGAAAGAGGATGTTGAGGTTATCTATAGTTGAAGGAGTGGAAGCATGAGTTTCTTGAAAGCATAATATAGAGAAATTCTGCATTCGAAGGTATCGTATATATTCTTTTTGTATTTTTTTGGAGTTTGTTTTCACTAAACTATTGGCGTTTAGTGAGGCATAGTGGCACAGGATATTTTTCTTATTCATTGATGCGGATCTATAAAGGGTGACTCTCTACCCTCTGATTATCAGAGGCAGAAGAGGGTATCGTAGATTTCTTCGTGTCCAATTGTTGGTTCAAATTTGATCCATTACGTCTTTCTCCTTTCTTCATAACGAGGTGATCTTTTAATTGTTGGCTGACGCTGTACATCTTGGTATCCTTATAGAGGTCTTCAATCTCCATCCTGTCAATATCCTCGTCTCCACTTTCTATTTCAGATTCATCTTCTTCCATGCTCTCTTTATCTAAAGGGTCGTAATCACTATCGCTAGTATCGTTATCATTATCTTTGTCGACATTGATCTCTGTCTGGCCAAAGTTGCTACTTTTGACTTCAATACTGCTTTGCCCTTCAGGCTTGGATGCTTCTTTTCTTGGTTGGGTGGCCTTTCCAAGAACTGATCTTTCTCTCTTTGAACGCTTGCTGGGTGTCATAGACTGTTTCCTAGGACATTCAAACGAGCGGTGTCCTAATTGATGGCACGCATAACATATAATTCTAGCTTTCGACTTCTCACATTCAAATTTTGTGTGTCCAGTTTGGTGGCAATACCTGCACCAAGTGGGCATGTTGTTCCAGGTTGCGTGAAATATTTGGCTTTCGCTTTCGCACCAACGAATGTTATGCTCCAAAGGCTGATACTTGAGGTTGTCTGTTGAGTCTGAGGGACCAGAAGGAATACCAATGACGGCATATCCTGCGCCCATAAACCATCCGGTGGTGGTTTCTGTATTGATTCCTACATCAATTACCTTTCCAAATGGAGCTAAACTCTGTTGCACGCCCTCAAGAACTATCCTTTTGGGACGTAAAGGTAATTGGGACAATTTCACAGTAACAAATCGGAGTGTGGCATCTGCGGCCTTGCAAGGGAAAATTCGCAATTTTGACTTTTTAAAGACAACACCATGCTCCATAAGATCATTGTCATCATCATCTTTTTCGATATACAATTCCAAGTACTGAGTTGGGCCATCCCTCAAGATGGAACAAGCGTAGATCTTTGGGTGTTGAGCGCTGATTTCCTGCATACACTGGAGATCAGTGTATTCTTTCTTAACTGGAGTAATGTCGAGTAAGAAAGCATCCTCATGGCTAGCTACTCGATAAATTCTCGACTGAAATTCTCGCAAAGGTGAGTCTGCATCTTTGTCAGGTTCAACGATGCCTTGGTGCATGAGTGATACTCGAGTTCTAGCTGCTACACTAGCATATGATCTTAGTTGTTGGGTGGCTTTTAGGTTTGGAGATTTTTCAATCCCCGCAACCGACTGAAAGTGTTGAGAGTTGGGAAGAGCCATGGAATTCATTTAAATGTCTTTATTGCTAGTAATCTAGACTTTTAGGCCTGGGCACTGAGTTCTATTTTTTATTTTATTTTATTTTTTTTATTTTTTGACTATTTTGTCCATTCAAGTAAAGTATTTAAAATGACTGTAGACAGGATAAAAGCAACAAGAGATAGCTTTGATTTAATATAAAGTGTTTCGGGTCTATAAATCTCGTTTTTGACCTATGAGTGTGTTAGTTATTTGATTATGATGTCTTTATGAACATACAAGCACTTGAATAGGTTGGTCAGACTGATAGTTATTGTGAATAACAATAGTTTCTTTTGAAACAGCCTAATGCGCGATGAATACGAGCAGATTCTATCTTTTTCTTCTTGTTTACCTTTTCTTTTATACATTGAACAAGATCAGTCATGCTCATGGTAGACAATGAAGACAAGAAAAATAAAAAAAAAAAAAAATCGGAGTAATTCATCTACAGTCTTTTGAATTCAATTTTTGTCAAGCATTTCAGTATGATGATTAGGCTTAAAGGACACATAGCTTAAACAAACATACTTTATTGTTATTATCAAAAATTTAAACTTCATTTAATATTAATTTAATCAGACATTGAATGATATCAGCTGTCTTGCCAAAGCAAATGGCAGTTAAGCCATTTTTATCTTGATATTCAATTAGTCTGGGTTCTTTTCTTATCAGAAATATGACTAATTGAGTGTACTCTAGATGACATGCAAGATGTAATAAAGTCTGACCAGCCATATTGGTTTGAGAGAGATTAAGATCATGCTGAGATAATAGAAAAAGAATGTCAGGTTCGAGTAAAAGAAAGGGTGGTTTATAGAATGGGTCATAGATATGGCAAGCAAGATCAGAAATGTCTTGTTGACTCCAGTCATGATAAGTAAAGTAAGTGTGTCCAACAGGCTTGTTTCGAAAAAAAAGGGCACAAGCACCTTGTTCTTGGGCAGGAGGCAAGAGGCAGACCAGGCTGTATTCATCAGAAGACACAAGAATTGCCGGATGATTCCCAAACATCACCATCAAGTCTTGATTCAAGTTTTCGCCTAACAAGGTAACTTCAATCCCGCCTGTTAAAGGACCTACTTCGGGCACAACATAGTTTATTGTAGGATTGTTTGTATGACAATCTTCGGGCGGGAAATGAAACTGACCATTGGCATGATGTACTATCATGCTGTCTAATGGTTGCAAAGCAGCATTCTCGGATGGCATATTACACGAAGCAGGGGTGTGTGGCTTTTTGTGGTCATCTGTAATCATTAAAAGAGGTGATTCTCCACTCGCAACAGTCTGGCCGTGATAGTTTTTAAGGGAAAACCGAATACTAGCATGGTTCAATACTCAGCACATGACAAATCAACTTACCGATATCCAAGACGCTCATTCTGATGACGACAATAACAAGTAATACGCACAAGAAGATCTGCTGTCAATGTGTGAAATGCAACAAGTGGTTCACAATTAAGCAGCAAGATACGTTTACGTTCATGTTCAAACTCTTTATCCACTCGACCTGCATTGAGTCTGTAGCTTGTAGGCTTCGTATTCTTCCTTCGTTCAGCACGTTTACGCTAAAAAAAAAGGCATAAGTGCAAAATAATGTCATAAAAAAACTTACTTCTCGTCTGACGCATCCTGCACACATGTAGACTTCTTTGTCTGGATCACTTTCACAAATGACGCGGGCTTCCAAGTCGAGTACTTTAGATTCATCTGAAACCATGGCAGCCGTACTACCATCTAACAATAGATGCCGAGAGTGTGGTTTTTGCTTTGCAATGAATGATGAAGGTATTCTGATGTAAGACCAATAAGGCGCATGAATCCCATTGCTATGGACAAGGGATAAGCAGAGCTTGATTTGAGTTTCGACACGCGATTTAGTGCTACTTGTAGGAGCCACCTTGACATGAATTTTGCTAAACAACATTAATCAGTAGAGTGGTATAGATAGAGGATGACTTACTAGCTCGTATTGTATTGACATGATACAAGGCTATCGTATTTTATTTAATATGTAGGCTTTTTTTTTCTGTAAATATTCTTTTTACATACTGGTTCATGATGAATAAAACAAAATGTTACAATTTCCTTTTCTTTTACCTTATCATTAACGTGAAATATCTCATGAGGTGCAGACGATGATAGAGAATAGTCGTTAGAAACAGTGCAAGATGTCATTCCGTATGTATTTGATAAAAATAAAAAAAAATAAAAGAAAAAGAAGAGTTACCTTCTTAAATGATATCGGAGCAAGCAAACAATAAGATGACAGTTTTGTGTCTAAATAAAGAGGGGAAGCATTGGGTTTGAAATTTCTTTTTCTCTTCAGAAAAAAAAGTGGTTACTTTTATATTAATTTTCAAACGTTATTTGTTATAAGCAATGATATATCAAACCAGACATAATTGAGACTCTTTCTGAAGCCTTTGGTTCTTGTTTGTATAGATTATATGCGCTGCAATTTTCTCTTGTAATATCTGATTTAGCTGTAATACTAAATCATGTACAGAAAATGACCCAAAGCCGAAGGTGTATATTTGAAACGCCGTTCATTTCTTTTACATGGCATCCATTGTTTATCATATCCAAAGCTGCTCGTTTTAACATCGAGAGTATCATACGTTATAGTAAAAAATTGGTCTAAAGCTATTTACTTATCGAATTGTGTATAAAAAAAGTACCTAATTACTAGTTAATACCTACCGAAAAGGGCCTCTTTTGTACTAATTACAGTGTACAACAAGCTTTGATTGAAGGCTTGAAGCCAATGCTCAAATTAAGTCGCCTTTTTCATCTTAGTAAACTTGTTTTCTTTTCTTTGGAAGTGTTTGTGCATGGTCTTTCCTGATTTCGGTTAGACCAGCCTTTCATCAGGTCAGCTTAAAGATTCTTGATCGAGTTTCGTTTTTTTTTTTTTTTTTTTTTTTTTTTATCACGAACCTTCGTGGATCCTCTATTGGTCAAAAAATAAATTTCATCAAACAGCCAAACTAATGATACCATTGGATTTCTTGAATTGAAAGAACATGTTTTAATTTTAAAAAAAAAACGAACTGTTTTGATAGCCTGGTTGTCGAGTAATAGCGCATCAAAGATTGACATGTTTAAGCTGTGTTTTGGGCATTTTTACTCTAGATGTCATATAAAACTTGCGAGAAATCAGTTTCTCTGATACATCTTATGTTATTTTAAATGCCAAAAAACATAGAAAAGTAGAAACATAGGCATTTTATACTGTAAATGTAGGGGCAAATGGACATAAAACATACTAAATGGCAGTGTGTGAAGGTTGAAACGGAAGGTAACTTCTATTCTTTATCCTGCGGTATCAAAAATTAGGCTTTTGTTGAGAATTGCATGAAGACATAGTTATTCAGCTTTGATACAGTGAAAAAGGCTATAAATCTTTGCTTTCTGAGTCTATTGATACAGAGAGCACAATAAATTTGCTGCTAAAATATTGAGTAAATAGGCAAAAACTTTCTCGAGGTTTCTCACTCTTACCGTACCACATTTATACTACAACTGACAAGCAAACACATTCATCAGAAATCAGAGCGTTTGACGCACATTTTGAGTATTTAAACTTGTCAATAGCTTTGTTTTTGATTCTACAGCATCAAAAAGAAGATATAAAGTTATTAAACGAGCAATTTTCATGAGTAATACCCTTTAATCGAATGGTTATTTTGACCAAATCTCCCAAGTCGCCTTTTTTTTATTCAAATCAACTCTAAAGGTACCAAGAATGTTAGTAATATGGTTTGTAGGTATTTTGAGCATTTATGTGTGCATAAACAGGCTTTATACTACCTCTATATGCCGAGGAAAAGAAGAAGATTTGCAGGAATTGCTGCCTTTTTGCACTGTTGAAGCAATTTTTTGCCTAATTGTCTCTGCTGCATAAATAAGTAATGTACCACTCTATTACTTACCCACGTAAAACGTTCTGTTAAAAAGACACTCGATCTAGAGGGATAAAAAAAGAGAAATGCTTGCTTATGAAAGATGTCAAAGTGTTTAGAAAATGTACTTAAGCTTCATGATGTATGATATATGAAGGATGATCCTAGTGCAAGCATCAAGTATGGTACATATTTTCACATATAAATACATGCTTACAACTCTAAGTCCAGTTGCTTACTTTCTCTATAGTGAAAGATACGTCCAGCTTAAAAGACACAATATCATTAGCATGATTTAATGAAATCAATGGTATGTGGTCTTGAGAGAAGCCTATATCATTCACTTACCCTTATACACCTGATTCTAAGCATTTCTTTATGTTGAGAATTGTCTTTTGGGCTATCTCTATGGTTGGTATAGAATAAAAAGTCAAATTGTACGAAAGCAGAGGCTCACATTGAGAAGGAATTCCAGCAAATGTAAAAGTTCATATACAAAAAGGCCTCAATTCCAAAGTTATACCTTTGAAAATGGGGGATGCTGAATTGATTAAGAGTTTCATAAATTCCTGATATTTCCTTTCTTAGTGTCCTCTTACTATTAATGGTCTGTAGAATAACAAAAAGAATTGGCCTTATCGAAATCTTTATGCATGTTATTGTCATTATTAAAAACGAAGATAGCATTCTGCAGTTCTGCTAAAGGGCTGTCAAATTTTAGCAAGTTTAAAGTTACTCATGAAGAAGGTGTACGGAGATTTAAATTGTAAAACAGATCAAAAAGGTTTATTTGATAGCTAAAGGTAGTTTTGATCTAGTTGACATGTCCTTTTTAGTCTGAGTGTTGGTTGCTTTTTGTCGTTTGCGTTGCTTTGATTCAAATTCATGCCAATCACCATTGACGCCTAAGAGACTATAAAAAGAAATGAGTACATGGCAACATAAGCTTTTTTTTTTTTTTTTTTTTTTTTTTTTACTTGGCTGGCATCACAGGTAATGGTAATTCCTCTTTAAAGTAATCAAATTCCAGTGCTTCTGCAGCAGTTGGTCTATTCACTGGATCCATTGACAATAATGCTTCAGATAATGCCAATGCACCAGGAGATAATAATCTAGGCAACATGAACATACTTGTAAGGTACAATTTACTTACGGTCCATATAATTCTCGAAATTTGGAAGCATGGATTTCTTGGGGTTTGACCAATTCATACCAGGGCAATTCCTTTAATGTTGGCCAACTTTCAACAGAAGGTGTGCCCATAATTTTATAAATACAGTCAAGTTGGCTAACTTCATCTGTTCCATTAAACACTGCTTTTCCTGTAAAGAATTCCAACATAATACAGCCTACACTCCAGATATCTACAGCAGGACCATAGGCTGTTGCACCCAATAAGAGTTCTGGTGGTCTATACCAAAGTGTAATTACTCTATTTGAGTAGTCGTGTGCTTTCTTCTTTTCAAATACTCTTGCTAGACCGAAATCAGCAATTTTCAATTCTCCCTTATTATTAAGCAATAGATTGGAGCCTATATATACGTGTTAACCCTTATTTTTTTTTTTTTTTTTTTTTTTTTTTTGGTTTACCTTTGATATCTCTGTGCAATATACCCATATGGTGTAAATAAGCTAGACCTTCTAGCATTTGCTTCACTAAGGATTTAGCATGGGCTGGTTCAAAATTGAAGTTCGGATGCCCTAGTATACCAGATAAATCATGATCCATATATTCTAGTACCATATAAATAGATCCCTTGGCTACCATAATTTCTTGTAATTCAACAATACGCTCATGCTTTAATCTCTGTAATAATTTGATTTCTCGCATAGCCGTAATAGGGAACTAAGATGGTATCAATATATACACAGATATATAAATAATAAAAGCTTACCCCGTCCCTTTCGTTCTTCATGCGAATGCGCTTTAATGCCATTAATTTCCCTGTCTTTCCATTACGTGCCTTGTATACTTTGCTATACACAATGTAAATACTTTTTTTTCTTTGTGTCTTATTCGACAATTTACCCATAAGTGCCTTCGCCTACTTGACCGATTTTTTCGAATAAAGTGGTTGGATCTTCTGTTGTTTGAAAAGGATATCCTGCTTGATCCAATACATCTTCAGGAATACCACTCGCAACAGGCTCATTTTCTACAGGTGGTGGTGGTGGTGGCGGCGGTTGAGGTGGTTGTGGCGGTTGTGATTGTGGAGTATCTTTTGTTGAATTATATGGAATCGTAGACTGGGGTATTGGTTGATAGTAAGAAGTATCATAATAATAATAACTGTTTGGATCTTGTGTTTGATAGTATTGTTGACCATACTGTTGATATTGCTCAGAACTGAGATTAGTACCGTATGCATTATTGTAATCCTGTACTGTCCAACCATAATATTGAGCCCAAGCTATAGCTGCTGCTGTTGCTTGTTGAGGATCTTGTGGATAATTTGTTTGTGAAAAATATTGTTGTTGTTGTTGTTGTTGTTGTGGTTGTTGTGGTTGTGGTTGTGGTTGCTGGTGTTGCTGGTGTTGTTGCTGGTGTTGTTGCTGGTGTTGTTGCTGGTGTTGTTGTGGTTGATAATAAGCAGCAGGTGCTGTTGGTGGCTGATCATCCGTTGTTCGCGCATGGTCAACTTTAGGTCCATCTTTGTCACGAAAAGATCGGTCTTTTCTACTTCTCGAGTCGCGTTCTCTACTGGACTTTCTACTCCATCTATCACGACTCTTATCTCTATGTCTACTGTTATATCGACGATCGTCTCCATAATTCCTCCGTTTTTCTCGATGACTACTGCTGCTACGGTATCGATCGCGACTTCTGCTTCTGCCATAGTGTTCGTCTCGACTTCGTTTTTCTTTTCGTTCTTGACTTTTGTCAACTGATCTATCTCTAGACCTTGAGTATGTGCGATCGTCCATGATATAAGTCAAGATATATATATATATATCTATATATGCAGGTCAAACAAAACAAGAAAAAAACAAGAAAAGAAAAATGACATGGACGTGAAATTTTATAGAAAAAAAAAATAAGAGTGACGGCCAAATCTCATTACTTTGTTGCATAAGTAAAAAGAACGTCTATGCAACCTTTATGAGTTATTCGAAACTAGGCATGGACTACAGCTTGATTTGAGTATCTTTCAGATACTTTTTTTTTTTTCTTCAAAAATAGCTTATGGATAATTAAGAAACCGCTCTTTAGATTTTTAGATTGCCATTACTCAGTCAAACATGCTCTTCTTTAAGCCGTTGCTTTCATGATTGTATTTTTCTCTGTTTTCTTCTTCTTGTGGGAATACATTATTCATGACGGGAGGAATTCTTCAGCGGAATTGATTCCAAAACATCTTTTGAATTTCTATATTTACGCGTCACAAGGATTTTTTTTCTTTTTCTTTTTTTTTATTTCTTCATGACATCCATTGATCCCAATCAAACACTCTACTTGACAAATTTAAACAGTCGCGTCACTGTAGAAGGTAAGCAGATAGGTTTTTGCTAATACTTACTCGTTGTAGAACTCAAATTGAGTTTATATGGTCTATTCTCTACTTATGGTCCCATTTTGGACATCACAGCTAAAAAGACAGAAAAGATGCGCGAACAAGCCTTTGTAGTATACAGTGATGTCTCTTGTGCCACTTTGGCCATGCGAAGTTTGAACGGCTTTACTTTTTTTGATAAACCTATGGCAAGTATACCAATGTTTTTGTTGATTGACTCATGCCTTGGTAGAAAATTGATTATGCAAAGACAAAGTCAGATGTGGTTGCCAAAATAGATGGCACTTATCGACTAAGGACATATAAGGAAAACACAAACAACGAAGTGTTAGGTAAACGAGGTGCTGATGAAGATATGAATGGTAATGCCAAAATGGCTCGATCCGATGAAGAAGAAGACGAAATGAATGAACAAGAGCAAGCATAAAAAGATAAAATAAAACCGTCTTGAAGAATATCGCTAAATGCAACAGAAAAAAAACGAGTTACAAAGTTAGAGATTGGATGAGACTCTAATAATCATGCCCTAATGGCATCGCAATTGGCTATTCTCCTCTTCTTGCAGAAGGACAGATACTTGAATTCTCCAGTGTCGTATTGACTGATTTGATGTTGGGAGAAGTGGGGGAGGGAAATAGGTATCCCGAGAAAGCACAAGGTTAAGCCGGATAGACCTATTGCAAAACATGAAAGGGTATCCCGAGACTTGGTAGTTCGGCCATGCTTAACAGAGACACATTCAGGATTGACGCACATCAAACTACCCTTTGTTCATCTTTTGATCGCCTTTCCATTCTTTTCTTCGACTGAACAAGGGTGCTCTAAATGCTTGAAACAGACGATGCAGGTCTGAGAGGTCTTGTATTCATTAGTAACACAGACATTGCCTATTTTTCCACGCATTTCAGGCCAATTAGCCAGTCTAGTACGTTATGAGGCTAGCTGAACTTTTACAATAAAATCATCAACAATAGCTGTCACTAAAAAAGCATCTTGAATATCAATCGAGCCAGCAAATGCCTTTCTTTTCTTTTCGTTTATGTTTAAATGAATAGGTTCAGTACTTATGAATGTTTCTTATCTAGGATAAACATGGCAAGGAAGACATAAGGTCATGAGGTTATGCTTAATAAAATGCTCATATAACTATGGTTTTCAAGCTTTATTTTATGTATTTTATATTGCAGAGAATTTTATTACATATAGTAAAAAAGCAAAAAAAGAAAGAAAAGTTGGTCTATTGCCTTAGTCTGTAGCAAACAATGATTGCGTTTGTTTCTGTTTTCAGTTGAGTGGAACACTTGTTTAGGTTGTCTATTTCCTGTATACATTTAGTAGTATAGCTCAAATTGTCGATTTTGTAGAGTGCCTGCTTATTGGACGGTGTTTGTATTTTTCCAATTGTAAGGAAATGAACTCCAGTTGGTGCATACTTTTGTTCAACAGATTCAAGTCCAAGCGTGTCTGTAGAAGGAGCATTCAATGAGAACTCATCAGAGAAGTAAACCTGACAATCGTCTTCTTTAAGTTCTCCTGAGTCAGTGATGCTTCTAGGATTAAAGTTTGTTGGATCTACAATAAAAAGGAACTCAGGAAGACTTTCCTGAGGAATCAGATTGCTTTTGATCGCGCATTCAACACAGTAAGAATCTTGCTTCAACTAGTATAATAGATAGCGATTAAATACTTCTTCAAAACGGGGGGGGGGTTTAAAGCTGGCATTTATGATCTCGAGTGTTCTTTGCCGAAAAGTACTGTTTCATTGTAGGATAATCCCCCTTCATGAAAGGTAACATATCAGAACATTTGATTTTAGAGGTCATGTCTTCTTCTGACAATGAGCACAAACTAAATCCATATAGTGGATTTACAGAAATCAAGGAACACAATATCTAGCAGATATGTTTTGACAAAACCAATTCATACAATAATAAGCATCATCCATGTCTCCTTTTTTGAATGGCGTCACTTCAATCCAGATAGAGTCTCTTATAAGCTGATTGTCACCAACACCATTACCTTGCTGATATTGCACAAAAGCATCAAACAGGATTTGGTCAAATGAATTCTTTTTGTCACCAGAGGAAAGAAACAAATGTTTAATTTGCGGAATAACGCATCGAAACAAAAGCTCAAAAGGAACATCAATATAAAAAGAATTGCTACTATTGCTGTTGAGTCGGCGGTTAATGTTGGAAGCATAGCTTTGAATGCTTAAGGGCTACTTTTCTTGAGTTTGCGATGCTATGGAGGCTGACATCAACATCACAACTATCATCAAACAATACTTCAGTATGCTCGGGAAGATCAAAGGCATCAGATGTGTTGCTGCCTAATTCAAGCCGCTCATTTTTGTTAAAGAATGCGTCTTTGACAAAATCGACTTCAGATAATTTACAGTTGTTCCAATGCCAAAGGGCCGTTTTTTTTTAAGGGCGGATAATAAATTTTTTCAGAGGTCGGTTTTTAAATCTTAAAGAGCAATAGCTTAAATTGAGTGTTTCAAGTACCCATCAGTACCCCAAATCTGAAGCTAAGAGTGAGCATTGGTATTACAAATTGTATGCTCACGAGTACTGATGGATACTCATAGATACTCATAAGTATATCTCAGTGGCTTATTTCTATGTATTCAAACTCCGGATACACGGTTTCTATCTGCCCTCCAAACCAACGCAACCAAATTATCCGCCCTCTTCATGTTTTCGTCTCTTTGAGAGATGCGCTGTTTAAAAACGCTTTAATAAACTTTGAACCGGTAGTGTCTTCATTCTTTATTTTTAATACCATGCCAGCTTCTTACCTTGTTATTGGTGGTAATGGCTTTTTAGGTCAACACGTTCAAGAACAAATTCGTCTTCGTAACGATGGTTCAACTATTGCCGTGTTTGATATCTCTGAGCCTAAGGAACCTAAGCCTGATGTCAAATACTATACAGGCGATCTTCGCAAGTTTGATGATGTCTATCGTGCTTTAGAAGGCATCACAGCCGTGATTCATACTGCTTCTCCTCCTCATGTCAACAGTAGTAATCCACCTCGTGATCTCTATTTCTCCATCAATGTAGATGGTACCTTGAATGTCATCAAGGCTTGTCAAGAAAGAAAGATTAAAGTATTGGTGGTAACTAGTTCAGGTAGTGTTATCTCTACAGGTGAGCCTATGGTCAATATTGACGAAAGCACACCTTATCCTGCTCAGGCTGTGGATGTCTATACCGAATCCAAGGTAAAGTAATCGAGGGTTAACATCTACTCATCGCCATCAGATTGAATGTGAAAAGGTTGTCTTGAAAGCCAATGGTCAAGGTGGATTATTGACCTGTACCATTCGCCCCTCTGCTATCTTTGGCCCTGGTGATCGCCAATTAGTGCCTGGTATGCTTGAGGTCTGTCAACGTGGTCAACATCGTTTCCAGATTGGTCATAATCAATCCTTGATGGATTTTACTTATGTCGGTAACGTTGCTTATGCTCATGTCTTGGCTGCTGAGAAACTCGCTGTTCCTAACTCAGGTGCTGCTGGTCAAGCCTTTAACTTGACTAATGGTACACCCGTGCCCTTTTGGGACTTTGCTTCTCGTTTATGGGCTGTATATGGTTGTTATATGCCCAATAACAAAAAGATCATCTTGTCCTACAATGCCAGTATGGCCATTGCTTTGGTGAGTGAAACCATCTTGAGCATCAAGCAATTGTTTTGGGATAAAAGTCAGTTAAAAGAAGGCATGACGCGTGCAAGAATCAAGCAAGCCATGTCTTCTCGTTATTTTAATATTACAAAAGCAAAGACTATCTTGGGTTATGAACCTCAAGTAGGTCTTGAAGAAGGCATTCAACGCAGTGTTGCTGTAAGTCATACCATACCATATGATAGAGTACTCATTGTTTCTTTTGATAGCATTATAAGGCTCATTACCAGTAATTTCTTTTTTTTTTTTAATCATAATAAACTTAATAATTACTCCAAGCATTTGGATTGTCTTGTTCTTTTGTGTCTACTTCTTCTTGAATTTGCATTTGAACATAAGCCAGTTTGTCAACTAGGATCTTCATGGCCATGGTAACTACTTCTTCAGGTGCTAAAGATCCAACAGTCTATATACTGTCAGTCAAGCCATAGGGGAGGGAGGGGGATCATCATAACTTACCTCTGTCTCGAAATAAAACTTGTCAGGTTTTGCATTATAATCAAAAGCTATAAAAGGGCCATCAGTCAACCTATCGCTTACCATGTCCATCACTTACGAGCATCTTTTTCGGGCGGTGCTTCATATTGTGCATTTTTACTTAATGGCCTATACACTAGAGTAAATACAAGGCCCAATATGATTATCTTTACCATTCATCCACACTTTCTTCAAACCAATATGAAGTATGTCTTAATTTGTTATAAGGATCATATTCAAATGCAACACCACTAACAGGACTCCATTTAGCATGTTCTTTAGCAACGCCCTATATCAAATCTCTATTAAAAACTATGTACGCGTCATTCTTTTTTCTACTTGCCTTTTTAGCAATACACTTTAATTTCAATTCATGTCCTTTACGTAATTTGACTAACAAAACACCTGAATCATCCTTGTCTATAAGCCCTCTATCAGTATACACTAATCTACTCCTATTGCTTTTACCTTGTAAGACAGGCATAAAAGAAGGGTTGGAAGATGAAAGGTCGCGCGTAGTCACATCTTTTGTTCTATCTTCTGTACATTTGACATGAAGTGTCAATTCAACTGAACATTCTGGACAATACTGTGAACAAGTACAATCCTATTCTCCCTCATGAGTCTAATGCGTGACATAGTATCTACTTACTCTTGTATATCTTAATTTATCTACATCTCGACTGTCAATAGCCACCATACCAAGACGATGAGCCAAGAATTCATCGGCAAGGACGGTTGTATTGGTCTCTATTTCAACCATATCAATAGCTAAATAATAGGTAAGTCATTCAATTCCTTTATTCTAATGTGTTCTTTACCAACAGTAGGTACTTCAGCAATCATGACTCGACGAAGTGAATTGGCCACACTATACAAGTGTTCATCACATGAGGCGCGTTCAATCATGATTTACCTTAAATCAGTATCACTTAGTATAAAACTAATGCGATCTTTTGTTAATTCTTTAATAGTAATATTGGGACCACCAAGTCCATAAGAGCCTCCTATATCCATGATAAATAGATTGAACAGAAGAAAAAGAATATTTTTTTACGCAGATTGAAATATTTTTTTATTATTCAAGTGCACTCATTTGCCCCTTATAGTTTTGATAAAGAGCATCTAAAAAGGCAGGATCACACTAATCATACAAAGATATAAGTCATGTAGTCTTTGTATTGTTTATCGATATTACCTGAATCATGCTTAATAGTTGTTGAATAAATTCAGGCTTAGATAGCATGGGTCTATTACCGAACCTTCTGCTTATTTCAGGACCCATGATAGCCATCATATGTTGAGGCATGATAGGCAATCCCATATGTGGTGGAGGTGGAGGTGGTGGAGGTGGTGGAGGTGGAGGTGCTAATCCACCATGCAATGCTTGCAATAATGCACCTGAATTTCGATTTGTATTGGGTGAAGCAACAGGCGATGCCATGTTCATAAAAGGGGGATAAAATGGCTTTGTGAGCTCACCATTCGCAATGGCTCTTCTTACAGGTGGTTCATTTATATGCATGTTATTCATGGTATGGTTTAATGCATTCATATTGGGTTCTTGATAAGTAGATGTAGAAGCATTCTTTAACATTTGAAGGATATCAATCTTGTTGTTTGATTTAGGTTGAGTAGAAGGTAATGCTTTCATGCCTTCATGTAATCTATAAGTGGGTCAATGGACTGGTATGCATGATGTTGTCTTACTTTTGAATCTTGGCCAAAATACGCTCTCGATCCTTGATTTCATAAAGCCATAGTGCGCATGCTTCTCCTTCACTTGTTCGATAGATAATGAACTCATCTGTCAAGTTGATTTCTTCAAAGTCTGTCAAGTGTAAAAAGAAGTTTTCGATAGAGAGTCTGTTCAAGACGTACAAACCAAAATAAGGTGCACTTTTTCTATTTTGCCTGTTTGTTATTCTGTCTTGTGTTGATAGACCTACCCTTGTGTAAGGAAGATAACACCTTCATAACCTAGTTTTTCCTAAGATGACGTTAACCAATCTATGCAACGCTTAACTTTCTTTTTTGTCATTTACCCAACTTGTCTTTTCTGTATCAAACTTGTATACAACAGCATGGGCTGATTGGTCTAGGATATCACAAATATTGGGATCGTGTCTTTTTAACACTTCCAGGTTTAGTTTTTTACGGGCAACAAGATCCATATAACCAAAAAGAAGTGTAGATATGAAAATAAAAAATAGAAAAATAAAAATACAAAATAAAATCGATATGTCACGTGTTTTTATGCTTTGTCTCCATTTTATTCTGGTTTAATAAACCCTGTTGCTTTTTGCTTTTTATTCGCTTTATCTTCTTTTGTCTTTTTGGCTCTTTTCTTAGTTACAGATCGAATGGTTTGCATTTGTTCTCCCATCACTTTATCTGAAATAGCATTGGATTTCTCTGCTTCTTCTTCACGTTCTAATCGTTGCTTCTTTTCTTCATCTTCTACTACTGCCTATAAAAGAAGAGATATAAGCATGAACTGTATTTTTTTGTTGGAAGAGTATTCTATGTACCTCAATCTCCTTATTAAAGCTCTTGAAAGATTGTCTTCCTGCCATGGTTGCTTGTGTAAAAGGTAAAAAACTAGGTTGATGTTCAATCTGTATCTTTCTATAGTGTCGCTTTTTTTTTTAGTTCGATATCATTCAAAACAGACACATACGGTTTTTCTGCATCGATTTCTTTTCTATCCAATACCCATTCTGCTTCTGATATAACTCGTTTACGTTCTTTTTCTAACTGTTCTTGCTTTTCTTTTTCTAATGTCCTTTGCATAAACTTGGCATCATGAGTTTGGTTATCAATCAGAATTGCTTACCTTCATTCCCAATAGTCTGTTGGAAGGCTTTTTGCCTTCTTTCTTTGTTTCGGCCATGATAGTTGAAAAGAAGAAAGAAAGAAAAAAAGAAGTTTTTTGGTTCAAAAGCAATGCGTGACTATTTTTAAAGGTTGTCTTTCTTGAAAGCGTCATTTTTATTTTTTATTTTTTGTTATTTTCTTAAACGCGAACTTACATCATGTCTCGATCACCTGAAAGAATGAACATTGACGAAGGTAATCAATGCCATAACTCATCAATAGTTTAAACACAACATGCATAGATGTCAGAACAAGAGGAAGAGGATTCTCTAGTGGTAACCGTACGTGTGTGTTGTTGTTGCTGTTGTTGATTGAATAAAACATCTGTATATAGGACGTGGCATGCAAGATGAAACAGAACCTGTTCGTTGTAAGTTCAAAAAAAAACCTATTTTGTGTATGTGTGTGTGTGTGTTTTGACTATCAGTAGCTATTGAAGGATGGATTGTGATTGTACGTGGACTTCATGAAGAGACAGAAGAAGAAGCCTTGTCTGAACGTTTTATGGAATATGGTACGATCAAGAACATTCATTTGAATTTGGATAGACGTACAGGTTATGTTAAGGTAAAAATCAAGTGAAGATTGGATTGTCTATTGAAGCTATGATAGGGTTATGCATTTATTGAATATGAAGCACGTAAAGAAGCAGAGGCAGCTATTATGGAAGCAAACGATGAAAAGTTCCTTGGAGAGACAATCAAAGTCGACTATGCTTTTGTTAAAGGACCTTCTGTTGATAGACATGATCGTAGACGTGATCGAAGTTTAAGTCCTGCAAGAGATTAAATATATATAAAAAAAAATAAAGAAGCCCGCATTTCTTTTTTTCTTTCTTATATATACATTTTTTTATGACTGAACAAACATTTTCAGAAATATATGCTTCATTTCTTTTAAAGCAAGAAAGAGAACACCAAGATACATTTACTGCTGCGTGTTATGTGTTTCTTCAGTTTGAACCATCTCGAGTAAGAAGAAGATTGAAAAGATTGAGAACTGATTTTATTAGCAACAAGCGACACGACTTGGTATCCTTTATATCCTCTATAGACACTATGCTATTCTTCCTTTAGACCATAATCCTTTTCTGACTTTCTTTTTACAACTGACAGAAGAATTACCCACAGATTCTATTGAACGTCATTTTGTATTTTGTATCTTGGAACAAAGTTTGCCTGATGTAAATAGACACACACATATATATATATATATATACAAAAAAAAAAAGAGAGAGCGATGGCTTACTCATCATGTCTAGTTAGAAAACACATTACCTCATGAATTATCCAGTCATATCTTGCCACCTATTCAACAGAATGCAGTATGGATAAATACACTCAAGTTAAAAGTAGCGCGTTTAATTGATGATCCGTAAGTGTAAAGAGATGAAAGAAGGGTACTTACATCCTAGCTCTTAGTGATATAGTGATATTGAATCAAAACACCCGTCAGTTATTATCAGAAGCATCGACAAGGAAATTGACTTTACCCGAACATGAAGTAAGCACTGTGCACACGATATGTTACTCATAGATGGCATCATCAAGCTATTAAGCCATGAAAGATTATCAGATTATCCACTCTGTCAACTCATACCACCCAATCAACTGCCGAGCTTGATTGATTTCAACCAATTCCTTGCCCTGGATATTGTACCTATCTTACTTGGATCCAACCCAGCCTATCTTCAGTCTTTATTAGACACACCTGTCAGTATCCATTCATTAGAAGTGGTACATCATGTCCTGATGAACCATATGGTCCTCCCTGAAGAATTCCTGCATTATTATATATCCAACAGTATTCGATCCTGCGACCAATTAGAAGAAGGACCCAAAAGAGATAGACAAGTGAAACAGGTACGGAATACATTCGCCTAAAAGTATGATTGATATAGACATGTTTAGGTGACGCGTTTTATTCAGTCTTTATTAGAAAAGAAGATCATCCCTATATCTGATTATTTTGTTGAAATTCAATCCTTTTGTGTTTCTTATATGAAGCTAAAAGGTGTTGCTCAACTGTTTCGACTTTGCTTCCAATAAAATGAAACCAAGTCACGACTTTTTTTTTTCCTTCTTTTTTTTTCTTTGTTTTTTTTTTGTTGTTATTATCAAACACGCTACACTATGAGTGATTGGGGTAAACCAATAATAATAATAATAATAATAATAAATAGTCAATAACAACCACTCACCTAAAGCGTAGAGGACGAAATCGATGTTCAAATTGCTGTTCCCAAAAAGAACCAATGGGATGACGAAGATGCCGAAGACAATGTCAAAGAGTCTTGGGAAGATTCAGACCAAGAAGAAACCGAAATGCCCAAGAAAGCTGCACCTGTCATCAAAAAGAAAGTGCCCTTAAAGCAAAAGATTGCCGAGAAACAAGCTGCTGAAGAACAAAAAAAGAAGGAATTAGAAGCTAAAAAGTTGGCCAAAGAACAAGAACCTGAAGAAAGTGACTATGAACGTTTGCAACGTTTGCGTCGTTTGGAATTAGAGGCTGATATGGCCAATGCTACAGACCTTTTCTCGGGCGTCACGGTTGGTAAGTATCAACAAGACATGAATCATGCTCACTCATGTATTGGATAGCTGACATGAAGGATAAGCCTATTGAAGAATGGAAGCCCAAGAACCGTGTTGAATTGGATGCTTACCGCAAGAAAGTGGTGGAGATTGTCACAGCTGCTTCTGTAAGTTAAACGCGAATGATGACCCCTATCTCATACATGAATATAGAAATCCATCAACTATGGTTGGTTTATTGATGAACTGTTACACGACATTGCTTATCCCTTAAAGGACACAGAAGTCAAAAAAGTAGCTTCTTCTTTGACTGTCATTGCAAATGAAAAACAACGATTGGCTAAAGAAGCAACCAAGAAGGGCAAGACAAAGGGAAAGCCTCAATTGGTAGCTGCTGGTAAGAATGCTGCTGCTGATGATCGATATGGTGATAATGACTATGATGACTATGATGACTTTATGTAACTTTTTTTTTTTTTTTTTAATAAAGTGACTCTCTTTTTTTCATTATTATTTCTCTCTTCTTTATGGAAAAGGCACACTCAAAGAACAAGACAGTCGATAGAATATCACGCTTATTTCAAAAAAAACCCACCAAGAAGAAATCGGTTGTTTCTTCGAGTTCATCTGTTTCTCTATCTGATTCTGCTTCTAAACAGATCAGTGAGATGAGTACCCCTAGAGTCAGTTCATCTATCGAATCACATGTGCCTATACAATCAGACACAGGTAAAAAAAAAAAAAAAAAAAAGAAGCGATAATAAAGTTGCTCATCAACAACGCATGTCGATAGCTTCTATGCATTCCAAGTTGACAAGAACATTGTCTTTCAAAAGTGATGTGTCTATACAACAACTGGTTCAACAACAAAGACACGTATTGCAAGAATTAGAGGCACAAAAAGCACATTTTCAATCTCAAATCCATCAATTGACTGAACAACACAACAAGACACAAGACAAGATTCATCAGCGTCAAAATGACATGACTTTATTAGAGGCCAATTATCAAACCCATTTACGCTCCGTTCGATCTTCAGATGATGATCCAGCCAGTATAGCCACTAAAATAGGCCAGTTAAGACAGCACATTCATACACTGGCAAGTCAGTTAGTGCCCTTTGCAGAACCCACCATCACAGCTGAAAAATTAAGTACATTATGGCTTAATCTTGGCCGTTCAATTCAACAGTTAGGAAACCCATTACCTGAACACCGATTATTGATGCTGGTAGAGAAGTTTATGATGGATGTGCTTGTTCAAAACTTGAACATTCATCTGTTTCCTGGATTGACATGCAATCAAGCCTTTGTTGAATTACAACAATGGTTTGATGAACACGACAGCGTTTATTTCTCAACACGATTAAGGCAAGAATTAAGCATGTTAGTGGTACAGCATAAAGACAAAGATGGAGGAGATATTCAAGAAGCATGGCAAAAATCGATTGATCGTAACTGGAGTCATCTTTACCGTGGACTACAAAAAGCATTTCCTACTTATCTTTGCAAGACATCTCAAGAGGATGAAAAGGCAAGAAAAGCAGCTCAACACTATAGCCAACAATTACGTGAATTAGTAGAAGAAGCGATTGAGTTAGGATCAGTCATTAAAGGACAAGAAGTGGCCATCACTGCTGTGGATGTGAGGGAAGGCAACCAATTGTTTGATAGTCAACTGATGGAAGATGAAGATGGTCAGACATCAGGCACGATTGCATTCTGTATTTCACCTCCTTTTGTTGTTAAAATCATGGATACCTATAAACCCTTAGTCAAAGGCAGAGTGCTTTGCTTTCAATAAAAAAAACTATTTATTCATCATGTAATCACCGCAGTTTACTTCATGTGTGCTGGAGTGATGATGGCTCTTTTTATAGATCAAGTCAGTTGATTCACACTGTGTGTTCCTGAAACAATAGATATAGCTTACTGCGTACATAATGTTACAAAAAATGTGATATTTTCTATCCAATCAAAACCTTCCTTACAAAGCTAAATCAAGATAAAAGGAAGGACGTCATCCACACCATGATTCTTTTTTTTTTTTTGCTGCGCCACGACATGATTGGTCGTGATACAGGAGGTATAAAAGTGAGGATAGAACCAATAAATGGATCGTTTTCTTCCCTTTTTTTTTCCTTAACTGCGAAACAGTTTTTTTTTTCCCCTCCACCATTAAGAAGAAGAAAAGGAAGAAAACCATACATCTTTAAACCTCGTCTATGAAATTCAATTTCAACCTTTAAACAACTACACTACATCGATTCGTTTCTCTCTCTTTTCTTTTTATATATATATACATAAACTTATCTTCCCACTCTATTTTTCAATGAATACTAGTCGTCTTTAGGACATTCTATTATTAAATCCTTTTCTCTTTCTTCTTCTTTTCTCTTTATTTTTTTATATATATATAAAAACTAGCAAAAAAAAAAACTCCCTTTTTTTTATTATCACACTTTTTAAAAACCCACCCTTTTTTTTTCAATTATTTTCTCCAACAGACCTTCTCTTTGCAGCTTAAATACTTTTCCTTTTTTAGTTCCACCTTCCAAAAAAAAGAAAAGGAAACGCTTTAAACTAGACAAAGAACAACAGTACAAATGACAAATGATTATTTACACACTCTTAACCAAGGGCGACCTTTGTCGTCCGCAGCAACACCTGCAACACAACAAACAATAAACGACTGTACATATTCAGAAGAACGCCCATGCGAAAAATACCGTCAATTTATGGACTCATCTCGTCAAGAACGCACTTTTATGATTGAAAAGCTAGTTGGTAAGTTTGACTTAAACACAACATCATGATGCTAATAGGGTTTGACCCAGAAACATTCGCTAATGTGATTGACTCTATCTGGCACCCAAAATTCCTGATTGAACATCAAAAAGCCAAAGTTATGCCAACCAAAGGCTTTTGTAACGAAATCCTAAAACGATCTAAAGCAACCTATTCCACTGTTCAAATTAGCCTTTTTTACGTCTTTCGTGTCAAAAAAGTCGTTCATGAAAAACTCTATCAACGCATTCAATCTAATTCATGCAACATGCAGACCAACACGCAAATGGATGACTTGCAGTGCTGCGGACGACGCATGTTTCTTGCTTCCCTGATGGTGGCCAGCAAGTACCTTCACGATAAAAATTATCACAACAAGGCGTGGGCCAAAATCACCGGCCTTGATATCAAAGAAATCAATGCTGCGGAAATGGCTTTTCTAAAGCTGATTGACTACAGACTCCATGTCAGTAAACCCACATTTGACAGATGGTATACACAACTCCATGGACATATCCAAAAGGGATTCAAACACACGATGAATAAGCCCATGGTCAACACACCACCCACAGTGTGTCAGTCACCTTCTTCAGTCATCAACACAAATGCGGTTCATCATGCGATGATTCACCAGAATTATCCCTCACCACCACCTGATGAATCCAGTTTGACATCACCACCCACAATGGAGACAAAACCTGCTTGTTATCAACGTACTGATTCAGGCGTTTCTTTTGATATTCTTTCCCCACCTTCCTCTCAACACACAGGAACAAAGAGATCGTTTGATCAAGACGAAGCAACTTGTTTTGCAAAACGTCTTTGTCAATAAATTCAAGTTTTCTGCTATTCCCATACACACCATTTTTTTTTCTTTTTTTTATTTCATAATAATAAAATCCATGATTCTCGAGGGAAGGCAAATGCTTCATACGTTGCGAACAACATCATCAATGGCTTTAGCTAAATATTCAACATTGGTAGAAGAAACACCGGCCATAGAGACACGGCCATTATCAGTCAAATAGATAGAGTATTTCTCTTTGAGTACTTTGACTTGAGGTGCCTTTAGACCTGTGAATGAAAACATACCAATTTGATCTGTGATATGGTGCCAAGTACCAGGTGTCTGAAGTTGAACCAAATGATGGTAAAGAGCCTTTCTCATCTCAATGATACGATTCGACATGTATTGCAAATTCTCTTTCCATTCTTGATACAAGGCTGGGTCGTTCAAGACGATACTGACAATACGAGCACCAAAAGCAGGAGGATTCGAGATTTCGGCGCGTTGGAGTTTTTCAAGTTGAGACAAGACACGCTCGGCTTCAGAACTGGATTGGGTCACAATGGTCAAATTACCAGCACGTTCACCGTACAAACCAAAGTTTTTAGCAAACGATTGACAGACAAACAATTCGAATCCTTGTTCAACAAAGTAACGCACGGCCCAGGCATCATTGTCTAAATCACCAGAAGCAAATCCTTGATAAGCGCAGTCAAAGAAGGGGAACAAGTCGCGTTCACGCATGACTTGAGCAATACCCTTCCATTGTTCACGTGTAGGATCAACACCAGTAGGGTTGTGGGCACAGGCATGAAGAACAAAGATAGAACCTTCAGGTGCTTGACGCATGCATGCCAATAAACCTTCGTAATCCAAACCGCGGTTGTCGGGGTTCCAATAAGGATAATCTTCGACTTCAAACCCCACCAAACTGAAGATAGCACGGTGATTAGCTATCATAAACATAAGTATCCTCTACAATTGGTCTCATTTAATTTTACCCCAAGTAGGATTAGAGATATAACATTTTTTGCTCTTGGTATAAAACTTGGAAAGGAAAAGAGCACCTGTGTGATTAGCACCGGTACCAGAAATAGTTTGGACACCTGCATAACGCTTTTCTTGAATAGCAGGGCTGTCTTGACCCAAAATTAACTTGACAGCAGCATTAGTGAATGCGGTTGTACCAGCAATAGGTTGGTATTCATGATCCAAGCTTTCATCGTTATAAAGAATCGATTCAGCCTACATAGATAGATAGATGACATGAGTATACATGATCTCTCTCTTTCTTCCCTCCTTTTTTTTTTGATTCTTTACCTTCTTTACAACAGGAAGCACATAAGGCTTCAATTCGTCTGTACGGAAAGCTCCTACACCAATATTGATTTTATTGGGGTTCTTATCAGCCTTGTATTGAGCAGTGAGGTTGAAGATCATATCAGGGGGAGCCTGAGGCACTTGATTGAAGACAGAAGCAGAGTCTAACATGACCTTAGCATCAAAAACACAACATAGGCAAACTTACTTGACATAGCAAAGTGGTTGTTGATTTGGTCAAGACGTGAAGAAGACATGTGTATTTATAAAAAAAAATCGCGGGTTTTATTTTGAGATGTGGAGTCACTTGTTTTCTGGGGAGATTACAGGTTGAGAAAATATGTGTCATTTTTTTTTTTTTTTTCAAACTTACTTTGTTAATAAAATAAAGAAACGAAAAGAAAAAAAAAGTGATGGTTGGTTCTGCTACCTATTTTATTATCATTACTATCATCTTATTGAAAACCATGTGAAAGCAACAGTTAAATTGTTATTTTTATTTATTTATTTATGTATTTCTCTATCGTGGGAATTTATCACAAGTTACTGAATAAGTATAAATGTTTATGGACATGATGCCGAAGCGAGCCATTTTTTTTTTTTTATGTATTTAATAAATATGCCTTTATTAACAAAAAAGAAAAATGAAGAAGAAAGGGGAGCTATACTGTATTTTCTTTTTTAAGGTTCAAGATCGAAATAAGCATAATTTTCTTTTTGTCGACAATACCTTGGCTTAGTAATAGTAACAGCAGAACAGTTGAACTCAGATTGTATCTGTTCTCACAATGAACCCTCTTTTCATTTCTTTATGATGTTCTTCTGTGGAACTAAAGCTTAGACCCCAACGTATAAGACCTAGGCACTCAGCAGACCAGTACAAATAAATCATTGAATGGCAGCCCCCCTTCCCCTCTCTCTCTCTCTCTCTCTGAGTTACTGAAAAACATGAAAATGGACCAAAAAAAAAAAAAAAAAAAAAAAAAGACAATGATTTATCAACCATTGACACAGAATGAGAAACTTTTTTTTTGAAGGGGTTATTCTATCTTTCTTGTATTAATATGAATTCTTGGTGTGTTTTACCTAATGAAATACTAGAGTACATTTTTCAGCATGTTGATACTGAGACTGCAACTCAATGTCAACGTGTATGTCACCATTGGAATGCAGTTGCTCAAAAAGCTACTTACAGCCATATTACCATCCACAATTTAAGCCAAATGAAACTGTTGATGCGGACCCTCATGTCATGCTCTGTAGGTCAATACGTCAAACAACTTTGCATAAAAGGCGTCTTTGATCCTCTTATGCTGGAAAAAGAAATCAGACAAAAGACGTTCCATGTCTTGGCCAGCCTTACACCTCGACTCCAAGGCCTCAGTATACCCTGGGTCAGTGTAAAATTTTGGGCGTGCTTGAGGACTGCATTACTAAACGGATACTGGAAGCAACTCGATACAGTGCCTCAACCCACCAGTATGTTGCAAATGAGCGACTATGGTCTTGCTACAACGATGATGAGCAATCGCATCAAAAGCATCCAGTTATATATCACTTATGATATGAGAATGTACCAAAATGATGACTCGAGTGTTGCTTTATGGACACATCATTTGCGTGCTTTTCATTATTTGGAAAGTTTGTTTCTTAAGAACGATAAAAGGTCCCCCTTACATGCTTATGATACTATGATTGACGCTTGTCCGACATTGAAACAGTTCAAGTTGGCTACGCATCACCAAGGCCTCGCTATCATCGAGCACTCTTTTTTTCGCGCCAAATCAGTGGTTCCAAACTACAGTATATCTCATTTGGAATTAGTTTGTGATTATCTCTCAAGAAACGATCTTGTCTATTTGATCCAAAAATTCAAAACATTAAAGCATTTGATGATATTGCATGAAGATAATAAGTCATGGCATTTACAAGAGTTAAATGGCATCGATTTTGATATTGTCGTCCAATTTCATGACTACATACGAAAGCTTGAAACATTCAACGCCAAGATACCATCTAGTTTTCTGAATCAACAACTGAATTTTTAAATAAAAGAGAATACCTTTGTTTACTCCTCAAGAAAAAAAAAGAGGAGGAAGGAGGGAGAGGGAACCGTTCTTGCGTAAATTAAAAACTCGAGCCTTACATACTTGCTAAACAAAGAGAGAAGAAAGATAGTATTATATATATATATATATATATATATATATATATAACTAAGTGCAATGATTGTAGGAGTTCAGCTAACCTCATAACCTATTAGGTTGTCATAAAGTAGCTCAATTTGTCGGCGACAGAGGCACAGATATAATAGACATCGTAGATATAGTGGAGAATGGCCTGGAAAAATGCGTGGAAAAATAGGCAATGTCTGTGTTACTAATGAATACAAGACCTCTCAGACCTGCATCGTCTGTTTCAAGCATTTAGAGCACCCTTGATCAGTCGAAGAAAAGAATGGAAAGGCGATCAAAAGATGAACAAAGGGTAGTTTGATGTGCGTCAATCCTGAATGTGTCTCTGTTAAGCATGGCCGAACTACCAAGTCTCGGGATACCCTTTCATGTTTTGCAATAGGTCTATCCGGCTTAACCTTGTGCTTTCTCGGGATACCTATTTCCCTCCCCCACTTCTCCCAACATCAAATCAGTCAATACGACACTGGAGAATTCAAGTATCTGTCCTTCTGTGATCCAAATAAGGAATAATTAGGTAAGATTTTTTTTTTTAAAAGGATCTCATCCAATCTCAAATTTTGTGACTCGTTTGTTTCTGTTGCATTTAGCGATATTCCTTCTTCATTTGGTAATAGATAAAAGATCATCTCCATCCACTCATTCATGTAAATAATCCATCTTGCATTTTTTTCTTTCTTTTTTTCTTCTTCTTTCTTAACCCTCCCCCCTACTCTCTTGGCAATGATTACTGCTTGTTTAAGTCAACAAACACGCAGAGTAAGTATACATTTGGAATATGAAAACAAACGTCTAATATCAACAGACAACACAAACTGCTTTCCGTAGTTTGACTGCTCGCTCTTTAGCTACTCAACATAACCCTATTGCTGAAAAGAACTGCTCTTCTATTACACCTCCTTATGCTAAATTAACAAAAAACCTTGATCTTGTCAAACGTATTTTGAATGACAGACCGTTGACTTTGGCTGAAAAGATTGTCTATGCTCACTTGAGAAATCCTGAAGAGATCGTTCCTGTTCGTGGAGAAACTTATTTGAAATTATCGCCTGGTAAGTCTTGAAACCGATCTGAATGACAGCTAAGACAAGACTAGATCGTGTGGCTATGCAAGATGCTTCTGCTCAAATGGCTCTTTTGCAATTCATGCTGTCTGGTATGCCTACCACTGCTGTTCCTAGCAGTATTCATTGTGACCATTTGATTGCTGCTCACGAAGGCGCTGACAAGGACGTGGCTCAATCGATTGTGACCAACAAGGAAATCTTTGACTTTTTGGAAAGTGGTGCTAAAAAGTACGGTATTGCTTTCTGGAAGCCAGGAAGTGGTATTATTCATCAAATTGTGTTGGAGAACTATGCTGCTCCAGGCGGTCTCATGCTCGGTACAGATAGCCACACACCCAATGCAGGTAAGTTGTTTCGATGAGCGTAACCAACCAACTAATCAAATTGTCAAGGTGGATTGGGTATGATTGCTATTGGTGTAGGTGGTGCTGATGCTGTGGACGCTATGGCCAATATTCCTTGGGAACTCAAGGCTCCTAACGTGATTGGTGTCAAATTGACAGGCCGCTTAAATCCTTGGGCTAGTCCTAAAGATGTCATTCTCAAGCTTGCTGGACACTTGACAGTCCGTGGTGGTACTGGCCACATCATTGAATACTTTGGTGAAGGTGTTGATACTTTATCTTGTACTGGTATGGCTACCATCTGTAATATGGGTGCTGAAGTGGGTGCTACTACCTCCGTCTTTCCTTACACTAACAGCATGCGTTCTTACTTGCGTGCTACTGGCCGTGGTGCTGTAAGCCAAGCTGCGGATGCTAACACATCTTTTTTGAATGCAGATAGCGGTGCTCATTATGACAAGGTGATTGAAATCAACCTGTCTGAAGTCGAACCTCATATCAATGGTCCCTTTACACCTGATTTAAGTACACCTTTAAGTAAATTCAAGGATTTCATTCAAGAAAATGGCTGGAAGGATGAATTGAGTGCTTCCTTGATTGGTTCTTGTACCAATTCTTCTTACCAAGACATGTCTCGCGCTGCCTCAATTACCAAACAAGCGACTGAAGCTGGCGTTGATATCAAGTCACAGTTTTTGGTAACGCCTGGTTCTGAACAAATCCGTGCTACGATTGAACGTGATGGTCAACAACAAGTGTTTGAACAAGCAGGTGGTCAAGTCTTGGCGAATGCCTGTGGTCCTTGTATTGGTCAAGTAAGTACTCACTGTAAATAAAAAAAAAAAAAAAGATATGCTCATCATCCAATAGTGGAAGCGTTCTGAAAAACAAGGCGAAGAAAATGCCATCTTGACTTCTTTCAACCGTAACTTCCGTAGCCGCAACGATGGTAATGCCCAAACCATGAACTTTTTAGCTGCTCCCGAGATTGTCACGGCCATGGCATTTGCTGGCAAATTGTCTTTTAACCCCATGACAGATAGCTTGACAGGCAAAGATGGTCGAGCCTTCCGTTTCCAACCTCCTACCGGTGATGATCTCCCTTCCCAAGGTTTTGAAGCAGGCCGTGCTACTTATGAGCCTCCTTCTCCTACTCCTACACCTGATCCTTCTGTCAAGATCAACATTGACCCCAACTCTAACCGTCTTCAAGCACTAGACGCTTTCCCTCCATGGGATGGTGAAGAATTTAAAGACATTCGTGTGTTGGTCAAAGTCAAGGGTAAATGTACTACAGATCATATCTCTGCTGCTGGTCCATGGTTGAAATACAAGGGTCATTTACAAAACATTGCTGAAAACACCTTGATTGGTGCTCAAAATGCTGACAATGGTAAAGTGAATGTGGTGACTGATGTGACCAGCAACAAGGAAGGCTCTATTCCTGAAGTGGCCAAGTCTTACAAGCGTCAAGATATCGATTGGACTGTGATTGCTGATCATAACTATGGTGAAGGTTCTGCTCGTGAACATGCTGCTCTCCAAGTACGTTATTTAGGCAGCCCTATGATTATCTCTCGTTCTTTTGCTCGTATTCATGAAACTAACTTGAAGAAACAAGGTGTGATTCCCTTGACATTTAAGCATGAAGCTGATTATGAGAAAATCAATGGTGGTGATGTGATTGAGACACAAGGCCTTAAGCAGTTGGCTCCCGGATCTACTGTCAAATTGATTGTGACTAAGCCAGATGGCTCTAAAGTCAGCATTGATGCTGTTCATACCTTAAGTCATGATCAACTTCAATTTATTCGCGCTGGTTCTGCCCTTAATTTGATTGCCAAGCATGCTGCTCAACAGTAAAACCCCCTCCCCTTGCTTTTCATACCATAGAATAACAATAAAAAATAGGTGTAGATAAAAATCCTTTATTCTTCTTTACCAAGTACGTGTAACAAAGAGATGGTATATCTTTGATTTGAATTCAGATGTTTGAGATTCAGGTCTTGTACAATTAGCAGTAATGTTGATTTTAAATATATTGGTACCTCTTGTTAATGAGGTAGATTGCCACTCATCATCAGAGACTGGATTTAGTTTGACGTTGTTCTGTAGGACAGTAATAGTCAATCTCTGAGTTTCTGCCTTTAAGGGTTTAGCGAGATCAAGTTTCATTGTCAATGTATCCACACTAGCAGGGACATGAAAACTATGGTTAGCATAGGCCCCATCCATAGACAAATCCACTTTTTGATCAGCAGAATAAATCCTGAGTTCTTCCATAAGCAGTTCCACTAGTTAAGCGAAAATGATAAATACATCACACAACATTAAAAAAGTCATACTTACTATTATCTTGACACAAAGCATAAAATTCCTTTGAAGCTTTAGGGAGTGGTGATGTTGGTTCATTGTTATTATTATTGATAGGTGAGGTTGTGTTGGATTCAGAAAAGGGAGAAAAGATGGTAGTAGGACGATTGACATTGGCAGCAGCAGCAGCAGCGGCGGCGGCAGCGGCAGCAGCTACAGCAGCAGTAGCAGCAGCATTATAAGCATTCATATCATAAGCATTAGGTGCTTGAGGCAATGTGGGCTGTAGCATCATAGGCATCATATGTGGTACTTGTAAAAGACGTTGCTGTTGTTGGTGGTGTTGTTGATACAATGGTTGCTGCTGCTGCTGCTGCTGCTGCTGCTGTTGTTGTTGTTGTTGCTGTAATAGATAGGGATTGATTTGTAATAATTGTTGTTGGTGTTGTTGTTGTTGATCTGGTTCTATACTATGTGTTCTTGATTTGTTATGTGTCAAGAATCGTCTTGATTTGCGCTTATCTTCACTAAGTGCATCAGCATCAAAGGGTCGCTGTGTCAAATCTAAACTGAAGATAGCATCTTCTTGACTGACAGGAACAGCCAATCGAGCAAGAATACGTTCTTTCAGACGATGCAATAAGCGCAACAAGAGTTTAGCATCTCGAAAGATACGGGAGCCAGGTTCATTGAAATTAAGTGCATTTTCAAACACCATTTTCATATCATTCATCCAAGCGTGTAAATGGGGGTACTGCCTTGTCTGCATTTTCTCTGCAATTTGAGTTAAAGAGATGGGTGTTTTGATGGTTTTGTAGTATTCAGGATACTCATGTCTATCAGGTAAATCTTCGAATTGTTCAGAGTATAATCTGTTGGTATTGTCTGTGTGTGTACGAATCGCATTGAATAGTTCAATTTCAAATGCAACAGGATCAAATGTGTTGATATCAATCTCTTTTGTGGGTCGAACAGCAGCAGCATCTGTTTCACTCTTAGGTGGTCTTCCTCTACGTTTCTTAAGCATTTGGCCATCTGCTATTTGTGGCTGATACATTTGAGGCTGAAATGATTTTATGGGTGTAGGAGGAGGAGGCATTGTGTTCTGCAATAAGATTCTTTGCTGTGGTTGTACGGGTGGTTTGGGTGTTGATGAGGGTTTAGGTGGAGAAGGAGGTGGAGGAGTAGGTTGTTTAGAATCAAAGATACCTTGCCAACGAGGATCTTGTTGATCAGACACTAGATCAAAAGGTACTTGACCATGTATATTCTCTGCTTTTGTGTTTGCATGGTACTTTTCAATCAACAAACGCACAATTTTATCTTTATCACCAAAAGCAGCCCAGCCTAAAGGAGTAGCAGAATACCATGTATCATTCAATTCTACATTGGCACCCTTAGTCAACAAGGCTTCTACTAACTGAATGTCACCAAAATAACAAGCTGCATGAAGAGGAGACCAAGTGAATTTATCTTGGAACATTTCTACTGGTACAAGTGCATTTGGATCCATATCTGGGTCATTCAACATCTCTATCGCCTTTTTAAATTCTCTTTTTGCAATGGCAGCATTCAATGCCTTTAGTTTTTGCACTATTCAAGACAGAATGAGTTTGGGATCAGTCATGGCGGACTTACTGTTGGGTTTCTTTGGCTTTTCTTGTTGTTTCTCTACAGCTCGGAGTTTAATGGCTTTGATTTTAGGTGGAGATGCTTCTGCATGGTTGGTTTTTGCAAATGCTCCTCCAGGTAATTTTAACAAGGCTTTTTCTTGTAATCCATGCCATTGTTTGACAAATTTCTAATAGTTTGAATAAGTATGATGCAGAGTGAATTTTTTTTTTTTACTTGAATCTGAACAGCATCTTCATACACTTGAGATTCTTTTCTGTTGTATTTCTTTGCATTCGAAACCATCAATTCAATGTCTGCCTTAAATTCAGCAAGTGATTCGTATTCGCGTGCATCTATTTTGGCCTGCAATAACAAACTAAATAACGCGTCATTCTCGTCTTTCAGGTTTTTACCTTCATCGTATCAAGTGCAATAGGTTGTTTGATGATTTCATAATAGTCTGGATAATCTTCTGGAAAGGGCAATTCATAATAAAAAGTACATCGTTCATACTCCTCACTAAAGATGATGAGTGACGCGTTATTCTTTCATTTACTTTACTCCTCAGGGTCTTTGAGTTCAATCAATGCTTTATAGAGTTGTCTGATCAATTCATATTCACTGTTGTCAACCTAGCAAAGCATAAAAAAAATAAGTTTTCCTTTTTTATACAATTTAATTTATTTGTTTGATTTCTGTCGATTGTTTTAATTACTTTGTCAGTTCTTCTTTGTCTTTTGTGCTCTCTATAATCTTTTTCTGCTGTGTTTGTTCGTTTTGGTCTTTTGTCCATACTGTATAAAAGCTAATTAAGTTGAGTTTGGCTTCATGTTGCGCATCGTACGTGCGTCTTTACCTTGTGCTGCTTATATCTAAAGAAGGGGTTCTGAAAAAAAAAGTTGTCTTTTATAAAGATGAACACACGCAAAAAAAAAAAGAAAAAAAGAATATCCTCCCCCTCCTCCTTCCTGACTAAAAAATTTCCTTTCGGAGTTTTAATTTATTTGAATGTTGGGTGAGTACCATATATCATAATCTTCTTCATCATCATCACGGCCAAAAGGACGAAGTGCCATGACTTTAAGTTGATAAGAACCCTGAGGTAGTTTGATTCCTAGAGCTGCTAGCTGATTTCCCATCATACCTGTCTGAGAAATACCTCTGTCTTGAGTCACAAAGGTAGTTGTACTTTGATGACGACTGAGTGGACCTAAAGAAGCTTGTTCAGGTGAATTGGCTACATTGCCATACCAGCTAAGTAACAGAACATCATTAGGATCCTGGATGCTGTTTCTTCCTAAATAGCGTGTATAACCTCCTGGAATTAAACCAAAGTTTTGAGAAGGATTCGAAGCATTGACAGCAGCAATCGTCAACAAAGGTGTCGATTCTATCAATTGAAAGGAAAGTAAAGCAGGAGAGAAAACATTGACCTTTTCATTGATCATGCGGGGCATGGTGTTATTGACCAGTAAAACAGGCAATTGAGATAATTTACTCGTCATTCCAGCATAAGGCACATATTTGATATCGCTAGGGTTGTGTGTCTTGGTCACCGTGATATAGCCTGAATAGATGGAAGGAGGAAGTGCCTGGGTGGGTGGCGTAATACGAACAGTGATGTTCTTTTGTTCATTGGCTTGGACAAGAACAGTAGCAGGTGCTTGGACTTGAGCTTCAGATCCATTGGTTAGCATAGCAGGTTTACTCAGGGGCAATAGCGTGTTGGCAAGGGACTGATAGGCTTGAGCGGAAGAAGCCACAACATGGCCAATCGTGTACTCAGTAGCCATACGTCCATTGTTCTTAATCGTGAGTGTGTATTCATGATTGGCAGCACCATGGTCTATATCATTTAAACGGATTTGCTCAGGTGTAATAAACGTATCTGTCGTTATTGCACGATAGACATCTACTAAGCCTGCACCCTGTCGTGCTACAGAATCCAAATGTTGCTTATGATCAAATAAACCAAAGGGATGGCCATTGTTAAGTAACATGGTGCGTACTTCTTGTGCACTAATGGCTCGATTCCCACCTCTGGACTCTTGAAGCAGAGCCACAATGCCTGCTACATAAGGACTTGCCATACTTGTACCACTGAGTGTAGCATAACTCCCCAAGTCCAAGGGATAAGTGGAATACATCTGTCCTCCCGGTGCACTTAAATCAGGCTTCAAGCTTAAATCAGGTCCAAGTCCCCATGAACTAAAGTCACTGATAAACCCAGCTGTTGGTACAGGAAAACTCACATCTTGAGGTGAAAATACGGCCTTGTCTTGGGATATATGCTGAAAGAGAAGATTGCCATCCTGGTAAGAAATACCTCCATATTCAATAGTGGCTGCATGCTCTGAAACAGAAGGCGTTATAGGACCAGGCGCATTGTTATAAATAAGCACACCAACGGCACCTGCATTAGCTGCATGCATGATTTTACGAGAGAACATACATCCACCACGGTTCACAAGGGCTACTTTGCCTTTCAAGTCAAGTTGCAATGGATTACAAGCATCATTGGCTGCTAAAAAAGTAGAAGTAGGCACAATCTGTGCTTCCCCGATATCAAACACCTTTCCGGTTGCTGTGGTATAGCCTAACATAGCAAACGTAAGTATTGTTTGATATGGATTCTTATAGGAGCATTACCTATGGTCATATTGTTCAACTGAAAGGTATGAGAGAGAACAAACCCATTGTCAACACTTGCAATAGAGAGAGCATGTTCTCCAAGAGAAGGCGCACCCACTTCAAACATGCCCTTTTCACCTTCATTACCCGCTGCAGCACAGACTACCATGCCTCTTAGCGCTAGTTCATCAGCCAACAAAGAAGAAGGTGATTCAGGCCATCCTATATCGCCCAAAGATAAATTGATAATATCCATTCCGTCTAAATAAGCTGCTTCCATGGCTTTCATAATCACATCGTCTGCACTGCTACCAGAGCACCCAAAAATACGATAAGCACCTAGTATAACTAAAAGAGCATTGAACATCATAAAGCTACCATCCATTTTTTTTTCTTGCTTACCATCAGGTGCGACGCCGGTGAAATGAGCATCCTTGGCTCCAATAATGCCTGCCACATGTGTACCATGTCCATTACAGTTGTCGCGAGGATCTTGATCAGGCATAGGTAGATTCTCGCCAGTATAAGCATCACCTACAAAATCATAGCCATAGGCTACGCGACAATTGGGACCAAAGCAACCACCAAGAGCAGGGTGCATATAGTCCACACCCGTATCAATAATGCCTACTTTAATGCCTTTGCCTGTCATTCTAAAACAGATATAAGCAATTTTTTTTCTTTTTGCTCTCTACTGAACACCTTACCCTAATTCGTCTCTGACTTTAGATACGCCTGTATTGTTGTAATGATCAAACAGAGGTGTAATATAGTTGCTTGATATAGCAGCATCATTTTGTACATGTAAAAAAGAAGGTTTCGTTATCGTGTTCTATAAAGAAGACATCAGTGTCTGGCATGAAGTTCATAGGTTTGAATTTTTTTTTACCACTGGCCATGCTTTCTTAATACCAGGTACTTTTTCAAAAAATAAAGCAGTATCTTGTTCTGATTTGAATGCAATCGAAACAGCATGAATTAATTGATATTCATGCCGGACAGTGTAATTGATGTTGTGATGATCGAGTTGGTCATAAAATAAGGCTCGTTTAGATAATACAGAAGGCGTCTTTTCGAATTCAACAACATAGGTGTATGGTACAAATCCTGTCTTTTTTGGTTGAACAAGATGGAATAAACTTAGTAAAAGAATACAACGGGTGATTTTAATAAACATAGGTAAAGAAAGATGTAAAAAAAAAAGAGAGGGACAAGTTCGTCTTGACTTATTGAACTTGTCAAAATTGACCTAGGTACAGCCAATGCCCTCGTACTATTTCCTTACTGTTTGGTAACTTGTAAGTGTCTGTTTGTTTGATATCAAGATCATAAAAATGTGGGGTAATAATTTCATATGACTAGATAAAATTGAAATGACTGACGAAAAAGAAAAAACTGACGAGGCATATAGTGATGTGATGGGTATTCTTTTATTACTAGTCTTTAGGCATAAATTTAGCATAATAATCTTTGGTTTTATTTTCGTACAGTTCTTGAGTACACTCGGGCAATTCATCTTGGTATTTGCCTAAAGAGAATGTTGAGCATAAAAGGGGGATTTTTCTCTACAGCTTCTTACCTGGAGATCCAGAATAAACACTAAATGAAGGTACCACTGTATTGGGTGGGATAATTGTATTATCTGTGATACAACAACAGTCTTTGATAATGGCGAACCGACCCTATACACATGAGATACATAATAAAATATTATCCACTACTTACAATGATACAATTCTTTCCGATAGTAACATGAGATCCAATCGTTGCTGCTTCTACTATGCTTCCTTCACCAATGGTGACATGATCCCCTATCTTCATTGGATAATAACTAAAGATCCTATACAATAGATTAGACCAGACTCTATTGATGTGATATTACCCTTTGTATGTCTTGTAGGGTGGTCTTATGATTGATTTTTGTGAAAGTAAGCAATATCTACCAACAGCTATAACAACAGCGTGTCCACCACCTGTACGTCTGAGATCACCACGAATCACACAATCTGTTTGAATGATGGTCTAAGTTGATTGAGTATACACTTGTCAAGCTGAACGCGTCTATGCTTACTTTTCCACCGAGAATAATATTCTGACTACCACAAATAACTGACTTTCGACTGACTTTATTACCAGTATCCTAAGAGAAACAAGGTTTAATATACTCGGATGCTTGTAACTAGTTTATGCTTACTGTTTCTATATATTCAGCACGGTTATAATGTATAATAGGTGCTTCCATAATGATTAAAGTTTGTTACAGGAACAAATAATTAAAAAAAAAAATTCGTTTTTTTTGCCCGAAGTATATTTATGGTAGTACAGCATGTCATTTAACACTCTCTTTTTTCTTGTTTGTTCTTTATCATGGCAAGTCTTAAGGGAGAGACATTTACTGTTGTTCCGCAAGAAATCAGTCGTCATTTCATTGAGCCAACCGAGATCAACCAAGCAAGACAAAACATCTGCTTAGATCACCAAATCTTGGAAGATGAAGACTATTATGATGAAGAAGACGAGAGCGATGATTCCTACCTAGAAACTGACTTTAGTCTTTGTGAACAACAGCCTAAATCAGTGGATTCAGACGAAGATGAAGATGACATCGTTCCTCAATCTGTCAAATGGTCTTTTGTACGCCGCTTATTTTCTAAACTCAGTTTTCATACTTCTTTGTCTCAACAGGTAGATTATACGTGCCAACCTTATTTGAGCAAGTATGGCACATTACTCAATAAGCGTGTGGGTGAAGGTGTGTCTGCTACAGTTCAATTGGTTCAGCAACAACAAGATACATTAGCAGTCAAAATATTCAGAAAGCGAAAGCGAAAAGAGCCTGTCAGTGGATACATGAAAGCATTAGCTAGTGAATTCTGCATTGCTTCTGCACTCCATCATGAAAATATAGTCAAAACATTAGATTTTGTTCGAATGGATGAAGATCATGAACGATTTGGTATTGTGATGGAATATGTACGTATATTTCATGTTAAATGTATTCTAATTTTTCTCTTTGACAAGTATCCTGAGGGTGACATGTATAACTTGATCAAGCAAGGAAGACTCCAAGATACCGAAATTTATTCTTATTTTAAACAAATGTTACAAGGGCTTGATTATCTGCATTCATTAGGTGTGGCTCATCGAGACTTGAAGCCTGAAAACTTACTTGTGCATCAAGGCCAACTCAAAATTTCAGATTTTGGTTCAGCAGATGTTTTTCGGGTCGCATGGCAAGACCATAGTCGTCTATCGGATGGTTTGTGTGGCACCACGCCTTACATGGCACCCGAAATCTTTTTAGATGAAGGTTACTGGGCTCCACCTGTGGATGTTTGGTCAGCCGGTGTGATTCTGTTCTGTATGAAATTTGATGGTGTTCCCTTTGGATGTGCTCAACTTACAGATGCTAATTACCCTATTTATTTACGAAAAAGACTCTTGCGACAATACGAGCCGTTCAACAAACTAGCGCATGAACCACGCACGTTGATCTATGCCATGCTTAATCCAGACAGTCAAACACGTATTTCAGTGCATGATTTGTTAACTTTGCCTTGGTTGGAATCCCTCTAATTTATTAATTATTCTTCTTCCATCTTTTGTCTTAACGATTGAGAATCATAACCATGAACACCTAAATCGTTACGTGTTTCTGATGGATCGTCTAATGTTTGTTCTAAATAAAAAGCCAAGAATCCCTCTTTTGTTAACCAGCCTTTGCTGTTCGCTCCAAAGCGAAGACCCATTTGACGCAAGAAAGCAGGTGGGGGTTGAATACCGTTTGTCTTTTGAATAAACTGCGTGAGTTCTTTAGCACTAAGTGCACCGTCTTTATCTTGATCAAATCTGTCAAAGATCTCTACCAAGACATCCTTTAATGCCCGTGATAATTGATTGTCAGTCAACAATTCTTCTTCACCCTTGTATCCCTTGACAATGCGCTCAATTTCTTCTTCAAGAACTATGATTCAGTAAGTACAAGGTTTGTCTTATGCATCGTTTACCATCAATCGGTTCAAATTCAGGATCAACAGCTCGTCCCATCTGCAACAAAATCATAGCTTCTTCCAACTTGTTTAGCACAAATAAAATAAATCCCAATATATAATAACATCCAGCATGTCCTGGAAACACATCCAAAATCCACATCATTTTGCTTGCCACTTGTACCAACGTATCCACATTGCCGTCTTGTTGGAATGTCTCGAGTCGTTTCTGTGCATTAGCATATTCTGTATCTGCTTGGTCCATTAAAGCGGTATCTTCTTCTGTATTGGCTGCTTTGTTCTTTTGAACATAATAGGCGCGCCAGTCAGTAGGTTCTTGACTGAATTTTTCAGCTAGTCCAGACTCGAGTGTCAGTCCTGTGGCTGTCGTGAAGATGGTATAAACTTGGAACAAGTCGCCAAAGTCGTTTACAGTCTTGGCTTTCCAGAGGTTATTGTTCATAAAGAGTTGGTAAAGTGACTTGCTACAAAGAGCAAGTTGAAAAAGGTCGTTGGGCTCTAGCACAAAAGCTAAACCTTCGAGAATAATGGCTGGAAAGCGTTCTATTTGGAAACCCATATTGTAAACAAAAGAGAAAAGAAGGTGTAAGCAAAAAAAAAAAAAAAAAAAAGAGTTCGAGATAGTGGCTTAGAGCCAATCAGAGAAAAATGACTAAAACTGATGAGCTGCATAAAATAGACTTGAGCAAAATCATTGTTTTCTTTGAATGAGCCATAAACGACCATCCAATACAGAAAAATAAAAGCACATCATCTATCAATCGAAGGTAGCATAGAGACAAAAAGAACAAATTGTACAAGGAAAGAGCGCTACAAAACAAAGTCGACATAGTTTAAATATGAACTTTCACACAGTTCTTGTCATACCATATTCTATAGAATGTAATTTTTTTGCTTTTGAAGCCAATCATTAAGATGTTTCAAACCAAAAGCTTTTTCATCGTTGACGATAATCATTTTCCTTAGGATTGAATACTGTCTGTAAGTCAAGTGCTGAAAATTCCTTAATATGCGCAGTAAAGTACAATAATCATTGATAATTTGTTTGGAGTAAACATTAGCGTGGGCAGAGAGTTTTTCTTATTCATGTGTTGATCTTATTGGTTTCCTTTTCAAATATATCCCAATTAGGATCATTGTTCAGTCTCTTAGCCCAAGTTTGAGCGGTACATTCAGCAATACCAGCACGTCTATCTGCCACAGCTGCACTCAAAAGCTTTATTTCTCTGAAGTATGCAAATGTCTTTTGATCGTCAATATAGATATTGTATTTTTTGGTTGATCTTTCCCGACGTATTTTTTCCTCCAAGTCGTGCATAACAATGTCGAGATTCTCATTGCTAGGAACTAAATTGTAAGGACCCGATGATTTGTGTCTACTTAATGCCATTCAGCTCTCAGTGTTGAAAGGGACATATTCTTTACCAATATCCATTGCTCCATTTCCGTCTTCATCGTAGACGGTGCCTTGGCCATTTTCGTCATTTTATTTAAATTAAAGGACAGTGCAAGGCGAAAAATAAAACCTCAATCATTGGTTCTTGATTTGTCAATGGGCGTTATCTTTTTTTTCCAAATGATGGTTTTTTTCCCATCCGCTGAATTGAGTAGAAATAATTGTGTCTGTGGACTCTTAGGTGGACTCTTAGGTGGACTCAGCGCGTTCTTTTCTTTTTTTCTTAAAAAAGGTTATACAGTCGACGAAAAAAGGTTGACCCAATAAAGAAAATAATTGGTCAGTTTGAAATGAATCAGCCAATGAAAATGGGTCATAATTTTGAAAATGGATCCTTGTTTTGAAAATGGATCACCAATAAAGAAATGTAATGTATGCTTTTTATTTCGTTTCTTATAATCCTTTTTCGCAATTCAAACATCTCTGCCAGAACGTCATGGAATGCTTTATCCAATTCTCGCAATCTTCTCTGCTGATGTGAAGTGATGCGTTGCGAATACGATCAGAGATTTTTTCATTCTGCCTGACAGAAGAGGAATCGTTATTTACAACAGTCTTCGGCTTGGACCAAAGCTCTTCGATCGGGTTTAAAAAAAAGGAGAATAAGGTGGCAAAAAGAGAAGTTTATAGCCACGTTAACCAACCCAATCTTCAATAAGTGCAGCCTTGTAAATGGATGCATTGTCAAGAACTAGACAATTGTAGCTCATGTTAGCCGCATCCAGTGTTGTGAGGACATGCTCTACGTGTTCAAGGAAGTCACTGCTGGTCGTACCCTTCCTCTTGGGGGCCTGAGCTTTCTCACCAGTTCGAGTTCGTTCTCCACTTCTAGCAGTAAGTACAACTTCTTTTTTTGGATAATGTGATTAAACCACTTTTACAAATAGCACCCAAGATGCTGACATATGCTCCCTTCGTTTGAACATCAATTTGGCAAGGTGCTCCAGCCTTAGGCCGTCCATATGAGCGATGCATGCTCCTGTTAAAGCCAGCTTCATCCAAGAACACATATTCATTCATAAAGTCTATGTTCTGGGTAACCAAGTATGCTACCGCATCTCGTCTTTTGGCAACAGTTTCATCCGTGTTTCTGCCATAATATCTAGGAATGATACGCTTGTAGGTTAGGCGACACTTCTTCTTCATGTGATTCTCCACTGATCTGGGGGTGATCTGTATATCTCTGGATTCTTTTGACAGGTGGTCTGCAATAGCTTCGACTGTCAATGTTGGCTCATTAGCCAGCAGCTCAAAGATAAATACAATATGTTCGTCTTTGAGTATTGCTGATCGTCCCTCTCCTACTTTGATTGCGATAGAATCAGGGAATCCTTTTTCAGCTATTTCGCTTGTCATTTGATTCCACTGCTTGAGTTTACGAGCAGCTGTTGACTTGGAGAGCCCTACCTTTCTACTCACTTCACTGATAGACATATTCTCAAACTCTTGCAACAAATTGATCAAATTGACTACCTTTGCTTCGTTCTTGGTAATGTATGATCCCCTTCCCTTATTCACTACATCAAGGGAGGGCTCTTTGGAGTGCGGTTTGGTCTTCCTCTTAGCTTATTTTTGTGCTGCATTTACTGCTGCAGTCTCTTCCCAGTCCATATATGATTGTATCAACACAGGTACTGTCTCACTGTCAAAATTGTATTCGTCATTCATGTTAAGCAACATGAAAAAGAAGAGAGAATTTGACCAATCCTCATTACATTTCTGTATTGGTGACCCATTTTCAAGACAATGATCCATTTTTTTTTATTGGGCCAACCTTTTTTCGTCGAATGTACACAAATACCAATACTTTTAACAATGCCAACAGAAGAATTAGAAAACAACAAACAATTGGAAGGTATGCATGTTTAGCTAACAAAAACTAAAACCTTTACAATGTACTAACTAAATTGTACAAACCCCATTTAGATATTGAGCTGTATGTTTTTCTTGGAGGGAATACAATCAAGGGAAAAACAGCCAATGAAATTATGGAAATCATGGAAAAGTGCTCATTCGTAAAGCCTATTAGTGTCATGAAAAGTCAAAGAGTAGCTGGGTAAGTGCTGTCTCAATATTTGTAGTGTAAAATAATATTCACTTATAATTTTTATTTTAGCTTTTGTATTCCAAAATTCAAAAACAAACAAGATGCAGCTACCTTCTTTCACTATTATAGCAAACAAAAATATCCTTTATGCCGATCCTTGTACCCCTTGTTCGTGAGGCCGGCTAAATTTAAATGCCGACCTGTTGTGCAGTACAGTACACTATTTCCCGAAACTATTGACACACTTTTTTCTTGCGATTTAGCACACTTAATTTTAGGTTCAGCACAAATAAAAAAATATTTTGGCACGTCTCTACTTCAAGTTTTGGCACATTTTTTTTTAGAAAAAGTAGAAATGAATATCCAAGTATACTATGAAAATGGAAGAGTCGATGTTGTTGATAAGTTTGGAAATGAGCCTATTGAAATGGAGGTCGATGAAGAACAATATCCTTTGGACAACGTTACCAACTTTGATCAATACTTAGATATAAAGCCCCCCTGAGCGCGAAGCAGTAAAGCGAGAGGAACAAAAAAAGAAAATCCAGGCAACAGAAACTTCTGGCAAAGGATCGTATGTTAAGCACAGTAGCGATACCAAGGAGCGTTTCTTCTACTTAGTCTATGAAAAAGGCTTGACACCTGGTAAAGCAGCCACGCAGCTTAATATCGCTCGACGTACTGCTTACAACTGGTTTGAGAAAGATCAGAAGGAGCAGAGTGATGGAAAAGAGAAAATCAAAGCTAAGACAGGTCGGCCAAGCAATTTCAACGAAGAGCACCAGCGATTCTTAGAGAAATATGGATTTCCCTCCAGCAACCTTAGATCAGACTATGGAGAGTCTGATAAATGAATTTAAAGATTTGAAAGTCTCTAAGACTTCAATCCATAGGTTCATGGCTGAGAAATGTGCTTTGTCATTTAAGAAAGCCCATTTTCATTCAAAAGAAAGGAACTCATCCTCAAACCTTCTCAAGCGCTACGAATGGGTCCAGAGATGGATATCAACCATCGATTTATACAAGGTCAAGTACATGCTCTTTGAAAACAGGCACTACCAACAAAGACTTGTGAACCATGTCTTCAATCATGCACCAAATCTTGAAACTCTTTTTTTCGCTCATCGCAAAACATTCCATGTTAAATTCATCCGAATGTTCCTCAATGTCAGAAAAGATAAACTGTTAGTTTACGTTGTACCTGAAGACTCAGTAGCTCGGTTTCAAACTTTAACTGAATATGAAGGTCTCAGTAATATCACTATCTCTTTGAATGCAAATCTAAAGTTAGATGTCGCTGATGATGCCATTATTACACCAGAGCACATCAATAGGCACATACAAACGATAAAACGTGACATGAAACACTGATAAAGAGAAGATAAAATTTAAAACGGAGCTCTCACACCAACTACCTCTCTTCTGCAATCAACTATTTCAGACCAAGGATTATACATTATTATCAACGGAAAGCTTTGATGTAAATCTAATGGATAAAGAAAATAAATTGGATTTATCCCAAGCCAAGCAACTGGTAAAGGAAGTGGGTCCTGCTTTTGTGGAGTCCGTTATAATATTACAAGAACACTGGTTTTTAGTAACTAGCTTTTCCGTATTTATCCACGATCCTAATCGTGTGGACGATTGCGCGGACAAATCAAGATTTCCCTACCAGAATAAGCCAGTGGCATTTGTTCAAAGAAAAACGAACTATGGAACGTCATCTTTTGAGCTTGTTTTTAGAATTGGCTACGTTGAAGTTTTGGCCAATAGCGGATTCATTGGTTCAACAAGTTCAAAAAAATTGATACCATTTGTCGGTTCAGCTCTACAGCAGTTGCCTGGCACAATTTCCACAAGTATTGAAACTTCAACGACCAAACAGATCTTCATTAACAAAGCACAACAAAGCTATGAAATTGGAAATCGAATCACCAACCAGTGCTACAAAGATACCTCAACTCTTCCATGGCAATTTTACAGCTCAAGATTTAGTGAAAATGACTTCAAACCACTCAACACATTGTACCTTGATACTAAACGCATTTGGCTTGATTCTGCTTCACTAGTCATCAGAACATATGTCTTGCAAAGCGTAGATATTGATAATATAAAAAGGCTTTATATTTGATCAAACAAACAGACAAACCTGTAAAACTGAAGCGCTCCTATCAGTTGATCAAACAACACCTGACAGCAATTAAATCCCACAAGCAGCTACAACGAATTCTTTGTGATAAAAGTAAAGAAGGAACTATCAGGATTAAGAAGGATCTAATTTGCATCTATAACGAAGTACTATCATCTGGGATTAAATCGGAAAATAAAAAGATTGCGGATATGGTTGTAAAGAAGTACCAATTTAAAAAAGTCGGTTTATTTGATTAATTGAAGAACGGCCACTGATGGTTTTTAAAAACCTTTTATGTCTCAAACACCTATTTATTACAAGATTCTACCTGCTTTAAAATATTCGTTAGTCTTTATGACTTCTTGAACATTACTTAACAATACAACCAAAGATTAAATATTTGAATCAAAAAAAAAAAATCGACCCAAATTGGCCGATTTTAACAATTCTTTTTATTAAGTAATGAATACCAATGTTGACGAAACGAAGGCTGAAAATGTGATACATGCTCTCTGAGCCACGCTTTATTTTCCTTTTTTGATAATAATATTTTTTTTTATTCCCTATATCTTCTAAGCTAAGCTATGTAAATGATAATGTAATACTAATAAATTTGTTGGTTAACCGAAAAAGCGGTACCAGGGCCGGGTATGTATCACATTTTCAGCCTTCGTTTCGTCAACATTGGTATTGGTTGTCGTACCTAAACGAATCCCAGTTGACTCCACTTCGGCTTCCAATGTGATACGTTTCTCCGGAGAAGAAAGAATTGAATTGCTGATTTTAGTGCTAGTTGCAGTTTGTAAGGACGGTTTGTAGTAAAAGTTTTCAAAGGTGTTTGAATTTAAACTCCAGTATTGCATGTTTCTTCACGTCTTGTATAGAGTGACCTAGTTCCACTGCCTTTGTACTTGCTGCTGCCCGCACAGAATGTGCTTAGTATTCTTTTGTGTCAATTCCCGCCAATTCCATGGCTGATTTTATTCAGTTTGCAACAGTAGTTGGTTTTACTGAAGTGGGTGCTTGTGTCTTGGAATCAATGTACGCTAGGAATAAGGTATGATCTTCAGGTAAGTTTTGTCTCATACTAACTGTCCTTGTAACGAATTTATCAGTCGTCTTGACCGGGCACAATTCTTCATTCTCAATGCTCCCCAATGTAATAGATTTTACTTGGCTTTCCTTTGGTGTTCTTGCATGAATACGAATATTTGAAGTCAATCCCTCTTGCTTGAAAGAAATATTACGATGTTGTAGTCGACCTATATCGGATCTTGGACGCTACATGGTTGCATAGTAATAAAATTGTTTTCAATTGCAGTTGATCAAGACTGAGATCGGCTGTTGGTGATAGATGTTTTTTAATGTAGTCTACTAGCATATGTACATCCCATGTTGTTGATTGTTGTTCCGTAGGGATTCGAACTTCCAAATTTCGTCTAGCTGCGAAAAATTCTTTGACTAATGGTTGTTCGGCGATTGGTGGTTTGTCACTATGGATTACGGAGAAAACTGAAGCGATTGATGATCTCAAAGTGTTCAAGTGTGTACTACTATAATCCTTGTAGGCTAATAAAAATTATACCACGGTTTGCTCATCGTATTTCAACGGTTCGTACAAAGGTTGTTGTTGTTGACACAATGAAATCCATAGTTTCCATCCATTATCGTATATTTTGTGAGTTGATTGTCTAGTTTTCGCGTTCAAAAAACTGAGCATTTTCTTTGTCACACCATTCTGTAACCTGTAGTTGTTGATATTTGTTGCATAAGTCCTGAATTTGAATTGCTAGATCCTGTAGAATTATTGATGTTGTTGTAATTGTTGTGGTGCTGATAATTCCTTGATTTGTGGTACTTGTACACACTTTTGCGTTATTGTTGACTGGGAGGTCTCGTGGTTGTGTGGTCTGCTGATGTTGTACTGTGAGAATTGTTGGAGAAGTTGTTGTTGTTGTAGAAGGTTGGGTTCCCACGTCCCCTTCCTCCAAAGTAGTTTTTTGGTCCTCCTCGGCCAAAATAACCACGTCCTCCTCCTCTATTGCTGTTCCAACTTGAGGAATTTGAATATCCTCCTCGACCTCGTCCATTGGAAGGGTTGATGGTAGCTGCTCGAAGCACTCGTTGATAGTTGGTTTCGTTGTACATGGCAATAAATTCGTCATCAAAAGCTTCTCGTTTGCTGCCCGAGTCTTTAGTTTCCAAGTGTTTAAGACTGGGGGGTAAGTTAAGTGCTCTAATGGCGTAGTCTTTAGCGTCTTCATCATGCTGCTTACCTTGGAACTAGGCATGAGTCGCAAGTCTTCTGGCACTTTCGATGGCTTCGTCCAAAAGTTGGTGTGCTTCTGCTGTTGAAATTTCTCCAGCTTTAATAATTGAGAGTTGTTCGAAGATTTCAGTTGCTGCTCTTCCGTGTAATCTACTGATTTCTGCTCCTTTGTAGTGAGCGTTAACGACTTGAGTCGTGTCCACAGTGTAATGTTTGAGTTTTGGGATGAAGGATTTATTAATCTCTTCAGCGATAGTCCACTCGTCGTGGTGGTATTTGGTAACGTCGCGCTTGTAGCGTGTGATGTTTTGATAATAGAGAGTTATAGGATAAGATAATGTAGAGACAAAGGTAGATACTTTGAGACTGTTTTATACTATAAATTATTCTAGCATATTTATACATGAAGAGATGTCGGAGTAAGTAGTAGTAGAGTTCATGCAAATGACTGAGTCTCTATTGTCATAGACTACTTTAAATTAATTAAACAATGTAAATTATGGATTTCGGCTATAAGTATTGATCTATTAAAAGATACATTGTCTTATTCAGTACAAGAGGTTCTTTTATGTCTATTTCTGATGTAAATTGATTATGATTGAAGACTTATTTAATGTCAGATTATCACAATAATATAATGGCCTTTGAATTCTTCGTGCTTATCCAAAATGTCAAGGGTACAGGCAACAAAATTAAAATCATGGCCAGTAACCGTACCAACCGTCTTTTTGGCCTTCGAATTGTTTGCTTTTCTTTTTTTGAAGGTGCTACTGGTCTTCTCACTTGAATATTAACAACGCCAAAAAGTGAAATAGCACCCAGAATCGTTGTTGTTTTAGCTCTTGTTGTTGGTTGAACAACTTCTGCACGAGTCCCTTTCTTTGAACAGGTTATCGTTCTTTTCAAGTTAATGTGAAATGCTGACTCGTCAACGAAAACACAATTACTTTCGAAGTCCAGATCAGTTTCAATCCATCGCTGGACCCATTCGTAGCGCTTGAGAAGGTTTGAGGGTGAGTTCCTTTCTTTTGAATGAAAATGGGCTTTCTTAAATGACAAAGCACATTTCTCAGCCATGAACCTATGGATTGAAGTCTTAGAGACTTTCAAATCTTTAAATTCATTTATCAGACTCTCCATAGTCTGATCTAAGGTTGCTGGAGGGAAATCCATATTTCTCTAAGAATCGCTGGTGCTCTTCGTTGAAATTGCTTGGCCGACCTGTCTTAGCTTTGATTTTCTCTTTTCCATCACTCTGCTCCTTCTGATCTTTCTCAAACCAGTTGTAAGCAGTACGTCGAGCGATATTAAGCTGCGTGGCTGCTTTACCAGGTGTCAAGCCTTTTTCATAGACTAAGTAGAAGAAACGCTCCTTGGTATCGCTACTGTGCTTAACATACGATCCTTTGCCAGAAGTTTCTGTTGCCTGGATTTTCTTTTTTTGTTCCTCTCGCTTTACTGCTTCGCGCTCAGGGGGGCTTTATATCTAAGTATTGATCAAAGTTGGTAACGTTGTCCAAAGGATATTGTTCTTCATCGACCTCCATTTCAATAGGCTCATTTCCAAACTTATCAACAACATCGACTCTTCCATTTTCATAGTATACTTGGATATTCATTTCTTTATATGTAATTTTTAAAAAAGGAGCCACTTTTTTTTTTTTTTTTTTTTTTTTTTTTTTTGAAAAACTACTAATGGTTACGATTTGTCTTTTTCTTTCAAGGTCGAAATAAATTTCTCTCAAGAATGTATTGAGGCCTTCGAACATAGAACAGTAAACATAAATTGCTGTGATATTCTTAGTTTTATTCGATAAATATGTATAAGTAAAATATATAAAATTAAGTATAAATATGTGAAAGTGATATTATTTGTTCTTTGATCTTTTTTTTTTATCGCTCGCTTTTCATAGTAGATTCCGAAACATCATTATTATATTCAAATGGAAGTACCAAACAGTGATATTTTAACAGCCTTACAACAGCAAATGGCTGCACAACAAGCAATGATTGAGCAAATCATGCAAAATCAAGAACTCCAAAATCAGCAACAACAACAACAACAACAACAAAACAAACAGGAACAAGACATGGAAGCAGAAGACCTACTTTTCAACACCCAACAACAAGTACATTCTTTTGAGACACGACCCCATTATGATTGGAATCCTTCTCAACTATTGAGATTGGAATGTAATTTATTTTCAGGTCCAGGAATGTCTGACAACCAACGTAAGTGATTGATTGAAAAATATCCTGCCATCCAACTCTCAACACTTTCAGTCGGTTGCGGGGATTGACAAATCTCCAAACCTAAAAGCCACCCAACAACTAAGATCATATGTTAGTGTAGCAGCTAGAACTCGAGTATCACTCATGCACCAAGGCATCGTTGAACCTGACAAAGATGCAGACTCACCTTTGCGAGAATTTCAGTCGAGAATTTATCGAGCAGCTATCCATAAGGATGCTTTCTTACTCGACATTACTCCAGTTAAGAAAGAATACACTGATCTCCAGTGTATGCAGGAAATCAGCGCTCAACACCCAAAGATCTACGCTTGCTCCATCTTGAGAGATGGTCCAACTCAGTACTTGGAATTGTATATCGAAAAAGATGATGATGACAATGACCTTATGGAACATGATGTTGTCTTTAAAAGGTCGAGATTGCGAATTTTCCCTTGCAAGGCAGCAGATGCCACACTCCAATTTGTTACTGTGAAATTATCCCAATTACCTTTACGTCCCAAAAGGATAGTTCTTGAGGGCGTGCAACAGAGTTTAGCTCCATTTGGAAAGGTAATTGATGTAGGAATCAATACAGAAACCACCACCGGATGGTTTATGGACGCAGGATATGCCGTCATTGGTATTCCTTCTGGTCCCTCAGAATCAACAGACAACCTCAAGTATCAGCCTTTGGAGCATAACATTCGTTGGTGCGAAAGCGAAAGCCAAATATTCCACGCAACCTGGAACAACATGCCCACTTGGTGCAGGTATTGCCACCAAACTAGACATACAAAATCTGAATGTGAGAAGTCGAAGGCTAGAATTATATGTTATGCGTGCCATCAATTAGGACACCGCTCGTTTGAATGTCCTAGGAAACAGTCTATGACACCCAGCAAGCGTTCAAAGAGAGAAAGATCAGTTCTTGGAAAGGCCACCCAACCAAGAAAAGAAGCATCCAAGCCTGAAGGGCAAAGCAGTATTGAAGTCAAAAGTAGCAACTTTGGCCAGACAGAGATCAATGTCGACAAAGATAATGATAACGATACTAGCGATAGTGATTACGATCCTTTAGAGAAAGAGAGCATGGAAGAAGATGAATCTGAAATAGAAAGTGGAGACGAGGATATAGACAGGATTGAAATTGAAGACCTCTATAAGTGTTGTGAACATATATGGATTCATATGCATAGATCAATAAACGATGATCGTGGTAAAAGACCAGATCACATCTATGGCAATTGCAATGGATCTATAGTTACTGACATTCACTCATTCTACTAGAAGTACTACATCGTCTTCATAGTCAGAGATTATGAACCTAGTGACTCTGTTATTATTAATGGCCCTCATAAAGTGACAGTTAGAGCTGACAAATACATTAGCATTGGCATTTGACAAATGTGTAATAGTTTATTCAAGTTCAGGTCAGATCATATACTATTGGCTGAGCTGACAACTTCCTCTAAAGGCATTTCTCTTTATTACTCCTGATCTAACAAATCAATCCGTAGTCAAGTAGCTAAACTAAAACAATATAGATATTTCGACATTTTACAGCAATTGAAAAAGATCATACTTCTTAGGGAAAATAAAAGCCTATACAAGTTCTAACGGACTTTCTATGTGTTCTTACCTTTTCTCTTATTCTATATCTATTCTCTCTTCATCTCATAGCACATAGCATTCAAAAGGCGTATGATAATGGATGGAACATTTGGGCAAGGTGGTGTCAATACAACAAGATAAATTGTGAAGAATATGATGTAACCAAGATATTTGAATTCTTTATGGCACAAAAAGCTTTTAGTCCACAACATTTGAATACAATAAGATCTTCAATTACTTCGGCCTTCAAGGCCATCTATCCTAAAAGACCGGCGATAGCAGATCAAGGTATCATCAGAGACTTTTTTTCTGTCAAGAAAAGAAAGACTGTTAAAGTTCCAGAGGACTTTCAACTACAGACATGGAACATGAATATCGTATTACAATATATACAGATTCAATGGAAAATACAGAGGAATCATCGTTAAAAATATTACAGCAGAAAACGGTGATGCTGGTATGTATTGCAACAACGGAAAGACCGCGATCGGATGTGGGAAGGCTCCAATTTAGGGATATACGATGGCAATATGACAACAATGAAACTGTTTCCGGTGCCTTTATACATTTCCGCCAACTGAAAGAAGCACAAGTTAAGAGATGCACTCTAGGCGTAATAAAAATAAAGGATCTATGTCCAGTAAGAACATTATGGATATTCAAGGAAAAGACAGAAGACTTAAGGAAGAACTTACAAGAAGACCATACGTTGTTTTTGGCATATATTGACAATCAAGACAAAGTCCGCTCTGTAAAACCAACGACGGTTGCAAATTGGGTAACAAAAATAATGAAAGACGCAGACATAGATACGACAAAATACAAGGCGCATTCGACTAGGGCTGCATCAAGTACAAAGGCAGTTGAAAATGGTCGGAGCGTTAAAGAAGTTAAGCAACAAACTCGATTTTTTTATCGGAAAACCTTACCACATTTGGAGTCGAAGTGGAGGCAACTTCAGAATTCTTACAATTGTGTGTGTATGTGTGGGGAGGGGGAGGGGGTTACGACAGTTTTACTTAGCAATTGCCTATGTCTGTATTTTGATTTTGACAAGACGTAAACAAGCGTACTGAAGTAATATATTCAAGCAAAAGTAACTACCTTGTGATATAGCGTATCATTGTTTACAAGAAAATCAAGAAAAGCATATATTCTCTTGATCACATGTATCATCTTCTTTTCAGTGTGGCCAAGCATTTGAAAGGCCAGTGACAATTAAAACTACCCCGCTCTTCGGCACGGTCTCCTCGCTGTGCCGAAACCAAACAAAAAGCTAAAAACAAAGCACTCATTGACAGGTTCTTATGAAATAATAAATACTTACCTTATCATCAATTTTTTATTATTATTAGCTTGAATGATCAATAAATCCAACAGTAAATGATGATTTTGTTCCAATGTGCCATGATGATTACTTTCCTACGTGAATACTAAATAAGGCAATGAAATTTCTGGGCAAAATATATAGCTACACGATCAAGCCGAGAAAAGTTTAGCAAATCATTTAAAGCTGATTAACAACAAAATAACAATCCGCTTCAAATTAATTTTTATATAAATACAGACAGTTTATATTTTAAAGCTATAGTTTCTCTTTCAATTACGTTTATTTTACAAACTTCAATGGCTGATACTACATCAAGCGCTATTCCGCACGAAATTAGCACATACGATCTCTTTCATTATATTCCCAATCTTCCTCTAGCTGTAGTGGGCACTGTAGTGTTTGGCTTGTTTTTCTTATACTTGACAGCCCGTGTGTACATGACTAAGAGCCCAAGGTTTTTATATATATTGCCAGGAACTGCAATTTGCGAATGCATTGGCTATGCCGTTCGAGTTCAATGTCACTCGAAAACAACAATACCGACATATGCTGTGATGACTCTGTTCCTTCTATTGCCTCCTAATGCTCTTGCTCTTGTCAATTACAAGTGTGCTGGTGAAATTATTCGATTGTCTAATGTAGAAGCTAAATTCTTCTTTCTTAAACCCAAGTTTGTTACATGGTTTTTCTTTTCAAGTGATGTGTTTGCATTTTTGATGCAAAGTACTGGTGGTGGTATGCAGTCTACAGGTGATCCTAGTCTTTCAAGCACAGGTTCTGCTATCACACTTATTGGCTTGGCTGTCCAGTTGCTGTTCTTTGCTTGTTTTGCATTCATTGCTTTCTATCTTCATCACAGCCACAAATACAACTACCACATTGATGGTCAAGTCAGTCCTAAAAAACACCTTTCTTATTGTTTGTATATCACTATTGTACTCTTATACATCCGTTCTATCTATCGTATTGCTGAATATGCTACTGGTTATGGTGGATCAATTGCTAGACTAGAATGGGCTTTCTATGTGTTTGACAGTCTTATAATTTTACTTTGTTTTATTTCCTATTCAGTTCTTTACATCGGTAACTATCTTCCTAAGCGGGGCTCAGAAGAACACAATGGTCCTGGAAGTTCTAAAAGATTGACAAGTTCTTCATCCAATGATGACACTATTACTAGCCACACGGAAAAGGGCGAGAACATTATGTTGTACAATTTAAATAAATAGACTTTTATGCTTTTGTTCAATGTCTCTCTTTCGTATCTCAAATGAGACGCTTCAATGGCCGCATTCATGCAAAATGCTCTTGTTAAAAAAAAGCATTTTCTAAAAGCTACATTGTATCACTCATTTTTCTTCTGAATATGTAAAGAACTGCTTTACTATAGCAACAGTAATCTTCTCCATTTAAAGAATCAGTCTTACCATTAACAGTGATGACAAGTTTTAATCCTTCGAGGTATTTAATATTGTATATGAGTCATCATATCTGCTTTGAAGCGGTTAATAACATGCCAATTTAGTATGGCTCACCTAGACTGAAGGATAGACACTAAATTTCAAGTAACGAAACGTTAACCAAGAGAAGTAAAAAAGGCTATAGTAAAACTATTAAAGAAAGCCTCACCATTTCCATCTCTCAAAAATGATGCAAAGGTTGTATTTAAATAAATAGAGATCTTATGCTGACATTGTTTTTCACAGTGCCGATATACTACATTGAGCAAAGTGAAAGAACAACGATATAAATCGTCCTAAAAGGCATTGCCTAATAAGAGAGAAGGAACATAAAATTGACTGAGTGAGAAGCGTTCTTGTTGGTTTTTTATTATTCAAGGCTGTAATTTTTTAGTTTTTACTTTTGATCAGGGTATCCCAATCTTTCTTCGAAATAAAAAGAAAGACAAAACATTAGTGCTTTATTCTCTTGTTTCTTTACTAAGATTTCAACAAGTCTATTGCTCCTCTCATGAAGGGGACCGTGCAATTGTACTCACATAAGGCAACTGTTTTCTTGATATTAATAAAACTAATATTTTATTGATATGTTGCATAACCATAAGGGTTTATAAATAAATAAAGATAAATTAAAGTACTCTAAGAAAAAAGAAGAGAATTAAATTTGAGCGATTTGGACTTGAGGAACTTGTTGGTTAAAGACAACATAGTTGTTCTTCAAGAAGGTGTCACCTAAAATAGCAAAGCTGAGACCACCCTTGGCAAAGGAGGCGAAACAGTAGCTACCATCATCTTCAAAGACCAAGTCAGAAGCAGGGATCTTGAAAGTGGCACCGTTAATAGTGAAGACAAGAGGAGAGAAGCTAGAGGTGTCACAGTCAATGAGGTAGGTACCATCGCTGTTTTCAGTAGCACCATAGGCAGCAGCAACCTTGTCAGCAATAGCGTCAGTCAAGAGCAAGAGAGTGGTACCGGTATCAAGGATACCAGAGAAGGAGCTGGCGACAGTTTTACCACCAGCAGAGAGACCACCAATAGTAATGCCCCAGTAACCTTGAGACTTGCTGACAGGGACAGTCTTCAAAGCACCGCTGAATTTAGAGGAATCGTAGCCACCAAAGACATACTCACCACCGCCACCATTGGAGGCCTTACCGAGGTAGACACCAAAGACAGGAGAAGAGATCAAACCTTGGCTGATCAAGTTGTCAACAGGAGTCTTGATACCGCTGACAGTAGTGATAGAATCGAAACCGAGACCCAAGAGACCATCGTTGGGACCGCTAGAGAAAGAGCTGGATTCCTTCTTGGCCAATTCGATTGTTTGACCAGCGATCTTGAGACCACCCAAGTTGACAGTGTCTGTTGCGAGAACACCACCAGCAGTAGAGCCATCGCCGTAAGAGATAGACCAAGCACGACCATCAGCCTTGTAGGTGCTAGATTTGGAGGAATCGTAACGGTTTTGACCAGTGCAAGAAGAACACAAGGTAGAAGCTATAAACAAACAAACAAACAAAAAAAAGACCGTTAAGCTTAGTTGATAAAAACAATGCCCACTTACCAACCCAAAGATCACTGGAACCAGTATCGAAATCCAACTTGAACTTTTGTTCAGGAGTACCAATACCAACAACACCATAGTATTCAACATCATTTCCGTAGTCAGTGACAGGAACAGTACCAGTACCATCTGTAGTGACATTGGAAGGAACACCGTGAAGAGGGTTAATAACATGCTTGAGGTACTTGGCCTTTGCTTTGGCGAGAGCAGCCTTAGCATTGGGCTTGTAGTTTTCGTTCTTGCTCAAAGGAATGGTAAGTTTTTTGCCAGAAGGAGCTGCTTCGGCTGCCATGGCCATCACAACGAGTGCGACACAAGAGGAGACAAGAGAAAACTTCATTTTTTGAGAAAAGGAAAGAACTATTGTTTGAATGAAGTAACAAATCCTTTGAGACGCTGTCTCTTTTTATATAAAAGTGTCAAACGAATCGATTTCTTTTTTCATCCAATACTTCTTTTTTTGGTAGATTTGACACAACAGTGTGTTGAGTGAAAGGAGTACCAAATAAAGTTGAATGATGGTAAATTAGCTGAAAGTGAAAAGAGAATTTGATCTACAGTGCTACAAATGACTTGTCTTGAACCTTGATATGTATCTGTACGGTAATGTAACATACATAGGAAGATTTGGTCACTTATTGCTTGATTATGATTACTATTGAATAAAAAAAAAAGATTTAATTTCTACTTTAAAAATAACGCTTTGCCTTTAATGTTTTTTTTCGTGAACTATAGCTATTGACGTTGAAAGCATGTTTGTGTACAAGTACATATCAAATATGAGACCTGCAGATAAGCTAGTACTTGATTTTATTAACATGTGAAGGATAAGCCAATCAGTTTACCAAGAAAGCTGATGCTGTTTCTTCTTCTTTTCTTTTTTGCTGGTTTCCATATGTGTATATATGCCTATACTTTCCAACAAACAACACTGCATTACATATATACTATGCTTTACGCATACATTTAGCTTTTTCAAGGCAACACAAACTCATCAAACACTCTGTATTGAAGTATTAAGCAGGCTATTCCAAATATGTTTCTTTTGACTAAAAACGGATCAAGACGTTATGCATAAATGGTTACTCAATTATCATAAAGCGATCTGTGTTACTGACTAAAGTACGTGTTCCCAATTACAATAACACAAGAGCTTCCCTGTACAAATAAGCAACTTGTGCAATACAATGAGAGGTGATGAAAACGAAGGCCATTACATTTATTACCTTGGTGCAGACATAGACGCACACTTCGTGATTACTAGGCTATGTTGCTTACCGTGAAATTTTATCACAAAATGCAATGATTGTGTGCTTATAGTGTTAATTTTTCCTGAAAAATAAATATTTACTTGAAAAAGTGTTTTTTTACGTGTGCAATGATGGTATATGGTACAAGAAAAATTACTACAACCAAGCAATGGAATGAAATCATGTTCATAAAAAAAGGCCTCATATGATACAGAAATGAGCAATTTCTCCCTTTTAGAGCAGACGTGAATATGCATGAAAAAAAGATAAGTCAAGATCACAATGCCAAATTTAGTCGATAAACTTGTTCTTGTTTACCAAATGTATCTGATTAAGAATCTATGTCGTACAGATGATCTTTTTTACATGAAAAGTCGCCATGCTAATGAAACAAACAGTAAAAGTGCTTATGCGATTTAACTTTTATGATTTCTTAAGAACTAAAATGTATCTTGAGTGAATTAAAAGCTTTGAGCCACTAAAGATACCCAGAGAGAAACAAAAATTAAAGAGATCTTCCTTATTTGTGAATTATTAGTTTTATTTTGACGTACTTGATTGTTTTGGTATTATCACTTTTTAATTTGCGCCTACCTCTTGGCGATGGTTACATTATTTTACGTGAAGCAATAAAAAAAAGTGATAATTTTCAATCTTCCGCTTGCTATTGCAAACCATTCCAAGCTTGTATCCATCGTTGCTATAGGTCAATGAAATATCTGGAAATTTTATTAGAAATTAATTCTCAAAGTTACTTTTGAACGTTCCTGTATCATTTCTGATGCAATTTATCAGATAGCTTTAGCTACAAAAAATCACTCCTTGCTTAAATAACCCAGTTTATTATATGATCCTTACTTCGTCATCCCTTACTCCTGTCCCTCCACGTCCTACCTCTCTACAATATGTGATTAAACAATAATTTTGTACATATTTAAATAAAATTCGGCTACAAAACAAAAACACTTCAAATCCGCATTATAAACTAGCTTTATTGCTACTTTTGTATGTTTCTTAAAGCTAAAAACAGTATGTGATGTTTCTTTAAAAGCCTATAGCTATTAAGCTTTATATGATATCCAGAGCAAGAATGCTCAATCTAGGACTCAAACGCATCAATTTTTGATGCACTATTGCTCGACAACCAGATTGTCAAAACAGTCCGTTTTTTATTTGAAACATGTTGTTTCGAGTCTAGGAATCGAATGGTACCATTGGTCTAGTAGTTGTGTGAAATTCGTTCTTCTGGCCCATAAGGATTCTCAAGAGCTCTTGAAGATGAAAAAAAAAAAGTTTACCGAAAGTTCTTGGAATGCCAGATTAATCCCAATGTAGGTCTGATCCAACCTACGTGAGGTGAGAATATTTCTAGGTACTTCTAATAAAAAGAAAACGAGTTTAATAAAACGAGAAGATCAACTTCATTTGAACGCTGCTTTCAAATCTGCATTCAAAGTGTATTGTACACTGTAGCTGGGAGGAAAGAGGCCCATTTTGATATATGTTTAGGACTAAGTAGGTATTTAGCTCTACTTCGCTTAATATACCGAATATAAACTGCCATATACTTACGAATCCAATTTTTTTTACTGAGTTTTTATATAGTAAAAGGTATACCTAGCTCAAAAGGTACACTATCATTTGCATGATTTAATGAAATCAGTGGTATGTTATCTTGAGAAGAACGCCAATAATTAATGCACATGTATACGCCTAATCCAGAGTATTTTTCTCTTGTTACCACATGCCATTTCGATTATTTTATTGACTATCAAATTTATTGAGACATATATGTATATCTACAAGATAGACAGCCACAGCATCAGATAGACTACAGAGATGCAATTCTAATATGTAATTATGCTTGAAGTTATAATACATTCAAAATCAGAATAAATCTACCTCAAATACAAAGCTTTAAGATTGGAAATCATTCAAGGCCTATTACCCATGATTAAACGCCATTTAATAGCAAGAAATAGCAAGAACGAGTATAAAGGAGCATGGATGAGTAGTATAGTAGAAAAAATGTATGTGTCTTGGATTTTCGAAATTAATTTGCTTCTTACCGTAATAGATATAAAAAACAGAAAAAAACGACCTTTTTTTTGACAATATATACAAAATTTACGTTAATTTTTTGACAACAATTTTGACAACAATTTTGACAACAATTTTAACAATAATTTTGACAATAATTTTTCTTCATCTTTTTTTATTTAATCTAATTCTTTTAAAGTCAAAGACACTACAGCGTAAGTGATGGAAGAATTATACATATAGAAATGCAAAATTTCTTTTATCAACAGAAGAAAATGCAATCGGTTACGCTGTGGTGAGAGTGTATTTTTTTTTTTTTTTTTTTTTTTGCCTAAAAATAATTATTTCCAGAAATGTTTTTCAGTTGACACAAATAGCATACTTGTACATTGGTATTAAGCTTGTCAAATTCATACTCAAAATTTGTTAATTTATTGACCTTATAGAAAAAGGTCCTTTTGAACACATGGTCCAATGTGGCCTTTGACTGCTCGGACTCGATCAATTCATAAGAATGACTATGCTAAGCTAAAAACATCTTAAGAGAATAAGAGCAAAAAAGGAATAGACAGGAGAGCGTTGATCTAATAGTGAGCCTGGGTATGTGTTTGGAACCAGAGAAGAAATAGAAATATTTGGCTGGATGTTGGAAGGGGTAGATTGTTTGTGATAGAATATTACATAGAGGTAATTTGGGATAAAGCGAATATATAGAGGTTCATTTGCTACTTCAATAAAGTACAGAGCGGTCAGTCTTGAGTGTTTTTATAAGGAAATAATTTGCAAATCTCTGAAAGACAAAGAGTTTGGTTAAGAGCACTTTTGCATTCTCGAAAGCTACCTTTGTAGAAAAAAAGAAATAAAAAACATAGTGTATTAATAAAGAGAAGCAAGTCTTTCAAATTCATTAATAGTTAACTGATCCCTTTTTCTAAGTAAAATGTCCTCGTATTTATATCTTTTTGAATGCCTATAATGTAGATGAAAATGTGTACTGATGATTTTTCGGTGTAGCTATAAATCACCAATTTGTGCCTAAATGTGGCTTGATAATCAAACTACACAGATGAATATTGCTCTATAAATTTCTCTTGCTTAGAAGTTGTTCTGTTATGTTCTATTGCCTATTATACGTGATGGTTTACTACAACCTTGAGCGGTGTCTGAGGACGATGCTTGGCCCTGGAGAAGTTTATTGATGAATGTTTCGAGCGTTTTTTTCTAAAGTAATAGTCAGACTAATTAGGTAGTAATTGAATGGATTAGTCGGGCTGCCTTTCTCATGAACTTGGACTATTTGTGCGACTCATCAACAGTGAGGCGTGTATGGCCAACGCCAGCACAGATCAAGGATATGGAAAATGAGATGGCCACTAAAATATGTGATATTTATGCCAAAAGTAAAGCTAGATTCATAAAAAAAAATCGCGAAATAGCCGTAGACATCAGGAACTTTTCATGAATGCAATGGATTTACAGAAAAATATGTATTTTCAAATCCCGCAAAATTTTATGCCGAAATTACAATATGCTACTTGTGTATTCAAAAAAATATTTTTTAGGAAAAAATAAAAACCACTTTTTAAAATACAACAAAAGCATTTTCAGTAGTGATAAAAAATAAAAAAAAAGAAAGGAATTTCTGATTGTTTTGTTTTAAATTAAAAAAAAAGCTTGTTCTTCAATTTTTCTGTTTTAAATAAATAAATGAGTCTGCCAGATGATAATTTTACTGTTTTAGCTTAGAGAAGAGATTCCTCCTGGTAGATTTGTTTTTTATTTTAAGACAGAAAAATTGAAAAGCAGGCTTTTTTTTCTAATTTAATATTTTTGATTTATTTTAAAGTAGTGGTTTATATTTTGAAATAGTAGTTTTTATTATTTTTCAAAAATATTTTTTTTGAGTACACAAACAGCATAGTTGTAATTTCGGCATAACTGTCAATATTTTTATGATGTTTGAAAATGTTTTTTTTTCTTTTTTCTTTTTTTTAGGTAAGTT